TTTGTCCACAGGGGGCGCCAAATTTGACTCAAACCAAAAGTTCCCTTACTTTTTGATTGATGTTAGACAGGAGGACTGATACCCATATCATGGTCAGGAATCAATCTTTGTGAAGTCTTCAACCTAACACACCTACTTGATCAGTGACCGCTGAGTAAGCCCCATGAACAGACAAAAATATTTCAGTGGAAATTTCAGGAAATTGGGTCATAAGTGACCATGTGTTGAAATTGTTCCATAAACAACATTATAACTCTTTATAGTGTGAATTTATTTTCTGCAGCTCATTCCATCAAGGGGCAACATGTACTTCACTGCAAACGAAATAAACACACTTGCTATTTAAAAATCTGACAATTTAGTATGAAAGTGGGACACAGTGAAGGAGTTTAATCAACTCTTATTGAGATTACAGTCACGTCTAAATCAGATTAAGGTATCTAATTAGTGAGAAGATCATCACAATCCATCTTTTCTTTGCAGTGGGGGAACCTAAGCTTAATGTACGCGAGGAAATATGTGATTTACAGCAGACATTTTGTTGTACCATAACTATATAATGTCTGTATACATCAGTACTTTCTTTCAAATGTATTCTTAGTGTAACTCGGCAAGACACGCTCTGGACTGAAACTAAGTGCATTCAGTGGTCTCTCACCTGTCACAGACACCAGTGCTGAACTGACGCTGTATTGTATGTAGAGAGGAGCGACACAACATGTAAAGCTCTCAAAAATCAGGAACATAGCTGTGTTCTTGGCAGATCTGCCTTAACCAGCTGACATGAACAAACAATGTGAATGTGTGTGTTTCTTTCTCTATGTGTGGTCACACGAGGACCCCCTAGCTTGACAACAGCCTTAATTCAGTGTTTAGTATCTGATATCATGAGTCTAAGGCATATTTACGGTACTTAGTTACTAACATTGGTGAGCAAGTGTCTTTTTACCAGCTCCTTGAAATTAGAGCTAGTATGAAGGTGCTTGAAAAAAAATCAAGGATAAGATGCTCAGTGTTTTCTTTGTTTACAGAATAGTGACAGCTGGATGGAAGAACTTCTGCTTTAAAGCTTTTCAAATGGTGGACCAGAACTTCCTGTTAAGATGAAGCAAATATAAATAGTTTGTGAGTGTCACAACTTGTGTTTCTTCAGGTTTTACAATGAGCTGTCGTGAGGTTTAACAGGCCCAGGTGTGACAGGGGTCAAACTGTGAGTAACCTTTCCCCCCGCAACCGCTTTAATGCCTTTGAGTAACGGAGATACACTAAACATGACAAAAGAAATAAACAAGTCCTTTTTTTGCCTGGAGGAGGTTTTAAACAAGAGACGCAGGAGTGAATGTTGTTTTTTCTTGTTTTGAGGTCAGCCTCCCTTCATGCCACTGTTGCAAGTACATTTTGCTCTTTTTTACATGACAACAACAGTCAAGACTCAAAAGCATGCTCATCCCAAACATACAGAGGACAAGTTTAGCTCGGCTCAGCGTATCTGCTAACAGTTTCCTATGTGTACGTTAAGGCTCTGGGTGGTGTCTCATGAAGACATCACTGACTGGTCACACATAGGAAACCAGATGCTTTTGAGGGCTGAACCCAAACACTGCTCAAGAAAACAGCCTCCCCAGACGTAAACATGTGACAATCCTTGTGTCAAGTCGAGTCAGCTTCACTTAAACCTGCACCTTGGATAGAAAAAAACAAGGATACAAAGCCTGTCACAGGGGATCACTCTGTTCATGAACACATTGTCCTTTTTAAACAGAAAACTACTAAAAACAACCCTACAAAATTAGACCAAATTAAACTTAAAAACAGTCTGGGAAAATACCTGAAAATACCAAACTTCCTCTCAAAGTTGCTTCACAAGCAGGGAGGGTTATTGCAAACACAAAACCCTCCTTCGATTTCAGTGTGGACGTGAGAACAGTCACAGTGAAGACAGAGGGATGTTGTAAAAATACCAAAGTCCAGGAGTAACACTTTTCTGTCTAGTTCTCTGGCCTCTGATCTCTGTCCTGGCTTCCCCTCATCTCAACAACATTTGGCTGTCAGTGAAGAGTCTCTGGGGAGACGTCGATTTGCCAATTGCTGAGACTTAAAATATTGCAAAAGATGCTTGTCTTGTCAAGCACTTGGATATGTGCTTACTCTTACAGTATTATCATAGCCAGCAGCCTTTGACTGAAGTTGGCTCCTGTTGTGCTGATAAGTGTTGAAATAGGGGTCAGCTTGGTGATGTTAATTTGAGACGTTGAAACTGTCAACAGGACAGAAGTCTTGGTTTTAACTGGTGTCTTGATGGATTTTGCTTCAGGCGTTTTCGCTCTCTGCTTTCATGTTGATCACATCTGTCAGAAACATTTAATGCAACACTTAGGAGATTAAACCCTGCATAGTGTTGGTGTCCAAACACTATCCCCTCCTATCAAACCTGTTTCTGTTATATCCCTTTTGCCCTCACTCTCCTCCCGCTTCTGGATGCCCCCTGATCTCTTCCTCCACCTCTGTGTCCTCTAACTACTTGACACCTTTTCAGATTCGTCCCCATCCGTTGGCAGACAGCATGCATTTCACCCTGCGGGGCACAATGCAGCGATCCTCTGCGAATCAATGGCAGATAAATCAATGCTATCTCTTTTTTCCATGCCTCTGCTGCCATTGATTTTTTTTCCCTGTTACTTTGCTGTTTGTGGAGTCTCGAACTTTGCTCAATTAAACTGAGTTCACTTTCAGGAACAAATTGTAACAGCGTAAGGCTTTCAGCTCAGAGACAGACACTAATGTTGGCTGTGGATGGGGGGAACAAGAGCTTTATTTATGAGATGCTCTATTGAAAGAGAAGCTGCAGAGGCTTTTATTGAACCTGGATTTATTGTGAACTCTCATTCAGATGAAGCGCGCTGTAGGCTTGTCTTGATCTTTGATTTTGAACCAAAGCTAATACCTTAAACTGAGACAAAGCAAATATCCTTTGATCATATTCACTAAAAAAAAAGGAGCAGGCCCAATTAGCATGTGAATAACCCTTGCTTTGTTGTTTTACTGAAATGCTCATAGGTTTCTTGGCAAGAAATTCTCAAATGAGATTTCATATCCAGTTCCAAGGCTTTAGATCCTGTCACCGGGAATGATTTCTGGGAAATGAAACCGACTCAGACATATTATTTTGAAAACTACATTTAATATAGCCCAGAGAAAATTATCCACTGTGATATTTCGCTTGTCTCCCCCATAAATAATTCATTGTTTTTATGTGCCCTCATGCTGCCTTGGGGATTGGAACAGCTGAGTGTTTTCACAACGTATTTGTGTCCAATCTTGTGCGTATTGGGCGCGCTCTAATCAAACCACAGTAAACATGCCTTGAATGTTTGTTGAGTCATCTGCTTATCAGCTAATCAAATGGCTTATTTGCCTGCCTGCCTGCCTCACTGGAGCACAACACGGCTCTGGTTGAATATTTTTCAATTAATTTGTTCATCTGTTTGATTGACTGTGCAGCCACACAGCAGCGTAGGTGATATGATTGAACACCACAGGCTTTTAATGTATGCTCTATAGGTCCTCTGCAGCAATGAGGGGGAGATGTGATTGCGCTGAATACATTTAAGGGATAGACCAAGTCAGGCACTCTATTGCTCTGGAAATTTTACCTTCTCAGCTGCACTTTTCACCATTTCATTTCGGTGTCATGCGAGTGTAAGGCCACACAAAAGACCACATTTGTACATACAGTCTGTACCTATTTTTCTGTGAAAGCAACTAGCATGAAAGTGCAAGTCATAGAGAGAATTTCAAAGGCACAAGCCAGGATGGCGACATGGAGCTGCCAGGGATTGGTGAGCAATCAGATAGGGCAGAATTGATGACCTGGCTCAGGATGGATTTCTTGGAGCGGGCTGCCAGACCGAGGTAATACTTTCAGGCTCTTATCAGCACTGGCATAAGCTGAGTGCTGCATCACCCACTTCCCAGCGTCAGCTTATTATGAGAGTCCATGATGTGTGATTGCTTGTTCTGCCTTTGTGTGTCCCGGGGTCTGCTCTGTGCATCGGACATAGTGTGCATGAGGAAGAAGTAAAAAAGAGGAGGAGGAGGAGGAGGAGGAGGAGGGCACCCAAGAGCTTCTGTCACAGTAAAACCCTTCACCTCCATGCTGGAGTAATGACATTTCGCAAAAATAGTTGTTTTGCAAGGTTTTCCTGTGACTCATATAAGCCGAAGATGTCAGTGAAGGAATTCAGCGAAGTTAAATCAACTGTCACATATGCCATATTTTTTAAAAGACTGCTGAAATGTATGTACACTTTAAGGTGAAAGATTCAAAGTACGCACAAGAGAGATGTGAACGACCCAGCCTGTACCATAGTATAGATTGCTTCATTAATCTCAGCTCATAAGCACAAACACACTGCGTCTCATGTTGTACCTGAGTGATCACACAGCAGCCATCCTTAGATATTATCAGACGATTATTGCCCTTGTTATTAGGCCTATCAGCTCAGGGTATTTCTCCTACAGGAGTTTCAAACCAATTAAGTTAAATGGCATTTTACAGTATCCAATTCATAAACTCTAGATTCATTCCGCATACTTATCACATTTAATTGTGTTCTGGTTGCATAATAATATTTTATTTCTCCCCGGTGAGTAGCCATAGAGCAGTCCTCCTTCCGCAGCTTGGAGTGATTCAGTGTCTTGCTGAAGGGCACATCTGCAGAGATGGTGGCCGCAGGTTTGAGCCCAGGGACGCTACCTGCCTCTACCCCGCGACTGAGAAAAGAGTGATTAAAGATCTCAATCTGCATCCTGTCTCGGCAATTTCTATCAGACGTTCTTTTCTATTTCCGCGAATAAACAACGTGGTTTCAGACGCTTGGACGCATCTCTATGGTAACAGTCCTCAATTACTGATGATTGGCCAACCCGTGGGAATGTTTCTATTCCCTCAGCACAGCGATTGGTCGGTGGGCGGTCTGAGCAGGCTGACAGTCTGCAGCGTTCCGGGTTATTGTCAGTCTCGGCAGCTCGGCACAAGGGCAGGACCACGTCCCGGAGCTGCCCGAAGCAGCTAGCTCTTTATCCAGACGGAAGCTTTTCTTATTTGGTTGAAACACCAAAGAGAGCAACTCGGCGCACTTGCTATCGAACGTACTCCACAGTCTCAGCTGGAAATCTGAGTCTGAATCGGGAGACGAGACATCTCAGAGGCAGCCGAATAAAGTGACGGACGGACGGAGCAGAGAGTCTGAGCAACCGGGATTTTACACCGCGTCAGTTTCGGATATTTCAGGCAGCTGCTTTGGCCCAGCCTTGATTTCTTTCAGGGGTCCCTTCACACAACATTGCCTCAAAAATTTACCAACATTTACATGGTAAAAAAAAATCGCTGAAGGTCTAAGGTGAGCTGGTGGACCACTTTAAACCCGTGCGTAACAGCGGTGGATTTTGGAATACTGTGAAGCAGTTCAACCTTCCAGTTTACGATTGACAGTTTCTGTTGTTTGGAAATATCTACAAGCGAAAAAATAAGAGCGCATAGGCCCCATTACTTTGTTCTGGAGGCTAAACGCCGAAAACCCGAGGCGCACTCGGAGCGCAATCCTTCCGAGGACGCTCCTGAAATTGCCGACCTGCGCTTTTGCCCTCGACAAAAATTGGCAGCCGAGTCGAGAAAAAAGGCGAAGGCTTATTAACTTTGCATGCTAGAGGCTAGAGTGTGGAATCTAATTCACAGGGTTATACCGGTGTATTTGCATTTGCCATCAGAAGAGGAGGATAAACTTAATCAACCTTTTTTGCATCGATAAAGCCGCTGCTGCTGGATGTTGGAGGACAAGAATGAATCTTTTGTAATTTGGACCCCCAGAAGTATGAGGCAGATTTCTCAGTGAATGCTACAATCTGCATGGAGTTCTAGTCTGCACTACGGAGCAATTTATGGTAAATATACGTTTCATTACATCTTTTCTGTTGCGAATGAATGTGTTGGAAAATTCTGACTTTGAGTGGGTTTTGTTGAATCTTGAGAGAATTAATTTGAAAAAGAGAAATTACAGCAGATCATGTAAAAAAACAAATGTCCCTTCAAACCAGACTGTTTCCAAGCCTTTGTTTCCATGTGTGACCCCCGCTATAAAAGAGGTGTTGTAAAATCGACTTGTTAGAGAGCCGCTCCCGAATGGCTTCAGGAACTGCTTTGATGTGTAATATTGGTCTTTTCAAGTATGGCAAGCAATTAAGTGTATTGTCGCGGGGATAGCACCGCAGGCACCGCAGGAGGAGTAGGGCTATATGGCACTGGAGGAGTTGCTGCTCAGAGCAAAAGGTGCGAATTTTTCATCTGTACGCCCCCGTGCGTCACAGCGCGTGGGGAGGGTGACTATTCAGTGTCTGCTGCAATTAGTGATTTTTCACCCTTGAGTGTTAATGATATACAAGCTTTTTTCTCTTTTTATGGTGTGCCTGCATATTGTGAGAGGCTTTTTGAAATCTCTGTCTGCATGTGGCTGTGAAACTTTTTTTCACGACACGCATGATGCTGAATGTGCTGCTGCATTCAGCTCTGGGGGCAATTTGTCATTGTCCTGCGAATTCTTCTGCAAATTTGTCCTCTGCAGCCCAGGCCTCCCAATGCAAATAACAAAGTCTGATTAACGAATTTGAATGTTGGCTGATAAAGTTTGAGCTGTTTGGACTCCTGTGAACTTTGAGCCCGAGGGTTTGCTGAGGTTTGGTTGCTGCTCATATATGAGGCGGCACATTATGCTGACTGTGCAGCGAGAAGGCTGCACACAGTATGTTTTATCATTAGACTACAAGCACTCTCAAAATCTATCTTCCTCAGCGGCTCCAGTCATTCTCCTCTCAGCAGCCCTGCAGACAGACGGCTATCTGAATGTAATATGGGCCCCTACAGCAGGGCAGGCGCCCCCACAGTCAGGGCACCTGCCATAGAGCCTTCCTGCCTGTATTGAATAAAACATCCAGTGATGTATGAGGCAGGGGCTGCACCCGAGGGGGCAGAACTGCCTCATTTACTTCCTCCACTCGGTGCCTGTGACCTGCTGAGCAAATTGTGCTCATATTAGCTCTGCGGCTGCTCCTCACCTAAACAAATAGTCTTCCTAGCATAATGCTCGCCTTAACTCAACATGATGGTTGGACAAGGCAGGGTAGAGCGGAGGGGCAGAAAAGCTTTAATATCTAGGTCACTGAATTACCTTTCAGAGTTTGTAGCTCTTGTTTTTGCCTCTTTTTCGGGCTTGCTTTTAGATCTTTTTTCCTCTACAACACTAAACCTCCAAGTATCCTGCTGCAAGACCTAACTCACATTTCATCTTCCTCTGTTTTCACCATGTTTCCTGTTGCTGTACACTTTCAACTGATCTTAACAAATAACATACTTATGTGTTAAAAAAAAACTCACTCCTAGATTTTAACCCCTTTTCTAAAAACTTTACGATGTTTATGCTGCAATAGTTTAGAGGTGGAGAACATATTTTGGCATGTCATTAATAAAAGGTAATTCACTGAAGGAAGTCTGGCATTTTTATCAATTTTCAGCTCAAATAGCATATCAGTTGGTTGATTGATAGCTTTTGGGTTCCTTACTGTATTCTTTGCTTATTAAAGTGGCTGCCTGAAGTGAAGAAGTGAGCTGCACTCATGAATATCGTTAAAGTCGCTGAAGTTTAATTTCCTGCACTGTGTATTAATCTTTTTAATCCCTGCATGGTTTGATTGTCTCAACACCTACCTAGAGGCAGCAAAACTCATTTTGGCACTTAAGATGACTAAAATAGTAGATACAGATGTGTGTGTGTGCGCGTGTGTGTGTGTTGCTTCAGATGTACCCACCCCTAAAGGGTTTAAGCTCTGCGTGTCCATTCTTGTGTGGACTCTATTAATGAAAGATCCTCTCTGTATTCACACAGATGAAATGAAATCTATAGAAGACATTCACCGTCTATAGGCTGTCCAGGTAGCATTAAAACATCTCCCTCTGTCAGAGAAAAGAACAGACAGCGCTTCACAGATGAACTAATATCTTTAAAAAGCTCAGAGCTTCTTGTTAGGAACACCAACAGACACTTTAAGAAACATGAACATTCTCTCTCAAAGCCGTGTCAAAAACAGCTCATTAGATACCTGATCAAAGAGGTTCATATCAAGGAAAAGTCTACAACGGTTCTGCTTTAAAACCTTTCATGTGCAGGAAAAACAAAAGAGATGCGCCCTTTTTTAGTACTGTACAATCTTACATGATTTAATATAAACTTTATTGCCCGGGCAGAGCGATCTGTCTCGCACATCAGCACTCGGGGATGTGAAGACAGAACGTGATAAAAGCAGCATTAAACAAAAATATTAGACGCTGACTATTGTGGAGAGAAACTAACACAGTCTTCAACCAGAGGTGAATATGATGTTCAGTTTTCAGCAGGGATTTTGGCGTTATCAGGGCTTGACATCAAGAATACAAGCAGGGTCGGCTGGGATGTTTTCTGGTTTGTGTTTGACAATGGACTTCTGTGTTTTATCGCTTAAAGAGGAAGGACATTGTGACATCTGAATATCTGTAAGTCTGGCCAGCATTTATGACAAACACAAAGTGAAACCAAAAGCTTCATGTTAATTCTACTGCACAGATCATCTTAAATGATGTTAGTGAAAACAAGGGTTGTCTCTCAGTCAGAAGGTCTAAGGTTCGGTCTCAGATCCGGCTGACCCGGCAGCATGTGAATTGGATTTGTTTCTACTGATGGACCCTTTTCACAGCAGTGGTGTGAATGGGTGAATGTGATATGTGAGCAAAAGGTGATCTGAGTGGTCAGAAACCTAGAAAAAGAGGTTTTACTTTAACTTTTCCAAGATCAAATATTCACTGTGAGGAAAAAGTTTGGCTGATAACAAACAGCAGAAAATGTGACTCACACATGTTCAGGACAAGATTAGAGGAACTGCTATGTTCACAGAGGTGGTCAGAGTTGACACAAACAGAAAACCCTTCACAGGTGCTTTAAGTCAGTGACAATTACTCCAAAATCTGCAGTTTGAGACAGAACAAAGTGAGGAATAGGTATCAACGATCAAGTATGACTGACGTGAGGACAGTAGAATAATTAAGTGGTTTAAGGAAATGACACCTCCCTCAGTGGGAACAATAGAAGTACAATAAAAAAACAAAGTGTAGTCAAACAAAAGCAGTTAGACCAGGCGGATTTTGTGTAGATTTTATATAACAGTAAGAGATTTTAGGTACAGATGATGACCCTGTTGCAGTAACTTCTGTCAACCTGCACATCTTTGAGTGTGATGATTGACTCTCAGGCTTAAAAACTTTGTCAGCTCTCACAGGAAAGTGTCCCTGTTGGGATAATAATCACAGACAGACTTTTCAGAAATTGTCAAGGTCACTGGAGACAAAATTACTTTTTGAATCAGTTAAAATGACCTTTTCCTTGAAGTTCCACTAAAATGATAACATTTTTACTTGTAAAAACTCTGTCAGAAACACATTTATAAAAGTTGCTGTCCTCTAGTCTTTCTCTTGGGTTTGAGTTCCACCAATCTTAAAACTTTTTTCATTTGAAGAAACTGAGCAGCTGGCTGAGATTACCTCCCTTTAATAATGGTACCTGTATGCAGTGATCACATCAGCTGGGGGAAAACAACAGGTGTGTGATCTATGGTTATTTACGTCTCAACTGTGTGTCCTGTACAGAGTTAGATGTTACATTTTTCTTTATCGGTATATCAGCTGTTGAATTTTGAAATTTTTTCAAGACACTGAATTTTTTCTTTTGCAAAATGAAAACAATCTTCCTCCTGGCCCTGACACTCTTCCGTAAACTCAACCCAGAAATTTTGTTTTCATCAACAGGAACTAATTTGTATTCAAGCAGCGGGTTCTCAGAATCTCGAGAAGAATAAACTACAGTAAGGTGTTTCCTTGAACGCGTCTCAGCTTTGTTTCTGATAGTTTGCGCGTCAGAAAGAGCCGGTACCCTTATTGTTAGTAAGTCTGCAGATAGTTTGAAGTAGTTTAAACCAAAGAAAAGTTAACCTGACCACTGCTCTGCTTACAGGATCTAATCAGCTGAGATGCCAGACATTGGCAGCTCTTCATCAGGGTTATTTGCAGCCACTTAGTGCGTGACGGACAGCGATGATTCCCCCCTGACCTCCTTCTCCCCCTCTCACTCCCTCCCCTCCTGTCACACTGAATGGAAGTCACGTCTCAGCAGGCCTCCAGGTTAATGTATAGCCTTTAATTCGGAAAGGTTAGGGCACTCGGTCTATTTTTTAGTTTGAGAATGCTCTCAGGCATGTGGAAATACAGTCAAACTGAACAGAGTAAGTTTATATGTGGTTAATGAGTACACTGGTGTGGTGCGCCGTTTGCTCTCAAACCCAGCCTGGAAAGTGCAGGGAGGCCTGCTCCCTCCAAAGTGTTCTTGGGGGTAAGAAGGAGAATAAAGCAAATCTGACAAGCTCTCCAACAGCGAATTTGCTCTCCTTAAAAACAATGCCGCTTTTGCCTTCCTCATGGTCACATTGATTTGTTCTGGGTGACAGTGCAGGCTGCTGTGAAATCACCCCAGCGCCATTGATCTCAAGGAGAGGGGGGAGGAGAGGAAGGGGAGGCTGGCGACAGAGAGCAACATGGGAAAATCCTTAGTGTGCCCTCTTCAACCTGAACCAGTAATAAAAAGACGGCCCTGCTTACTATCAGATCAGGCCCTGCTGTACTTCTTTCGCCGCTGTATCGCTAGTCTAGTCTGCGCTTTGATTTGTTTTTGGAGACCCGTACGTTCTGTTTGATTTGCCATTGTTGCCTCACCATGTTTCACATTATCAGCTGAACTCTTTATTGCCGCTGTTTTCCATGCCAGAAGCAAGGCTGTTTTTATCTCATGCAGGCCTCTGATTAATCTCCCCCTCTATGCTGGTGTACTTTAATCTTGAATGGGAGATATCTGATTCTCCTCGGCTATTGAGGAAGATCAAACTTTAATGGAACAAGGAACTGCACATCATCCTAATCTCCATCTCCCTGCATTTTGGTTGACTGCTTCCCCCTCGGGCTCTGTAGCTTTGTGCAGAAGCAGGAAACACATCACACAGATAAGGTGTTTTCTCTTCATGCTTTGGTAATTTATTCCCCGTTGACAATGGCCACCACTTTACTTCGGTGCTGTTTGATTACCTGGCTAAAGGAGAAGCTGGTAGAAAACACAGGAATTGATTGATATGCTAAGGCCTAAAAGTGTGAAACTTCTGTAGAAGCTTTGATTGAGGATTTCATCAAAGTTTAGTTTTTTTTGGCTTAAGCACCCACTCTCTCTCCCTCACTCTTTTATCGACACGCAGGAGATTGGGTCATGCGTGGCCTACGTCATCTGTCTATAAAAGCCGGGGGAGAGCTACGTCAGCTGCATGGATGTATTCAATGCATCTGATTACACTCCAGTCAATGCAGGAATTAGCTATTGACCGCTATTCTCTGCCTCCGCTTCCTCCATATCATTGAATAACTGCACATTATGCTGACCAGCATCTGTCTCCTGCTGCATGGATGCATATTGTTGCAAATGGATAACACTTATGGGGTGTCACACCTCCTGCAGACGGCTTGTGTCTGTGACAAAAAGAGGCTATTACCCAATTCTAAGGCGGTTTGCTGTAAAGTAATGAAATTTCCACTGACTGGAGAAAACAATGTTGTCTGGTCTGGATTGTAATTGCAGAAGCCACCTTGCCATTTTTTTTTCCCAGGGTTCAGCGTGAATGCAACACGATTTAATAAAACTCTTGAGATTTTTATCATTTATTGCCAGGCTTGGCAGCAGCGTCAGGGAGCGTAAAGCTGCGGCTCATACAGATAAAACTCATTCAATTTGCTTGTTGAATTTTAACCAAGCTGGGGAGCACTGACATAAAAGAGAGAAACCTGCATGTGACCCAAAAGGACACGTTCATGTGTTGGTCAGCTGTGTTGTTAATGGAAAGCCACGATTTCTTTCATCTAAAAGAAGGAGAAGTCTGGAATTTCTCGCATTTTCCCCCCTTTTATTATTTGTGTCAAGAAAGGGTTGAAAATCTGTGGGATATTAGACCCCGAGGCCAAAGAGCTTCTGTGTGCCTGCCTCTACTCACATACAAAAACATAGGAACATTGACATGAGGACATGTATGGACACACACACTCACAGACACACACACACACACACTCCTAGCCCTGTTTTATTACCTCCTGCCTGCTGCTGGAATTGCTTTCCTCCCTCGAGTGAGCCAGGCAAAGCCGGCTTTATTGTGTTAACCTATTTGTGTGTCAAGAGCGATTGCAGCGTTCTTTATCTCTGTTTGTATTCGGACGGGGAGACGGCAGCGAGAGAGAGCGAGAGGGAGAGAGAGAGAACAGAGAGGGAGAGGGAGTGGTGGAGGAAAGTAGGGAAAGAGAGAGAGAGAGAGAGAGAGAGAGAGAGGGGAGGATGGGGGGTTTGCACAGGAGCCAGGCGAGCCACCGGAGTTAGACGGATGGCCGGTCACCTCGCTGCACTCTGGAGGATAATGACTGGTTGCTTAGCAATAACCCGCCCCCGCCCACTTCCAGACTTGCATCCAGAGTAATCACTTTTTCCTCTAAAAGATTTCGTATATAATTATAAGCTAGCTGAAATCAGCCTAATGGCTCTGTGCTGTCATTTAGCAGAGTGGGTTGAAGGTATAGGGAGCTGGAATTTGCAGATTTCGGTGTTGTTGGGTGGCTGCTTATCAGCTCCTGCTTTTGGTCGGATGCTTAACTGCCTTTATGTGTGTGTGTGCGCGTATGTTTGTATCTGTTTTGCATTTGAGCAGTCGCTGGAGTTTGACCTGGATTACCACTTGGCCAAAGCTATGTTTCCTGCCTCTGTATGACCTTTGACCTGTGTAACGCTGCAGTGGCAACATTCATACAAATAAGACGCTTCTGCATAAGAGCACACATTCACATATTCACTCTTTTTAAAGACCTACCAGAGGCCTTGAGTGCTTCTTCTCATGAGCTCTTAGTTTTATTAACATTTTTATTGAGTTGAACAAATTGCTGACCTTTTGTGGCATAATGAATAGCACAGCCTGCTTAGGAAAAATGAGAGTTTTGGCAGAAGTGACTGGCATCAATCCAAGCTGTTTAACTCATGATTTGCAGTGTGTTTATTCAGCAGGTGACAACATTTAATACAGTTGAGTGTTTTCCCACATTTCAATTCTTTTTCTGCTGCTCTATTTCAATTGCTACTCCTCAGTCAGGTTTGTTCATTTGCGACCGTCTTTCAATTTGCGCTTTTTCTGTCGCGACTTACTATTATTTAAGTGAACTGTGTTTTGCAGAGGCAGGATTATTAAGGTAATAATAATAATGATTCATTTTATTTTTACAGCGCTTTTAAAAACACTGAAAGACGCTTTACATAGTACATAAAATTCAAGTTAATAAGACAAAGACATGAAAACAGTATGATGAACAAAACAGTTAAATATTAAAAGCAATTTTAAATAAGTGAGTTTTTAAAAGGGATTTAAAAGTAGTGGGGTCAGGGCAGTGTCTGATGGAGGGAGGTAGGGAGTTCCAGAGGGTAGGGGCAGCTGTGGAGAATGCCTGATCTCCACAGGTACAATACCTGAACATGACCTCAGCTCCAAATGCCTTTTTATGAAGCCTTTCATGGAGTTTAAAAAAAAGTTTTGATGTTAAAACGGATTTTATGGATCAAGTGAAACGTTTGACTCGTGATTTTACTTTAGACAGATGAATTAAAATTGACAAAAAACCAAAATGTTCTTTTGTTGTTGCATCTCCTTCAAATAACATCAGGGGCCATGTCTGAAAGTTACCCATCTGTGCTCTCTCTTCATATCCCGCTCAGTGCCATCTTTCCTTATCCCAGCTCATGCACCATTGCTACAACTGACAGCTCTGCACGTCCTGGGAACCTCATACAGATAAACTAAACATACAGCGCTATCCCCCACCCCCATCTCCATGGCATGCTTCTGTGGCTGCGTCTATAGGAACAGCTGTCCAGCTGTCACTGCAGCCAGCCAGTCAGCCGCTCTTTGAGGCAACATCTGCAGAGACTGAGCACACAGGAGCGGCCCGCCGTTCCCCGCTCGTCCCTATAGACCAGGGAAGAAGTGTGTCAGGCCTTTTGGCTGCACATTACAGCTGACCACATCAACCGTATCACTGGGTTCTTATTGAATGTTATCTGCTCCTGTCTGTGCCACTTAACTCAGTCCCATGGGGCATCAAACTGTAATTTGTTGTCACCGATTTACAGGGATCTGTAACTGAAGCGTCTCAGATTATCACAACACTTCTTAGAATCAAAGCGCAGGACTGTGCGGGCAAAAAACACAAGACATAATCGTTTCCATTAATAGTCATCTGCCTCTGCGCAAACATGTGTCTGTGTGTGTGTGTGTGTGTGTGTGTGTGTGTGTGTGTGTGTGTGTGTGTGTGTGTAAACAAAATCCCAGCGAGCAAGGTGCAATGGCCTGGAACTGACGAGAACCCACTGGGAGAGTCTCTCCTTGATGTAGCTCCCCCTCCTCATTTTTTCCTCCTGGCAGCGGAGTGACGGTGAGGTGGGCTGCAGGAGGGGGAAGTGTGTGGGAGCGTGTGGGCATGGGAGGGGGGGTGTTCTTGGAGGGGCACAAAGCCATGTGGGCAGGGAACTGAACAGAGCTGTGGTCCCCTCTGTTAGCCACAAACCAGGATCAGCGAGATCACATGGGACTTTCTCCTAGGATGAGCAAACAGCTGTTTTTCTCTTACTCCTTCTGAAGTTCGTTTCCCCCCTTCCCACCCACCTTATCGTCTTCTCTCAGGCTGTCATTAGCTTCTGTCATGCTCTTTTTTTATGGAGGAGTCATCTTTAAATGCAGAAAACACTTTTTTTTTCTGCAGACATGGGTAAGATGTAAATTTGCTCTTTAAAAGTGGCATAATCATTCCTGTGCCTCTTCTCGTTGTTTTTGAGAACTTTTTAAAGGACTTGATTTCTTCATCAGTCCTCTTGGTGACTGAGGGCCTCTCAGGCATACTGTGTGCCTCTCCCACCAGACAGCTGCAGACTCATACAGGCTCTGGGCGAGCTTTGATGGATCCTGTTTACTGAAGCTGAGAGAATGCCTGGGTATCTCAAATTAAGTGTCACTTAAAGCTTGTCTTTTAGTCAGCTTTCCATTTTGTTCCCCCATCTCTTGTGACAGCACTGTGCTGCCAATTGTAACAGGGATTGAGAGGAAGACATTTGGTGATTACACATTCTGTCATGATTGAGGGGTGAAGCCAGCGACTCCAGGCAAAAACCACATTCCATATGGCTGCAGTGAAATGTCTCCACCCATCGTGAGTTACACTCTGTGCTGATGACGGGGAGATCGCCTGCTCATGACTTATCGTTTTATCATTCAAATTTAGCCCATTGATGCTGGCTGCTGTGATTGACAGCCAGGCTTGAAAGCCACAGCTATCTCAATTGAGCCGCAGCAGCCAGTTGGTACCCGTGACAATGGTCTCTCCTCTTTGCCTTGTTTTCACACTTTTTCTGCTGTCACAGAAACCTTCTCCGCCAAGACAGCATCCTATTAATCTTTTAAATAAGGGCCACAGCCCAGCAGTATTGTTTGCAGAAACCGAGAGGACCCTGTGAGACCACAGTGAGAGAGAAAAAAAAAGGGCAACCGAGGCTGGATCCGTCTCATTGTGGTCGGGAAGCCGAGCCTCCTTAAAACCAACAATATTAGAAATCTAATAGCTGCTGTGGAGATAGATGGTGCTGAGGTTTGAGTGTAGCCGACGCTCTCTGGCCCCACCTGATGACTCTGTGGGCTCTCAGCTTCGCTCTCCAGGTGCATTCTGGGCTTTCATCTGCATCGTGGCACTCTGAATAAAAGCCTCTGTGTTTATAGCCATTTTCTTTTTCTATGCACTTATTGATCCCTTTCAGCACAGTTCGAAAAGGCTTTATTTTTTTTTCCATCCTGGGCCCAAACCACATAACAGCGGCATATTCTGAAATAGCAGAACTATTGATGTATTGTGATGTGACCAAGGGAAGGAAGAATAGCAGCTGAACCCTTTGTCCCTCTGTACTTAATGGTTTGAAGGAGGCACAAACATAAATGAAATAAGGTGTCCTTCACAGAAGAACATTTCTTACAACCGAGAGAAAACTATTTGCCTCATTCTTGAAAAGACTCACTGCAGTCTGATTTTATGGAGTCAGCTTTTGTGTTTAATTGGGTGTGATTTGTTAACATTTCCCAAGTGGTTGGAAGTCATTGTGAGTCCCTGTACCTACTTGTCCAGTGTTTGTTTGTTTGTTGAGAATTGCTGCAACATCTTCTGCTCTGTCATGTGTCTCCCTATATGAAGTGGTTTCACAAAGCAAACCTTACCCCCACTGTCTCTACGCTTTTACGTTCATGTTACGTTACATTATCTGCGCTATATAAACCGTGTACATTGCTGTGTTCGCGTTACCTCGGAAGTCAGAAGTCCGAGACATAGACTGTATATACTACGGACAACTTTGTTCCGCCTTCCGCCTGTAGACAGATTTGAAGCCAAAAAGCTCTCGGTAATTCCGCTTTTTCCTCTCCATTTCCTGAAACCAACATTGCGTGGTAGCATTGTGCGCATTCGGCGGGAGAGTCGCTGTGATGACACTCGGCTCAAATCCTCGTACGCCCATAGGCTGTATCAAGTGTCAATCATAGAAAAATGAACCCCCTTAAAACTTTTCAAAATGGAGCTGTACAGATAAAAAAGGACTTGAACACAAAACATTCTTACAGTAACTACATGTCAACATCACAAGCAGGGAGAAAAAATTTTATTCTGTGTAATAAATTTCTAAAGTTGGTCCACAGCTCCATAAGCTTTGCTGGCGGAGGCGGGATTTATGACCTATACTGCAGCCCGTCACCAGAGGGTGCTGTTCTCGGAGTGGCTTCACCCAGCGAGGAGGCAGACGGCGTCCATTCTGGATACAGTCTATGGTCTGAGCTGAAAATGACTTCACATCCAAGTTCCCAGCGTTCAAAGCAAAATCAGAGGCAGAAACAAGATGGCTACATCGAATAACGAAAGTTATTTTAGCGCTTGCCTTGTCCGAATATAAGGCTAGCGCTAAAATAACTTTTGTTGATGTAGCCATCTTTCTTCAGGCCTCCGATTTTGCTTTTTTCCGACTTGGTAACTGAAATGCTGGGAACTCGGATGTGACGTCATTTTCAGCTCTGAACGTTACCCTTACTGGAAGAGAGTCTGACAAGATCTGATGCGCTTGTTGATGACTCAAAACAAGATGAAAATAACGTTTTGTTTTGTTGTGCTCTCACAGTGCTATTGATGCTATGCGCTATATAGACCGTGTATAAGCTTAAACGTTACCTGAGTGAATGAATGCAGGGGAAACACTGGAGTATATGGGACATATGGTTGCAGTGTTTGGCCTCTCTGTAGTACAGGATGTTAAAAACCACCTAAATTTATCAGTCCATTGTGTATCTTTCCTGGTCTCTGGCCATAGAAACCCAGTGAGGCAGTGCAACCTCAGTGACTAATTGACTCTTAGGTCTGAGTCACATAATAGCAAGACTGAAAGTCAATGGAAATTGATATAGTTTCCCCTACAGGGAGCTACAGCTGCTTTGTGATCATCTGTGTGATCATGCATCCATGCATGCGCACACACACACGAGCGTTTAAGCATGTAGCTATTCATAGAAATGTATCCTCTGTGGCTCCTTCACTTTGAAAACACAGCTAATAAATCTATTAAAAACAACTCAACAACATAAGGCCACTATTAAAAAAAAAGGTTTCTGCCACTGTCCTGTCATTCTACAAGGTGCTGCTGGGGGATTATTGAGAGTTTGAACAAAAAGTAAACAGTAAATTAGAGTTTTTTTCTTCCTACTTTAAAAATGACATTTTATTTTGTCGTGGTTGGGACACTGGAGGGTATCCACTCTGGTATTTCATGAAAATGGATTCTCAAGGTACTAAAACAGTTTTGCACAAGCAAAGGTTCACTGTTTCTGTCTGCGTGTTGCTTCACTGCAGAACTTTCTAGTTCTCTGTTTTGTACGTGCAGCTTTTCTGCACACAAGATGAGCAAGTGTCTGTTACGGTTGGTCCTTGAAATGCACTTAAAACCACAAGCCAGTGTTTCCTCTCAACATGCAAATGTGCACATGCAGGGATGTCTTTATGATCTTGTTTGCAGGTTAAACACAAACACTGCTGTCCCAGATTCACAAAAGTAGCCCCCCTCAGCCTGAGTCTGATCCCTGGCAACCAGCCCGAGCGCCTCGTATGCAGCCACGAGCCTCCTTCTTCTCTTCCTCCTCCCCTGCCCATCATCCAAAGACACATTCTCTCAGTTCCTCCACGTTCAAAGTGCCTGCATAGCTTGACAGTGTTGAAGCACACCCCTCCTCCCTAACCCCTCCTCTCGGAGTCGGCACTCTTGACCTGCTGCCCCATTGTTTCCAGCGGGGATGGATGAGCTGGCGCGATCCTTCACTCAATAGCTGCTCCATCTGTTGACTGCGTGACTCTGGGTTACAAGCAGGGATTTTGCTCCGTCTGTGCAAAGTGTGAAAGGAGCTATCTCAGGGGGCTTCCTGAATAGGGGGGTTTAAACTGCAGAAGCTGGGTGTTGTGATGCCCCTCACACTCCCATCCCTCTCCCCTCCGCCCGTCATCAGCCCCACACAGCCGGCTGGGTGTGTGCAGGATGAGAGGCCTTCATTGTGCCTGTTCACAGGCCCCTAGGCAACAGGGTCACCTTGTCTCCAAACAAACGCTGCCCTCAGAGGGATTGTTGGCACTGCATGTCTGCGTTTCTGTGTGTGTGTGTGTGTGTGTGTGTGTTAGAGGGGGAGTGGGTATTTGAGTATAAGAATGCATCATCAGGAAGAGGGCAGAGGCCTTGGCTGTAAGGACATTTATCTAACATCTCTGCCTTTCACATCAAGGCCTATTCAGGACGACCCGTCTGCAACCAGCTTTCAAAGGACGTCCCAGAGAGAGAGAAACACTCAGCTGCCTCACGGGTCAAACTGTTTGCACTAACCGTTTAGACCAACAAGCTGCCCGTGTCATTTTCTTTTCCACTGGCTGAAAGAAAAATGACATTATCTGAGTTTTTTGTGTAATTGTGAAGGAGCGCCTTTTAGACTTCCCGTGTTTTTTCCTTCTGTGAAGGAGAGTGTTTGTGGACAAAAAGAAGCAAATCCGTGTCTGTTATGACTGCTTCTTCACCTTCAGTAATTAATGTTGAAATTGCAGTCTGCCAGACATTTGTGCTGAGGTCCTGTGTCTGTCTGTGTGGGAGTTGTTATTTGGCAATTCCTCCTAAATGAGAATAAGCAAGATTCTGCCCTGTAGGATCCTGTTCTTCCTCATGCATACAATTAACATCAAATGACAGAAAAACCTGAGCTGGAAACGGTTTCGTCTTTGGAAATTAGTCCCAGTTTTTATCATCAGTTCACCTTTTTCTTTCTTTCTACCAGGGTGGTCCAACTTTTTTTTTCTGAGCTCCCTCATCTGCTTCATTTCCTGTTCCTTTTTCCTTTATCACTCAGCCACAGCTCCACCACCGGAGCCTCAACCCCTCAGCTGTCACAGTCTGTCCCCAGCACACCTCTTCCTCCGTTAAGATGATTAAAGCGGTCCCCGATCTGCTCCCCTCATGTCTCTCGCACATGTGTTTCACCTCTACCTCGCTTCCCAGGCTGAGAGACGACATAGTGAGCAACAGTATCAGAGTGAGAAGCAGAAGCTGAGCCCCCTCACCAGACAAGACGGAGTCAAAGGAGGAGGGGAGTGGGTATCTGAGTGGAATGAGTGGAGGTAGAAAACTGCAGTGACAGCAGAATGAATAAATTGAAAAAGTCTCTCATTGTAAATTGTCTATCGCTCGTGACAAACGATCTGATAGGCGAGCGGCCCGGGTTTCCGACGCATCCGTCCCAATAGAGCTGTGAATAACTGGTCTATCTCCACACTGCTTAGCACTGGCCCTGCACTTAATAATTCATACAGTGTGAAATATTTTCCCCGGTAAAGATATGCCGAAGAGCCGCTGCCAGCAAGAGGAGGGGCGTTTGGGGGGGTGGTGTCCCTGTGGTGCTAATTTGGGGGATGGTGACGTGTGTGGATTTCTGAGGGGGCTGTATTTTAGAGGAGACGCCTCAGACACATTTGCTCTCCTGTACGCTCCGTCTGAGCCGGAGACGCAGAGAGTGCAGATGACATTTAACTCATGGATGATCTGCCTGGAACTAAGAACAGAGAGGGGAAATATGTTTCCATTTGAGCTGACTGAGCACAGTTAGGAGCCACTGTGGGGACAAAGAGGTTGTAAACCTGCTAAGTAGTTTTTGCTGTTTGCCTCCGTGAGTGTTGTGGCAGCAGGTTGTCCGTGGACACCTGGTTCATGTCTCCTGTTTCCATCAGCTGACTCCTCCTCCTCCTGCCTCAGGCTCCTGCAGGAGCCCGGAGCGGCTCTCATGGTGTCTGACCTTATTGTCCCCTTTATTCACAGCACTTAGCTCGCACCACCTTTTCTTCTCCGTAATGAACCCACAGCTTTATCAGCCTTCATCATAAAGTGCGCATAGACATGTGCACTCTCGGACTTGTCTGTAATAGTATCATGCCGTGTGGGTCATTTTTGTGTGACGGTGCTGTGTGGTTTTGTGCGGCTCGTTCCACAGCACAGTCCTGTACAAACTGGGTTTTTATGGTTCGCATTCAGGCACTGATACCAATTATGCAAACTATTAAAAATTTAAGGAGGACAGTCTTTTATAATTTAATCCTAAAGTAATAGATTCTATTAAAAATGCATGAGAGGAGCTTTATAGATGGAGCTAGAATTAGTGTCTATCAAAGACTCCAGTCAAGGATGCAGAGGGAATGGGCGGCAGGAGCGCTGCTATTGCCTCATTATTCAAATAGGATATGATTACCATAGAGCAGGAGTCCCTCAGAGCTGAAGCAGAGCTCACTGGTCACTCTGATCACACACAGGAATAGAGTTGAGCCTTCCTGGAGAAGACCACACTTTTTTTTTTTCCTGCTGAAATGAAACCGGTCTCTGGTTTTAACGTCTGAAAATGGGATTTGAAGTGATGTGCGATTTGTTGTGGTTAAAGCGTTCTGTCGCTGAAACGCTCTTTTGTCTTTCCTCGTTTCTCCTCCCTGGTGTTTCACTCAGGATTGTTTAGTCTTGTCCTTGCTGAAAGCATGTCGAAGGTGTTCAAGCATGAAAACAGGAAGCCTGCAGTGCTGTAACTTAATGGCTCATGCAGCTTGTGAGCAGCAGACCTTTTACCGGCCTCAGCGCTCCTCGGTTTACCCCACAGAACTTCCTGGACAGGTGGAAAGCCGAGGGACGACTTCACGAGAGAAAATGTGTTTCTTTTTAACAAAGCAACCATATTTGCACTCCTTTTTTTTGTTCTGTTCTACACTGGCAGGGGAGCTAAACAGTTTTTCTGCATCAGAGGTTTTATGGAGGACAGATAGGAAGTGAATTTCCCTCTGTTGCTATTGTGCCTTGCTTCAATAATTACAGGTGCAGCAATTGAGATACCAAAACTGCCTCTGAAAAGGCTCTGTGCTTATTAGTGTACTGAAAGAAGTGGATTGTAAAAGCCAATAAAAATTGGAACCTCATGAAGCCTATATGGATTTGAAGTTGTGCCTGGGAGGTAAATTCCTTGCCTTTTTGATGTAATGGTTGCCTGTTTATGGAATAAATCCAACAGGCTTAATCGATCATCTCCGTGGAAAGGTCAAGAGGAGAAGCTGTAGTGTTTGAAGTGCTTATCCCGTGGAGGAGCGCCAGAAATGTGACACCTCCTTATGAGTGGGCGGTGGCAGGCAGATTAGTGACGGACAGGGTGGCCCAGGGGGATGATTTAGGGAGATTCAGCTCTAAATACTATATCAGAGAGAGAGAGATAGAGAGGGGGGAAATGTAAGCCGCCTTCCCCCAATCCTCCATTTTAAACAGAAAAGCATATTAGTAGATTATAAAGAAATTTTCCAAAAAGGAAGAGGGGAAAAACACGGGGGTCCCAGCTGAAGGTGAAAGGTGAACAGCAGTTTTCGTGCCTTCTGTTGAGCGTTTCTTGAAGTTAGCGGCCAGTTTCATCCTTCTGCACGCTAATCTAATCTGGAGTGGGTGGCTGTGGGCAGCATCTGTGCTCTGAGTTGAAATCGGGCTTTCTCTCTGCCTAATCCTCTATCCAGGGATCACTCAGTAGGGTGAAGACAATTACCAGCCTGCTTTCTCATGCTAATGGAATCTCTAACTAGATCTTACAGAAAGAGGAAAAAATAGATGAAGGAAGAAGAGAAGCAGGGACAATGGCGCAGAAAGATGACCCAACTAAAATGGGTTTTTAGATTACCGTTTAATTATTGATAGAGACCCAGATGTAAGGCCTAAGGTCAGGATTTGGAGAGGGTTTTCTGAGAAAGAAGATAGATTATCAGGTTATTTTGCTGTGTGTGTGAGAGAGAGAGAGCGTGTATACAGAAGTGTGTGTTGTGTGAGGAAGTTGCTGAGACAGGCCCTGATGTCACCCACATATCAGCAGCTGTGTGCCTCATAGTCTGCCTTTCACCTTTTTATCACCTGCCTCCAGCAAGGTGTCTGGAGTGGTTTTAAATTGCATTAATATGCAGGAATTTATAGATTGCCTCCCTTGGCATTTCTGCGGGGAGGGGAAGAGAGTATTACAGTCTCCATCTGCACTAATTACTGGGTCTTGGCAGTGTTACCTGTCTCTTGTGAAGGACAAACCAAGGCTCAGAGCAGTAACACACAGAGCAGAAGGAGCTCATCTTCTGGGGAGTCTTCAAGAAGATGCATTTCTCCAGGGCCATTTTTGCCCCAATATGTTTGATGTACTTGAGAGCTTTGACGACCATAAAAAATCCCCGCTCGCGACATCAATAAACTAAACTGCTCAGTCCGACTTGCAGCTCGAGCTCAGGCAGAGAAGCTAACAGGCTTTGCACCTGATTTCAGTGACAGCCGTGTGTTCATTCGAACCGTTGTAGTCAAACGTATCAACATATATCTTCTCTTAATCCTGCTGGAAACTTAAATGGACTGTCTCCCGGTGTGTCAGAAGACTTAAAATCACGGTAGCTCAAGAGTAAATCTGAACAGGTGTACACCGATCACCTTGAAGAGAAGCTCTCAAACGTTGAACAGAAAGCAAACATGTATCAGAAATCCTCGAGAGGGAAAGACAATCGGTCTATACATGTGCGGTTATCACAGCGATGACCTTGTGTCTCAATACCCCGCATAGTTGGTCAGACGCGCTGATAACACTGTCCCTTATCAGGCTGCTTTTGTCATGGAAAGTATTTCAAATCATTATAAACTATCAATTTTTCATTCTTACTCTAATCATTGAGCGGTGACACCAAGGACCTTGCCTGTGAAAACAAGAGATCAATGCTTTAACTCTTCCAGTGTAGCAGCCAGGCGGCCAGGTCTCTGCTTAAAATCTGCATGAAGTAACTCCTCATCCTCACTGTGGGTTGCTCAGGTTTCTTTGTCTGTCTTTTGGGCCCGTCAGAAAGACTTCTTGGACTGCTGCTGCACAAACATCTTGCTGCTGTTTGTGCCATCTGTGCCTTTAGCCAGCAGGTGATTACCAACCTCAGCCTCACCTCCCACTTCGTCCAATTGGATTGCGACTGCTGGCACGATCAGGACTGGCTTTCAGAGGCAGCAGGATGACAACAGCTGGATAGCACACATTTATGCAGCAATAGGAAAGGCTGCAATGAGGAGAAAATATGTGCAGGAGGAAAAAAAAAAAAAGGCCTGCTTCCTGTGCTAGCTGTCTTAGCTGTGAGCACTTGTGTCATCCTCTCTTTTCTAGTCCTTAATATCCAGCAGAGCAAAAATGGCTTTGTCACACTTGAGATATATCAAATGAGATCAGTGTCAACATTTCAACGGTGCACTGTTTGATTGCCTTGTGGGCTCCACAACACACTAATGTTATGCATGACTGAGTATTGGATCCATGACACCCTCCGGTGAAAGACGGCGGAGCTGTCCTTTGGACCAGGGGAATTAGGGTCACCTTAGGCCCTGCAGTGAGCGCTGTTTGGAGTCGGGCTTTGGCGAGTAAGAGGAGAAATCACATTGTTTGAATTTAATTATATTCCATTGATTTATTGAACAGCCATTAATAAGCATACATTCTCAGGCAAGGCCATTTTGCGTGAAGGTTTTTCCACGTCTCACTCTCTCAATCGCTCCATCTCTCTCTTTCTTTCTCCGTCTTTCTTTGCCTTCCTCTCGCCCGTTCGCTCCATTTCATCATAAATTGACATAAGCCTTTCTTTGAAGTTCAGGAGCCAAGCTGAGGAATGACAGCACAACAAACAATGAACAAAACACAAAAAGACAATGAACACTGTTTGAATATTCAAGTGAGCCACCGTAGGACGGGTAGAGGGAGAAAAAGAGCCCTTGTTTTATTGTTGTTGTGTTAAGCCGTGAATGGACCTGTCTGGGACAATAAAGGATTGTGTCACATTGGAATTAGAAATTCTGCAGTATCAACAATGCTTTACAAATGGTTTGTAATAAGGTTTACAAAGAAAATATAAATCCAAGCTTGAAAACCCAAGAAGACACTGCTAATTTTTTGGTTGAATTTGAGTTAGAGGTTTGAACGTCCTGCATGTGAGGTGAGGCTAAATTTTTAGCAAAAATCATGACAATAATCACTCTTCTAGAGGGATATTTAGTGTTTAATACAGCCAGATTTGCCGTGCGTGAACAGCAGCTCTCTGGTGTATCTGTGATCAACAGTCTGGCATAAAAAAAACTCTGCAGCTTCTCTCCACATCTGTTCAATATGTCACAACATTCACAGGGTTTCAGTGTGAAAGTGGTTTTAGATGACAACTAACGCTGCTGCCATACAAAACAACACAACAAAGAGCTGAGGCAATAAGAGGAGAAGCGGATGTGTTTCCCCTGTGGTTTGTCTGACAATCTTAAGCCATGCTCTCATTGCTCAAAGTCCCTTGCTGGCATCAGCAGGAGAACAGAGACTCAGTCATGTTGCAAGAGCACCTTGGTTTTGTACCGGGCTGCAAACAAACTGATTTTACTGAGGGGGACTCTCCCAGCGAGGGACGCAGGGTTTTGTTGGGTTTTTGACTGCACATTAGCACAACGAATACACGGTGAAATATGAATAGGAAATACAAGGTCACATCTCAGCCTTGATTTAAGTTGTGTTTGTTGGAGGCGTGTTGTGCATAACATAAATTAGAGACAATAACCCTTTTAAGTGTCTCTATATTTTTATCTTTTTGCTGTTTACATTGAATTTGACTCTTGTCGCGCTGTTTTCCATCTGGAAAAGATGAGTTTCTGTTCCTTTAATATGTACCATGTCTTTACAGCCACCTTTTAACAGTTTACTATACTGTCAAGATCCTTCCCTACATTCTTGTCCCTTTCCTCCTCTATCAAGTCTGCTGTGAGAGCACATTGATGACAAATCTTTGCTCTTTGAAATGTTATTTCTCTTTTCCTATGGACCTCTGTAAGGAGCTCTAAGGTCAAGAAAGAGCAACTACAAAACAGATCAAGTATATAGTCTCCATCATGGTTCACTTTCATTCCACATCTAAACTCCAGGGCTCTTACATGAACATTTTACATGATATCAAAACATGTCCAAGTCAAGTTGATCAGGGATTATTTTACACTGGACACATTGTGTATGTGTGAAAAAAGAAGTGTTCACAACCTTATGTAACTGATCCTCTTGTAAAACCTACCAAAAGTTGCATGAGTAAATCCTCAGAGAATTTTTTGTCTCTGGTTGTTTCCCAGATCTGATGTGGAGGATGCATTTGTTTCCCCTGCTAGCTGGTGTAGCTAAAGTTTGCAGCAATAAATAAGGAGTCAGGCCTTATATTATTTGCATAATGCTGCTCTGGTAGTGGCTGAAGGTGTTACGTTTAATTCATTATAATATCAAATTTTTACCTGTGACAGTCCTTGAGTTTGTACACCCAAGCTGAGTTTTGCCCGCAATCAAACTCACGAGCGTCACTGTATGAATCTGGATCATTATCATTCCTTCCATTTATCTTCATTTACTTTGGCTCTTTGTATTTTCCACGTTTTAAAATGTGGCTGCTGTGTGTCATAATGGCTCACTGCCTCCTGAGCACCATATTTACCATTAATGAAACCTAGCCCAGCACAGAGATGCAGCAGTTGGCTGTGAAGTCAATTAGTCCTCGTTGCTATTACAGGGTTGACATTAGTCTAGGCAGGCGTGTTTTGATTAGAGATGACAGACGACTTGCTGCTATTGGATTGCTAGACATTCCTCACCCTTCATCCCCTGGGTGAAGCTATTGAAGCTGACTGGAATATGGAAAGCTAACAGCTGAGTGTTTTTGCCAAGATGCCCTTCATCTGCAGAAAAACCTCTTATAAATACGACTGTGTGGCAGATGAGAGAGTATAAGCCCCAATAACAGTGACACTCTGCATCGTATATATAAGAATCAGCTGCCAATATGTTATTCCAGCACTGTATATCATGGCAGTAATGCCTAAACTGCAGGCTTTTACACACAATGGCCTTTTGTTGTGCAGGTTATTTATTGTGCTGGTGTGAGGTTGTGCAGAGCATCCAGGGGCTTGTATTGTTGGGGAATCAGTGGCTCTTGTTTGTGGAGCTGGGAGGGTTCACTAACAATGCCTTTTTTATGTCCCACAGTGCGTGCATGTCGGCAAACATCCCCTCACAATTTTTGTTTGTGTGTTGTTTTGTTGTTGGTGTGCTTGTGTGGGTATGGATCTGGGTAGGCGAACATAACCCTCTCATTGTGTGCCATGTCCACACGGGCCTATGTTGTATCAGGTACATGTGAGCATTAGTGTGTTTGTGTTTCCGACATACAGTATGGGTGCAAATTTTTTAGTGCAGCTGTGTGGAAAGTGGTGAGCTGAAGAGCTCTAATGCCAGTCCATCCTAATGGAGCCTTTTACTCTGCCTCCATTCATGTGACGGTATGGTGACAGAGGAGGGGTTGGGGGGGTGTAGGGGGGCAGCAGGGATTAAGGGGGTAGAGGCAGTGCCTTGTTAAAGAAAAAGAAAGGGTTTGAGTGTGTCGATTGGATTAACTTGTTTGGGCTTATTAAGAGGGGAGACACAGCAGCTTGTTAAAAGCACTGCATGGGGCGTCCCACAGTGAGACGGCAGGGTCACCATTCAATTAGACTGAAGCCCCTCCCCCCTGCTCATTGTAGCGGCTGTCTGCCAGGCTCCAGGACCATGGCTGGTCCTTTTACTGGGAGGGGGTGAGGGACTTTTTAAAGCCTTGGTAGGTTTTTCTATTAAAAGCCTAATCATTTTAGGGTGGCTGTTACTCCTGATACAGCACTCAAGTATTGGTCTCATCCCCATAATCAAATTTTGCAGTGTGTTATGTAGCGATTCTTCAAAACCTTTGATTGAATCATTTTTCATTTTGTCTTCTAATGCAAAACGGTGAAAGTATTCTTTCATCTAAAACTCAAGATCCTTCTGGAAAAGGAAGTAGTAAACAAAATAAGATCAAACATACCATCTGCCAATATTCTGAAATGTTTACGTAAAGCCGCTTTTGCTGTAATACTAGGCTAGTTTGTCTGATTAAGAACTTCTTTTGTTGTTAAAATGTTCAATCTTCATTCAGCTAAAGAAAACAAACAACATTTCCTAAGGGTTGTTTAAATGTCATCGTACAGCCGGCTACTTTTTAGCCCTCAATGTAAGTTTTGAGATTGGGGTACCTATGATATCATTTAACAGTTATTCATTAGATACTAGCCTGATTTTTCTATGTAAGAACATTTCTTATAACTGTAAATCATCTTTGTTTAAAATAAAAAATTCATATGTGCGAGTTGTTGCCTTAACATGAAAGCATCAAAACTTTGCCAAGATAAATATTTTAAAATCTAAAATGAAAAGTACTGGTAAGCATCTAACAATTAAGATAATTTGATGCAATATTCTGTGATATAATTTGTAAGAAAATAGTTTCTGATGCTCAGATGGATTTTAGTCTGTACAAAATACTGATTTTTGGATGTAGTACACGTGTCACTAAGATATGATTAAATATGTTAAGATGCGATGCGATATGGTACGATATGATACGATATGATATATGATATGGTATGATACAATACGATACGAAAAGATACAATATGATATAGAATTATAGTCCCCTCTATTTTCTCCTTGGGGGAATTTGTCAACGGCTCAAGTCGTGCACATGCACATACTCCCTCTCTCTGTCTTTCACATGACACATCTACAGCTCAAAACGCATACAAACACACCGTTATTCACCCATGACCACCCTGTTACACCCCGCACTTGGCAGGATGCTTATCTGTGCAGACAGCTTTGGGCACGGGCAGCCATCTCCTCTGATCTCCTCTGCAGTTTAAGAACCTTTTAACTCAGAAATAGCCCTCTGCCGTTCCCACCGTCTCTTGATTCCGGCTTATTCCCTCATCTAGTAGGACTGATCTTCCGCCCCCATCGCAAACCCTGCAGCAGCGTTAGCAGAACGGGAAAGCGCCGATAGACATCCTGGCTTTTGAGATATCCCTGCACTGGTGTAATAGGAGACCAGAGAGTGGATTTGATGAGTGAGTGAAGTGCAGGTGGGTTTTCTAGCTGTGTGAGTACAGCAGCGTATGTGTTTCTCCCTCACCTTCTTAGGGATTGACCCCGGCATGACAGGCTATTTCTGGGCAGCTGAATGATGGGTCATAAGGTTTGGAGTTTCAGGAGATAATTTCCTGCCTCTGATAGACATCTGCTAAGTTGTACAATAAGCTAATAGAGGGAGATGAGGGGAAAGGTAGACATGACAAACAAGCCAAAGACTTGCTCCTTTTGCCTCGCTCTTAAAGGTAATAATAGGAGAAAATTGGTTCTTGAAATTGAATTGAAAAAAAGTGGGTCTCTCCCAGCCAAGTATAATGCCTCAGAATACATTTGGTGAGCCGCAAATGGAGAAAAATGGAGGGTAGTTAGACGATTGTCTTTCATTTCAGAGGGGGGAAAACTGTGGAGGTATCCCCTGTTAAAACCGGCTTTTAGTCTCAATCTCCTCCATGTGTCTCTCTCCCTCTCTGAACCACTATCTCTTAACAAATGGGCTGTGAGGATGGGCTGGTTGTGAAATTAGTATCCTCACAGAGAGGACACAGAGAAAGGATTATGTGAATAGCCCGTAATGAGCTCAAAGTGCTAGTGTGTTTGGGCCAGGCCTGCCTGTGTGAGAGAGGAAATGGCACTGCAAGTGACCTTTTTTTGCTCAAGCACCTGGCGAGAAATAGAGTGGCCCCTGTCTCCCATCTGCAGTGTGTGTGGAAGCGTGTGTGTGTGTGTGCTAGAGTTAACCATCTAAAGATTTAATTTACCAACATTTGTAAGAGAAGAGCCTTTCTGTGGACACATTTTTACATCATCAAGGTTGCGCTTAAAGTCTTGTGTGCTGCTGCTTCTTACAGGTTTTAAAAATACACCGTGACTTAGCGCGGTAAGTGTGTTACACAAGCTTCAGGGTCTGAGGTCAAATGTCTTATGAAAATTGTTTTATTACAAATGCTTTGTAACAAGCTAAGACTAAATTCTTTGGAGGGGAATACCTTTATTTTATTTATTTATTTTTTGCAACACCTGCTTCTACTTTCAAGATGAAGCCAGGAATTCATCCAACCCTAATTATGATACAAAACTGAGTTGTGTTTGTCAAAGATGCTTCTTTCCTTCTTTGGTAATGCTCACTCTAATCAGGTTTGACTTTATCTTTGAGAAATCTCTTTTAATTTTTTACAAACAGAACAGTAAAATAGTGGCAGTAAACATGAATCTGCAGCTCTGAGCTCTGCTTTAAAAACCGAGTAAAGGGTACTGTTAAAGTTTATACAAATGCTCAAATGTTACCGGTTTTGATTTAGGCTAAAGTGGGCTTTAGGAAGGTAATATCCACACTTCTGAGAGGATACATTTTGTAGATGTGTGCAGTGTGAAAAAAAAAAAAGCAGTCTGTTCATATTTTAAAGAGATTTGTGGTGCAAGGTCGGAGGATTGAGCACAGTCTAAAAAGCAGGTAATGCATTAAAGTCAAAGAAAATAACTCTCAGTGTGAGCTTCTCTCTGAAAATATTTGGCTTCAACATTCAATGAAAAATGCAAATACATACATTAACCGCTCTTACTTTAAAGTCATGGTTTTTTAACCTCGATCAAAACATTGCAGGAGCATTTTAAGAGGGTTGGTTTGATTGAATACTTCTATTAGTGTTTAAATATTTTGATGCATTTCAATGCTGATCTATTTTTTTTTTTTTACCTCGCAAATGAGCTCTTTGGACCACCATTAATTTATTTGGTAATCATTGTAATTGCCTTCTTTCACATAAAGAATGATAATCCATACAACTAAGTAATGGACTGATGGCAGGTGGCTAAATGTTCATTTAGTGATTCACTGAGAAAATAAATAATGGCGGACAAGCCTGCGACAGGCGCATGAGAAATCATTTTTCAATAATCTGCCACGCATCATGGCGGGAGACGCTAGCGCTGACAGCACAGATGAAATATTTGCCTCTGCTCTTTGTTTTAATATGGGAGGAGACCGGCTCAGATGGAAACGATAGTGTTTCATATCGATGCGTTTTGGACAAGGGAATTATACACGTCCAGAGTGAAGACGAGGCCGCGAAGGCTTCTGAGGCACTGTAGTGTTATACTGAGTACAGTAAGAGCAAATGTTTCCTGTAACTGAACTACAACGGCTCGAGTCTGGATCCTTATCTTACAAAAACATTTTCTGGAGTGAAATGTTTCACTTTAGCTGTTCTCATCTGGCACATAATCCAAGTAGAAGAGTTTGTAATCAGTCATCATTGTACTTCTTGACACTGCTATGTTTCTCTGATGAATGATACCCTCCATGCTACTCGATTGTTGAGGGTTCTCAGTGAGGGAGCCCTGGGTTTTCTGTTACATATATTTATATATATATATGAGTGTGTCCTGTGTTTCCACTGGGACTCTGATGGGCTTTTTGAGAGGAAACTCGCAGCACTGCCTCCTTCTTCCTGACTGAAGGTGGCTGTGGGGAAAAGTGGGAGAGCAGAGCTGGAGATTTATGGCCTAGAGGGAGATTGATTAGTGCCGTCACTAGCCCTGATGTACGGTTGGCAGTCTCCCCCTCCCAATCCATCGCACACACACATATGCATCCATACGCCTCGATACACAGCTACACACACACACATCCAGACACCACTCGGTCCCCCAGGCCTCTCCTGACAGTCCCCCAGAGCTGTTGCATGTTAAGTTGCAGCAGACAGACTGCTGTTTTCTCAGCATTACCATTTTTTTCTCTGTCCATAGATAACGCCATCAATCACCACATACACACTGCTGCCCTGGAAGGAATGTGCCTGAGTGCTGCTGCTTTCTGTGTGAGCTGTGTGTTTGTTTTGAGGACGGCTTCATAGACAGGAGATGCGGTTGAATGGCTGTGTGGATGTGCTGTGTGGAGCTGCAGAGTGACTGGCCCTGGACTGTGCTCTGAAACCGTGTCAACTGTGCTGCCCCGGTGCAGGTGTGTGTTTATCATTCAGCACACAGAGCTGAGAGGCAGGCAGCTGTAGGCATGCTTCCCCAATTAAATCCTGGGTGAGAAAGCTAGTCTGACGAGCCCAGGGCCAGTTCTTGTGGACTAACCCGACATAGCCAGGAAGGGTTTGACCCTGAATCATCCTGTTTAACTCACTCAGCTCTTCTTTTTTCTCCTTTCTCGCTCCAGGTTGGCCCCAGAACTCCCCCGGCTGTAGTACCGTGCCCACCTCGCCATGCTGGCCTGTCTGCAGAGGAGGCAGAACCCTCCACCCCAGCACCCGATGTGTGCCAGCAAGACCTTGGAGCCCCCACAAGCCCTTGGACGAAAATGTGAGTAAAGAAAGTTATGAGGAATCACAGGGGTCAAGAGTTCAAATCACCGGAAGTTCAGGGGTTGAAGAAGCTTGTGGTTGTGGTTGTGGTTTTCACTAAACCCTCACTCTCAAATCTGTGGTACACCGTGATGGTTGAAAATAGGTTGTGAACCGTGATGGAATAGGTAAAAGAAAAGGACTTTGAATTTTCTGTTGTTTATTACTGAAGAATCCTAAACCGTTCCATTCACTCTGTCTGTACTGGGACTTTGGATGGCTGTGCTGTCTGGCCACTCATTGTGAGGCCTGTTTAGCTGTGCTGATTGTGCAGTCGTGGCAACAGGGCAGAACAGACAGTGTTTAACGTGCCTCACTGGCCCCGGGTGACCCTGAGGGTCTGTAAACATTTACAGTGTCTGGCCCTGGCTGTGCCGGCCGCCTGTAAAGCATGACAGCTGCTCTGTTTGCTCCCAGAGCACCTCCCTCTGTCCACTCACAAAATGGTGTAAAGGGACAGAGACGAGCTAGGGCTGAAAACTGTTCCAGAGACGGATAAACTAGTTCCAACCAGTTTTGGGATTAGAGAGAGTAACAGCAGTCAGGCATCTGGAAGGCGAATTTTTAACTAATTTTGTTGAAGCTGTAAAAAGATAAACCCTTTTTTACAGCGAGTTTTATTTCTTCATTTATTCCTGGAGTCTTTTGTGGCCTTTTGTTTACATGGCAGGCCTACAAGCTAGCTCAACCAAATTAAGAGGTCTGTGGATGGAGAGCAGGGGAACACAAACCTACTAGTTTTACCTCATTTTACAGAGGTTTAGTGGGAATAGCAGGTTCGGTGCTTTTGCAGCAGAGTTACATAGGACTAAGCCTGCAACCGGCCTATTGAAAAGCTTTAAAGACGCCTTGATTGGTGAAGGAATGAAGCACTGCCCTTTCATCAGCCAATTCCTTGTTTTTTTTCTTTGCTCTGTATAGTGTGTGTGTGAAATAGACAGAGGACAAAAGCCATAAACAGATATCTTCGTGCTGAGCGGGATTCAGTGGCCTGGGTCCACTAATGAGGTTTCAGAGAGGTGCAGAGACAGAGAGGTCAAAGAGAAGCGGCGAAATAGAGTTATAGATGGTAAAGATGGAAGAGGAAGGGGGAGAGATGGAAGGGGAGTCCTGAACAGTCGTCTTAATCGATTCCATCCTTCCAATTTTGCAGGATTAGCCCACTTCCTCTCAGGGTCCTTTTATTGAGGCATAGCCAGTGGGAGTAGGGACTCAAATCAATAGAAAAAAAGAACAGTCTCCAGTCCTGCTTTTGCCCTCCCCTCTCACTGACCCCTTTCTCTGACCCTCTCCCTCTCTCTGTCTCACTCACTTTTCCTCCACCTGTTAAACCCTTTGATTGAAAGACTACCACAGCGACTGACTTGAGGTCCATAATGAGGATGTTTGAACATAATAGCCCCCTTTCTGTCCTTGAAAGGGGAGGGGGTAGGCAAGTGTTGGATTTCCATCACTGTGCAGCTCTTGGCCTCAATAAGGCGATTGTTCGTCCAGGCTCAGAAGGGGTGCAGAGGAGCAGACAGTGGGTCTGGCTGCAGAAGTGGGCACAGTAGGGTCAACGTGCAGAGCAGGTCCCTGTGATTGATTGTTTTGCGGCCCAGTTTGTGCCAACATGGAAGGAGGGGGGTTGTGGCTAAGGTGACCTGGACTCTCGACAGGAGGCCAAATACCAGAATACACTCCTCAAAGAGAGTGACTGAGAGCATAGGACAGGGATTACTGGGCAACGGGATCGAGGTGAGCTGTGTCATTTGCATCTGCTGTCCTTTACAAAGAAATGTGTGTGTGTGTGCAAAGATCAGGGTGGCACAGCAGTTGGGATGAGAGGGCGAGGGGGATTTTTAGAGAAAGCCCCTGCATGCAGATGCCGAGTGGCTGCACAGTTCATTGATGCGACTCCCATTAAAAATCCCTCATACCCTCAATAAAAAAGGACTTAACTGGCTCTGCCATCAGCTGGAAGCGTTCAGATCGGCTCGCCAGACAATCAATTTCCCCCAAGCGCACAGAGCTTAGCGGGAGAAACGGGAGGCGGAGAGCGGGATGTTTCCATTATCACAGCCCCGCTCTGTGTCTGGACTCGGGGGGTTGGGGGGGGGGATAGGGTGAGGTACTGTAGTGCTGGAAGTGCAGGGGGAGAGAAAGGGGGAGGTGGAGAAAGACAGACAAGTGGAAGAGAGCGAGAGAGAGGCAGACAGAGAAGCTGGCTTTTCAAAAAGCCATTGACCGCCTGCCCTTAAAAATATCATGTTGGATTAGTCTCACAGAGGCGGCCTTTTGATATTTTTTTCTCTGGCCGTAGATTTAAAAGAAGTGCAGAGCATTACTTGAATTATAAATCATAAGCACTTGCTTTCTCTGCACCCAAATTCCACGCGTATGTGGCTGCACTCTCTAGTGCCAGCCCCTGTCATTTTTAATTAAATCCCCCCTTATGGGTGACATTTGTAGTCGTCCCCCTCCCAATCCTCCGTCCTCCCTTCCTCATCTCTCTACCACTGCCCTAGATGAAGACATGAAAGGCAGGGACGGCAGCAGAGCCAGGGCCTCTCATCCTGCTGCACCCCAGAGAAGGGGCACCCATCCAACAGATGAGAGAAAAAGGGCCTGCGATGGGGAGAGGGGTGAATGGATGTTACTGACCCTGGCCACCCTCAGGCAGCGGTGTCCTCCTTTGCCGTCTTTGCCTCTTCTTGATCGTCTCCCTCTACTGTGGGTCTAAGGAGTCAAGGGAGAGAGATGCACCAGTCCAATGAAGAGTAACACCCCCACCACCTTCTCTACCATGCTGCCTCCTTCCTGGCTCAGACAGCAATTACTCTGCCACATGTCAGCGAGGGACTAACAGGTCCAGAATCCTTCAATTCACTGCCTGACAAGGAGATTTCTGCTGGCCTATCACACCAAATAATATCATTGCAGATATCAGCACATTTTCATCTGTTCATTCATTACTTACCTTTTATTCTGTGCCAGGAATGACGTGTTTAAGACCTGGGATTGCATATTTTTGTTCTGTATTCAGCCCCATCGCAGGTTCTGTCATTATTACCACACAGCTTACTCCTCCTCCAATATGTGCTCCATAATTGGAGGTTTGGGCCAAATCTGCCCTTCTTTTTACATCATGAAATACTCATCAATTCTAATTTTAGCTTTTAAGTGGCTATATGCTAATCTTAGCTGAACTAGCCAAAGGAAAATCAACTGTGTTTTTTTTATACTTGATACACAGTATAAACATCATTAAATCTCCACCATGTTACCTGAAATAATGACCTCTTTTCAACGAAATTTAACTTTAATCCCACTGCCATGACTTTTGTACGACGGAGTATTGGCCACATAAAAAAAAAAACACTTTGAGATTAATTTACGAGAATAATTTCATAATAAAGTAATTACTTATGAGAATAAATTTCTTATAAAGTAATTACTTACAAGAATAAAGTCGTAGTTAAGTAATCACAAGAATGAGGTCAGAATAAAGTCATTATATTCTATATTCTAACCCGTTGTTTACAATGACAGTTGTTGAAGTGAGAGCCATGGAGCATTCCGTGAAAAGGTACTTCAATATCGGTTTCTCAAACAAGGAGATACTTGTGCTTCAAGTTACCTGGGAAGTCAAATGTCGGAGCTGAAAATGACGTCCCTCCGAGTTTCAGTTACCAACTCGGAAATAAGCAAAATCAGAGGCCTGAAACAAAATGGCTACATCTACGAAAGTTACTTTAGCGCTTGCCTTATATTCGGACAAGGCAAGCTTAAATAACTTTCATAGATGTAGCCATCTTGTTTAAGGCCTCTGATTTTGCTTTTTTCCGAGTTGGTAACTGAAACGCTGGGAACTTGGTGTGACGTCAATATTAGCTCGGATTTCTGACTTCAGAGGTAACTCGATCGCAGCATTAATCGTTTGGCACATCAGCAACACATCATCATGAGTAACGTAATGATTTTATTACAACTTTATTCTCATAAATTAATGACTTTTTTCTTGTCGTCTACTTTTTTTTTCTTAATGTGGCCCTAACACTTAGTCGTACTTTTGTAACCCTTGTAAGACAGAAACCAGTTTTCTGATCAGTCAGCAGAATTAGTCCCAAACGTGGCCTGTAACAAAAAAGCACATGTATGTACACACGCACAAGCACACCTGCAGCTGTAACCGTCTGCATTGCCAATCAGCCCGGCACAGATGAAAAGTTCCCAGAAGGCCTGATATCCCAGGTTCATGCTGTGTCAGGCCAGGTCCTCCTCCCGCTTGATGGACAGAGACAACCTGGTCGTGTCTCTCAGAGCCTTAGGACATGACACAGAGGTTCATCTGGGGATTGTAGTTTTCCTAATAGCCCCATGCCTGTTCAGACAGAGCTGCCAGAGCCATTAGTTTGCTTTGCTTTTAGCAGCTCCTCTTCCTATAAGCCCCACTTCCTGTGAGAGGGAATATGCTCAGGTAATGACCTCCAGCCACCTTTCCTCCACTGTTGTCTGAGTCGCTGTGAGACATAACAGGGGAATTAGCCGGCCATATCAAATTGCAGCAGGTTACTCCGCCGCCTGTTATGTAGAGGGAAAAAAGTGGGGGCAGCTGAATATTTAAAATTGGTCACCAGCAGCTGCAGAAATAGCAACCTTTTCCCTGATTGCCTCAATACCCTGGAGGTGGGGGGCAGAAAGTGGAACCGAGGGAAAAAGAGCCAGAGTGAGCGAGAATCTGCATGCACTTGACCTTTTCCTACTGATTGAACCACCTCGTTTCTAACTCCCATTTGGAATTCCAGAGAGTGCCCACAGAGACTGTCATTATTCCTCAGTCTGTAGCAGGGAAGCAGAGGTCAGGAGGTGTTTTTCATAATGAAAGGTGATTGACAGCTGTCCAAGGCCTGCCTCCTCCTGGGTGCCTACTTATGCAGTGTCATTTTGGGGAGTGCTGGGTCCCTGCAGCTGCATGAGGAGTGTCATCACACTTTCATCACATTGCTATATTGCAAATCCAGAGCATTAATAGAGTTTCACCTTAACTCAGGAGGACAGCCACGTGATATTGATACTTCTAGTCTTACCTCATACTACAGAGTCCTTTGTCATGTTGGCGTCGCAGCGCTGGCACACACAAGATCATTTCCGGCTGCTGGCATCCCACAGCGCCATGCCTTCCCTCTGCCCTCTGCCTTCTGCTGTGAACACAGGGGGCCAAGCAATCTTATTACCTCGGGTGGTGAGCTTGAGGAAAAGGGGCTCTGCTTCAGTTTTGGGTCACAGTAGGACTTGGGATGAAAAACAGGTTCCTGGTTCCAAAGCCTTCGAGCTGGCATTTGGGCATCCCAGGTGCAAGGCAGCGACACTCTCTGTCTTTGCCTGCCAGAGAGCGGGGGAGGAGGGTTGGGGGGGATGTGAGTGAGGGTACAGAGAGTGTCCGCGGTTCCTCGCTGTCCCACAGGAAATGACACGCAGTCTGTGCCATCTCAGAGCTGAGCCCGCCACAGACTGACCATGAGAGGCAGTCAGGAGGTGCTGCACATTCCTGGCACACTGCGAGTGTATCTAAGTGGTCTCCTCATACAAAACTCTGAATAAAAATGTGCTTTTGGAGCCAGCATTTGGACTTTAAAAGTGTGTTTTATCCTTCGAGCCAGATCTACAGCCTTTAACTGATCTAACTCTTTCCACATACTTAATGCAAATTGTTCTTAAACTACAGCACATTTAAGAATCCAGAAATTACTGTCTTCATGTTTGCTAATCAATAGATGTAGTGTATAATAGTATGTTGTAAAAATCTTGTTAGTTTACTCAATTATACCCTCTCACACACACCTAGATTGGTTTCAAGGTGAAAATGAGTCATTTGGTAGTCACACATTTGCCTGGAATAGAAAAAGAAGTGATGTTTTATAACTGAGAACATCAGGGTTTGGTGTTTCGGTCTGAGTCAGTCATGAGGGTGCACAAAATTTTTATACTGTCTCTGGTTGTGGTTTTTCAGTCCACTCTAATAGCGCAGAGGATTTGGCGGGGAAAGCATGGGAGTGCAAAGTGACCACAACACAATGTTGATATTATCGCTCCTGTGGGACATTTTACTTCACTTTCTGTGGTTTTGCATGTTAAGCTCATCCATTTACATTCAATGATTGCAGACGTTTTTCAGGCATGAGGAAGGATTCGACAGATTTGTTTGGTCAGAGGTCTTGGGTTAGGTTAGGGTGTGTCAGTTTCATATTTTGGTTCTCTGATCCTTTGAACAGATTTCTAACAACCACTTTTGAACTTTTTCTGAGTTAACCCTGGAGGAAAAGCAGCCTATTAAAGGGATAAAAATTGACATATATTAATTAAGAAACATTACACAGCTTTGAGCAAAACTTAGAGTACTTCTGTGCTTCTTTTAAATCCTTGCTCTATCTTTTTTAGATTAAAATGTACCCATTTATCATTTCCTCCTCTCCTCTCCTTTCTTTTACTCTCCTCTCCTTTCTTCTCTTCTCCTCTCCTCCCCCCTCCTCTCATCCTTTCTTTTACACTCCTCTCCTCTTGTCTCCTTTCATCTCCTCTCATCTTGTATCCTCTCCTGTCCTCTCCTTTCCTCTCCTCTCTTCTCCTCTCTTCTCTTCTCCCTTTGTCTCCTCTCCTCTCCTTTCTTCTCCTCTCCTCTCATCTCCTTTCCTCTCCCCTCATTTCTTCTCCTCTCCTCTCATCTCCTTTTTTCTCCCCTCCTTTCTTCTCCTCTCCTCCCCTTTCCTCTCCTTTCCTCTCCTCTCCTCTCCTCTCTTCTCCTCTCTTGTCCTCTCCTCTCTTCTCCTCTCCTTTCCTTTCCTCTCCTCTCCTCTTCTTTCCTCTCCTCTCCTCTCATGTCCTGTCCTCTCCTCTCCTCTCCTGTCCTGTTCTCTCCTCTCCTCTCTTCTCTTGTCCTCTCCTCTCCTCCTCTCTTGTCCTCTCCTCTCCTCTCCTCTCCTGTCCTGTCCTCTCCTCTCTTCTCTTCTCTTCTCTTCTCTTCTCTTCTCTTCTCTTCTCCTCTCCTCTTCTCTTCTCTAATCTCCTCTCCTCTCCTGTCCTCTCCTCTCCTCTCCTCTTCTCTCCTCTCCTCTCCTCTCCTCTCCTCTCCTCTCCTCTCCTCTCCTCGTTGGCATGTGTACTGTAGCCGCCTGCCTTGTTGTCTGTGCAGTGTTAAATATTAATTGGGAATCAGTGGAGGACTTGTCTCCTAAATGATAGAACAGAAGGGCCCAGGCTTGCCTAAGGCAGCCTGCAGGCGCCTTTCTTCTTCCATTTACCTGCAGGCCTGCGCACCAGCACTTCCACCAGTCTGACAGGCCTGCTCGGGCGCCTCCAGCCTCCCCTCTTTTCCCCCCATCTCTCCCCCACTCTCTGCCTTTCTTCCTACTTCTCTGCTCTGGTTCCTTTTCTTATCTCTGTATACGCTTACAATCTCTACCTCTGGGGTCCTTAACTCCAAACCTGTGCTTGTGTGTATGTGTGTGCGTTAGTTGTGTGTTTATGTGTGAATGTGTGTTTGTGCTGTTGTCAATTTGAGTTTGTGCACAACTTGCTTTCGGCTGTTCATGTAGCCCTTTGAGAAAACAGTGTCACATTGTGACATATTCTCTTAAAGACAGGACAGGGAGGGTGAAGCATAAATGTTTCAGGTCAGGATTTAAGCTTGTTGTATTTCTGTGTCTTGTACTGCTCTCTGCCTCATCGCTGATGATTTAATCTCTGTTTCTGCTTTCTGGCGTTTTCCCATAACCACCATAACCGGCCTCGCCGTTTCTTTCTTCTGTGAGCCGTCTTTTGTTCCTCTCTATCAGCCGTATCATCTGAAGAAGTCTACCGAGTCAAAACAACCAGCAAGGCACCAGCTGTCTCTCTCTGCGCTGGCTAGCTTAACTTGTGGATGACCCCTCTGGACTGACATATTTCACCAGTGGAGTTTTTGTTTTGGGAATTGGACCAGTCCAACCTGTTGTTGTATTTTGCCTCTCTGTGTTTTTGCACTGGAGCACAGCTTTCCACAGGGTTCACTCAGGATGTTTTGTTGAGTAAAGGGGGTTGGATGTAAAATAGAAAAACCTGGAGAGGGAGCAGAGGGCAGCAGAGAAGCAGCGATGTATCTGGACCAGAAAGGGGGCCGTGATGGTGGTTTTGAATGTGGGGGGGTGGGCTTTGATGCCATAGGAATGAGTTCACAGGCTCGTGAGCACAGGCCTAATCGCACATGACAATATCGGCTGGTGTGCCAGTCGCAATGCATAACCGCCCGCTGCTTGTGCTGACTCGGGGTATTTGCTGATAAAGCTCTGCTTTCTAGACCATGCTGTATGCACAATGAGGGTGGCCCAGGCAGTCCTGAGGGCTGGATCATCGCAGGCAGCCCACAAACAGGGGAGCCCAATCCAGACAGAATCATGGCCTCTACTAAGCCCTTTGGCCAGACTTGATTATTAAACAGAGAACAGTTTGTGATGAATATAGTTATTTTTTACATCTATTATCTATCATGCCGCCCATGAATTATTGCTATGGAAAGCTGCTGGTAGAACTCATGCCTGAAATGAGGTCGTGGCTCTTTTCACAGTTTGAAATATTCAGGGTTCGTATTTTTTTTTTCTATTGGATGCTTTTTTCGGCTGTCATGGGAACAAACATGGAGGTCACTCTTTTTTTGTTGGGTGGTTGTGTTTCTGGAGTGCACTGTGAGGTAAACATGTTGCCCCAGTTTCTGTGTTTGTTTGGTGCACGGGTGTCCCACAAAAGGCCTGACATGGCTGCTGGCCTGCATTCCTCTGTGGCTCAGAAAGGGACACAAACTACACACAGTTGTTGATTCTGCTGGACAGTTGGCTCGGTCATCAGTAATTAACACGTGCACATCTCAAAGGAGCTGTTTTTTTTTTCTCTGTCAATTGTATTTTTTGTGTTTATAACTCTGACAGGAATAGAGAACACTCAAAGCATTCCTGACAATATCCAAGAGTAAGCTATGAAGGCTGACAGACAAACTAAAAAGGATTTCTCGCATTTAAAAAAAATAAAAATGTGTGTTTTGTATTTTAAAAACCCGTCTTCACAAAAGGTTAGTTGAAAATAACGTTTTAATTTAGAGTCAGTGGGTCCGCTCCTGCGCCGTCAGTGGTGTTAATGGGGCAGGAATGCAGGATGAGCGCTTTCCCACGCTGTTAGTTTTCTTCTGCTGGCCGTGTTTGAGACGAGGCTCTGGGCCGGCAGTGCTCTGCTAATGCAGCCAGAGTGCAGACAAATGGAAAGTGACACTTGTGTGTGTAGAATGGTATTTGTGGTGACGCTTTGACTACAGATAATAAAGTGTTCGCCCTGAGGTGATTTTGCCCGGCGAGCGCCCCAGATGAAACTCACTTACTCAAAGAGGGAGATGTAGGGGAGAGAGAGAGAGACAGAGAGAGAGAGAAAGAGAGTGGGGAGGGAGATGCAGCACTGGAAGGATGAGGAGACAGATAGAAGGGTTGAGGAGGAGGGGATGAGGGGGTGTATAGACACAGATTGGGTAGGTAAGTATTGTAAGAGACAAGGAAAGCAAACAGAGCAGGTGGAGGATGAAGACGAGGAAAAGCAGTGAAAAGATCATCCGCATTAAGAGCACAAATATCACCATTTGGGTCAGAAGATGAAGAATTCTGGGATTATTTATTATATGTGTATGACAATTATTCACCTGCTTTGAAGGGTGATATACAAAGAACATTTTAGCACGTCTATATGTTTGATTTTGATGTTCGGTGTGAAGCTTTGCTATAAAAAAGAAGCACGTCTGGCTCGAAAGCTGGCAAAATGTCAGGATCAACTGTTGGTGGTAGGATCTGTGAGCGTATGTGTCTTTGTGAGTGTGTGTTTCTGCCAGGCCATGTGCACAGAGGAGTCCTTCAGGATCAATCAATTCTCAGTAATTTCCCCTACAGCCCATAAAAGCCAGGTCTGTCTGGAAGGAGCACGAGGTTGCCACATCAAACCAGCTAATTAATTTTCATGGCTGATTCAGTAACATCTGGCTTCAGAGATAAATTCTAACAAGAAAATGTAAACATGACAGTGTCCTGGTGGTGTAATATTTCACATTTCTTGGGAGGAAAGCTTATAAAAGAAACCCTAATTAGCTGTTTTTGATCTCACGCGTTGTCCACTATCACATTGGACACATATAGGGAACTGTGAAATAATTAAAATATTCAAAGACACACAAGCAGAGCGAGTAGTTCAAACAGATTTGGTTTTTCCTCTGCTTTTTTTGGGTGCAATCTGTACCTGTGTGCACCCTATCTGTGTCTCGATGTACTGTATGAACCGCACACGTGCACCACCTCTCTGCAGGCTCACTAAATGACCTCACGCTGCAGTCTGTGTGAGAAGGCAGCCACAATTAGGCACTCAATTTAGAGTTTCTTCCATCTGCTTGTGCAGGAAATAGGATAGATTAAATCATAGATTAGATTGGGTTTAATGAAATGAGAGATTAGATATGGGAGTTTTGTCCAAGTTCTCGCTAAAAATCTCTTTTAATGATAAAATCCATTTTTGACATGGGGCCATGTCTGCGTGCTTGTGGAGGATCAGTGTGCAGATTGCTTTAACATTCTTGTTATCCTCTTTGCTGTTTGTGAAACATGCTGGTACGTTAAAAGCCCAATATGTGGTTGCGGTATTTAGCCTCTTGTTTTGGTAAAACTACAGATTTAACTCACACGGTGAATCATCCAGTGAAATTCTTTGCTTATTAAGTGTTGCACGTTTCATTTCAAAGTTAAAGTAAGCAAAGAAATAGTTTTTTCAGTCTTCAAAGTACAGATTTTGAAGGGATATTCCGGTGTAAAATTACGTTAAGGTCAAACACCAAGTTAGACACCCTGTCAAGAGATGAATGTTGCTGACAGCTTGCTTCTCTAGTTATACCAACTTTAGTAACGACCGCAGGATAGCAATACACAGCAGTCTCAGGAGAACATAAAAAAACCTCAATCAAAACGCTACTCTATAGACACAAATAATGCTCAGAACAGCACCTAACTTCATCAACAGTACATATAGGGTCCCAGCCATAGTACTAGCCACCAAACATCTTTTTAGCTTTGCCTGATTCTTTAGCAAAGAGACTAAACACAACTCAACCACTCTCTTCCAGCAGCCGCTTGTTTGAAGTAATAATCACCACATTAATCATTTTGCACTGCAGACACAGTAGTTCTTCTGCCTTAGCATCTTGATCTGATTGCATTTCCATGAAGAAATGATCATAAATGTTCTTCCTTGAGCTGCGTCACACTGCTGCAGTCTGTAATGGACTCGCCCGAGGTGTCCGCACAAAAAAGCGGCTGCTGGAAGAGAGTAGGTGAGTTGTGTTTAGTCTCTTTGCTGAAGAAATTAGGCAAAGCTAAAAAGATGTTTGGTGGCTAGTACTATGGCTGGGACCCTATATGTACTGTTAGGTGCTGTTCTGAGCGTTATTTGTGGCTATAGAGTGGTGTTTTGGTTACCGCTGTATATTGCTGTCGTGCGGTTGTTACTAAAGTTAGTATAACTAGAGAAGCAAGCAGTCAGCAACATTCATCTCTCGACAGAATGTCTAACTCAGTGTTATGGTGTGTTTGACCCTAACTTAATTTTACGCCGGAATATTCCTTTAAGTTACAATAAAATGAGAAGGCTGGAAAAAGTTATGTATAGACCACGTTTTCTTCTGCACCGTCTCACAGTAAGTTTGATGATTATGATGACACAAGCAGCCACAAATTCAGACGGCTCTATCCTCTGAGAAATCACTGCAGTTTGATTTCTATCTTTGTAATTATAGATAGCAAAGGCCTGCTAAATAATTGCCTTGATTTTTTTTCTCTGTTGTGCACAAAAAATCAACCTTGAGATGAACAGAGGGAGATGAGTGTTCCTAAAAATGGCTTTTCTGATATCAGGCAAGCAGCAGGGTTTCCTTTCCCGACACGTGCACTTGAATTGATTAGCACTCTGGCTGAGGGCACATTCAACATGTCTGCCCCCTGCGAGGCTGCACTACCCTGTTGATCACTGGCTCATACATGTGCTTCCTCTGCTCCCTCACCCCTCAGGAAGCTCCTGCAGGGCTCTGAGGCTTTGATTGACTGGCGGCCGAGACCACGGGACACCTCTATTATTATCATCTCTACCTCTGCGGAGGGGCGGGGGGCTACGTCCAGGGGGTCTGGCCCACAGCCCCTGCTTTGTGTGCCCGATAGTCAATTAGAAGCCGCGCACTGCCGGAGACGAGTGGGATGCAGGGTTAATTGCAGAGGACCAAACAGCTGGCTCTATCAGGGCCCATTGTGTTTGCAGCAGTTGTCACGGCAATTGAGGCCCGGCTGTAATCGCTGACTAATCAGCCTTGTGCCAGATGACACCTCCATTAGCACAAGGCAGGTATTGTTCAGGACGCAGAGCTGCCTCTGGCTTCCCCCCTGCCTGCCTGTCCTTTTACAGCAAACTAACGGAGGTGGGGAGAGGATGTCAAAGACCCTGATCCTATCTGCTGAGAGCTGAACAATAGCTGCGGGTCAAGGGTTTCTCTGTGGATCAGTGCTGCTTCAATCTGCCTTTTTCTGGGCTGGCAAAAACACATTCAATGGGTCGAAATTTTTCCAAGCTGATTATAGTTTGAGGTAGTTGCAATTTTTTCACCATGAACTTTTGAATCTGAATTATGTCTTTACAATCAACTCACAGTGGCAATCACTGGTGGAATGTATTATTATATACAGAAGGGAAAGGCACCCTGCCGGTACAGTGTTATAAAATATACAGTCTCAGCTCAGCCAGCCCAGGCAGATAGATATCCACCACATTCATTTAAAGTAAGTTTGTCCTCATCACTCCTCCCAAGGGCTTTCACATTGGTGGATTAATGTTTTTCGGTTTGTTGAAAGTTTTATGTCCTTGCTTTTATATGCTATGTCTTTATTTGGAAAGGATAGGACAGTGAACAGAGCAGGAAACAGGAAGAGAGGGTGTGGAGTGACATTTGGAAAAGTGGCCACAGGTCAAATTTGAACCCAAGCGTACCCACTTGAGGACTACAACCTCTACTCGTTAGGTGTGTAAGTTAAAGTCCCACTCTGATTATTATGAAGTTTTTAGTCAAAATCACATTACCTGTGTCATTTTCAAGAGCTTTTCTTCTGCAGAGTTCCAGTAGCTCATTAGCAATTCACCTCTGAGTCGAGGGTGGAGACAGCGCTGCTCTGCACACTTTTCCTCGGGTTAGCTTGAAGTCTAATATTGCCAGTGTAGTAGAAGAAACAGGTAACATAGGAGCTATTCAGCTCATGGACACTATTTTCCTTCGGGGCATGATGAAAGTTAATATCATAATTAGCTTTCTTACGAGCATTTCAATCCGCTAACGCAGACGCTTATTCTGCGATTGTCCTCTGTATTTCTCTGAGCCTGGCCTGCATAGCGGGACTCCGGGGGCGGAGCTTGGATTGGTTACATATGAAATCTCACTGCATCTGATCCTGCCGTTTGGGTCTGCCAAAGATTCACAGCGACTTGAATGCAGAAATACTTAGAAATGCAATTTCACGCTTCTTTTTCTCATGATTTGTCCTCTAGTGTCAGAAAAATGCCATATGAACATGTAGACAACAAAAAAATCATGATTTTCATCGGAGTGGGTTTTTAACCACCAGACCAAACCAGCAGCCCCATTGGAGGATTAATGTGAGGCCACTGTGATCTATTTAATATAAAGTATAGACCAGACCTTTGATAATGTTTCAAATTTTAGATGGTAGGATGTTTATTTAACGTGTGAATCAGAGCAGCTGCGAATGTCCTCTCTTTTCTCAGTAAGTGAGTGTTTGTTAACTTTAGTCTGGACTGCTCACCTCCTGTTTTCCTCTATCTTCCCGCTAATCTCTGCTCATGTTGTTTGTCCAAACCTCGTTGCTGACTGGTCTGTTTGTTTGGTCAAAGTTAGTGTGTACTCTGTGGACTCTGTGTTCTGTGAAAACTTAATTGCAGTTCAGCCAAATGGTCCTCTCCCTTCATTTAAACTGCACTTTTTCTCTCCAATATACACGGTCAGAGTGGATCAAAGTGTGTGTGATAAGTGGGGATAGCAGCTTGCAGGAGTGAGTGAGAGAACGTTGAGGGCTTTTTGATGTGTGGCAGAGCTTTCTCGACTAATAAGAAGAAACTTTTCCAGCCTCCCCATAATTTTAGAACACTTGGAACACTAATAAATGGGAGCAAGGGCATTTCAGGCGGTTCTCTCTGACTTTTTCCTCTGCTTATTCATTTAAACCTCTAATTAAAATGCAAAGCATTCTCATGGTCCTCTGGATTTGGTGCTGCTCTCTCGCACAGCCTCTGACTCCCTATCTCCTCTCCTTTTTTTTTCCACTCCCCTGCTTCTCCTCCTCCTCCCTCCTCCTGCCTTTCCCTTTCCACCTCACCTAACTCCCTGCTCTCATACTCTTTCTGTCTGCCTCTGCTTCTTGTGATCAACACAATTTGACCTCTCACTTGGAAGAAGTGCACAGAATTTAATGGATTTTTTACAGTCTAATCTAACCAGTTCCCTCTTTATTGCTGTTTTGTACCCAGTGGACCTCATCTTTACCAGGCCTCCCCCCACCTCCTCCACCCTCACACCAAGAAAATTAGTTCATCAGAATTCAAAATGTACTGCTAGCTAATTAAAGGAGTGTTAATTGAGTGTTCAGAATTGGGTACCCCTTCACCAAACACATTCAGACACACACACAGACATACGGGCATGCACACACACACACTCACACACACAGACACACACATGCAATCACAGTGACAGCACGGGGTACACCAAGGACGTCGCGCTCGGGGAGTTTCATGCCAATCAAAAATGGAGAGAAAGGAGAGTGCCCATCCTCCAAGTGAAATGGGATTTCTAGATCATATCAAGGCCTACTGCGGCTCAGTCCGGCTCTGTGCTGCCATGTTATCCTATCCCAGCCTTGGCTATCTCTGTCTGCCCGCTGGAGAAAGTAACAGTGCACAGATAGAGTCTCTCACTGCGTGCATGGTGCTAATGAGGGGTGGCATTTAGAGATGTGCTGCTCTGACACATGGGCATTGTGTGCCAGGCACTGGGTGATTAAGGACGAAGGTCAGCCCATTAATTGCCTCCCTGCCATCTCCGCTCCCTGGCGCGTGATCTCTCAGAACTAATGCATGTGTTTGCCTCGGCTTTTATCTCATCTTCAATGCAGTTCAATCATATGCTTGGTTTGTTTACATTCTTTTCATGTGAAAGTTTTCCCCTGTACTTATTGTAAAAGCAGTGCTACCTAGCTCTGGTTTCCCTGTGCTTGTGCTGTTAGCTGTTTGGTGTGCTTGTGAGTGTGCATAGCCTCTCCTGCTCTCAGGAAGGGAAAAAGCATATTCTTCCATCCCCAGGGGAAATAATTAATCCTTACAAGGCTGTCGCATGTCGAAATGAAGCGAGTGTGAAGCATTTAGCCCAGGAGGCATTGCAGGCTGTCGCCTGCGCAGGCACCTGTTGTTGTCCCTGCCCTACATTTCATGAGAGAGTGCTGAGCAGGGGATAACAACATGCTCCACTGATGCTAAATGAGACACACAACTGCGCATGCAGGCTTGGGTGTGTATGCATTTGTGAGTGTTTTGCCTATATCTCTTTTGTGTTTTTGTGCTTTTTGTTTGCATGCACAACCATGCTGCAGAGTGTGCACAGGTGCAGGAAACCCCCCACCTTATGAGGAGGTGAGGGCTCACACAAAAGAGGCAGCGCTGGCTGCCTCAGAGGTTGTTTATCAGGCAGTACCATCTGTATGCTGCTGCTCAGAGCTGTGATCTACTGCAGCCTGAACCAATAAGTCACAGAGCACCCGCCTAAAAAGAGACTCTCTCCTTTAACCTCCATGTCCACACTTATAGACTTAGTGCTCTGGAGGAGAGAGATGTGGAGACCCTGCGCATCAAGCACACAGTGTGTTTGAGAGCCTGTGTATGAGAGTGAAATTACACCCCGCTTTGTGACCGTACTTACTGTAATCAAGTTTGCTGTAAAATTTAAACCATGGAACTTTTTAAAGAGGAAGCTGGAATCAGAAGCATCCAGATGCTCATTTGCCTCCTCCTTCTCTTCTTCCTTTATGCCTGTGGCTTCTAATAACCGGAAGCCTTTGTGGAGCTGAGATGGGTTTTGTAGGCCTGAAAGGCCTCTAATCCCTGTGGCCTGTGAAGTGTGAAACCCTTTGATGCCAGGTTGGTGTGCCAAAGGCTCTGCCTATTGACAAACAAGGGCCAAGCTGGGAAAAGGGGGAGAGGGCTTTCTCATTTCTCAAAAAGAAATGCAGGCTCAGGCATGGAAAATATGGACTCAGTCAGAGAGAAGGAATAGAATTAGCCACCCTTTAATGAATTTCCTGGCTGTTTTTATAGTTTTTTTTCCTCATGTGGCAGTAATTAGGTGGAATGATGGGCAGATTGCAGCTGGGGGCTCGTAGGGGCGGCAGGGCACAGGCCCTTGATATGCCTGAAAGCCAAGTATCTTCCCTCATTTAGACCATGTGATGATCAAAGACAGTGTTTTTTTCGCCCTCATGTAAAGAAGATCAGAAAAAATGCTGCCATTCCATTTGCATGTGGATCAGCAATGTGCTTTGAAATAAGCATGTTTTTCTCTTCTGAGCAAATGTAATAAGTCTTCTGTCAGTTTTTCACTGCTAGTCAGAACATCAAAGCAAATGGCACTGCTGTCACCAGGGAGGCAGAGCTCTGCTTCAGTAAGGTTAGTTAGTTTTAGATAGGCTGGACTGCCACACTCAGCCTCACCCATTAGGATGACACCAGGTTCCCTCTGTCTGCCTGAATCCAAGTTATTTTATACAGACTGTTTTACATATTCGGATTTTAATTTGATGTATATTTTTTATGATCTGGACCATATGTTTGCTGCAGGAGGGAGTGTGCTAAGTGAAATAGGCTGGACTAAATTTGGTCGGGATATTCAGTCTTTGATCTCTGCTGCTAAATTCCCAATTTATTTCTGTTATGATATGGATCTTGTAGATTTAATCATTTTCACAGTTGGAGACCCAAAGGGTTGTTGAAATGAACTCCCCATGCTATCTGTAATAGGAGCAAAGAAATGAGAATTGTGACTACTTGGCTGTGGAGTCTCTTTAAAATGATTTTGCAATCGGAAAGGAAATGGAGTGAGTCCTAGTCACAGCCTGCTCCTTGCACACTCCTTGGGTTGCCAGGACATTTGCTGACGGCACAGTTATGGCAGTTAATTTTTGTGCGTTTTGTTAGCTTTTGCATAAAAATGTCATTTTTGAAGGGGTTGCAAGTCATTGGTGGCAGCTGATATATTGCTTGTAAATTGAGTTCTTTTCCCAACCCCCTACCCTTTTTGTTACACTGAGCTAAGTAGCCATGAAATTGCCTGAATAATGTCGTTTAAATCCAATCTCACCGCGGCCCTTCACCTCCATACCCAGCCCCCAAACAATGTCACATGGTGGGCTTTTTAGAAATTGCCATTTTTCTGTTTGCCACATCAATTCACAATGGCTGAGCCTTGGCTCGCTGAGCGACAGCAAAGCCTTACTTGCTGCATTCACTGCCATATTGAGTTTTGGGTAAAGAACCGATTTCATATAACAAAAACTATCTATAGAGTATTGACATTTATACTCAATATTCATATTTTTGTACCTGCTTTTAGTTTGCTCTGTTTTTTTTATTGTGTATATGCTAAATACAGACTCCTGATGAACATCATGAACAGAAAAGCCATCGATTTACCTCTTTATCATTGAAATAGGTGATTGTGACAGTCGACATGTCTGCTGATTGCGTATTGTAGCTCTGCATTTACTTTTTAGACACGTATACATTTGTGCTCATCTGTGAAGCAATGTTCCAGTTTTATTCTGGAGCAAAAGTTTGCATTTAGCAGCACTCTGTCTTCTTTGACTTGGTTTTGGTCTCATAAAGTTCATCTTACAACACTGCTCCCCAAAGATCTTTAATTGTTTTCTTTCAATGAAGGCCTTTACATGAACTCCTGGTGTGAATAAATGTGAAAACTATGTGGCCAAGGGTAAGACCTAGTAAGTGAAAACCACTTATAAATCTCAAATGTGCCACTGCAATTAAACAAGCTTTTATCCCCTCCCCTTCATCCCCCCCTCGCCTGGTATCCAAGGCTAACCCAATTCAGTGCTAAAGAGAGTCCGAATTAATCTCACAATGGACTGATTTAACAGCGCCTAAGGTACCAGGCTTTGACGGAATGAGTTTTTAAAAAAGATCCATTTGTCTAGGGATGAACCTCCACAGGAGGGTGTAAAAATGAGATGGAGAGAAAAGCTCAAATGGAGCAGAGTGACGGAACATAAATGCACGTCAGTCCTGATTTGCAGTTTCCAAACTCTGCTCAGCTTGTTCGGCTGTTTACATCCAGTTTTATTACCTGCTCTTGTCGAATGCTGACATTTCCAGCTGCTTTAAATGTAGTCACTGTAGTTCTCTATTGTGAAACCGTTGCAGCAAAGTAGTGTTCATTGCAGTTGATTGATCGGACTTTGTTGCCGCCTGTCCCTTCAATATCAGTGGTAACTAAATCCCTGGTCGGCTGTTCTGTCCCACTGCAAATGCAGCCATTAGTGTTCATATCACTCATGCTTTTTTCTCTATTTGTCCTGCAGGTGACCTGGTGGTGCCTACACATTCCCCACGCTACCCCACTGCGGCAGAACTTGATGCCTATGCTCAGAAGACAGCCAACAGCCCGCTGTCCATCAAGATCTTCCCCACTAACATCAGGGTTCCCCAGCACAAGCACCTTAACCGGACTGTAAACGGATATGACACCACAGGGCAACGCTATAGTCCCTACCCTCATCTCCACACCGGGGGCCACCAGGGCCTACTCGCCATTGTCAAGGCTCCTTCTTCCTCCTCCTCCTCATCATTGTCATCTACCTTTGTTCCTTCAAAAGGTGTTCTTAAAAACTCTGACGGCAGACGGACTAAGCTCTCTCCAGCTCACATAGCAGTCGCCCCATATCCACCCCCTAGTAGTAGCACTTTAGCGAGTGGCCATGGCCAAATGGTCTACCACACAGGGCCCTCCAAGCCTCCAGAAGGTGCTGGACTATCGGTTCCTCCCAACGTCACTGTAGCTGGCTCAGTGATTCCTGTACCAGGGGGCCGAGGCCTGGCCCTACCCGCACAGTCAAACCTCCCTTCCATCCAGAGCATCATCTACCAGATCAACCAGCATTGCCAGGCCCAGGCTTTGCAACAGGTGTGCCAAGGGGCCACCACCACTACTGCACCATCAAACTCTAGCCCCTCCAAGCAGGGCACAACTATCATGGGGCTCTCTTCAAGCTCCTCAGGGGGAGGTTATGTGGTGGGAATGGCTCCCCAGGCTAATATGGTGTATGCAGGGCCTGGGCTGCCAGCTCAGAATGCAGAGGCGATAAAGAATGGGGTGTATGCAGATGGTATGGACTATATCCTTTGGCAGAAACAGCAACAACAACAACAACAACAACATCAACAGCAGCAACAAGCTGTGCTCCGTATGTACAGTGGAGGAAGCGGAGGAGGGGGTGCCATCAGTAAGTCCCCTGAAACTTGTGTTCCAGGTGGAGCGATCATGGCAGCCCAAGTGTCCTCCTCTTCCTCCAGACCCTACCACCTGACAGCGAGTGCCAGTGGAGGAGGAGGCGGGCTGGACAAAGTCAGCTCCTCCCCTTTGAACTGTGTGGGCATGCATGGGAATTTCTCAGTGGGTCAATACTTTGCCCCGCCGTGGAACAGTGTGCTGGTGACACCTGACAGTGACTGCTATAACCCCCAGGAGCTTCTGGGCACCTCCGCCGGAGGGCCAGCGACTGGGCACAGAGAGATGGGCTACCCACACCACCATCACCACTACCATCACCATCATCATCCTGCCATAGATAGTGGGGGAGGTTTGTGCTGCAGCCTGCCCAGCAAGAGCATGTGCAACACGTCAGTGCTGAGCAGCAGCCTGCAGTCTCTGGAGTATCTGATCAACGACATCCATCCACCCTGCATCAAAGAGCAGATGCTGGGCAAAGGCTATGAGACTGTGTCAGTGCCACGTCTGTTAGACCACCAGCATGCACACATCCGCCTCCCTGTTTACAGATAGAGGAGGAAGAGAACCAAGAGAAGAAAATCAAAGTTAAAGAACAGAGATGTTTTTTTTCCTGAGTGGTACTGCTTTAACAGTGTGGAGCGTAGAGAAGAGCAGGTGTGGTGCTGTGTGAGCATAGGTGTGACGGTTTCAAGGAAAGCAGTGGGAATCCCAAATATAAACGGTGGTAGTGATGCCAGTGGATGAGAGAAAAGGGATTTCAAGATTCTCCAGATGTTCCATTGTGTGGTTTGCCAATAGGAATTTTGGGTTGATTTATATATTTTTTCTTTTGCTTTTGTTGTTTTTTTTTTCTTGCCTGAAAATTATTGATGAGAATCGTAGGTTGACATGAAGTGCATACACCACTTGTATCCCCCCCCTTCCAAATACTAAGATGAAACTACTGTGTAGGTTGTCACTGAAATGGTCTTAAAACGGCCAAAGTTTAGGGCTGCTCTCAAAATCCAAAACTCTGTAACACAGTACTTACACTCACAGACAACAACACACACACACACATACAGATACACAAAGGTACTGACACATGAAGAGAAGTTATCAGCAGTACTCGGATGAAAATGTACGAGGATTATAAGGTTGAATTTAAAGGATAGTACAATATTAGTTATTATTGCTGTTTTAATTGATACATAAATTGCACTGCTTGAATCTTGTTAACTTTGAAGTTTGGAATTGGGTAGTTTGGATATGATATATTTAAGAAACTTGAAAACTTGAACCTATTTTTTGTTGTTTTATATATTTGTAGGTATATTATATGCATTGGCTGCTATGGGGAAAAGTGTCTCAAATGCTTTTTTTAATTTCATTTTTTTTCCACTTTTGTTTTTATGATTTATTAATTCCTCCTCAAGCTGATGTGCAGTTTCTTATGTCCTGGTGTGAGGCACAGTCACTGCTTTGGTTCTGTAAGAACCTTGTTTGGAGAGCTTTTTTCCTAACCAACACTGGAATCTACAATAAATCTTGAAATACCTATTTAAAAGAAAATGTTGCAAAAAAAACAACAAAAAAATTCAAAAAAAAATACAAGGAAAAGTAATGTTACAATGAAGAATGTGATTGGGAGGTTATTGACATAACCTTATGTGTATGTTTCTGCGTGTATGTGGCTGAGTGCATGCGCGTGTGTGCATATTTTTTTTTTGTGTTCTTCAAAATCCTCAGACTTTTTTTTTTTATGTCATTACAAGATTTTATACCACAAAGACTGAAAAACGGATTAACTTGTCCCACAAACATTATACCTGAGAAATGTACTGGCGATATTTGGAAAACCTCGCTCCTTTCTTTGGAGGTTTTGTTCTTCTCACAGGACCCCCGTGCTGTCAGTGCAACATCCACTACTTCTGTCTAGTGTTGTCATGATGACGGAAAGAGGTGGAAATGAATAGAAGTCTCTTTTAATCCCGCAAACAAAAACAAAATGAAAACAATCATGCCCTGTCCTCTGGCATCAGATGAAACGAGATGAGTCTCACTGCTTTTTCTCGTCCATTTCAGCCCCTGGTTGGGATTTTATTCAGCCTGGGCCAGTCTTAACTTGATGATTCAGAGCAGTGAAATATTTATTATGACTGTGAGATTCCCTTGAATGTACTGCACTTAAATTACTGCAATGTTTTATTGCCTTGTGGGACTCAAGTGAAAGAGAAAAAATTGGATCAGTGCAGCAGTCCTCTGGTCTTAAATTACTATTTCTTTTGTCCGTTAAATTTCAATGCTAAATTGAATTTGGTAACTGGAGAGAGAGAGTGAGCCGGAGCTTTGTTGTGGGGAAATACTTGCATCAGTCGAGATTTATGAAGTGCAATTATTATGACTGTATTAACATTTTTCTCTGAGCTTACACCAAAAAATGTAAACTACAGTTGTCAATACATTCCCAATGTACCACATCCCTAATCCCTTTCCTTCTTTTGTTTTGAGGTGTAAAATAAATTTCTTTAAGAAGATATTCAGAGGCCACATTTTGGCTTTGAAGTCTGTCATTATTTTTTAACGTTTGTCCTCTAGAAGTCAAGGGGAAATTGGGCCCGTGTTTGAGCAACTTAATGAGATCCAGAGAGATGTGTAATCTAGATCATTTCCTGCACTAGAAAGCCCAGATATCTTTCATTGATGATCTTATAAAAGTTTACACTTTGGCCATCCAAAGATAGAAGATAGGAAGAGCTGCAGAGAAGTGAAACATTTACCCTTAAAAACAAAGAGGTGGAGGTCGAGGCAGACAACATGTTTCTTTGTCCATGTGTTTTCCATCGATAGACCTTTCTAACCCCGACTAAATCAAAACTGTGAGCCTTAATTTTTGAGCTATAGGTGTATGGAGAGACAAGTTGCTATCTTTGAAGACTGACAAAGATTTCAGCTGAAAGATATCTAAGCTCCCTTGGCTTAAATTTGCACAGTAAGCCTCCTTAACATTCCAGTGAAAAATTTTCATGTTGTTTCAACAGCTTAATACCCCAGCCACAGTGTGATCCCAGCATATTTTCTGTCTTGTAGAAATATTTTGACAGATTTACAGATATATCCCGTCCCTAAATCCCCTCCGTTTGGCTTCTGCATCCAAGCATTAAACCCTGTCACATGATGTTGAAGAGAAGAGGGACACTTGAGGCAGTGGAGTTTCTGATGTCTGGCCTTTCCCACCAATGGAGGTCTGAGGCACCAAGCCTCCTCGCTAATGGGAATATTGGGTGACGCCTGGCTGCCGGACATTGCCAGTGAATAGAATTCATTCAGTCAGAGGGTTGAAATTGAACCTTTCGCAAACAGCGAGGGATTTTCTTTTTGGTACAGAGAAGAATCTGCTTCTTTTTTCTAGACAAGTTTGACTGAACTAAACAGATGTCACGAAAGCAAGTTTTTAAAATTTAGCAGACATCTCTCACTTCAAAAATGATATCCCATCAAACCAAATATTTAGCACCCACATTTTTTTGTGTAGGCTCTAATCTTATGTTTCTCTGCCTCATTACACATATGAATGCCCTCCTATTGATGGGAAGCATCTCCACCCTGCAACTCTGGTCCATTCCACAATTCCTGATTTGGGCAACGGACGCTTAGCCCCATATTAGGATAATAGAATTAAATTTCAAATAGATTTGTGCCTGAGCTGATCCACGCACGGCTCACTCAGCTGCAGAGGCAGAGTGGCATATGGCACGTCATTATCTAAGCCCCCCTCCCCCTGTTCGAGGCCAACAGGGTTCAGCAGTGCTTAAACAAACTGAAGGTTAGGACTAGCTGGCTGGCGTTGGAGAGGAGGACAGCGGGGTTTGTAAAAAGAAGAGGGTTGGGGGGGGGTGGGTTGCTAAATCACAGCCTCCACAGCGTCTCAGAGGGCCTCAGCACCACACCATGGCGCCTGTGCTCGGAGGCCTGCTTTAAAAGCCCGGCTGTGTTTGATGGAGGGGATTTGTTTTCTGTTGGATTATACATGGTTGCTCCCTGCCTGGCTGAGGGGCCCCGTGCAATGTGACAGATCTCTGCAAAAAGACAGAGACAGGGAGAGAAAGATACAGGGAGGGATTTTGGGGTCAGAGAAGCCTTGAAGCATCAGTAATCAGGATAATTGCCATGTTCCTGGTGCCGGTTTCAGCCACCCCTCCTCAGCTCTGCGGCCTCATATTCATATTCCAGCTCTGAGTAAATCACATTCCTAACTGAAACCACTTTTTGTGCTTGACTTTACTAAATCCCACTTAGTAACATCTTCATTTGTGATTAGACTTTCTATGCTTGAAATATATCTCAAGTTGTGTTGCCGAGGAAATGATAAATTACACCGTAAGAGCTTCATCTAAAGGAGGACATTAAGATCCATAGCTTATCTCTGAGGCTTCACGCTATTGACTGTTAACACGTTTTCAAGGGCGATGAGACACTCACGAGGATGGCCTGAGGGCAAAGAGGAGGAGGAATTGACTTACACTGGTTGTAAAAATCCCTTAGTAAATCCCAATAAGTCCATGAAGACCTTTACCCAGTGCAGAGGCCCGGTCCCGTATTGTGCACTTTAAATACGGCAGAGGAGGTAGGAGAGCAGACAGGCCTGCTCAGAGTGGGGTCAGCCTTTTTTTTCACTACAACAACACAGAGACGAGAAGGGAGGGATAGGGAAAATAAAGACAGCTGCTCACTCTGTAGAGTCCTGGCGCTGCTTCCCTAACCTACAGATGATGGGGGGGTGTTAGAGGGAGGAGATTGAGGAGGGGGGTGACGTCCCCCCCTCATGACGCTTTGGTCAACCTCAGTCCTGTCCCCTGGCTGCCCTTGGGCCCCTGGGGCTCTCAAATCAGAGTCTTTCCCAGCATCCCTCCTCAGCGTCTGCAGCAGATAAAGTCCTCTCTGCTCGGCTCCTACCTAGCAAGAAAATACTTTAATCAATAATACAGATGGTCCTGAGGAAGCCCGTAGAGTTTACCCAGCAGCCTCGGAGCTGTGTTGCACAATGTTGTTTAAAGGTTCGCTGTGTGTCAGGCACATTTTCATCTCTGTAGTGCAACTGAAAAGAACTCAACCGCTGCAACTGAGCGTCATATATGTTGTTTTCAGCATTTATTTTTAAAAAGATCGAAAAATATCCGCGCAGATTAAGACACAAAATAAATCAGGATTGTATTGTGAAAGGTGCAGCCCCAGAGACCTTCTCCAAAAGCTCAGTGCAGCAGGTTGTAATTCCCCGAGCTTACAGCTTTTTATTTCTTCAGCATCACAATCATGTATGTTCAGCTGAAAAAGCTTATGGCCTCCAAATATTCATCTCGTTTACGTGCCGGGTTTATTGCTGTATCCAATCCAAACACAAAAGTCTGGGGATTTTGCTTTTTTTTTTCTTCCTGTGTTTCTTTTTTTTCACTGTTTGTGTGGCTCTCTGAATGTTCCTGTGGACAAACAGGGCTGTTTTCTTTCTGAATGATCTCAAATGCACCGACGCTGCCAAAGTCTGAGGGTGCCGCAACCTTGAGAAAATCATATATATGGAAATAGGAAATCTTTAAAGCATCTCTCTTATTGTTCTCCCTGCAGTGTTGTATTTATGTTTAAAATGATTTTGTCTCCTCAGGATGAAAAAATATAAAGAACACCTTCCTTTTTTTGGAAAATGATAATATATGAGTTAGATTTTGACATAAGAAGTCTGGATATAAAAAAAAAAGCTGTAAAATCCTTTAGTCGTGGGGTTTTCAACTTTTGAATGTGCCTACAGCAAAGCATCCCAGTGATTGCTTACCTTCCCCCTTCTGCAGTTTTGCAATCTCCCCCTAATCTCCCCCCAACAATCATCTTCAATTTGCTCAAACTGCCACTGTCCCCTTTCCATCCCAACACCCACATCAGATACGTTGTCTGTTCCCTGCTTTTGTCAATCTCAGGACTGAAATTTCTTTATTTTAACGTAGATGGTTGGTTTTCATTTGACCTCTCCTCTCTTATGTATTATTGTTTGACATATGTAAATAAAGCAGATGACTTCCATGCCTGCCTTGTTTCTATAATCATCTGTTGTCGACCGGTCTTCTTTCTTGTCTTTGTCTTCTTCTCCTTCCTCTTTATCTTCTTTAACATTCATTTTTAAGACTCTGTACAAGACTTTACGGTAATGAAGGTAAGCATATTAGTCTTAGGATGCACTTTGCACATCAGCACCATATGCTGGCCCCTACAATCCTGTTGTTCGCTTGACCCTTTTCACCTCTGCAGTGGTATACTGTAGCATTAGCGAGGCCTCACCTGTGGCGAGGGATCTAGCCGTTGTGGCGTTACTGGAAAACAACCGTATCCTTGTGTAATCGCACAGTCAAGAGAGAGAAAAAAGTGGACAACTTTTCATGCTAGGGGGCAATTGGTATTTTTCCTGAAGCATGACTTTGAGAAACTGTTCTTAAGCAGAGGCAAAGGCTAAATCTCTTTACATGCAATTTACACAAGTGGCACAGACAAGGTGTCCTTCCTTTAAGCCAGGGCTTTGTATCCAGGTCTAATAGGAACGCTTTCTCAAATAGCTCATTTTTCAGAGCTAGCACAGGAACGAGTACACCCTTGACTCAGAGTGTGAACTTCGGGTGCTTTTTAAGTCAAGAAAAATTTTGAGTCTCATTTTGACACAGTTGATAACAGTGTAATTGTCAGAGTATGGTCTTGGACTGAACCTACTGCTGGTGAAGCTCAGACCCTTTTCGCTCACAACACCTTCTCTGAAAGGAAACCAAAACAACTAACTCTATCTATTCTCAAGATAAATTCAAAAATTTTCTGTCCGTTTTCTTATTCCAAGCAGTCAGAAGATATTGTGTACGAGTTAAAAAGTAATTCTTTCAGATATTTTGCCAGCACAACATGGTCTAGATAAGGAACACAACATACACCCAATCTAAATGTTTAACAACACAGGTAACTCCGAGAGCTCAATATTGATGCCCTCCCTCCCTTTTCTTCTCATTTCCCACCTCTCCACCCACCTAAAACATCAGATAAGCCACAGACTGATGAGCCAGCCGCCTCCACCAGAGCGTGTGCTACTGGGAGACTGCACACTGATTTCATCCACGCTCGCTCACACAGAAAAAGAGCTCTGTGGAGCAGAAATGCTTCTCTTATTAGCAAAACTCATTCACCTGCACGCCACATTGAGTCTGTGGCAATTTCACAATAAATCATGAGAGATGCCTACAGAGGCCGGGCAGCAGCAGGCTGATGCCGCGCCGCCGCCGCCGTGCCCTGGCCTGTCAGTTTTGACACTCTGAATCATTTCGGGTTCAGCAGCCTCGTTTCATCTCAGATGAACTGAAAGGTCATCTCACAAGCAACCTCACCAATATGTCTCCAGCTTCTCATCTCCCAGTGATTCCAGTTAGAAATACCCCTCCACTGTGAAATATTTCATTGTGGATTATGGGAAGAATTTTAAAGAGGAAAAGTGACGCTGTCTTCAAACTGTGACAGACCTGCTTAAGGGTTATCTGTTATCTTTTAGCCTGCAAGGAGACCTATCAACTGCATAACATAATTAAGTTAAATGAGAGTGTGACCATTATGTAAAGAGGCTTTTTTCTCTTTGTATCAGGCTGCTGGACCTCAGACAGACAATAAATGTTGCTCTTGAAGTCATCAGTCAGTCTGAAGTGTGGTTAAGTGAATAAGGAATGAATTGTCATTGCAGTGGCTTGAGACTCATCAGCCTAAACACTTTAAAGTTTAACTGGATGGACAATAGCTGAATTATTTGTTCTGCCAATATCTAAGCTAGTTACCCTACCTAAGACCTTTGGCTAGGTCTGTCAACTTTTCCTGAACATAGGCCGTTACAACACACTCCTGCATGACTGTCGTTCGCTTTGTTGAGACACATTTGTGGCAGTGACTACAAACACACATGCTGCAAGCAAGTGAGCCATTTTGTTAACAGCTCACACTTCCTGTGCAAAGTGTGCGGTTCCAGAGTTGCTGACAGTGACACTTGCAGGACCGAGCCCTGGCCTACTTAACAGGCTGCAGGGAGGAGGGCAGGCCAAGTTGTCAGCAGCACTAGGTGCTCACTGCTTAGATAAACCTGGAGGATTAGTGGCCCAGTTAAAGTTGGGGCAAAGAGGATTAGCCTCTTCTCTGAGGTGGTGAGAGATTCCCTGTGTCCTTCAGCGCTGCCCGCCTCACAGAGACGAGGGAGAGGGAGAGGAGGTGAGGGGTGAGGCCCAAGTTATCGGTAGTGAGAATCAGCACTGTGACATTTTTAAGAGGAAAAGGAAAGGTGCAGCGTAATGATGAAAGCCGAGAGGAAATGAAGCAGTCCGTAAATTGTTGCCAGCTTGTGGTTTTATTAGGGAGGCAGGAGCCTGTAATTACCGACCAGGTGTTAGAGGGAGGTCAACAAGACCAGAGACCCACCAGAACAAGAAAAAAAGAAAACTCATGAGTGATCTGCATTCCACAAACTTTAACCTGTCATGGTCATAACATTCAGCACTGACACTCTAATATTTACGGCAGTAATTACAATACTTTTGCCCTGGAGTGACAGCTTGAGAAGTCACAGCCTACATTCAGGACTCTGCCTCCACTGTCAGCATGGCAATCAAGGCCTCTGCTGCCACCAGCTGGCCAAGTAAGGAACTACAGGGGGTAATTACCGAGGAATGAAAATAACTCACAATCCTTGTAATGAGTTTTTGAGGATTATCATCAGTGTGGATGGTAATGAGAGCACTTTTTGTAAGACTAAACTGCAAATCTTTTTTACACCTGTGATGCCATCAAGGCTTTCTGGGCAAGATTATATGAATGTTTGAGCAACAAAAATGTAACTCTTGACTTTCAGTCTACTTCGATTAGAAAAAAGGATACTTTACCCAGACATAAAGATGTAGATGTAGTAAGTAAACTTGCACTCAAAACAGTATACTTATCCTGATTTTAGCCACTTTTTGATATCACTGCTCTTCAAATGCATATTTTATGTTTTTATATTGGACATTGATTTCCAAAACAAAGTGTCATTTTGTGTTAAATTAAATACATTTTTATTAGTACAAATCTAACTACACCTGGCAGATGTGAAACAAATATTCTTGGATGGTAGAACCAAGGTAACCATCTGAAAACCCTCTTCGAAATATCGCTCACATGTATTTTGTACAATATTTCCCACCATATCCCATAAATGCAGGCAGCCCATTTTGCGGTTTAGGAAATGTTTTCAGTGTTTATTGTTTTGTGCACTTATGTACAAATATAAAAACGTATAGACATTTCTCTCTATAAAAGCAATGTAAACACGGTGAACAATGGCTTGTGACCTTCAGCAGTAATGAATTATCGAAGATGAACTGCAGGCTCTATCTGCTCTTAATCAAACCCTGTCATGCAGCACAATAACGCAAATACATGCATACATACAGTAGTTGTATAAACAAGAAGCTATATAGGGCAAGGAGCCAATTGCAATGAAAACACTGCAGCAAATAGGGGGAAGGCACATAATAGCAAGGCCTGAGAGTTGATTATGCAAATACCCCAGCTGCAAAGGAACAATAACTGTGGAAATTCAAAGACAAACCATAACACAGAGGGCTATTGTCTAGCATTTGCATATTTGCTTGACAACTCTAACCTGCTCATCATGCCCATCTTGTTCGGAACAATGTCTTTGTGTTCATGTAATAATGCACACATCACAAACTGTCATAGTGCATTGTTTCAGTTCAAATGAAAGCTGTGCAGCCTCAGCTGGCAGTCCAAGCCTGACACTTCTATACTTTGAAACTATTAATTAATTCATTGAAGTAAATTGAGAAGAAACATGTTTCATAAATACATTTGTCCTTCTTCTGTTCACCGAAGGTTGTAAACATTTAAATAAGTGTATCAAATAAAATCCTTATAAAGGAACCTCTTAAACATCAAGCAAGCGAATTAAAAGCTAACTTTACTTTCCAAGCCTGTGAATATATATTACAATGTTTTCCTAAAAAAAAACATCATATATTGCTTATAAATCTTTAGATGGCATTTCTATAAAAGCTTTTGATTACACTGCTAATGCAATAATACAGTAATTAACTTTTTTTTTTAAGCACACAGTGAATTCATGATTCTGTAAGACTTAAATGAGACTAGAAATGCTGAACTATTTCATCCTTTTAAATCCCTGAGAGGTCAGTCACTGTTGTCCTTCATACAGAGGTAAAGTACAGTGTTATGATATAGTTTTGATTCTTATACGACAAGTAAAAGTTCACAAAATAAAGCATTGTGGGTCCTTCACTTCATTCTCAGAGTAAATATCTTTAACTTTGTTTGGTTTTTATAACAGCCGTACTCATTTTCACTTCCATTACACATCCAGTATGTCTAAGTGCCTCCTTAAGCCAAATACATAGACCAGCTTTAATAGTCATTATACTTCCTCTGCACAAAAGGCACCAAAGATCTATGGAAATGAGTGCACTTATTGGCCAAACTGTTCCCTGCAGAGTGATCCCGCTGATGCCGATTGCCCTCTGCTGTCTCCTCATCAGGAGGGCATCAGTGCCTGGATGTCAGCGGCTCCATCTCTACCACCAGATCACGGTTTCGTGGACCCTTACTTAACTCCACTGCCCGGGGAACCACTGTAGACCAGCGGTCTGGAGCAGGATAAAAACAGGAAGGATTTTATTTTATCTTCTGCAGAAAGAAAATCTTTTTTTTTTTTTTGTCTGAATAAATTCATTTATGAGAGCACAGAAGGAGACCTCACCTCTTCTTAAGGCTCGGACGCTCTGCTGTAACCCGTTGGCTTGACACGTCTCATTCTTGCCTGGATCCTCGTTGATTATCGCCAAGTTCTGATTCCAGTGGCACCAGTTCACCTCATCCACCCTGATATTACAGGACAATATTAGGATTGGCTGTTTTCTTTGAAGTGACATGGTGCTGCTCGTGGTGCACCTCATGATAGGTGTCTATGCAAAATACCTGAAGCACCAGCGTCGGTCAGGTGTGCCGTCCGAGTTTTTTCCCACTGTCACCATCTCTCCTACTCGAAAAGACTTTCGAAGGCAGACTGGGAAAGAGCGTTCAATGTCCAAGATGGTGGTTGCCCACTATGGATCAACATTACATACAAATCCATAAACATGTTAGGAAAGTGTTCATGCTACTTAAGGGAAAAGATATTTACCCTTCTCAATGCTTAATACATTTTGAGAAACTTTAACATTCAATTTAGTTATGAGTGGGATTTTTCTCCACATGTAGTAGAATATATCAGATTTTATAGCACTTTTTGTCATTGACCTTAAAGTGCTTTACATTGGATTCATCATTCATTCATTCGCTCACACAGTCAAACCCTGGTGGTGGTAAATGACCTTAGTAGTCACAGCTGGGGCAGACTGATGGAAAGGTGGCTGCCAGTTTGGGCCTACGGCCTCTCCGACCACCACCACCACACAACACTCACAATCATACACCAGTGGAGGACACACACTGGGAGCAAGGTGAGTTAGGTGTCTTACCCAAGGACACAACAGACAGACTCGGGATGGACAGGGTTTGAACCGCCAACCTTCTAGTTATTGGCTGAGCGCTCTACCTCCTGAGCTACTGCCACCCAAAAATAACTAAAGCTCAACAAATTGTGATATGTACATTAAGCTAAGCTCAACTGTGAGCTTCTTTATGTTTTCATCTTGTTGGAATAATGAGTGTGCTAAATCCTAGATCTGCTAACAATGTAGCATCAGCACTATCCTTGTGATCAGGTTACCACGCTAATGTTGGTAAGTTTTGACGCCTGTCATTGGTAAACTCTAAACACCACAAAAAAAGTATGCAAGTTGAGATAAACATTTTGTACTTCTACATCTCAAAATTATGACAAACTTTCTGCACACCATAACAAGAATTAATAAGAATATGAAATTGTATGTATACTGTCCACCACCATCTCACCTGTAATTTCCAGATCTTCTTGCTCTCCTTGGACACCTGTCCCACCGTCTCCCCCATCAAAGCGATCAACATGTTAAGCAGCAGCACAAAGGTGAGGATGATGTAGGTAACCACCAGGATTAAGAAGACAGCAGGATACTGCGCACTGTCGATCATATCCAGTTCTCCCATCCCAATGGTCAGCTTAAATAGATCCAGAAGGAAGTTACTGAAGGTCTCTGGGTCTCTGCACTCAGGGTAGGTGGGGCAATCTCCTCTGCAGTCGGTTCCCACTGGAGGACACACTGGCAACAGGGACACCAGAGCTGTGAAGGGAAACAGAAGAGGTTAGGCTTTGTGTCTGTGGCTTTGTTGCGGTCAATATTTTCATGCTGTTCATTACAGGAGAGGATCTATACAACTATACAACACAAAACAAAACACAAAAACTGGAAGAAGTCATACATAATCAGTCATTTTACCTGTATTTAACATCAACAGACCTAATTTGGATGAAAGGGTTTTGCACCAATCAAACAGAGAACGTAGGTTTAGTAGTGAACTATAGAGGGCTTTGTAGGTACTTTATCTTCCTGTTCGTACATACAGCCGGGGCCAGGGTACAGTTAGTCCAGCAAAGCCTAAAGCAGAGCAAAACTGGGCGACACCCTGTTAGCTTTAAGTTCACTGCCTGATGGTTTGTTTTGTTTAGCATTAAGACTATAGCAAGGGCAAACTCCTATGTTAGGTTTTACTCAGCAGTTCGACATTCAGCTTAGCTAAGCAAACAAACCTGCAAGAGACACACTGTTGTTTCTATAACATTAAAGCTAACCATGACCTGCCCAAAATGTTAGCTTTATCTTCCTTTAACCTCACAGATGTGGGAATGATATATATACATATATACTGTATATTCTTAAATATCTCTGTGAAAATCGTTAGACTTAACCTTGATTTAAACCTGCAAAGTTCAGATAAAACCCACCTGATGCATATCCAATCATGAAGAGCACATACACCAGCAGGAATCTGAAGAGGTCTTTGAATAAAATCTTACAATCAAAAAACAAAAGAAGAAAAAGTGTCAAGCCAATCTGAGTAGTAACATCATGGTTTTTTTCTTTTGTATCTATGCATCAGCTAACCTTCTGTATCATGATGCTGTAGGTGCCAGTGAGCTTCAGGCCTCTGGTGAAGTAAAGCGTGTTCATCCAGCCCAATACCAGTGCAAACACCATCACAGACACATAGGCTTCAATACCAGACAGGTAAAGAACAGCAGTGACAACAACCAGCAAAGAGTAGATGAAGCTGGAGAGGAGAGAAAACACCAAAAAATGTCTGACACTACAGAAAAACATGACAGGAAGGCGGGAAGAGATGACTGCTGTTTTTTTTACTGTGGCGTAGACACAACAGCAATCTTTCTAATGATTTACATCAACAGAGTTCATAAAAGTGTTTGATATTCTCTACTCTTTGTTTGTATTGCATCTAATTAAAGATGTAAACTATAAAAAGGTTGAGTAATTAATTAGATGACTCACTTAAGAGGATGCAAAGTTTGCCTTGAGTAAAAGTCAGCAGGAGTGAGAGCAGAGAGAGAAAAAGAGGAAGCAAGGAGGGAGAATGGAGACTTACTACAGCAGTTGAAATGATCCGTCGATGAATAAAGATTTCACCCCGGGGCACTTCTTTAAGAAGAGGTCCTTAATCTGCGAAGAGCAGAAGCAACATTTCCATGATATCGCAGAAAATACAAGCTCAGTTTTTCAGGCATCAGGGAGTGTTGACTCACATTGGTGAGGAGGAAGAAAATTCCTGACGCTAAGGTTAGAATTTCCCCGGCCATTCGCAGGTAATCAGATGATGTTGTGTAGCTGTATGGAGGCTGAAAAGAAGCAGGATGACAGATTTACTGTATTTATGTTCAACTATTAGAAAAGTTGACGGCAAATTAAGTTAAATCTCTTGATAACAACAACGTCCCTCTGTCTATGTGAAATAAAGCTTGCAGTTCTTTTAAGTATTTGCATGTTAAACCTCAATCTAGCATTTGCACATATCAGTTTCCATACAGACAAAATAATTAAGATCAAAAATGCTACTTTAGATGCAACATTCTGCTCCAACACTGTTTATATAAACTGTATGAAGCCATGTAATGTGTAGTGTGGCCTACATAACAAAAACAGATAAATAAAGACATAAAAATTCAGGAAACTCACAAGTGTACTGGCTATTTATCAAAAAAAAAGTCAAACTGGACTTAACTTTAACAAATGCATCGATCAGGTTCATAAGAACGTTTAAAAAGTTCCATTTGGGACTTCAGCTTTAGATCATTTTAATTCAGGCAATTAAAAAAAAAAATAAAAAAAAAACAATGTCTGGTAAAAAAAAAAACTGTGTCCCTTTCCCTTTGCATGACCCCAAATGACACACCTACACCTATGTGTTATAAAGAAACAAAACACAAACGTGGTGAAAATAGCTCAGACACACAAGTAAACTCAATAAGCTTATGTTAATAAACTGCTGTTGCAAAAAATATAAATATGATTATGAGCTTTCCCATTGGTTGGAAATATTCATTACTTTCCACTGGACAGTCCACTGTATAATCCAACATGTCCACACTTTCAATCCACTCACTGTTCCTTGAGTTGGGCGGTAATACGCCACCAGAGTGAAGATAATCATGGTAATGAGGTAGGAAACCACATTGATGTAAAAGGTGACAGCAGCAAACTTCTGCCATTTGGCCCTCAGCAGCTCATTGATGGGCTCCACGGCCAGCATCTCATGGCGGTTCTGACAACAGGAGCAGACACACGGCACTCACATAAAGTGCAGTTACACAGAAACTGAATAAATCCTGATCCCTCAGCAAATAAGAGGAGATCATTGTTGATGCATTTTTCATATTCACTCATTTAAAACAGAATAATAAACCCGGGGGAAAAAAATATTTTTCTGACTCACCTCATTGCGGCTGTTATAGACGAGGATTTCCAGCACCGATGGTTCCTCTCCGCATGTATCCAGTGATGACAGATCATAGAGAGATGAGTACACTGGCCCATAAGCCCAGTCCTTGAATTTACGCGACAGATGACGAGCTTCCTCATCTTTAATCTCACGTCTGATAATGTGCTGAAAAACCTGGAAGAACAAGGAAGAGCTGATCTTTGACCTCTGACCTGGACTTATTAATGTTCTGTCCAACAGGAATGTAAATAAATTCACTTTTTTGAACTCTTGTTTTACTATTCCTACCCCTATCTTGCCAAGTTTGGCAGCCATCATAAGAGGCGACATGCCATCGTTGTTGATCACAGTCTCCAGACTGCAGTCTGGGTACAGTTTGGCACTCTTGATGAGCAGCAGGTCATACATCTTAGTTAGGAAGCGTGTGTTGTCCTTCGTGTTGTCTGCAATGTGCACCAGGGCGTGCAGCACTGTGTTTCCACGTGAATCCTGGCGTCGCAGATCGGCCTTCTTGTGTGGATTCTCAGTCAGATAGTGCACAATGTCAGGTTGGTTAGTGCATGCAGCCAGGGAGAGCGGCAGCTCACCTGTGCACACAGAGAAAGAGTACTCACTTCATACTCAACTCATAAGAGATTAAAGGAAACATGTTTCAGATTAAAATTAAGCAAATCAACATGAGCGTTTATAATAAGAACTGTAACCGGTGTCTGTATGATTTTGCGAAGCATACTGAACACGGATCAAAGATTTGACTCAAATTCCTGCTATGAAAACTGCACAATTAGCAGTTGTTTGAGGGAGGGGCGCAATGGGGCCAGAGTGCCAAAAGCAGCTGCTGAAAATGAGCTGTTGCCATGGGTGACAGATTACTTTGTCACCTCACATAGAAACGCTCCTCTTCATGGATTTGCACGGGTGCATGCAGAGTGTTAGCGTGAGTCTAAATCCCATTAGCCGTCAGCCCTGCCAGGTTCCTGTTCACCTCTCTGCAAAGCTCCGCAGCAAATTACCCACACTGTGCCCGGACACGCTGGGATTTGGGAATGACAAGCATGCTAAGTGCAAATAGAAATCATCTTCTCTGTGATGAGAGAGGGATATAACATATGAATGCAATCAAATGAAGTATTCTTCAAATTGGAAAGGTTAAAAAAAGAAAAAGAATCCCTAACAAGCCGTGTCTGCCTCCTTTGAATCTATTTGAAGAATGACACATAAATTACTTTGATGAGAATATGATCACAAATCAGGTTTAAAGGATACAATGCTATAAATAAAGACCTATTTCTTCCTAGGTACAACATGCTGTGGGATATGTACAGTAGATGCACCTTCATTTTTCCAGCAGAGGGCAGTGATGAGGTAAGTTTATAGGCCCTGATTTATTTCTAGCTCTGACGGGTCAGTGAAGTCCTGCCCAGAGGAGGGTCCACAGAGGAAGTTTACTTTCTTCACTGCTGGACACCGACACCTTTGACTGGACAAGTCTTGTTAACATAAGACACAACGCTCCTCTTTTCATGTGTTTATGGAGCACTGCTAGCGACGGTTCCTCGTACGATGCTTCAAAAAACATTTGGGTGTAGGTTAGACTTCATAGCTTGACCACAGCAGTATGATGACTGTGATTCTCAGCCAAAACCTGCCGCGTGAAAAAAAGGAGAAAGGGTGGGTCGAATATCACCCAATTTCACCCTTGTGTCCCTGCCAGAACCAAGTAAAAGGTCATAACTATTTTATGTTGGCGGCTGCAGGAGAACACATTGTAAAACTTTGGTACTACCTCGCTGATGTAAAAGACAGAGCAACCACTTCTGACCCAGAGCGGAAACCAAAAGAGTGAAGTCATAGAAACCACAGACACAGCACATTATTATCAGCACAAGAGGCAGAAAACACAGTCACAGCTTCAGACTCTCTACGCAACTGTCTGACTAAAATGTTAAGGTTAAAGTATAAGGTTTCCAAAGCACAGAACAAATAAGTATGTCCTTTTGACTCTGTAATAAATATATTTATTGGCGATGTCGTTACCAAAGTAAAAGTAGCCCCCTTCATCTCTGGGCTGGAAAAAACGTCCCCTCGCCTGGGCATGAACGTCAGCTCCCTGCTCCACCAGTAGCTCTACATACTGCTTACAGCGTCGCTCTATGGCAATGTGGAGCGCCGTCTGGCCTGTTAATACACAAAACACAACAAAAAAGAAATATTTTAGCTATTACATTTATTGCAGAATCCTACTTAAGTGTCCTGTTTATTGAAAAATGTGATACAGAGTTTACCTCAAGGAAATGTAAGTAATGTGAAAAGTGTGTGAAGTCTTTTTATGTGCCAAGTGTTTTTTGTTTATCTTTGAATGAGAAACTGGTGTGAAGTTATGAGATTGAGGTCAGAGGTCATTTAGAAGAAAGCAGTAAGGAGCCAGAGCAACATTTATGTGCAGGTGGTTTCTGTGGGGCAGAATCCTTTAACAAAACAGGCCTTCAAACATTTTTTATGTCTTATAAAATTTGTTTCCAAAGCAGAATAAGCACCTCTTAAATATATTAACAAATACGTGGAAGCTGTAGCAGTTAGTTAAAGGGCAAAATAGCCAGTCTTGGAGAAAATGTTTAACGTAGCTCCACATTTTGTCTTACATTTTGTTCTTGAAGCTTGTTTCATGAGTGGAGACCTGGACCCTCTCATTTATAGAGCTCTAAACACTCTCTGTATACACTAACTATGAATACAGACCTTTTCACATAAACTGAGCCTCATCCACCAGCTAAGAGAGCTGCAGTCATTCTCAAGAAAACAAAAACCAAACCAAAACTCTGAGAATGAAAGATTCACAGTGGTCCATAAAGTTACACTAAGAGTCTTACTTACTTTTCACAAAATGCAAATTAGCTTTATGTAACTGAATGCGTTCATCATTCAGTTTGTACATACCTCTGTAGTAAACATCCCTAAAAGGCGTGTTTATAAACTCTCTGAGGTTTCCCGTCTTCTCTGCTATTTCCACTAGCAGAGGGATGGTCTCATTCTGCCCTCCGTAAAGGTTCAACAGGGCTTTAGGCAGACAGGTCTTACCAGTGGACGGCTCTGGGAGACATAAGAATCATTACAAAAAAAAGAAAAATTAATACGAGAAAAACAGTTTGTTTTAATTTAGAATCGACTAATAACTGTCGTATTCACTTTATTTGAACTGTCAATGCTTCATTTGGCCAAATATATAAAGTATTTGTCCATTTGTTATTGTAAAAACCAGCATGTAACAGCACTGAAGTCATGCTACTGACCTTTTGCAGTTGATGATTTGGATTTTTTCCTTCCTTTATTTTTGCCTGTTTATTAAACGCATTATTTGGTGACCTATTTCCCTACTGCCAATCAATGTAAGCAATCAAATCAAACTATTTATACATTACCTGAAGCTCACAATTTGAACTGCCAACACTTAATGTTGATGTAACTATTTCACCTTTTCAGTTTAAACAGTTACTTCAAGCTAATACTTTTTTCCTGCTCATTTTGTACATTTTTAAAAATGTTTTTGGCTTTCTATTATAACTGCCCATCCATTTCTCTTTGCTTATTTTATGAACTTTTTAACCACAATTTTCCCGTTTACTTAAAACTGCCATTATGTCTTAATGTTAGCCTCGCATTTCAATCATTATTTTACTTTTTGCCATCTATTTACTTTTTGCTGGGTAAATTTGCCACTTACCCGTTATCTCTACGACTAATCAAACATCTCTGTTGAATTAGACACTCTCTGTTGCAACATTGTTTACAGTGTTCACTTTGACTTAATGAAAAATAAATGTATTCCAAAGTTTTTAATCTCTGTTTCTTTGTTTTCTTGGATGTTCAATCACACAAGCTCATCCAGAATATCTCCATGTGTAATCTAAATCCACATTAATCTGTCATATTCTCTGATAAAATTGGATATCCTAATCCATCCCATGAATGAATACATCACAAAAGCATACCTACATTTTTTTACATGCACAATTAAACAAGTAGTTGGGTATTTAGAGTTAAAAAGGGGGCCATGTAAGTCCTATACTATTTTTAGTCATCCAGTTTTTAGGAGACTGTGAGGCCCTATTTAACAATCCAAAGGAGTTGACAGTTTGCTGTGATTTCTCTCTGCTCCTTGTTATAACCCTGAGAAAATCCCTCACAGACACACACAGGAAGCTTCCTCAGGCCTGCCTCTAGCAGGACAAAGACTCTGACATTACTCCACCTTTTCCCTGTCACATCCTCTGAGCCAGAAACAGCAGCGAGAGCAAGGCAAGATAATGCAAAAGGTCAAAGGTGAAACAGTCACGGGATAAAGCTGAGTTAAAGCTATGAAGGCCAAGTCTGTTTATGGATTGAAGTCGATAAACTTGACAGGATCCTTATGTAATAGGGAAAATTTCAATTTGTGTTACGCACCAAAATAAAAGCTTATAGAGGTGCTGGTGTAGCTCAAATCCTCATTCAAACAATGATAGTAATTAGTTACCTAAAGTCTGAATTTTGACAGGTATTCAGTCAACTGAAGTCCGTCTGATCTCACCTCTGAACTCCTCGTCGGTTAACCTCTTCTCATGACTCTGCAGGTACTCCAACAGGCCGTCCAGAGCCACAGAGTCTCCGCGTGACACGCAGTCGAAGAGGAGAGAGCGATTGAATATTTTCATCACTTTTGGGGGGTCTGGACTTTGAGCATCATCGCACGATGTTTCAGTTTTACTGCAAAGACACAAAATCGTTATATGACTATCCTGCGCCACATGTTCAGTTTGAAATAAACTAAAAATTTAATCTGGAATTCACTTTGAATCTTTTTACTTTCATTGACAGGAAACTTTATGTGTGTTTGAGGTGAAAACCATCTTTTGAGCTATCTGCCACACCCTCAAACGACATAAAAAGAGCCCTGTGTGTTTGGGACAGGTAGTGCAGCCAGAAACTGAGAGCAGCATAAATATTACCTCAACTGCTGCAGACTCACCAACAACATGCTCTCTGTTAGATCAGTGAATGAGGCACTACTTGGTTCACAGTGGGTTCGTGTGTGTTCCTACGTCTGTGTGTGTGTGTGTGTGTGTACGTCCTCTTGTGGCACACCTCTGTCTACAGTGGCAGTTGTGGGGGCTGTTTTACTTTATGACATTTTTCCAAACCAGCCCTTAAGTCCGGTCTCATAAGTTCACCACTGTTAAAACAGGCTGTGAATCTCTGAACAGACATAGTTTAAAGACACACATAGTTATTACGTTTCGAAACAGTGAGGCCTCTCTCACCCTCTTGGGAGCTTCTTCCTTCGTCTCTTCTGGTTACTGGTGTTCCTGTAGGTGCCATAGTCAAAGAGTGAGTCCATGGGTGCTTTCTTAGGGCCTGGAACCACATTTGACTCATAGATTGTAGATTCCAGCAGGTCCATGGGGTTAGAAATGCCTTTCTTGAAAGCACCCTGGAACTTCATGCGCAAGTTCTGCCGGCCGTCCGCTGGCTGATTGAGTAGGACCTGGTCCTGAGTTGAACCCTGGCTTGTGTCTTGGGTCGGTGGGGAGCCATCCTCGCTCTCGAACAGGTCTGAGATCTCACACAGAGGGAACGCTGCATCGCTCTCAGGCTGAGCAGCTCCTCCATCATCCACAGAGAGAGCATCTCTGGCAGGAGCAGAGCTGAGGGTGTCAGTCTTTGACAAGGCAAGGTGGCACCTCCTGAGTAAAGCAGAGCGGCCCTGAAAGAGAAGGGAAAGTAAAAGTGGCTTTGATTCAGTCAGGAGTGTCTAAAGTGCCTTATATGAAAACTAACAAAGCTCTCACTCAGTCTTAGTTCATTTAAATGAAAGAAAGGGATATATATTTTGTTCCAAATAAACATTTGAAAACATAAATTTCTTAATATATCAATCCCAGTTTTGGTCCTTTGCTGACAAATTGCTCTTCATCCTGAGAAAAAAACTGTATTTGATTAATTTCATTCTAGAGGGCGCTCCTCACTTTAAACTAGTCCCACCCCAGATGACCCTGGTATAACAATAATTGGACCAATTTTTGTTTTTTAATTGCAAACATGAGAACAGCAAGTTGAATAATAATAATAAGATACATTTTGAGATGAACCAATTATAAATTTCATTATGACTTTAATTAAGAGGGTGTGGGACATCTTGCTTGAGGTCTGAGACAGGACTGAGAGTAAACATTTGACATTTAAACCTTCTGTACCTCATTCATCCCTTTTATCACAAAGATGTGTCAAATTCCTCTTCAAAGGGGAGCTGGAAATGACGCTGAAGCATCAGGGCTTCCTGGAGAAACACAGAACACAGCCACTCAGCATGAATGATTGACAAAGGTAAACAAAAAAAGACTTCTTTTTTCAAAACTATGAGTCATAAGAAGGGCTCTGGTGTTGGGGTGGGGGTATATTAAAAACATAGGAAACTACTGATGCCAACACCAATAACACTTTGTGAATACAGCCTCTCATCGGTCAGAGGAGTGTGTTTTCTGTAGCATGCAGGATCACACCACCTGTCTGCTCAAAACACACAAATTGTTTCCTAACACTCAAATACACACTTTGTCGCACACTTCTGCAGTCAGTGTGTGAATGTCACAACACAACATCCTCACATGTCCCTCCACACTTTACTGAGTTTGCTCATGACGCTGACAACCTATATAAACCAGACTGCTCTCTAAAGGAGCAACACAAACAGGGGAGTTGGGGTCCCTCTAAGGGGGGAGGCATGACTCACATCCCTGTCTGACAAGCAGGATTATCATGCCTTTACACTTCAGCGGGTACCGGATAGTAAAAAGACAGAGGGACAAAGAGAGTCTGCTCTTGATAAACTAGTATAATAGACCAAGAGTGAGGGATTTAGTTTGGAGGTGAAGGTGTGTGAGTGGGGAGAGTGCCCACTGAGTATTAAACCTGTCTGAGAGATGGAGCTAGATCATCAACATCCCAAGATCACATGATCCACTTTCTAGGGCAGGAGGTGGAAATCCACGAGTAGTAGTTTCCAAGTGTAAGTGACTCTAACGTTCCCCCAGAGATGTGGGACTTCCTGCTCTGTCAGTGCTGATGTGAGACATTATCTGGAGTCACAGAGGCTGAGGGCAATGCCATGAGCCAAATGACTGCGGGGGAAAAGAAGATCTAATTTCTTTCTTTCTCTCTTTTTTAAAAATCTAAATAGATGTCAGAATTTAAAAGGTGGTACTGTATGTATCTCACACTTGTATTGGTTCAGTTGACATGAGTAAAAAAGAGCAAAAAAAAAAAAGGTAAAAACCAAGGACATATAAATTCCTAAAAAGCAAGATCAAACAAAGGGATCCATGTGATTAGTTAAAGAGGGTAAAAATTAGGAGTCAGAGCAACAAGCAAACAATAGAGAAAAAACACAAGAAAACTTTTCTATGACCAATCATTCTTAATAGACTATAAACTAAAAAGCACAGCTGGGCTGACAATAATTTACATTTTCAACATGTCTGTGAAATGTGGAATAAACAATAATGAAACAAATAAGGCTTCTTACCTTGATCCAATTTCTTTAACTTTTCGGCTTCTCAAAAAAGATTTTTTTCCATACTTGTACAAACTTCGTTTTTCTCCCCAGTGCTGAGCCCTGCTGTGCTGCCCCTTCAGCGTCAGTGATTTCTGAGAGAGGACACAAACTGCTTTTACTCTGTTACAGTGTGCCTCTCATTCATGTCTCTGAGCACCGGTAAAGTCCGAAAGAACAACAGATGCTTTCACAGATTTTTGGGGTGGGACAAAGTGGCCGCTCGTTAACTTTTCCTGAGATGCAAAACCGACGAGGAAGTAACAGCAGTCCCGGGGAAGCCCGCTAGATGCTGCTGCCTACAAAATAGTGTTGTTTCGTTCGCGAACGATTCGTTCAAAAGAACCGAATCTTTTAAGTGATGTACTGAACCAAATCACTTCCTTGAGTGATTCGTTCAGCATTGCCAGTCGAGCAGCCGGCGAACGTTGGACCGCATGCACCGATGCCTGACTCACTTGGTGAACGAATCACGCATTGAACTATACTCTCTGGAATAATTTTTGTCAGACAAAACTACCTTTTTTTTTTGCGAGGGAACGGTGCATGTTCTTCCAAACGTTCAGTGAACGGATCACTCACTGAGCCCACCAGATAAATAGCATACCATAGGACAGTACACTTAAAACATCATGACTTATAAACAAGTTCATTTTTACAAACCTGTTTGCCAAAGCAACACAGCCAAACACTCTCGTCTCCTGGTCCCAGAAGCTATGAATTGAACTGAATCCTTAAATGTTCAGCTGTGTATCAGTTCAGGAAGTAGGAGTCGCAGGCTTCTCCCGCTGAGCGCTAAATGATAGGTGATTTGGTGAACGAATCTTTTGAACGAATCTTTTTAGTGAACTGATTCTAGTGATTCAGTACATGTAAAGAACTGCCGTGCCCATCACTACAAAAAAGCCCAGCATTTTCTGCTGTCCAACTACGGCTGCAGTCACTTCGAACAAGGGCAAGAGAACTTAAAATCGACTGCGCATCTATTATGTTATTTACGGTAAACCGTTTAGGTAGCTGCAGGTAACTGATGTCTAATATCACTGAATTTATCAGGTTTGCTCTGATATTTCTAAAAAAAAATTATGTTTCTTTAAGTGTATAACTAAGTGGGTCTCAAAGAAGACCTTACACCAGACTTTCAGTTTGGTGTACTGCATCATTTTTGAAACATAAACTGCTGAGGTCATGGCAAAAATCATCTGCTTCACAATAAATAAGCAAACCGTTTGAGAAAACTGTTAAAAAATGAAAATCATCTTGGTCTATATAGCTTTATGGGACTTCTCATCCAATTTACCAATCAGCTCAAATTGTTTAAAGAGTTCAGGTGTCATACAAGCATAAAAATCCATCCCTGAATACACAAAAGTGGCATTGAGTAAAATTATTGTTGAAAGTATGTTTATTGCAAATTTTGGTTTATGTCATTCAGTTTTTACCATTTTCACAATACACACACACCGCAACATAAACCTCAGGATAATTAAGACAGTATTTTCAGGATATGAACTCAAAAGAGTATTGGTAAACAAAAGGTCACCAATATAACTCAAAAACAAGGCTGATAGATTCATGTGATACTCAGCAAATAATATGGATTTTTCATCATCATAATATCAGTGTACAAGGCAACAAGTCATGAAGCAACAGTTTATTTTTGGTGGACAACCAGAGTTTAAGAAATTACACATTCAGCGCCATGTTGAAATCTGAGTGCCGGGAGGACAGAGGAGCATTTTCTTTGGAAAACAGCACTGTCTTCTTCAGCATTAAAGTATAAAAGAGGCTGCCCACACCTGCAGTAATAATGTTTGATTTTAAAGCTGATCTGACTTTCAAAAAGGGATTTTTTGAAATATGAGACCCAAGGGTGCTAATGTTGTCATAGTAACCTAAATATTCTGCTCCTCCGGCTAAGGAGACTCACTGGTTTCTGATACTTGATGTTAACAACTGCAAATTTATATCATCTCATTCTGTGTTGTAAATCATTATAAAACTACCTCACTAAAAGAAACACATGAGGCCATTATGACTGATAAACAAGTTTAAGGCTTGTCTAATGTGTGATAAATATATCAGAATATTGTATTAAAAGCTAAAATAGTTATTTGAACAGTAAAAAAAGACAATAAAACCCCCCAAAACATGGAAACTACATAGGCTTAAATAGACATTTTTCCATACATGTTTGCTGTTGAGTCATATTCAGATTTTTATGATCTAAAATGAATGCAGTGCTTGTGTTGACCAGGATGTCGACGCTTAACACAGAGAAAAAAAAGCTCTCTCTTTTATCATTGATTGCCTGTTTACACGGTACAATAGAAAAGAAATTTAAATAAAGGTTAAGGATGTGGTTGCTATCCAGATAGTGATAATAGGATGTGATGAAGCTTTGTTTAACATTTTGACATCAGACACATCACTTGCCTTCTTTTGCATCACTCCTGGTTTAAAATACATGAGTACGTAGCCCTTTGACTCCCGATACAATCATTCATTATTTTAGATGAATGTACTCAAGTATTTCAAACTGAACTGGGAAAAAAAACAAAAACAAAAACAGAACAGGCACACAGATGGATAAAAGTGGACAAACATTGATGTGAGGCAGCAGAGCATTACACTCCCACAGTGATCTGTTAGACCTCCAGGGAGCCATGTCAGGATGACGGCTGCAGAATGCAAGTGGCTGTAAACTTAGTGTATCACTTGGGGAAAGAGGAACATCCCACAGTCACACTGTGTAATCAAGATCAGCATTCATCTTATTGTACATCTCGTAAATAGCATCCACAGTGGCAGAGAAATTGACGAGGAATTTTCTGATTTTTTCCAAGCACTCTTCGTCTTTGACTTCCCGCCCCTTCGAGAGAGCTTTCAGGAAATCAGACTTGTAAGGAGCTGCAAAAAGAGCTGCCTAAAGAATACAAACACAACATTTTTACATTATGCTTTGTGGTATATTTCTAAAACGTTTAGAAATCTGTTTACCTAGGTACATAACTCTAGCAAAAGACTTTTAACTTACCTTAAAGAGCTGTTGAACCAACCATCCATGATACCTTTTTAGGGCGATTTCATAAGCTTTGGTGACATTAACTCGAATAAGGTTCGGGTTGCTTTCATCCTTTTCCCCATCTACGAGGCTCTGGAGGAATACTTGAATAAATCGTAGACCTCTAGTTGGATGAAAAGAATGAGATTATTGGGGCAGATCTTGTCCAAATTTGATTGATAAAAACAGCCCTAAAGTTAATAAAACCTGGAATAAAACATTTCTCAAACCTTTTTAGCCACATAAGTGCCAATGTTGCTCCAACTTTAGGCCATTCTGCCCCATGCATTTCCTTCTCTGCTTCTATTATCTGTTGTAGCGTCTTGAACCGTGCTGGGTTACTATCATAAACCGCCTTAATTTTCTGTTTTCAAAGAAAAGTATCTTATTGCATTGACTGTGTAATGTAAATGTAGACAGATATTATTCAGTACACATGACAGATCAATGACACTTACTATGATGTTTCCAGATATGTCAGCCTTTACTGGAGCAAAAATAGTCGAACCCAGACAGTCTGAGGAGAAATATTTACACACTGTGTGACCAAGAATGCAAGGGGATTCAACCTAGACACAGAACATGTAAATGATAAAACTACTAAAAATATAAGAATATAAATGAGAATACCAAACTCATTTAGAGCTTCTTGCACGGATCAATAACCTCTGTTAAGGGAAGACAGAGGGGCAAAATAATCTAAAGCAAACTGGACAGGAGGTTTCTTTACTTTGCCTTTCAGCAGATATTATTCTACTTAATAAAATAACAGTAATAATATGTATAACAGCTTTAGGGCCTGAACAATAGTCTAAAAGGGAATATAAAACCCTTAGCATCCCAAGTAATACAAGAGCTTAATATTTTATAACAGTGTTGTCTATTTAACAAGACTTTTAAAACTTCACAACCTGTGTTTTTGATGGTTCACTTTTAAAGCTCAAGTTGAACTAGTTGCAACTTAAATCCAATATATCTAAAAGGTCAGGCTAAGTTAAGGGGACAATTTTTATGTAATGATGTAGTAGTCAGTGAGTGATGCAAATGAAAGCATCTAGAGATAAACTGCACTCAATGCTTGGAGGTCCACACAAGCAAATCAAAACAACAGTCACAAACCTGGCAGTGGTTTAGATTCTGATCCTAACTTAATTTTCATTTTATCAAGGTCACCTGGCAAAATGGCTTGTCCATATGATGTATATACAGGATATATGTAAAAAGAAACTGAACCACATTTGCCCACCTATTATCGCTCTACACCAGCTCCCTGTTTCTTTTAAACTGATTTTAAGTCATTTTAATTGCTTTGAAAGCCAGCAGTGAACTACCCTTTCAACAAATATTTATTTATAGAGCACAAATCAACAATAAATGTTATCTCAAGACACTTTACAAAAAAAGCTGGTTTGGACCATGATCTATTTACAAAGACCCAATGTTAAGATGGGATAAGACTGAGCCCCATCGGATCCACTCCCACACCATCTTCAACCACTTGAGAGTGACATTTTGCAGCATTTAGCAAAATACAGAGGCAAGAAAAAAACTTTCTTTCAACAGGAAGAAACCCTAAGCGGAAACAGACTCATTTAGACAGTCATCTGCCACTGATGCATTGGGCTTTGAGAGGGGACAGAAGGAGATGCACTAAGAGAGAGATGGACAGAGGTAAGACATCATAGATATTCTATTGTTTTTACTTTAACGCTGAATTACAACATGGATAAAAGTGGACAAACATTGATGTGAACAAACATTTTTCTGCTCTTTCTTCATCAAAGTTTCAAGACTTTTTCATCAGTAGTGGGTGTAGCCATAAGTGTTTACATTTGCTACTTTAACCACAACTAACAAAGGAGTCACAGGAGAATAGCATCACTGCAGCAAATCTATAACTACTGTAACTCCTATAACTACAATGCTTCAAGGTTAATCTAATTGTACTAGGTCCATTGTGTCTGTTTACAGACACATCCTTTCAGTACCGTTTTAAGATACCTTCATTTAGGCTGCCAGGGGCCAAAGTATTCAGTAATAGGAGAGTAAACAATGAGACATCCAGAGTTCAGACCTCACAAGATGCTCAACCACTGACATAACAACCAGCTTTCAGCCCCTGAGCTGTCAGAGGAAACTACTCATGAAAGTCTGCTCTGCTGTGCTCATGTGATGCATCACCAACACTGATACTGATATATCTTGTTTCGGAAACATCCTCAACCGGTGTGGCTTTCTATATTTTCCCATTTTTAAGATTTGAAAAACAAATACTCATTAATTCTGGATAAAACATATGTAACAAACTTAAATGACCCGGTGTCATGTCACAAACATCTTGTGTTTGTTTCTCAAAAGACACACACGTGTTAATTATTGTTTTTTTTTTATTCTGCCTATTAGACCTTTTTTCAGGTTGAAACACAACATCGAAGTCGCCAGAAAAAGGGTGACATCCAATAAAAGTTAAATAGAGACAGTGGGGACACTTTCCAGACAGCCCTTAGAAAGACGTCTAATTAGGCAAACTAATTTCAAACACCTGCATGAGACCATACAGGGTTTTGATAGTGTATAGGAAAGTTGGCAAACTAATTTCTAGGTCAGGTGAAACAAAAGCAAAGAGGAAGAAAGAGTTTAATTTCGACAGCAGACTTGGTTCCTCTCAAGGGTTTCACATGGCACATTCAATAGATGGTCTTTGGCATATTAATACAGAATGAAGCAGCACAAAGATGCCCTGATGCACCATGGCGTCCGTGAATGGGCATAGGGAACCCAACACCGGACTAGCCCATTTTCACAACTTTAAATCCAGGCCAGTTGATTAAATTATGTATGATAAGGGATTGTAGTCAGCTTGATGAAGAGAAACATGATCCAAAAAAGATTACCATTTGGAAAGTGCAAGATCATATCATTACGCTTGATTCAAGTGTTGTGACAGATTTCTTTCACAGCAACTTCTGTGCTTACTAATCAAAGATGAACAAATCCCTCATGAGAAATTCAAAGCAGTAGAAGAGGTGTCTGTGACAGAGAACTTTTGTTAGATATAATCATGCATTTCTGTGCATATTTGGTGAGTAGTTATTATCCTGGACGATCAAAATTGATATCATTCTCTCAGTAGATTTCATTTGGCTACAACTGCTTTTTACATCTCTGACAGCCAGAATGTAAATGTGTCCCTTTTGTGTCTGAAGCTCCTGACATCTGGGAATAACCTTCCAAATAACTTTATGTCTGGGAATGTAACAGGTACCTTCACAGAATGTCACACTGTGGAAAGTTCACTCACCAAAGAAGGGTGGAAGGTATGACACAGCCTCCAAAAACGGTCTCGTTTCCACTTGTCTGTCAGCTGGCAGCTGCCTGAATTGGTGCTCCATTAGCAAGGCCATCTCTGTGCTCTGGACCCACTCCTACCTCTGAAACGATAGCAGGAGCTTGTCAGTCCTCCGCCGCAGATTTACACTGACACCCCCAAACACACACACACACACACACACACACACACACACACACACACACACACACACACACACACACACACACACACACACACACACACACACGTCACCTACATTGAACCCATGTTTGGTGGAGCATCCAGTAGACGGCTCGTGTGATCGACTTGTTGCTCGTAGTTGTGGGTCTTTGCCACATGTTGGGTGAAAAAAAAGGCGACAAACTGCGCTAAACACAAGTCCAGCACTAACACAAGGAGCCGGCAGCTGATGTGTTGAAATCAGCTGACACTGGTCCTCGTCTGCTTGATCACACATGCTGCATTACTGCCAACTAATGGAGTTTAGAGGAATATCACAAAGAAATTCCTCTAAACTCCATTATAACAGAGAAATAGAACCAGTGCCATCGACTCCACTCCTTCAATTATGTTTACTTTGAAACATTGAATCTGTAGCCTTCTTTTTATTTATTTATTTATTTATTTATTTATTTATATATTTTACTTTTTTTTTTTTTTAACTTTAACCTTAAAGATGAAGAAGTAAGAATGAATAACCAAATTAATTGATAATCAATTGCTAGGTTGATTATATGTAGGTCTGGTTATACTGGTTGGCTTTATGTTACATTTTATTTAATTTTCCTTAAAGAAAATAAACCATTCAATCTCTTTTATAATCTTTCAATAGTTATAGTTAACAATGGTAATTCGTGGTACAAAAAGAGGGAGAAAATATAGAAACTTAGTTGAACATCTTCAATCTTTTGAAAATTTAGAACAAGATATTTTTGACAAATATTTTGACCAGGATGTTGCCATTTTTTAATTTTTTATTTTCTTTAGGTACGAGAATAAATAACCAAATTAATTATTATTTAATTGCTAGGTTGATTACAAGTAGGCCTGTTACATTGGTTGGCTTTCTGTTCCATTTCGTTTCATTTTCGTGAAAAGAAATAGAACATTCAACAATTAAATAATGGTAATTCGTGGTACAAGAGAGAGAGAGAGAGAGAGAGAGAGAGAGAGAGAGAGAGAGAGAGAGAGAGAGAGAGAGAGAGAGAGAGAAAATTAGAAGCTTATTTGTACAACGCTCTTAAAAAGAATCAGTTTTCGCGTTTATGCCGTCGACGAATTTTGACCCGTACTGCATTCCGTAGCGTGTGAGTAACTAGGAAGTGTTGGTAACCAAGGAAAGCAAGGGATGAGGAGACTTTTCGGTTATGAGGCGCAAAACGTTGTAAGGTTTTCACAAACATTAAGGCAGAGAACCCCATTTTATCGCCGAAAGACTTGGAAAATATTTTTTTCTCGCTATAGCGGCTCATAAATACTTGGGTAAGTATTTCAGGTAGTAATCGGAGTGACGAAAGTATTACCGCGTTTAAACTGCTTGGGTTTTCTCTTGTGTGATTGAACGCTCCTCATTGGTGAACGTTAGTAAACACGAAACATTCAATTAGCATCAGGATAACTGGGTTACACATTCCTAAGTGTTTTGTGGAGGCTATGTGAAGTGAATGTAACAGGAATAAGGATTGGGTTAAAGTAATGCTTACTTTTGATGCATGTAACTTGTGCTTCAGGTCGATGGCTCTGCCGACCCTCTCGGTTCATGGGCCCAGTCGGTCCCGGGTGCTGGCCGGACAGCTGGCCCGGCAGCGGGAGCAGGAGGCTCGATGGCGGCAGCAGTGGGAGCTGCATGCTCAGTACTTCAGGGAGCAGAGAGTCCGCAGCCAGAAACAAGCTGTGTGGAGCTCCCGACAGTCCTACCAGCAGAGGTAACTTCACCATACACAGAGTCACTGACTCTTCGAGCACGATAACAGCTCGAGAAATACAAGAAATTAGAAGTCAGATGCTGAAAAATACTGGTGACTACAGATTTCTACTAATCAAACTAAGTCGCGGTATTGAACACCTCTACAGTATACACTCTCTCTCCCCTTTGTAGGTTTCACCACCAAGCAATAATACAATAAATGTAAGATGTATACTTGGATTAACACAAGGGAAATGTAGTGCAATCCAATACAATAGGTCGATACGGTGGCCGAGAAACGCCACTGCTGCAAATAAAAAAATAAAATTAAAAAAAAAGAATGCAAAAAAAAAAAGAGAAGCCACAATGGAAGTTACCAATCCAAAAAAAAAAGCCCACTGCGAAAAAAAAAAACCCCAATGCAGATAAAAAACAAAACAAAACAGTGGCAATCAAAAAAAAAATAATACTTACTGCAAAAATAAAAGGATGCAAATAAAAAAAGCCACAATGGAAGCGAGCTGCCGGGGACCAATAATGATGATGCACCAGGGTTTTATGATCTAGGCACAGAAGATGACGGCAAGAAGACGAGCAAAGAAGTAAGTGGAAAGGTTATTATTTGATTTCGCTTCGTGTACTTTTCAATGTTTCATCTGGTTAGGCCATGTAGCTTGAGTCAATATGAAGTTCAACTGAAGCTAACCCTACTACTGCATCCTCCAGTTCAACTTCATATCGACTTAGGCCAAAACACTTGTGCATCATCATTATTGGTCCCCGGCAGCTCACTTCCGTTGTGGCTTTTCTTATTTGCATCCTTTTATTTTTGCAGTAAGCTTTTTTTTTTCCCCCATCGTTACTTTTTTTTTTTGCTAACTTCCGTTGTGGCTTTTTTTTTTTTTTTTTTTAATCTGCACCATTTCCTTTTTTTATTTGCAGCGGGCTCTGGTTTCTTTTTTTGTTGTTGTTGTGACTTCTTTTTTTTTTTTACATTCTTTTTTTATTTGCGGATTATTGGTTAAAAAAAACTCATTAAAAGAGTAAAAGCACGATAAGCAGGTTCTATGAGGGGGGATCAAAAGTTCTGCTGGAAAGGAAATTTTTTAGTCCTTTTTAAAAACTTTTACTGGGTTGTGGTGCCCTCAGGGTGTCAGGGAGGGCACTCCAAAGGCGTGGAGCAGCAGCACAGAAGGCCATATCTCCCATGGTCCTTAATTTGGTTCTGGGGGTGAGGAGGATACATAGAGCTGAAATGAAGCAATTGATAAACCATGAAGTTTCTGTATGAATGCAAAGATTTTCATCTTTTTATGATCCACTTTATAATTGTCATGATAATGCAACTAGGTTTGTTTGACAGTCACTGACAAATTTTTAGGATGAAGTTGCTAATTAAATAGATTGTTGATGTTCATATCATTAAAACCAGGTATTTCACATAGGTATTTGTTGATTCTTTTGGAATAGATGAATAATCTAAAGATACAGTGCAGGTATGATCTTTTAGCACTTAAGCTCAGAGGTATTCTCTTCCTCTCAGATAATGCTGAAAAAAGAAACAAGGAGAAAAACAACCTTTCCTTTTTCAACCTCTATTTTGTCAGCATGTCAGCATACCATAACCAAAGACTGAAGGAGGAAAAGAAAGCCGATCTGGAGCAGCGCAGGGATCGACTGAGGACTATGCTTAAAGAGGAGCAGGACCAGCTGGAGGCAGAGCTTAGAAAAGTGGTGCCTGACAGGAAAACACTAGCAGGCCAGCTGGTGCAAAAAACTGAGGAGCTACGCACAGTGAGAGAGGAGAGAAGAAAAAAGGTGTTTCAATTGATCTGATCATTCCCCTTTCAGCACTGCATCACAGTTTCTTTACATTACTGTCAGTCTACAATATGTTTCTCTTTTTCATCCCCAGCTTGCACAAGAGCTCCTAAAGGAACATTGGAAGAAAAACAACCCAGAGCTGCGGGAGGTAGCTAATTTTAATTTTTAACACAAAAGTCTCACCATGTTGCCATTCCTTTTATAATAGTTTCTGACATGAAAAAAAAGACAAATGTAATTAGGATTCTTGAGGCAATACTCTGCTTCCTAAGACTCTTGTGGGAAGGGAAAATAGACACTTTTTGTCACATTACCCACTTGATCTTGAAACTAATAGGGCTTGTGATGTGGATATTCCATGACTTTCTGTGAACCTGAGAGATTGAGATGATCTGGTATCTCTTCAGTTTAGGCTCATGTTCATCAGTATCTCTGTCTTATCTTTGTTAGTACCTGCTTCCTTAATCTGTCCACAGGTGGAGTCAGCATTGCATACAGATCATGTTGTCAGCCAATGGCAGGGGCAGATATCTGAGAGAAGACAGGTAAGACATTCATCACAGCTGTCCAAACAAACAGCTAAATAATTTCCTTTAGCTGTTTTTACAATCATCTAAATTCTGCAAGTGTTTTTATCCTTATGTTGTTGATCAACATTGATGTTGCTAGTTTGCAAATTAATTTGAACCAAAATAAAGAGAAGCCGCTTCATTCTCCAAAGTATCACCTCAGTCGAGCCAGCAGGGGCAAATAGCACCCACAGATCATTAAACTCTGTCGTTATCTGTTTACTCGACTAATTATTTATGTAGCAAATCAATTTTTAATTAAACAGTACCCATCTGTGCGCAAAGTATCAACTGTGAAATCCACTCTCATCAATCACTTCAACATGGTACATAATTGAACAAGTTTTGACACCCATTGTAAGTGACCCATGTCTCCAAACATGCAGCAAGAAATAGCAGAACACGAGGAGAAGAGACGCTATGAAAATGAGTACGAGAGGACTCGAAAAGAAGCTCTGGAGAGGATGAGGCAAGCGGAGGAAAAAAAGAAAGAAGAGGAGCAGAAGAGGGCTGAAGATCTTCGAAAACAGATGGAGGAGCTGAAGCTGAGGGAAGAAGAGGTATCTAGTGATTGGATATGACAGCTCTGCTCTTTAAAATTACATGGCAGATGTGTTTTTCACATTTTTTCCCCCTCAGGCAACCCGTCTAAAGAAGGAGCATGAAGCTCTGCTGGTCAAGAAGTGGGAACTGGAGAGGATAGAGGAGGAGAGGATGAAGGTGGAGGAGCGTCAGAAGAAGTCTGAGATGGGGTAAGGGAAGCCCTTTTTACTCAGAACTAAATACTAGTAAGGTGATACTTCACTCACTGGATTTGTGATTCATCAGGCATTTCTTGGTCCGTCAATATCGTGCTCAGCTTAGGAGGAGAGCTCAGCGAGTGCAAGAGGAGCTGGTTCGTCTAGTTTTAATATTTCTAACATTTTTATTTACAAGTGGAGTATTTAGCCTTTTTTCATGTTGCACTCCTCTGTCCTCATCAGGAGAATGATCAGCGGATCCTGGCTGCCCTGCTAGAAGGAGAAGAGGAAGACCACAAGATGAATTCTGCACGGCGGGAAAGGGCCGTCGCAGATGTTGCCTGGATGAAGCGCGTCATTGAAGAGCAGCTTCAACTAGAGCAGGAGAGGGAGGCTGAGTTTGATGTTTTACACAGGTAAGCACAAAGATTTTATGAGCTCTGTGTCTGTTGGAGGGGGACTCAACTATAAAAACCACCAATATATTCTAATCATTTCAGAGAGGAAGCCCAACGTGTGTGGGAGAAACGAGAGGTGCAGTGGGAGAAAGAGAGGAAAGCCAGAGAGAGGCTTATGCGAGAGGTGAATTTTAGTCAAATTAAACTGAATTTTTTGAGAGTGATATTCAATAAAGTGAAATTCTCTTTCTTCCTCGTGAAAAGGTGTTTGCAGAGAGACAGCATCAGCTGGAGCTGAAGGTACAGAAAAACCGGGAGGCTCAGGAGGAGTCACTAAGGCAACGAGAGGAACTCATCCAAGAGCTGGAGCAGGAGAGGGAAATCAGACAGCAGGAGTTGGAGCAAGAGGCGGGTCGCAGAACTGAACGCATGCAAGAGATAAATGCTCAGGTGGGCCCATAATGAAGTGGAATGTCTTATCATAGTGCATCATCAATTATAGGACCTCAAAAAAGCTCTTCTCGGTCTCCAACAAGGAGTCTTTGATTGCAGCTCATTTCTGTGATTGTGTGTGTGTGTGTATTGTAGGTGGAGCAGCAGCGCCAAGATCAGTGGGAGGAGCAGCGTAGGATAGAGCAGGAAGAGGAAGAAGACAGGGAGGCTGTCCGAATCCAGGAGGAAGAGCTGAGGAGTGAGATTCAGAGGATGGCCAAGAGAGGGTTCCAGGAAAAGGTAAGAGATGAAAGTCAAAGTCAACCTTTATGACTTCTTCAATGCAACAAAAAAAGCTATTTCATGTTTATTTTTGAAAACTTTGGCTCTTCCAGGTTCACAGCAGACCACGATCAGCCTGGACCTGAGTTACCTGCAGGAATGAGATCCAAAACGTGCTGTGAGATGTAACCATGTGAAAGAATTATTCCTGAAAATGATTCACATCTCTTCAATCCAAAGTGACACACTTTTTCTCTGGTTTGGATTTTCTCGCTGAGCCAAAAAGACAAATGGGATATTAATTCAACATGATTCATTTGCACTCCTGAAGGGTAAATTTCACAACGTACTTTTGCGCATTTCTTTTTACATATTTCTCACTTTGGATCAGTGTAAAGGTTAGTTTTTACAGAAAAGTAGTAAAAGAGTGAACGTTTTTATCAACCGAATCTTTAAAAACACCGGTCCTGCTTTACGAATGAATCCAGGCTGTGATTATCATGACTTTTAGGACTGAAGTATCGAAGTAGATTCAGAGTAAATGTGTGCCATCTTTTTGTAAGTTATTTAATAATAGTTGTTTGTATATAAATAAAAAGGTTTTTTAGTTTCAAAGCTGTATTTTTCCAAACTATATTTGTAGACTGTTTTCAATAAAACTGCTAAAAAAACTCAGTGTTTTGTGTTGGGACAAAATTGCAAAATCACCAAAGACAGATAGTTATAAATTAAGTTTATTTAGAAAATAATTATTTGTCAAATTGCAACTCTGACGCTGCATCACATACATCCCTGCGCTCCACTGAAGCACAGAGAGGGACATTACCTTGATCAGATTTCAAAAAGATGAACTCTGAAACACTTGCTGAGGATGGATGCTGGGTTGCACAAATATTCAGGAGACATCTACATTTCTATCCCATATGTTGCACATTTACTGCAAAACTAGCAGCAACCGAACAGAGCACAAAACACGTGGATGCACATACAGTATGGCTATTAGCTCTGAATAACATCCAGTAATGCAGTGAAGCACAAGACAACGGAATAAAACTCAGCATGGAGCCTGTTAAAAAACCATCCAATCATTTGAGAGTAATGCAACATCTTGGCACCAGTGGAGATTATAACTTTGGCCCCCTGAACAAGTGTCGCATTCACTGACTGGACAAATGTGCAAACATTAATAGCTGCAACTAGTGCACTACCAACTGGATTAAACTTGGACAGAGGACAGACGTATAAATAGCCTCTTGGATGCAGAAACATTATCATTACAGAGCTACATCAACATGTGCGAATTAAGTTCCTAACATTCGACTGGAAGTTGGTGAAATGGTCAGTTTGTGTTTGGGGATAAAACTTTGCAGTGTGATACCGCTTTGCACAGTGCAATCAAAAAACAGGAAGCTCCTTTAGCTACAAGATTGTGAACTACAGTATTCAATGACAGTGGATTCATGACTTGTTTATGGCTTTTCATTACCCTTGTCTGGCTTTAGACTGATAAAGTAACTGATATTATCTAGTGTCCTGTGCTTAATGCTTCCTCTCAGTTACAGGTATTTACACTGCAGATTGAGATTACTTGAATTTTTAAAGATGTTACAGTACCCAGGCCAGCTAGCTGCTGTATTTTGGCTTACCATGATTTGTGTAGGTTATAAATTACCTCATGGGAATTGTGCTAATATATTGGCCTGGTGTCTCTTAGTAAAGTTGCTGACCATTTCCCTTGACACTCATATTTTGTCCAGAGTTGGCTTTCATATAGTCAATAATCATTCATAAATAAAAAACATGCATGCAGATATGGCAATTACAAAAAAACAACCGAATCATTTAAGAGTGTGTGTATATAGATATATACACGCATACATATTCATATACATATATGAACAAAACTGAGATGCTGACTGCTTTGCAGCCTGTAAGTGCTGTTAGTTTGTGTTCTCCTTTGTCGTTATGGTCACAAGCTGCTTGGCTGCCTTGGCAATGTCATAAGCACATTGGATGACCTGCTGGGTGACCAGCTGCATGTCCGGTCCTGGGCAGCCCTCTGAGGGCAACGCCTTCCTGCACTCACTCTGAAGCCGGAACGCACTCGAGGTCAACAAGCGCAGTGAGCCTCTCACAGTCTCTGAGCGTGGCTTCTGCAGAACAAGGTTAAATATTTCAGTGCTGATGGAGAGTGTAAATGTCGACAAATTTGTATAAAGAGGTCATGTAGTGCACATCCTTCAGAGCCTGATGAGTCATTAACTGCGTGGGACTGATGTCCATCATACTCACTTAAGAGAAGGTATATTTAGGACACAGTTATGCACACATTAAAGGGCATTTCACAGTATTTTAATAAAATAAAAAACACTGAAATAGTCATAGGAAAAAGGTTTCTCAGAGTACTGGCTGATTTAGAATTTGAAATTTAGGTATTCTTGCTTGTAAATTACCCCAGAGTACATTTAGAAACAGTCATTATTGATTGATTGATTGATTGATTGATTGATTGATTGATTGATTGATTGAAGTGATTATTTTGAACTTATAAAATAATAATAATAATAATAATAATAATGATAAAAAAGTAAAGAATACCACAACAAATGACAAAAAGTCTTTCATGTTCAAAAAGGAGTGGAAAGAAGTCGAGACTCATCTAGTCCTACCCCTTCTCCCACACTGATGATCTAAATATATATCATAATATTATATAATAATATTAATCATCATAATGATAAATAAAAGCAATAAAAATAATCACCACAGTGAAAATAACAAAACAACAACAAAACTATAATGATAATGATAATAGTAAATATGATTGTACATCCCTGTATCCCTTGAAAACATATTCTTTATATTTTGTTTTTCAACTGTTTTATGTTTGGACATTGTTTTAACTCCTCACCCAAACCATTCCACAGTCTCACCCCACAGAATGAAATGAAAAACCGTTTTCTGCTTGTGTGGATTTTATTAATTTTGAGGTCATACTTCCCTCTTAATTGATAGCCCCCCTCTCGATCCCCAAACAATTCCTGTACATTTTGTGGTAGAGGGTTATTTTTAGCTTTATGCATAATTTGTGCTGTTTGGAATTTCACAACGTCTGTAAGTTTAAATAATTTTGACTGCAAGAAGAGTGAGTGAGTGTGATCCAGATAACTGACATTATGAATGATCCGTTTTGCCCTTTTTTGAGGAATAATCAGTGAATTGATTGAACTCATTTAATCATTGCCCCAAATCTCTGCACAGTAATTGAAGTATGGTAAGACAATGAACTTAAGAGATTAAAACAGCTGTCATTTGAGCACATTCCCTTACCTTAGGAAAGAGAGCAGCCATCTCTGTTACAGCCACATGTATTCTTTCTGAGCATGGTATGAAGCTGTGAGGAGAACAGAGCAGTCCATTAGTTCAAAATATCATGAATATATAATAAAATTATAGCTCTTATGTTTATAAGTCAACCAGAAGCTCTAACATGCAAGTTATACTGTAGTATTAACAACACACCGTGCATTGTCATCTTCAACTTTCGTTTATCATGCTGTTTACTGATAACTTCAGTGAGTAAAGTTACTTTTATTTTAAATTCCCTTTCCATATTCAAAATTGCAGCTTGAAAAACGAATATTCTGCAGAATTTAAATCAAATCCAAGTCGCTGGAAGGTGAAACCTCTGAATCATCTTTATGCGGCTGGAGGACACTCAAATTCAGTGCTCGAGGAGAAAAACTCAAATGTTTCAGACTGAATACAGCCGGGATCAAATCACGGGAGGAGAGAGACAGCATGTTAGCGGGTGAGACAGGAGAGAAAGAGTCAGGGCCAAGAACTGTGTGAGGGAGAGAAAATGAAACTGTGCCTGGGAGGCAGGGACAGAGGCCAGAGTACCAGGAAGAGGGGTCAGGGGACCGGAGGCTGAGTGGCTGAAGGGGAGGGGAGGCCTTCTCGGCCCAGGGCACCAGAGTGCTGAAACATCCCAGGCTGTGTCTGAGCCTGCGCACACCTTCCCGCTCACATGGTCTGCTCACAGGGGGGGCGGGGACATCGAAACAGTATCACAACAGTGGATGTAAAAACAGAGGAGGGAGAAGTGAAGATGATAAATAAAAAGAGGAAATGGCAGGAGATAAACCTAGCTGAACAGAATCAGATAATGATGAAAGGAAGAGGAACTGGGCTTCAGTGTGAGAAAGGAAATAAAGAGCAGATGGTAAAACGATACAGAAAGATCCTGTTTCTCTTCAGACTCTGACCTGTCGTGTTTGTTCTCCTGAGCAGCTCGCAGCAGCTCTTGGATGTTCTTGGTGATTTGCTCAGTTTTGCGGATGACATCCTCTGTGCTGGGAAGTGTGGGGTCTGCCTCTATCTCTGCATCAGCCAGCTCAGGGATGGAGCTCCCCTCAGCCATCCAGCCGCTGCTCCTCAGCCTCGCTCTCCTGCACAAACTGTAGGGGGAAGAGTTCACGACGTGTCATCTTTACTGCCTGATTCCCAGCTCTGTTTTATTCTGCAGAAAACACAGGTCATCCTTCCACTTGAACTTGATTTCCTGGTAAACAGCTCTTACCCTGATTCATCCATCTCAGAGTCATTGAATGTGTTGTCATAGTCACTTTCAGGCATGCTGCTTTGCTTCTCTAACTTAGAGGCCTGGAAGGAAAAGGAGCAGTTAAAAAAAATATGCTAGAGATGGTTTTGTCTCAAAAAACATCGCATGTCACAGTCCTTATAAAACAGAAACAGCTGTGGGGAAATCATTATTTGGATGGATGGTTTTGTCTCAAAAAACATCGCATGTCACAGTCCTTATAAAACAGAAACAGCTGTGGGGAAATCATTATTTGGATGCTTCATGTCAAACAGTTTAACAAAAGCATAAATCAGTAATGTAGCCTTTCCTGTTTGCTGTGTGCCAAACTGGAAGATACACAGTGTAAGAGAAAGCGGTGCAGATGACTGACTCAAATCAGCCCATAAAGCTGTGAAGCGAATCATCAATCCAAAGCATTCACTCTGGGGTTAGTAAAAGAGATGATTCAGATTTCGGGATGTTTATTCCAACAGAGATGTCACAACCACTAAAGGTCACTTTCTTCTCTTAAAACTGACCTCATCTTCTGGGATCACTCGTGCAATCATCAAATGTTCGGGGATGAAAACCCCTTGCAGTCGATTTCGCTCATGTCAAAAAACAAAACAATCACCTAAAAGCCAAGACTGATAATAAACAACACATGGGGGAAACAAATGACATCAGAACTATGACATGTAAGCTTAACTCCTCCTCTAAATTCAAGGAAAGGAGACTCCAGAGAGCCTTTGTTTAAGGACAAGGATGAGAAGATTCGTTTAGAGGAGTTTCCAAATTAAACTGAACCACACGGTCGACAAACATCAACTGTACTGGATAAATAAATACCTCTCATACTCAGACCAACATCAATAAACAGGAAGCTAGCTCAAGCTCAAGCTCTTATACATTTTCATTCTCTTAACATCAGTGTCAGTCGACCTGCACCGACAATGTCCCACAGCACTCACTCCCCCGCCTCAGAATCAGAATCAAATCTAATCGGCTCACAAACGTCCGGATAAAATCCTTTTCCTCCTCAACAGGAGATCGATCTTTTAACAGCAGAAGCATCTTTTGAGTAACTGCTGAGTCTGAATGTTACAAAAAGAAGTGAAAGCATGCTATTGGAAGCTTACTTTGCAGAACAGCCAAGTGTTTGTAGAGGGATGGCTCATGCAGCAGGGCAGACATGGAGCAGCATATGGAGGACAGAGGAAGAGGCGAGGGATACGCTGCATCCAACAAGATGTGGACCGAGGATGTACTTAACCTTTGGAGCACTTTCGTCCCTCGGCCAGGAGAGGGTGGATGGAAATGAGGGGAGGGATGAAGATGTAGTCACAAAAGCAGCCTTTTCCGTCTGAAGACAGGGTTCAAACCATATTAAGAGGACACAGATGGCTATGATTAAAAAGGAAAATCAAACTAAAAAGTGAGATGATCAAGACTATTGTCCCCAAAGTCTGTTTGAGCTACTTGGTATCAACAAATCTGTGAAGAACTGGAGCTGGAGTCAAAAACCAGCTGCGCCGTGACCATCAGAGTACAGGATCAAAAGTCTCTATGGACAAATTTTTAATTGATCATCCACCAATGAGAGAAAAATTAAAAAGTTGAAGCCATATGATCAGGGATTCAGGCTTTGAAAACAAAATATCAAATATGTGAGACATAGCCTTGAATGTTATTTCATCACACACACAAAAAAAAAAACAAATTTCAATTAATGAGAACTCAAACAAATGAGAAGAAAAGTGAGTTTATAAAAAAGTATCATGCATTACAAAAACACAGAGAACTTGTATGGTAGTTTTAATGCTTCATCAACATAAACACAATACAAACCTTCAGAGTTTATCAAAATCACAGCAACCTTGCAAGTCCTTGCATGTACAAACAAGCATTGCTAGAACGACAACAGATACACGTAGTCGTAAACATGTACATGGACAGGTTGAGACATGCCTGGCTGTGTCTAAGTGATGTGTGATGACTCTTTTTTTTGATGCTGAAAGAATCTACCCAGAGGCAAATGAGGAAGAGAAGTTTTGACAGAGGAATATTTGCAGACAGGGTGAATAATGTGAAGGGAAAGAGGGCAAAAGTGAAGAAGTGGCAGAGGAGAGCAGGGAACAGGTCTTACTTACATGAGGTGGGATGGGTTGCAGGGTAGGGAGGGCCTCCTCAGGGTAAGGGGTATCTCCTTTAGGGAGAAAGGGCTTCAGGCCTGAGCCAGTCTCATACATAGACATGGGCCGACTGGCCCGTGCAGACTGCCGGCGTTTCAGGGCTGAGGGGCTGGAGGGGTCGGGGTAGTCTGAACCGCTGGGGACCTGATAGATATTGGTAGTGACCTGCCGCCTGAGAGAGGTGTTCTCGCTTTGCAGAGATTGCAGCTGGAAGAGACGGGCAGCAACACACTAAGAGGAGCTCTCAGCAAAGCAAGCTGTGTTCCCTGATCTGAACAAAGCTAAGGTGCACTGTCAGAGTCTGCTACAGCCAGCATGCTTCAATTCTACCCTGCCAGGTTTTCACATATCTTTGGGACAATCTGCTCTCTGATTGTTTTATTTACTCCACAATAAGAGTTTTATCAGTACCTAGAAACTTTATCATGATAGAAACCTGAGAACCCATTTGGTTTGACATTGATATCAAATTCTGTCAGCTGTCAATGAGGTTGTTGACTGAACTGCTCAAAATCATGTGAAGAAAATTACATTCTGGTTTGGAGGGGAAGTTCTCCTGGTCTAAAATGCAAAGCCAGTGGTAAGCAAGCAAAAGGTTCTTGCATAGGTAAGCAACACAGGTGCAGTTTTAGTCAAAGTTGAAGCCAAAGTAGAGATGAATCGACTGAAAATTTATAAGAGGACAAGAGGCATCCGAGAATGAACAAAATAACAGAGATTTTGTTGCAGATGCAAAAGTTTGAGAGCAGAAAAAACTGGCCTTGAGTAAATAAAGGTCAAAACAAATGGTAGAAATTGTTGGTCGAAAAAAGAGGCTTATTGTTCAGTGGCTACTATGCTATTGTTGGGTTCAAACAAAGGGAAACTACTTTTACAATACTTTTTGCTTTTCCTATTCTTGAAAACTACAACTATGACTGTGTATTTCAAGAAAAGGCCAAAACATTTGGTACCTGCAGCATCTGCATTCAAAAGAGGTTGTTTTTTTTGATAATCTGTTTGTCTATATGTTAACACAACACTAAAACACATCAGTAAAAAATACAGTGCAGTACAGTACAGTATGCTACAGTGCTGTAAGGAATCATCAAGTTTACCAGAACTGAAATGAAGCAACCTCGACACACAAACACAAATATATATATATATATATATAAGCGCTAAAGTTATAAAAAATAACAAAAAAATAAGATGTAACATGTTGAAAACATCCATAATCTAACTGATCATTTTCCTGCTAAGACACAGCTCCAACATTTTTGCAAAATCTAAAATCAGCAGTTTGAAGTACAGCGATGTATTATTCAGAACAGCTCAAGAGGACCAGTTTCAACAACTAGGACAACAAATGTCAAATAAAAAAACACATATCCAAAACAATCATCCAAAGATTTTCAATTAAATAAACAAAGTATATGTGATGAAGCAAGGCACACACATACAGTTTCAGTTAGTCACTACCAACTATGAAAGTTAAAAATGTCACTGTCCATTACTTCATGCTTTTTTTTTCAACATGCATGTTAGTAACAACAGATAGTAGTCTTAATTTAGTACAAAAAATTATGTCCAAACTCAACTGTTTTTGGTTATTAGCGAGGGGAAAAAATGGCAAAGGAAAATAAAAAATAAAAAATAAAATCTCCAGTTTCAAAATCAAAACATGCCGGTCTAAACAGAGGGCGGACCAGCAGGGTGTCGCACCAGCATCCTCTCTGCGGAGCGTTCCTGTTCAGACAGCTCGGTCTCCACTCCGGAGAGCGATGACACTAGGCAGGAGAAGAGCTCTACTGACCACTGTGGCCCCCCCTCGGTCCAGCCCAACCCCCCCGGAGTTAGTGATCGTTTTGTTTGGACGTGGTGGGTACCTTTTTCTGCATCAGCCGCAGCTCGTCACTCAGGTTGTTGTTGGCTTTCATGAGGTGCTGGATCTTCGCCTCAGAGGCTGAGAGTGCATTTTTCACCTCCAAGTACTCCTGCATGGTGATGGGGCTGTCGGAGAGGTCAGAGTCCAGGCTCTGTTGGGAGGGGGTTTAAGAGGAAAAATAAAGACACCTGAGAGAAGAGAGAGAGAGAGAATGTATCTGGCTGGGTTTTTCTTTGTGAAAGTGACAGTGTGATACCTTCGTCCTGTCTCCTTTACTGGAAGGGAGCTCCTGGTCGGTGTCCTCATCAGACGCCACACTGTCATAGTCTGGCTGGTCATTGTCCTGACTGTCACTGCAGTGCCTCACAGCTACACTCTTCAGGATAAATTCAACGTTATCTGGGATAAAAGGAGCACAGACAGGCGTTGTACAAGCAGTACAGCGGCGCTTCAGTTCAGGGTCATTTGGATCTGCGCTGACATTAAACTGACCTTTGGGGCTGGATATTAAGTTCCCTTGTTGTCTCCGCTTAGCGTCGCTCAATATATCAATCACAAGAGTGGCGAATTCATGTGCATTAAATCTGGCGAGCTTCTGTCGACCCTGGGAAGAAACACAGGCTCACATCACTCCACAAAACTACATTCATGCAGAGGGGGAACATAAATCACTCCTCCTATTGGACTTGTGTACAGCTGACTAACCTGGTTTCTTGTTGATGAATATTCTGGATTCACAGGAAGAAAAGGCACCACAGTCGTCTCTGTCACCAGGGTGCTGTGATTCTGTGTAGCCAGCCACACTAAAAATTTTAAATAATAATAACTTTATTTATACAGCACTTTTAAAAACAAGAGTTTACAAAGTGCTTTAACATGCAGGAAAAGATACAAACAACAGAACAACAAGAGAACACTCGGGGGGGAAATGTCACATCACTGGCAATGAAGAAATAAAATAAAAATCGGTGGAAGACAAAAAAGTTTTGATGAATGTCCCATGAGCTGAGACGTCATTAAAACGAAGACATTATAAGAACCCGTGATACCCAGCCAACACAGGAACCCAACCACAAAAACCTGAGACCAAGGGGACTTTTATAAAACATGAATAAGAAAAGTAAATGGCCTTAAAGAAGACAAAATCACACAAAAGAAAGTCTATAGCAGTGACTGTTTCTGCACACCTAATCTCCTCGGGGAGGTCGTTCCAAAGTCGAGGGGCCCTGATGGAAAAGGCCCTATCACCTTTAGTTACAAGTCTTGACTTTGGAACGACCAGGAGACCCCCACCTGAGGATCTCAAGGTGCGGGATGGCTCATAGAGGGTTAAAAGTTCTGTTATATAGATTGGAGCCAGACCCTTTACTGACTTAAAAGTAATGAGTAAAATCTTAAAATTGATTCTAAAACTTACTGGAAAGCCAGTGTAAAGATGCTAAAATAGGGGTAATGTGATGTCTGCTGCATTCTGGACAAGTTGGAGGCAGGAAAGAGATTTCTGTGTAATACTAGAAAGAAGTGAGTTACAGTAATCTAGGCGGGGGAAGATGAGGGCGTGAATGACTTTTTCCATGTCTGACTGGGAGCGGATGGATCTTAATTTGGAGATACTGCGTAAATGGAAGAAGCAAGACTGTGTGATTTTATTGATATGAGCTGCAAAGGTGAGGTTAGAATCAAACTGAACTCCAAGATCTCTGGACATAGTGGTTAAAAAGACATAGTGGTGACCAGGTGGTGCAAATAAAGCCGCAACTGCAGTGATAGCTTCAATGCTTTCACTAGATCATCTTACCTGCATCTGTCTCTCGTCTGTCCACCTCATCATACACATCCATGGCCAGCTCCTCAAATAAATGATTACTCAGCTGCAAAAAAAAACATAAGAAATCAAACTTCGATAGAAAAGCGAGAAAAAGAACTCTGCAACACAACTCTGCAAAAGTACTCACAGACTGCAGTTTCTTCTTTGCCGCTTTGGCCAGTTCTGATAAGTCTAAACTGCTACAAACAGAAAATAACTGTGTTAACGCTCTGCAGAGGAGGTGCTCATCCAACACGATGCAAACTTCACTTTGAGAAATACTTACATGTTCCTTATCCATCAAGAGAGCAGTTAAAGAAAATCAAAAGATGGTTTAATGTTTGTTATGCAATGCTTGTTCTGCTTTGTGGGTAATAACGCTTCATCTACATGCAGTTTTTCTCCTCTGTTTGTCAGCTACTTCACAGAGTCTGTTTCCTTTCACAGATAATAGATGCTGCAGCCAGCTAACGGCATGTTTGAGCAGGCCTCAGAGCAGTAAAACAACCCTTACACTCTGCTCACTCTGTTCAGCACATTTAGGTTAAACTCCTCACTCAGACGCTGAATTCTTTATACCAAGTTTAGTGAACACTTTCTTACCTGTCAGCCATCTGAGGAACAATGAAGTGCTGCCCGCTCTTATGATCTGAAAGAAACCAGATTGTACGGGATAACTGCCAACAAAGCCATGAATATTTATAGGAGATTAAAACACTTTCTATTAAGCATGATTTGGGTCAAGTGCACAATCAATATTCACACAGCAGATTAAATGTCATGCATAATTGATTTTTATCTGTCTGAAGTAATCATCAAACTCCAACTACACAACACATAGTCCTCTTAAACACCATCTTTTAACTTCATATCTCTCTTTCTCTCTACCTGGTTTCCTCCCACACAGGTAGAACGCCAATCGATCAGTTAACTCATACTGGACCTCCACCAATCTGTCTGCCAGTTCATGGTGGCCAGCTTCCCTGCAAAGACGTGTCCAGAAATATTTACTTCCAGTGATTCCATTTTTTTTTTTTTCAGCTGAATTGTGAAAGATGGATTGAAATGTCTTACCTTGCATAGTCAATGGGAGTTTTGCCATTGCTGTCAGGGGCTCCAGGATCTGCCCCGTAGACAGTTAATAGTTCAGCCTGAGATACCTGTCCTGCCTTTGCTGCCACGTGCAACGGAGTGTTTCCTTTTTCCTAAAGGAGAGGTTGATTCGATCAGAAAAAGGTGTATCCTCATGCAAAAATCGACATAATGTAAACAAGGTCCAATATTCAGCTCTTAAAAATAGATGGTGAATCTTACAGGGTGGAAAAAATTCGCTTGTGCTCCAAGAGATAGCAACCTCAGACACGTTTCCAGATTCCCGGTGCGTACACTTGAGTGAAGTTGCTGTGAAAGTAAACCACATCATTTTATACCAAAAACAGCTCAAAATTTTAATTCTGTACAAGATCTCACACTTTTTGTCTCACCTTGCTTAAATCCTTCGCTGTCGAGCTGTCATCCTCTCTGCAGGGCATACGATGGACAAACGCCAGCATTTGATACTTGGCTCTGATAAACTCTGATTTGTTTGGGCTTCAGGGAGGTTCATATAAAAGGCAAACACAGAAGGATGTGATGAGTCAGTGTAAGATCAACAATCTATAAATTCAGGTTAGCAAAAGAACACTGTCTTTATTGTCACACAGTAATAACTCACTGCAGTTTGTCCTGAGGGTTGGCCTTGCGTTTCCCACTCATCACAGAGGCAGGGTCCAGAAGCGAGTGCTCCCATATTGAGTTTGCACCGTTGCTGTATAATGTCTGGACCATCTAGGGTCAAATGACGAAAAAACGTTCAAATGTGCCGCATGAATTCACATTTTGTAATGCTGACTGGCTGTTAACAGTCTTCTCCCTGAACCGACACTTTCTATTCTTAGACAAGATCAATACTGCTCTGCGGTATCTGATGTGAAAGTGCCGACATGAGATTTATCTTGATGAGGACAAAGGCTGCTAAGTTCAAAAGTAAAGGGATTCTGCTGGGATGAAGTGATCCTACTCAAAAAAAAAAAACATCACATTTTTAAAGCTAAAATATAAAGATACCAAATAAGGGTTTCTTTTAAGCTCTGTGGGTGAAGTGGATCACCTGTAGCTGTGTAGGCGGCCATGGGGTGTGTGTCAGGTGACGAACTTGGGAGCTGTGTCTGCCCAGACTCCGATGAACACTGCAGCACTCGTCACAAATCAACACACCCCTGTTCACTGAGGCCCAGCGAGGCTCTGAGAGAAAAACAGAGAAGTGAAAATTATGACACTGGAGGGGATCTTTGTGATTAGTGTTCTTATGGTTTAAAACGTAGCTATCAGAATATCTGTAGTAATCAGATTTTTTCCCACCCTAATAATTGGTATCGGCCCCAAAAAATCCATATCGGTTGGGCTCTAGTTTGTAATAGTCAGTATTCTTTGATTTTCTCAAGGTATTAGAACACAAACATTAAATTCTGCTCCATCTGTAAAGCTATATGTATGTGCCATAGAGACACACTATTGTAATATCAGTATAGAATAAAGCAAACAGCTCTTCACTGAGCAACACAGTCATACACTGTATTACTGTAGTTCAATCCAGGTTCACACCACATACACCATCCTTCTGCTACAACATGTACGAGCATAATACTGCTCAGAGTTGCAACATAACATTCTCTCTCTCTCTCTAAGGGAGATGTGTGTATATATAAATATATATAAAGAGAGAAAGATATGTTTGTAAATTTTCATTAGACTTACAAGTTTGAGTTATAAAAAGTTGTTTTTTTCTGATATTCTAATTTCATTTACATGCAATGGTATTTCAGCCTGAGGAGGAACTTTCTGTAAACACAGGTATTGTGTAGAACAAAATGAACAGCTGATATATCACATAACTGTGAGTTATAGCTAATATGCATCTGTCCATTGTTTTTATTTATCATACTTCATATTGTTATTGCAGAAGTTAAATATTGTGGCACATCACAGTTGTGATGAACTACCTCAGCAAAAATGACATGTTTTATTAAAATATTATGTTCAAGCCATTTGTTGTATTTTGTTGGGGTTTGTGTGTGAAGCCTGTGTTATTTGTAGTTGTCCTGGTGCCACAGCAGGTGGCGTGAATTCTTAAGTCTGTTCATTTTAAGTAGAGGAAGATGAAATTAGTGGTGGGTGTTTTTTGTAGCTGGAGAAGCACACAGTTTTTGACCATCAACATCATTGTCGCTGCAACTGTTTGAGTTTGACTTTGTGGTTTATTTGCACTTGGTTGCAACAAGTAAATGTGACTTTGATGAACTGTTTCAATTACTGCAGGAAACAAGTGAGCTGAGGAAGATGCGTCAACTGTAAATCTGGCTATAAAACACCTCAGTGGCTTGAGGTTAAGTCAGCAGACAGAAGCAGAAAGTCCTGAGAGACAGACATCCATTGCTGGTTTTGGTCATTTTGTGGTATTATACGACAAAAAGGAAAAAACAGAATTATGTCAACCCCATCCTGAAAAACCTCCCCAGCTAAGATTCGTGCAAGCATAATCAAGTTCAAACTGAACTGTGCACCAAATGTAAAACATAATCATAACAGCGTCTATTAATAAACCTTTACTCATCACCTTACACTTTTTTTTAAATCACATGCAGGCAAACACAACCAGGGAAGTCAAGAATGAAAATGGATAGTAAAAAGGGAGACTCAATAAGCACCCACACTCGGTTTTGGTGAAGCGTGTCAGTGTTTAAAAGGAAGTGAAAACTAGCAGCTGAAGGTTGACACACCTCTACCTTACAGTTAGGGAAACTGAGCGACTTCCTCCTTTTTTAATATACACTATATTAAAACTGCCTGCACCACACCGAGAGTTTCATCTCTGCACAGTGAGGGAAATGCAAGTTAAAAACAGAGACATTGCACACGTAGATGATACAGTTTACAGTGTGACTAAAATAAGGTTGTTTATTTAACCTTGACCCATTTCACACACTTCATCTGACACAAATGTCACAGAGCTCTGCTGAGACTCCTCTCATGAACAGAAATTCTGTAAATTCATGAGGCGCCGTGGTAGCCGACAAAGTGTAAAGTACATGGAGTGTCTTCTGGCTCTGTGACAGGGCAGGCAGGGAGGGCTTTTAAGTGTTTTAGCAGCAGCTGACCTGGAGGACGAACAGCTGCAGGGGTTGCTGGTCGAATTCCTGCACCTGGTCCTTTCGTTTCCAAAGTGCTTCTCCTCTAGTTTAACTCTTCACTCAGACCTGAGAGATGGTGCTGACAGGCCTGTTTTACCCTTTCCTCAACAAGTGCTGCCAAATTTAATACCGCATCTTGAAACTCTAAAAATATCTACACCCAACAACTGGTAGCAGTTGTATGGGAGGGCAATCCAGGCCAGCTGCTGGGGAGACCTGAGGGCTTTAACAAGAATGAATGACATGATGAGAGACAAGGTACCATTACTGAATATTCTACCAGGGTTTAAGCTTTTGAAGTGTAATAGATGAATAAAATTTCATGACTTAAAATCATGCATGATCTATTTTAACATATATCACATTTTCAACACATTATCGTGCCACTAAAGAGAAAAAAACTACTTTGCATTAAAACTATGCAGTCAATTCACTCAGCATCCTGTTTTGCTTCCTTCCTGTGCCTGCTCATTTCTGTACAGGGCTTCTGAAAGCAGCTCACACACAATGCAACCGGTGCTTTCAAAATTACGTTGGACCTTTGAAACTTCATTCAATTTCTCTTTTGTCCATGTAACTTCTCAAAACTAACCACTTTCTGTAACAGGATGTTCACAGATGTCTCTCGGGCCATAACTAATGCAGGATGTAGTCGTCTTCAGTGTTTTATGTGAACTAATAAACCCTGAATGTCTGCTAGAGCGCAGTGGTAGATTCAATTCTTTCCCAAGTGTTAAATTTGGGTCAAGGATATATGTTTTTATTGTGCAATATGTTTTCACTGGTCGATATTATATAAGTTCTCCATTTTTCTCATAACGCCAAACAGCATCCGTGTTTTACATGACTTGTCCAAAATGCTGCTGTTTGTCTTTTAACAAACACTAACAGACATGAGCACATCACTCCTGTCCTTAGCTCCCTTCATTGGCTTCCTGTCTCTATTTGATTTTAAACTTTTAATGTTTGTTTTTAAAGCTTTTTATGGCTTTGCCCCCCATCTATCCACCTGAGCTTTTAACCATTTGTGAGCCAGGTAAAGCTCTGAGGTTGTCAAATCAACTTCTGCTGGAGGTGCCCAGAACAAAACACAAACACTGGGGTGACCGAGCCGTTTCAGTTGCTGGCCCCAGGCTCTACTGTGGTTTTACAGTATTTACGTTTACATTTCATTGTTCTTTGAACAGCTGAGCATAATTTCATCCAGCCAGTTTAAATAGAGCTACTCGTGACTTGTCATATTTGGCTTTGACTGTGACTAAACATTTGTTCTCAAGGTTCTTACAATGATGCAAATATACAACGGGAAATTACGAAATATTCAGAGGCGAATTTTGACGCGCCTGAATATACAGATCAAGCGCGATGCAATTGGCGACTTTCCGGGGGGAAAAAAGACGCGTCCCCGGTGGAAGCAAGAAGACTGACACAGCAGCAGATTGTATGTTTTCAGTTCTGATTAGACACTAGTGTTGAGATGGCTGTCTGTCATGATAGCATGTACTGAGTCGGGGCCAGTACCAGATAAGCACATTAAACTATCTCGTAAGTATTTTCACTGTCTCAAACTCAATCGTGCTGCTGTCACAGCGCCATTAGGTCTTGGTTGTTACCTTACGTTTATGGATTATAAAGTTACTTAGCACAGATGAAAGTTAAAACAAAAACGTTTAGCAACAAACCATAGTCATACAAGAAATCCAACGCTATGACTCTCCACAAGTTGTCCTTCAGGTTGTTATACTTGTAATATTTGTGTCTTTTAACAAAAAGCACTCTGTTCTCCCACATGTAAACAATCAGCCGGTCTGCCCTGTTGGATATACCGGTGAATCTGACGTCGCAACAACACGAAATCTGATTGGTCAGAAGTGGACACACAGTATGCAAAACTTTAGAAAAATCGATCGTGATCCGAAAAAATAAATGCTGCAATATTGCAGGATGGGAAGACGTCGCTGATGTGAACGCTTGTATTGACGTACGAAATAGTCGCACGAAAGCTCCCAGTGTGAAAGGACCTTCACTCTGCGATAACAATATCGGGATATATATCGATATTCAGCCTAAATATATCGGGATATGACTTTTGGTCCATATCGCCCAGCCCTACATACATGAAGGATAACAACAGAGAAGTTATTTCATGATTGATGACCACATCAGAAGGATCCTGATAATGTCTGCATATCGAGACTTTATTTTGAACATATATATTCTTCACGTTAACTGAAAGAAACTTGCACAAAACAGTGAAACCATACCGGCGCACTTCATAAATGCCTGATTATTTAAAGTAGACAGCTGCTGCAGGTCTAATTGCATCTCTAAACCCGAGGACCTGTCTGCAACAACTTGGTTTATGTCTAGTTTACTGCAGCATGTGCCAGCGTAAGTAATCTGGTTTAACCAAAACAGTGAAGTGCAAAGCTTTGGATTACTAACCCCTGCAAGGACCAAATAACAGCTACCAGAACAAACACTGCAAAGATAGCGTGAATTAGCTTACCTGGGACACTGCAATCAGCGCAGAGCTCTGTGTTTCGCAGACGTTTAGACATCCTCTTCTCATCAAGAATTGCCTTTAAAACAAGCAGACTTTTATGTCCCCAGCGTTACGCTAACCATTGATCTCTCTGTGGGGGTGCCTTCCGCATTAGCTTGACTTAGCTAATTAAAAAACAACTCAACAACAACGACCTGCTGCCTCGTTGAACTGTTGCTGGCCTTTCTGTCTTAGCGTTACAAACATTATAACGCTACCCCCGGAAGTAAGGTACAACGCTGCTCGCTCATAACTTAGCTGACTTAGCACCTGGTTAGCTGAATAGCATTTGCCAGTTTGGTTAGTTTACTCCTCTGTCTCTGTGGTGGATAGACAGCAGACTAAACAGAGCTCGAGCAAACCCAGTGGCAGCTGCGACTGTGACCTATGTTTTAACGAACAGTATGCCCAGTCATTAGCCTCACAGGCAGCAAACTTCTGCCCAAATGCTTAAAAATAACATAATTTCGTCTGTCCGTTTGCATGGATATATCAACACCATTTCTCTATTTATAGACGACGTGTCGTGCCAAATACTTATATCACAGTATGGTACTTAACAGAATTTGACGCTTGGCTTTACGCCTTTTAGTCAAAATTGCGGGTGAAATAAAACGCAAAGGCTAGTCAAAGGGGCGAGCTTGATCTATACACCTTCACGACACGGTGTTACAAGAAAACGTTATAAATCTTAAAATGAAATGGTAGTGTGTGTCATTTCACCAACCCGATGTTATGTTTTAAGTAATCTTTAAACAACAGTATTATTTCGCTACATTCACTACATTTTCTACATATCTTTTAACGGAAAAGGCGGGTAAATTGACAAATAATTGTATTTTAAAGATATATTTTCAGAGCACTAACAGTCAGGTTGCAAGTACGTTCGAAAAACCAAAATTGTGACCCAAAACTTTCAATTTAAACAATTCATTTGATGTACACAGCGTGAAACTACAATTGTTTGAATGTTCACCGGTAGGGAAGTTTCGGGTTTTCAAGCACACCGTCACTCCCCAAAACGTCAATACGTCGATCTCATTTCGACTTTAGATGCACAACATTTGATATATGTGCTAGACACCACGAATACATCTATTTATTTCAGTATTCGCTGTATTAATCTCCTAAAGATATTATTATAAGATAAATTACATTCATATAAATTGCGTTCGTGAGTTTTCGTGTTTGTTTAAATGTTATGGAACCCCCATGCGGACAAGTTGAATGGTTTAGTCCAACTGGAAGCGTCTATTTTTTTTAAAAAAATGAAAGCTTCGTTTTTGTTTACCATAAATTTATTTTGATTTACTCTCCAAATTAATAATCTATAGTCAAATATGGAGGTGTTTATGAGTCTAAGACGGCTGTTTAATAGGGTGGAGTTTATTTTAATCTCATTGTATTTCTAAATCGGGCACCCCTGTTTTTATTGGGCACTACTCCTGGCACTTCCTTGTTCAAAAGTTTTATTTGAGGGGAGGCTTGGTGAAAAGTTGAGCGCCGGTGTGGATGTTGTAACCTCTTTGTTGACCTATATTGCAGGCATGGAAGAATGATAATCATATATTCGGGCATAAATGGGTTGCAGGTGTCGAAGTTTAGTCCCATGGCTGTAATAACCAGCAGCTGGCTAGCGCTGCACTGAGCGACTCCACAAGAGAGAAAGATGTCCACGGCTAACATTAGCGAGGACATCCGAGGGAAGTTTCCTCTGCACTCCGCGGTGTGGGAGAATGATTACAGGAAGCTAGAGCAACAAATAACGACATCACAGGTAGGTACTGAGCACCGAGTGTATTGCAAACATTTACCACAAAGCTTGCTAGCTAAGATGAAGCTTGGAGTGAGATGATAACTCTCTATTGCCGTCAAGTGTAAGTAGGCCAGTCGTGTTGACAGATTCCCTGCAGTGTCAAACATAGATTTGACATAGACTTGTAGTTATTCACCTATCAACAGGTTAATAGTTTTACATTCAAGATCACTTTTAATCTTTCATGTTGCTAATCAATGAATCAGTCATACACAGCTCCATTATGACAACACATCGACGATCGACACATTTACCAAATAGATACAGTTAGGGCTGGGCAATACGGGGAAAAGTTTATCACGATTTTTTACATATCGGTCGATATCGATATATAACACGATATAAAAAATGAAATGTAACAGTGCTTATTGGTAGTGTGTCTTTTGCAAAACAGTAAGCTTCTGCATCTGTGAGGTCTTTGTGTCTCTTCAACATTTTGTCATTAAGGTCCTTTCACACCGGGAGTGTTTTTTAACATGAGGTTATTTCGGACGTCAATATTTTTTTTCACATCAGCAATGTTTTCCCGTTCTGCGATATTGTGGCATTTATCTTCTCGGATCTCGGTCGATTTTTCTAAAGTTTCGCACACTGTGTGTCCACTTCTGACCAATCAGATTTTGTGTTGTTGCGACATCAGATTCACCGGCATATCCAACAGGGCAGACCGGCTGATTGTTTACGCATGGGAGAACAGAGTGCTTTTCGATAAAAGACACAAATATTACAAAGATAACGACCTGAAGGACAACTTGTGGAGAGTCATCGCGTCGGATCTCTCATATGACGGTGGTCTGTGTGCTTTAACAGTTTGTGAAGTGTCTTTGTTTTAACTGTCCAGTGGCCTTTTTTGTTGAAGGAAAGCAGTCGCTACACTCTGCTTCTTGTCTGACCTCAAAAAAAACAAAAAACCTTCACACCACCAATGTTTTCATGCAGTGTTGTCGACGATGTTATCATCTGTTGAGCCTTCATCTTCATATCTGCTGGGGGTAGCACTCATTTTCTTTTTTTCTCACCGACAGTGTTGTCTGCTTCACCTGTTTAAGTGCTATGGTTGTGTGTAGCTGCAGCCTGCTACTACACAGTTGTTTGCTACTTGGTTCTAATCCAGCACATGATTGGTTCAGCACGAAGCAGACCCGGAGCAACTCCCCTTTTCATTGGCTATTCATATAGACTACCAAAACATGGCAGAATACCGACTATCGAAAGCATATTGACCATGTTTCAAATTGATATTGAGGGTAATAAATTTTCATTGTATATCGTTATTGTTTTATTGCCCAGCGCTAGATACAGTATATGGAGGAAGTTGCAGACTGTCACATCAATCACAGCAGTAAAAGTTTAAGGTCATGATCCCGACAGCCTTATGCAGTTAGTATTCAAATAGACAGATGAATAAACTAACTGGTTATGACATTTTGAAAACTATTCAACCATCATTTTGACTGGGTGTTGTTCCAGTGAAACTACTATGATCCCGTTGTTATTGTGACCTTACAAGACCGTTAATAACATGCTGGTGTCAAAGCATGACTCACAGAAATACCAAACATGATGCTTAGTCAGTCTTGTCAGTGTACTGATCACTGCAGTCCTGTATCATTATCAGTGATTACTTAAATTTTATGGTGTAAAACTATGGCTCAGTCTTGTGGTTTCTATGACAGTATCACATCTAAGTAGTCGATTAAAGCCACATAACTGTATCTTTCTCCTTGATTTTCACAGGATGATATCGAGGCTGTGGATCCCAGAGGCCGGACTCCTCTGCATCTGGCTGTGTCACTCGGGCACCTGGAGTCAGTAAGGGTTCTTCTCAGACATGGTGCTCAAGTGACGAAAGAAAACTTCAACAACTGGACAGGTTAGCTCGTAAACTTGGTAAATATTTAACAAAAAAAACGTCATGATCTCATGTAAGTCTCTTTCCCTTGTAAAGCAGAAATGCTTTTAAAGGTTTTGTGGGTTGTGTGAGCACTGATAGATCCTCTCATGTCATCTGCTGCTAATGGGGCTTATAGTGAAAATGCAAGCTGATTCCTTAGACTGCAGCAAAACATTTTCACTTCCCTCTGTCATTACCGTCACTGTTGAGGTTTTTTTAATGGATAGTTGCCACTCCTAGCGACCAGATGCTGTTACTTTAAAAGGTTTAGTGGGTTGATTGTCTGCTTTGGTGCAGTGCTGCAGGAGGCCGTCAGCACCGGAGACCCGGAGATGGTTCAGTTAGTGCTTCAACGCAGAGACTACCTCAAAGCCTCCACTGCTCTGGGAGGAGTGCCTGAGCTGCTGTCAAAGATCAGAGAGGTTTTTCATCCAACATTTTCATATTATCGTGTTATCCATCTGTTCATGTGCCTGAAAATATTCATAGACAAAGGAAATAATTTCTCTTTTCCCTACGTTTGTTTACAGTCTCCAGACTTTTATATGGAAATGAAGTGGGAATTCACCAGTTGGAGTAAGTTTTTCATATGTGCATGATTAACTGTTTATGTTAGACAAAGAATAAGGAGAAGAAGGGAAATTCAAATTCAGGCAGGATTATTCTCAGCACTTAAGTTTGCAAAAGAGAAAGCAATCTTCTTGTGGTTATTTTCTAGTTGTTGCCTGCAACTAAAATTTTCTACAAAATATATAATCATCGGCAGCCGAGCAGTTTAACCAGGTCATTCAGGAAAAACAACATACCTGCCTCTTTCTTGTTTAAGCCTCAGTTATGTTGTTATGTTTTGGCCCTGAGTCACACTGTTTTTCATTTGCACCTGCTTTTGCTTTCTCTAATGGGACATTCATGTGCTGTTACTTCACAGTTCCTCTTCTGTCGCGGGTTTGTCCAAGTGACGTTTGTCGCATTTGGAAAAGTGGCGCCAGCCTGCGAGTGGATGCCACTCTTCTTGGCTTTGAGAACATGACGTGGATCAGAGGGCGCAGAAGCTACATCTTCAGAGGAGATGGTGAGAATTTTAATTTGTTTCTTTCTTTCTCTCATGCCCAAAAAAATCTGAGCTGTGCCTCTTCTGTTAAAATGACCTAAATTCATATCTGGATGTGATTTTTCAGATTCCTGTGCAGAGTTGATGGAGGTGAACCATGACGATGAAGTAGTGGACACTGAACGTTTTAACATATCCCAAGAAATGGAAGATGTCACTCTGGAATCTATGCAGCCGGCTGAACAGGAAGTTGCCAAAAGGTTGACTACACCAATCGTCAACACCTACCTGGACACCAAGGATATCGCTTTTGAAAGGCAAGAGTGACATCTTTTTTTCCCAGGTCATGTGTAGATCTCAACTAACAGATTTCATCAATATCAGCAGTAAGCCTGCAAAAAGAATATTAGCTAGTCATGTTAGTCAACAGCATGTGGGGATATGCTTCCATCACATTTACTTTTTAAACCTGTGTTATATCTCTTATTCACGGTTTTTCTTTTTGGGTCAAAGTATCTCACGCAGATCTCATTCCATGTAGCTGAGAACAGAAAATCTGTCTTACTGAAGCTGTGAAAAAATTGAGACTATGGGGAGCATGTTTAAAAAATAAACTTTAACATTGAAATGTAACAGCCCCTACGTTTAAAAGTCAAAAACAAATCCCAGATTAATGAGCATGATTAAAATGGGCATGATTCTGGGTTTTGCCTCTAATGACTCTTTTGTTTTTGCAGAAACAAGTCTGGGATTTGGGGCTGGAAGACTGACAAAACAGAAGTTGTCAATGGATTTGAAGCAAAGGTTCACATTAATTATACCCTCTTTTTTAATATAGCCAAAACGAAGAACCAGGAAAACAATACAATATAAGAAACACCATAGTTGGCCGAATTTTTTTAGTGATTTTGTGTACATGAGTAGTGTTTTTTATATTGGATATATTTTTTTAAATGTTTGACTTTCAGACCTTTATTTGGGTCTTATTTTTACTGTATTGTTATTGTGTACCTGTCTTTTGTGTGCTTCTGCCGCAACACTAATTTCCCTTTTGGGACAATAAAGAGATTCTGATTCTAATTCTGTGGAGAATAGTGGGAAATTCATGTATTCATTTTTTTTCCTCAGGTTTTCAGTGTGAACAATGTAAATGTGGTAATCAGGACGAGGACAGAGCATCTCACTGATGAGGAGAAAGCCAGGATAAAAAGTGAGTGGAATGTATCATGTAATGTGAAGTGCAGACTTTTGAAAGGATTATTCTGTTTTTAAATTGACGTGATCTTTCCTTATTTTTGTTCAAAGGTGAAAGGAACATCTTGGAGTCTCTGCTGGGGACTGTGGAGCAGCACATAAGTGCACAAGGGGTGAGACCATAATTAATGAACTACATCAGAATCATACTTTCTGCTCCCATCTGCTCACTAATTTGATCTGACTTCTTAGGACCTTACTCTTGAATATGCAACTGCTACCAACCCCACTGCCATCACTCCAGAGGAATACTTTGATCCTGACTTTGAATTAGGAGACAGAGACATCGGGCGACCCATTGAGCTCAGCATTCGAACACAGAAGTAGGAAAAAATTGCTGCACACCTGCACAAACTTTATGCTGTGTACAAAGTGGCCTATCTATACCAAGAAGTGTAAACACTTTAGAGACATTTCTCCTGTGATTTTTTTGTCTTGTCCAGGTTCAAAGGTACATTGTGGATGAGTGAGGAACATCCTCTGTCCCTGGTGAAGCAGGTGACCCCCATCATCGACCTCATGGCTCGCACCAGTTCTCATTTTGCGAGGCTACGAGACTTTGTGACACTGAAGTTTCCCCCGGGGTTTCCTGTGAAAATAGGTCCGTTAAATTTCTGTCACACTTTTCAGAAGCTCTTTTCTCATTTCCCATCAAAGTTCCGCCTGAACGTTTGATTTATTGTCGTTCCCTCCCCTTGCAGAGATCCCACTGTTTCATGTGCTGAATGCCAGGATTACTTTCGGTAATGTCAACAAATGCAGTACCGAAGAGGAGGCGAACACAACACCTGCAGCCACGCCAACGTCAGTAGGAGAGGAGGAAGAAGCTGCAGGTAATGCCTTCAATGTTTAGGGGGATTTGAGCATCTTTTTTAAAGACTGTCACAGACTAAGATTTTGCAGGTATGCTAACATTGAGTACAGCAACACCCTAGCATTATAACATTACATTATTATTATTATTTATTCATTTTTTTGATATAGGAAGATGATGATAACAATAATATAATGATTTCATTCTGACAGACTGTAAACATTGACTTGTCAACATGCACACGTGTGCACGAGAGTAGGGGAATAGTCATGTTTGATCATGTTTGATTTTAATGTAACACTAAGAAGAGAACAAGACTGCAGTCCACATTGAATTTTAAAACCACTTTATATCAAACAACCAAGATCGCAGGACTTCAGCAAACATCTCATGATTTGATTCCAACTTTTGGAACATGTCAGTGACTTTTAAACCGACTCAAACACTGTTTAGTGTAAAGCCAGTACAAGAGTAAAGCCTGTGTAACTATGACGTGTGACTTCACATCAGAGTAGCTACACATCTCCTGAAACCGCCTCTCTTTTCATTTTTATCCGTCCAGCACTGCCTCCGTTTCAAGTGTGTCCTTCAGTGTTTGAGGTGCCCGTCAGTTACCATCGCAGAGGAGGCAGCCGGCACACACCGGTTTCCAACAATGATGAGGAGCTTTTGCAGTACGCCATCCATCAGAGTCTCCTAGAGTCTCGCGGTATCCCAAGCCAGGTCATAAACTTCACTTCAATCTGTTCAGTAACAATCAGTTTTTCCTATTCCCCTCTTTTTCCTACAATGAGCTGCATCCTTGAAATCCTCTGGTGTTTGTGTCATTGCAGGAGAGGGTGTATGATGATGATCGGGAATTTTCCGATGTAATGCCAAGCAGTCTTAGTGACAGGTAGGGCTACATGTCAAAGTTGGCTGATATAGCAAGTACATGAATTCATGTGGTCAAAGATACATGCACATGCAACTCATCTGTCCTTCTACGATGTGCTGACAGTAATAGTTTGGATCTCTCGTTCTCCTCTCAATGTCTTTCCAGGAGTGTCCCAGAGGGGGTGCTAGTGGAATACGGAGACACGTCCAGCCCTGCTAGCTCCCTCTCAGCATCCAGCCCTGACTCAGACCTCCGCCTGGCCATGGAGCTCTCCGCACAGGCTCAGCTGGAAGAGGAGAAGATGAGAAAGCAAGAGGAAGAGGAGCTGGAGAGGATACTGCAGCTATCGCTCCTTGATAAGTAAAGGGAATAAGAGGGAATAATAGTGCAACTTTTTTTCCAGATGCAGACGCAACCACCACACCTCAATTTCCCTCCTAACCACAGTAGTCATCTATGCAACTGCAGGTTTCTTTCTGTAACTGATCATTCTTGCAATATCAGATTCTCGGTAACCATATTTTCCAAAACGTATTTTTGGTAAGAGCATAGTCCTTTATATATCCCTGTCTCAGCATAGTGCGTGTCTCCACCCTCAAACTTAGTCTTTGTCTGTGTAACATCATTTCGGGGTGCTTTTTCATCAAAATTGTTTCTTTATTTTCCAAATCAGATAACTGCAGCAACCTATATTTATATATTTTTTTCAAATCAGTCCTGTTGGGGGTCAAATCAGTGTCACAAAGGTTCTGTGAGCAGTTATGTTTGACTTTTTGAGATGGCTTCGTGTGTGCCAGCACTCACTTCAGGTCCAGAGTATTGTTCGTTGTTACTCTCCTGGTACCTGTTGTCTCAGTCTCTGGTGTTTACAGAGTCAGACTTATAATATATAGCATATTAGAAATTTCTTAGTTCTGTGGGCCTGAAGGGACAGATTTGAGTGTTTCCACCATGAGGTCTTTAACAAGGGTGATGCTGTCGAGAACCACGAGCACACCGAACAACAGAAATCTCAGGGTTCATATTTTACCTTCTCTTTGGAACTGATTTGCTAAACATTTATAAACTATCAGAAATTGTAGCTTCATGGAGGTCTCTCTGGAGAGACTGATGCATATCATTCATTGCCATAATGATATTACTTTAGAAAGTTTGATTCAGAAGTTCATGAGTAAATCTTTGTGCTTGGTGAATGTACTCTGCAGAAAGGGGGGAAAAAAAGCATGTGGATGAGAGGGAAACTTTAGACAGCTGCATGGATATGTCATAGCTTTGCTGCAACAAGGATATTACTGAAGAAAGGATGCATTTTTGTTAAAAAGGTAACCTTGTATATTATCACCTCACTCCAAAAAGGCAATAACTTAGACCAGACCCTCTGTGGACCCTTCAGCCGTCTTATTAAGGAGTCACAAAACCAGTGCTGCAGAGATTATCCGGATTCCTAAGGGCAGTGTGTCAGCCTTTTGTAGCCATGAACAACTCCACACCTCCAAGCAGAAGAAGAAGAAAAGACAAAAGCATGCTCGCCATATGAAGGAGACATTTCTTCAGCATGTGCCAAGGGAAAGCTTTGTCTAGACAAGAGGTGGGACAATTGTCTGCGGTGCCACTCAAATTGAATTTTTGAAAAAAGTTTTTTAAAAGTTTTGTAGTTCAACAAACAAGCTTCAAATGTTTCTGTTGTACTGGTGTGATGCTGAGTTACATGCATTAACCACTAAAGCTGATTTCACTGATCATCAGCCTCGTGTGAGGAGTCTCTGCGACGCTGCGTCTGACTGTCCAGAGCTTCTGCTTTAAAAAAAAAAAACAAAAAGGAAAAAAAAGGCCGACTGAACAGTTGACTGTAAAGAGGCTAGCTTTGGTTCATTCTGTGCAGACCTTTGCACCTGCTGCAAATATTTTTTAAAGTTTGAATTCTAAGAAAATGTGTCAGTTTTTAAATGTAACTAAAATAAAAGCACTTTATTTCCATGAGGATTAAAGAGGACTTTGTGTGCTTTAATGAACAAAAATAGATCATTTACTTTCAAATCAGAGGGATTCTTCGGTTTAAGATCAAGTTTTAACCTTTTTATGGCAAAAACAGAGCAATTAAGTCTATAAAGTCCTAACATCTGTACTTTTTGATAGTATACACAATCACCGTTTTAACATCTAAATGCAACTGAGCCATCTCTCATATAAATAAGTAGAACCAAGCTGTTTTTAACTAACTTGCTTAAATCCAAGCATTTACTGAGGCTAACAAAACAAACATCTAGTCTTTTGAGAGGGGATACTTAAACTTATTATTTAAATTATGTTCCACTGGGGCACGAAAACTTGTCTCCAGTTGGTTTCCAAAATGCATATTTACACAATCGCAGTAAAATATTCAGGCGAGCTCTGTTTAAACTGATGTACTTTCATGACATGAAAACTCCTACTCCAGTTTATGAAACGGTTTCAGATTTATCAAAATAAGACAAGCACACCACAGGATAAGCAAAATAGAAAAACACCTTTGCAGAATTTATTAACACATGAAACCAGAACAATAAATAGAAATCATACAGAAATGTCCCACAAATATTAAATACAGACAGGACAGTCAGTGTCTTAGTCAAGTGATAGGCCATGTTTCCAGACCAGGTTAAGAGCCTGAGATCTACTTAAGAAGTTAGCACCTCTTTCCCAAAAGCAATGTTCTTTGTGTTTTACCGATGATGGTAGAGTTTTGTAAAGGTGTTAACCTGGTTTGAGACCTCTTGACCCTAAAGGCCAGAAAGCAGGACTGTTGTGATTTTCAGTCATCAAACCCTTCCAGTGATATGACATACCCTGTAGGTGGGGGCGCTTTCATTATCAACAGCACTTGAGTCTGAATAAAAGTCTGATCATGGTTTTTGGGATCACTCAGGGAGAGTTGAATCAGGTTGCTGAGACCTTTCAGTCTGAGGGGGTAAGTAAATCCAAACCATGTCACCATCAACACACTCCCACAGCACAAGGGGCCTCCCAGATCTCCTCACTATGCAATCATGCCTGTATTGTAAGTGTGGTTTAAACCAGCGGTTCTCAACTGGTGGGTCTTGACCCAAAATTGGGTCGCGGACACGTTCTGGATGGGTCGCGAACAGCTGGTCAAAAAGGTAAATATTTCATGCCTTTTATTTTGAAAAAAAGGCTTATTTTGGACACGCGTTACTTCGTGATCTCCTCTGTTTCTTATTAATGTGGCCTGAATGCAGTAAAAATACTTTTTTTTTTTTTTATCTTTATTTTGTGCGATTTTGATATTTTCTGTATATGCAACTCTAGTAGTTGTCATCCTTAGTTCAGGTTCTCTGAAATGCACTTTACTCAATAAAATAGGTGTATTTATGTTAAAGATTAGAGTCTTTAAAAAAATGTTTATAAAAAATAATTTCGCATGGTTTGAATTTTATAAAAGTGGGTCGTGACTTAAGGACCATAGGAAAATGTGGGTCTCAGAGTGAGACCAGTTAATAACCACTGGTTTAAACCACTCACATAATCACAGACAGTTTGAGAATTTGGTGGGGGGCTCACCTGATCATCATAATATAACATTTGAACCTTGATACTGGTTTTTGCACCACCAAACTCATACTTTCAATGGGAATTTGTGCTGTAAACTCACTAAAGTTGCCCATAGATAATAAATCACATAATATCAACGAGTAGTAAGAGCTGAGTAACCTGATTTAGTGACGAACAAAAGTCCTCTTTTTAACCCTGTAATCCAGGAACTTTACAGGGAGCTATGGTGGCTCTGCTACAATCCTGTAGATTTCTCTCTTGTACCGGGGGTCAGGGCTGAGCTCCTCGGTCAGTGCTCGATGTTGCTTCGTCTGCAGCTGATTCTTCAAGTCTATATCTTTGCTGGGACTGTGGCAGTCAGGGAAGCCTGTGTTATGGGGGCCTGTTTTCACCTGCGAGCCAGCGGTTTGTAGACACACACAGCCATGATGATCATCACAACCAGCAGCACAGCGAGGACACTCCCCAGTGTGACTGTAATGACAACACAAGCAGGTCACATTCAAAAACTACACCTAAACTGGCTGAATGAATCTTAAATATGCTCCTGATATTTGCCTGACACTATCACGTAGTTTCCACTCCAAAATAAAGATAAAACGATAATGAGTAGTTCAAAAAGCCCACTGTCTGTATCACTTCACGCCTCAGGCCCGAAATGAGCTTCCATCGTGTCTTACCTAAATCCTGTCTCTGCAGGATCACATAAGGCCTCTCGCCTAGTCTGGAGTCCTCTAGCTGCCCGCTTATGAACTCGACAAAACTCATTATTAGAGCTGGTGAGAAAAGATTTGACATAGCATCGATGTTAGAGCTACTGATGCTGAACCCAGAGATGGTTTATGGTGTCCTCCTCAAAGTGGAGACTAGGAACGATGATAATGGTGATGATGATGCTGAGAGGAGGATGAGGAGGTGTTTCTTCTTCCGGACATCAGGGTCCTAAAGCCGTCGTGTAAAGGTCCCAGCGTTTCCAACAGAAATCCTTTGCTGAAGACTAAAAGGCTAAAGTAGGGGAGACCGGGGCTTGTTGTCACATTTTTTTACACTGTTATATATTTCTTGGAATCATTGCATCATATATAAAGAAAATGTGTACCAGATGAAAGACCAAAGTCTTCGATATATATTTCATTTCATGTCATTTTCATATCGTGTGTCAGTGCAGAGTTATAAGCAAACAAATAGAGAGAGTGAACATGTGACATGTTGCCCCACCATCGGATAAGTTCTCTCACTCCATGGGTTAAGATGTCACAGTGGATTTTGCAGCTAATAAAACAAGGACAAAATTATTGTTGTTCTCATTTTTTTCCATGAAAGTGAACATCAAAGTCAGGCACAAAAACATGTTTATCATTGAGCTAGAAAAAGTCATTGAACAAACGCTAACATAAAATATTATCAACATGCTCTGGAGTTTGGAGAGCTGTCTGACTCTGTATTTCAGCTGGGATGAATGTTTTGCAGTACCGAGCCAAGGTATGATAGTTGACATTAAAGTCCTTTATTGTCCTCCAGATTGATTTATTAGTTAGGATCACCTGCCTGACTGCCCTCAGCATCACGTCAGGTACTGCACTGCCATTTTATGTTTTTCTTTTGTAATTCCTGACCTTGTCTTCTCACTTTCTCCTCTCCTTTAAACCACTCTTTTCTCTGTATAAATAAAGTCAAAATTACTGATGAGTAGACTCTCTATGTTAATTTTAATCCTTTTTAGACATGTGACAACTAACCTCAAAATGACTGACACATGTTGCCCCAAACTACCATCTCTGCTAATTCTAGCTCTAGCTCAAAGTTAGCTTAAAACAGAACAATGACTGAGGTATGGCAGGATGTCTCAATCTCTCCTCTAACAAGCCCACATGTATCACTGCTAGGATTTTTATCTGGAAGAAGCTTATTATAAAATGTATGAAGTTATTATTTTTTTCCTTTGGGTTGTGCGAAATGGTTAACTGGCACTCATCCCAGCTCACAATGTGCTCTTCTCTTCTCAGACAGGACATGACCCCTGACCATGTAAAGGAAGAAAACTAGTATTCCACTTATTAGTTGCGCCCGCTGGTGGCAAAGATAATTGCAATGTGACAACTTACCCATGTGACAATAAGCTCTGGTCTCCCCTATTTGTGTCACTCTGACAACTTTGTGTTTGCCAACCCCTGAATCCATATACTTCATTTTCTCTTCCAAATTTGTCCATTTAAACATATGACCAAAGTGGAATAATTATAATTCAATAAGCCAAAAATGTTTAAAACAGTAATTCTTGAATAAATGGAATAAATGTGTAATGTCTCTTTCCCTGGATTTTAAAGTAGCCAGTTTTTTTTTTTTTTTTTGTTTTTTTCATTTCTAAACTTTGCTTTAGATTTGAGTAATGTAGTTACTTTGTTACAAAAATAGTCACGATTTTTTTCCTCTAATACTCAAAAACATGATTTATTATTTCAATTTCAGTTAGATTATAACCACCATTGTGATTCCAGCTGCATGAGTTTTTTTGCAGCCCTGACTCCACATTGGTGCTTTTAGTTCCACGTTTTCTCAGTAGTTTGCCTGTAAAAACACACTGTGAATAAAATCTTTTCTCTTACTGGTAACCATCAAACAAAAGTGAGGCCTCTTTCACACTTTTCCATTTCTGAAATGTCAAAGAGCAATGAAGAATGGATATAAAGGTCAAGCTCCTTGGGGTTATATCCTTATATAATCACTCTGCATGACTGATGTGTATGGCATTTTTCCTGCATCCATTATAGCACACACAAATACACTTACTGCTCTTAATTATTAGCCAGGGAGCTTAATGAGCTTTCTGAAATGTCTATCACGGTGGGCCGAGATTAAAACTGGTGGCTTCCTGGACAAGTGCATCATCAACAAATTATTTTTAATAACAATATAAACTAAAAGTTTATGTTTTAAAGGCGTTGTTAAGGCATTTACATGACATTGAACATGTTTTTTCTTTAGATTTTATTGGAAGCGTTCAAGTAACCTTTACATTTTTTTAAAAAGGACGGAACTATCTTCATGGTCATTGAGTTGTTGTGAGCATGGTCCAGAGAGTGTCAGTTTCATTATCTGTTCCTGTTGATTCATCAGTAGATTTTAACATGACAGGACACAACTTTAGTTTACACAGTAAGAGTGAGGCTCAAAAGACCAGCAGAAAGAGACGGAGACACTTCTGTGCTAGTTGGGAATAGTATTTCAGGACCTGCAAAAATGCAGTTAGCTGATCAACGCTCTTTAGGAAAAGGTGAATACTACGGAAACAAATTGACGTTTTTTTCTTAAAATGTACTTAACCCACCTGTTATACAAATGACATATATGTATATTTTTCTACCACTCAACATTCCTCTGCATTTTCCACTATTGCACTACAGCCTAAAACAATCTTGCCTATTTAAGGTTAACGTCTAACGTAATCGTGTACATATTTGTATGAATTTTCATGATTAATGTTTTTACATAGAGATCAAAGTCTACAAAAGTCCCTTACATGCTAAAAATTTTAGGATCTTAATGTAAATACAGTGGTAGAGAGTTATTCTCTGTACTTTTTTATGCCTGCTCTCTTGTGTAAAACTGATCATCAAGAGTTCTGACAGGTAGACATTGCTAACTGGCTCAAAAGCCCCCAAAGTCCTGTTCTTATTTCTTCCATTTGTACTTATCCATAGCCTCTCAATGATGTGAGTATGAATGAATGCGCTGCAGTAGATTAAGTCATAAGGCGAACAGCATTTTTGCTGTCATTCTGTCTTTAAAATACTGTTTGTCAAGCTGTTTATATCAGCTAGAGAAGATACGCGTGTTTAGCAGTGTCTCTTTTATGTTTCTCCTCTGCTCTTCTGTGCTCTGCTTCAATAGCCATCAGTGACACAAAAGAGCTTTGATCTTTACGTCCATCAACCAGAAGCTCAATGGGGAATCGTATGTTCCCATCCACTCTCAGCTCCTGTGTGGGTTCAAACTTGTCATCCTAGAAGGGACCGGGTCAGGTTTACCCGAGGAAAAAAATCTAATCTGACAAATGGGTTAAGATTTGAAGGGTTCTGTTGGTAGGAACCATGTAAGTGTGTGTGTGTTTTTGAAGGTACAGGCTGCTCTATTCCCCTGTATGTTGATGGATTCTGGATATTGCAAATTAGCTTGTTAATTAGAATATCTAATAGAGGTGAACAGCAACAGCCAGCAAGCATTACAAAGACCTGAAGATCACCATATGGAGATTCACAAGAACAAACCTCTTGTACAATATTTCACATACCACAGTTGTGGGGAAAATAGGGTCTCTTTTAATATACATGCTGAAATAAAATGCTTAAAGTACTGCATCATGTTTTGGTGGTTCATATTCACTTTTAATGATGGGATGAAATGAAATGTAGAAATAAAATGTATGTACTATAATTAATCTATACACATGACTGTTACTTAAACCAGAATTAAGAGGACTGGAATCACGCACCATAACTTTGCTCATCACATTTTAAAGCGCTTAAAGATAATTTAAACATACATGGGTAAAGACTCAAGTGATGTATTTGTCTCTGCAAAGAGACGGTGTGATATACAAGCAGATTAAGGCAAAACTGGAGTCAGATGAAGCCATCGGAAAAAGACCAAGAAGTTCATTTTGAATTCAAAGAAACGTCGAAGTGAATCTCCAGGTTATACTGCACCAGAAGTAAAACAATACTAGTCTAATAAATTCTGTGGTTTAAAAACACTTTGAAAATGAACTATTGTGGTCTTTTTTTAATGGCCTTACTAATTTCTGATACAAACACTTGCAGGGGGAACACAATATTTCTTTGCAGATATAACAAGCAGCTGCATTAAATCCTAAACGAGTACAGCATTACATAGAAACTGTGTAAATATACTGTATAACACAGCAGTGGCAAAAATGAAAAGAGGAATTACCAATCAGGATTTTGTCCTATATAATCTGCCTTATCAGCGGATACTTTTCTGGCATCAGATCACACAATATCTGTCAAAACTGCCACTTTAAAAGGAGATTGTGAGCACATACAAATGTATGCAGAAACTGCTGCATACAGCTTTGACAAACTACAGTTAATTAAGACTTTAACAGGAAATGTGGTCCCATGCAGTGCAAAAAAATGTGCTGTTTGCCACATAAAGAAACACGTACATGTATTTATTTTCCTTGGCATGTTGTTCTTAAGGGAAAAGCAGACTATCAAACACGTAAGACTCCTACAATCGCACATATGTAACACCTGAATATGGCAACAAGTGAAAGTTACAGACTGTCCAAGTGACCGGGGTAGATCTGATTACATACAGAGCAAAGAGTGAGGTGTGAGTATTGCTATGTCAGCTCCTTGGGTTTACATGTTTAGCAGCATTTTACTATTTGACAGTGTCAACATCATAAACAAATAACAGTCATGATGTCAGATGACCAGGTTTTGACACACATCACTTCAACTGGGAGCTGAAATAATAAAAAAAATACTACAAGCAGGGGGAAGTCAAGAGTGTCTATCATATGTCAGGTGCTCTTCCTTCTAAGGTACAGTAACCATGGTGACATTGTCGGCATGGATGTCTGGTATGGTCCTCTCTGGTCTTAGACACACTGCCAGCCTCTGTGCAAAAAAGGATAGTAAAAAGATGAAGAAAAAGAAGTAAAGTATTTGAAAGAAAAATAAAAAGTTAATGGTTTGAGCATTTTATACTCTTTCACTGACCTGTTTGAGAGATCCAGGAGTCCACACCAGCTTGTAGACCATGTAGATGGGGATCCACATGAAGGATGAGAGTCCCACGAAATACCCCACTGTGATGCTCCAGTCTGGGTACTTATAGTCAAACAGCGTGAGGGGTGGTGCTTTCAGCAAGGAGCTCACTATAATGTACTGCAAAGAGTTGGGATATATGCCCATTATTTCCATATATGTAAATGTAACTTTCACATTGTAACAAATAACGATGGTGGAGTAATATAACTGTCAGACCACCAGGGGTTGTAAAAGGAAGATATGATAATCTCATAATGCAAAATGTCAAAAGGAAATTATTTGTAGTGAGGGATTCAAATAAGACCAAAAATATAAAAGCAATTGTCATGAGGAGAGAGGACACTGACATTTAGCTGAGTATTTTGATAAATACACTATGGAAAAAAGGGATAAAGAGAGGAATCTAATCTATAGACAGGGAGTTGTGGGGTAGCTGTTTGGTAAAGGTGGGCCTTAAAGGCCACTCATAAATTTGTGTTTAATTTTATTCTGAGCTCTTTTTTTGTGCTAATACAAGACCTGCTAGTGACTCCAATATTGTATTATTTGTTTTTGTATATCCCTCTACAATTGTAAATGTATTTGCAATGTTCAACATCTTACCGCTAGAAATGCTGGACTGATGGCAACCCAGCAGACCCTCCAGAATAACCCTGGGGCTTTGCCCAGCATGGCCTGGACATCATTGCTAAACCTTTTGATACCTGGAAACAGTCGTAGAAATCAAAGACACTGTCACCTATAGTGTTGTTTTTGTATATTGCAGAAGAAATCAACCAAATACCGGATAAATGGTGATAATAAAAACAATCTCTTGTTTACCGTAGAACCAGGAAACAGCAATGGCCTCAAGGAAACCCACAGCTATGATGGAGGATCCAACTCCAAATTCTTCCAGCAGCTTCACCACATAAGCACCACCCTGTCGAAAACATTCCAAACTCCACCATGCATTATCTCTATGAAAACAACACCCAGCGGATCTGAACTGTTATTGAACTAGAGTGCATCCAAAACTACCTCACACTGACAGTAACAGTGTCTGAAGGCAACCGATCAAAGAAAAAAGATTTCTTGTTCTTGAAGGTTCAACATTAAACTTGGAAAACTTACATTTGTAAGGGTGCTTAGGGAGCCCAAAAAGCAGACAACTACCAAGCCCAGAACAAACAATTCACGTCTGTGAGAGAATTGATCGGGATATTCATCCAGCACTGCGGTGATGATGGCCTCCAGCCCACCAAACTGAAACACACACAAAAAGTTAACAATACACAGAATATCATTTCACTGTACCTTTTAAAATAGGTTGGAAAAGCCAATGGATTCATTTGAATTATCAATATCGGCTGACATTTTATCACGAGTCCTCACAGTACTGGAGCCGACATTTGAATATTTAAAAGGAATAAAAAGAAACAAACAAAAAAAATGAAGAACTTGTTTGAGCTGAATTAAAATCAGTGCTTTAAAACAAGCTTCTTATATTCTTATAAACATGTCTTTTCTTCTCTTTTTTTGATCAGCATTCCCAGCCTGTACCGTGCTGTCCAGTCCCAGCGTGATCATCATTGTAAAGAAGATTATAGCAAAAAAGGTGGAGCCCATCATGTTTGCAATGGCTTCTGGGTAGGTGATGAAAAGCAGACTTGGTCCTGAAAGCACATGAGATAGATCTGGGTGAGCTTTTAATTTTGAAAGAGTTTATCCACTCTTCTTTATTTCACATGTAAAATTTATCTGCTGACCTTTATCCCTGGCTACATCCTCCACATCCACCTGTCTCATCTCGGCCATGTAGCCCAGCACAGTGAAGATCACAAACCCTGACACGAAACTGGTCAGGCAGTTCACCAAACTGGTCACGATGGCGTCTCTATACAGGGAGAAATAAAACTCTCTTTATGGACACGAAGCAGCATATTTCTTATCCACAATGCTTGTACTGATCCTCCTTCAAACCAAGCTTTTATATTTGATCACAGATCGTGTCCCAAATGACATGATGACATCTTTTCTAACCTTTAGCGACACATTTTCTAACCTTTGTGACCTTTGCTGAATGGCTCTTTTTACATCTTTTCTTTGTGTCATACGCATGAGTTTACTCACTGTTAGCAACCATAAATGTCCTGACACACTAATGAGGGATACTCTACAAAAGTTTGTATGTTGTGTGTTCATTAGAGACATCAGACTCCTAATTAGCCAGCATCAATCTGCAGAATGCTTAAATTCCAAGAAGGCTCACCAGAAGAAGTCATGATTAGAAAAAAAAAGAGCAGCTGTAAATCTATAGTGAGCAAAAAGGGATTCAAGCAGATTTTTTTTTTTTTTTATTCAGCCGGTTATCATACAGAGTGCAAAAGGTGTACAGGGGTTTGATCGAAATGTTTGGCTCCTGCTTCTGTAGCTGTGTTCAAGCCACAAATGTGGGTTCTCATGGCTCAGAGTGTGTCAGTTCTCACCGATAGCAGTTATTCGTGAAAGGGTTGTAACTGGAGAGAGCCAGGAGGACCCCAAAGCCGGGGCCCAGAGAGAAGAATATCTGAGCGGCAGCATCTACCCACACCTGGAAATGATGGGATACAAAAATAGATGTTACTCTTTCTGAGTCTTCTTACTGATAAGATGATTAAACAATTTAGAACAAATGAAAACATAAAGATACTTTTTTTTTAGACTGAACCAAACTCATTTCTGCCTTTGATTTATTGTCTATATATCGAGTTTTAATCTTTCACCCCTCCTCTGAGTCCTCAGTATTTCATCTGCCAAGCAGAAGGGTGTTGTATTAGTCGTATAGTAATGTAGTAGCTACACAGCTGTACACAGGGAGATCTGAAGAGCAGCACGCATTCGGCAGAAAAAAGAGGAGGGCAGCACTGGGTATTGGTGAGTGAGATAGAAAGGGAGGCCTTTGTTAATGGGCAGAAAATCTAAACCAATTATGCATCGTATTATCCTGCTCTGTGGCTTATTTATGCATCTCATTTCATCTCATCCATATTCTCCTTCTACCAAAGCACTCACACATGTCCAGCAAACGACCACAGTGAGCGGGAGAGGAAGGTGAGGACATTTCGTAGATGTGAAAAAAAACCCAGATCTTTAGGAGAGTACTGGATATAAATTTAAGGAAGTATACATTTAATTTCTTCCTTTGATGCTTGCAAGATGTAAACATTTTACTACAAGGGTTCAGTTAGTTAAATTCCACTAAGACAGACTGACATATTATTGCACAAGCAGTTGTATCCTGTGGTTTTACTTTTTTGAGACCCATAGGCTTTGACTTCTGGGAAAAATTATCAACAAAGTGTCTGTTTCAAAATATTATAAATTACTAGCTAGGCTGGAAAACATTGAGTAAGGCAGATAAAGTAACAGAGATGATTTTTATGAGTGAGACAGATGAGTGTTTATGACGTAAAATCAACATGCAGTTTGAAGTAAAGCCAAAAATAGAATTATTCAAGGGAAAGCACTTTAGCGACCAACTTTGTCTAACTTACACTCGTCTCTAGCAGCTTGTCCCACTGGGGTTTTAGGTAAAACACCACACCTTTCCATGCACCAGGCAGAGTGGCACCTCGAATTAACAGTATGAAAAGCACAATGTAGGGCAAGGTGGCAGTCACCCACACCACCTGGTTTGGAAGAAAGAAATCAGTGAGGAGAAACAGATAGGTGTGAGTTAAAGTAAAATAAAAAATAAACAAACTTTCGAGATTTTTACAAGTAACTGCCATGTGCTACCTTCCCCGAAGTTTTCACACCCTTCCACAGGCTGAAGTAGACAATAGTAAATATGAGAAAAAGGCAAAGCATCAACTGCCAGCGTACACCCCCAACATTTCTAAGCCCTGATGCCTTGTGGATTTCCAGAACATTTCTCCTGTAATGATAAAACACACTTTTGAGTGTACTGTCAACACAGCTCAACCCTCTCAATCTTTTCTTTTTTTTATTTGTGGAGCATTACTGTAAAGCTATTTATATATGTGGTTTCTGTTACTCACACTTACATGCACTTACGTGTAAAATTCCTCTGCTGGAGACCTGGAGGCATTGGTCCAGGTGACGTTGTCTATGCCAAAGTAGTTGGTACAGTCAGGGGTGTTCCACACGTTGTCACAGTTTGTCCAGGGCAGGATGCTAGAAAAGGAGGAGTAGAAGTAGAAGAGGGCCCAGGCGATGATGGTGTTGTAATAGAAGGACACATACAAAGCGATGATACAAATGGCGTAACCTATTCCTGAAACACAGGAGAAAAAATCAGTTAACATTTTTAAAGATATATTGTGTGACGCATTGGCCAGGCATCTAAACATCTAACATTGAGCAGTGTGTAGCCTTACCTTTAAAAATGGGACAAATGTGTTTCCAAATGGAAATGGCTCCAGTGCGGTGGAACTGTCCTAGTGCCAACTCCATGTAGAAGAGCGGCACACCACCGAAGATGGCCATTAGAATGTAGGGAATAAGAAAAGCACCTGCACATGTATGCAAGAGGATATGTAAGATCTAATGAAAGACTTAAATGAAAACTGGGAATTACAACTGTCACATCCAATTAAAAAGTCAGGACATTCATAATGGCAAGACAGAGGACTTTAGATGAAACCTGACTGGTGAAAGTGATGGAAATGTCCTTTTTCACTGAACTACAATTGCAGTTTTCTACTTGAATTTAATTGTGGAAAAAACCTACTGTCAGGGCTGAGCTGAATAAATTAACTAACCTCTGCAACACGTTCTTTTCCCCAGCTCAGTTAAATCATCTGACAAAGCATCCACATTACACCTTTTTCCTATTCTGATTTTAACCCTCTGTTTTTGCTTTTTTCCGAAGTTTAAATCTGCTTTTTTGTGCTTTGTCTTTTTCTATAATCTCTTGAGTGCAACACTTTGATAAGGCTTAAACTTAAAATGTAAATTTTTACATTCTCTTCATGTGAAAGGCTGAACGCTGTAGTATGTATTTGATGTAATAAAAGAAACACAAACAACCTTATTCACTTATATCTAAAAGCAGTGTTAGATATGTGAATAAATCTGAAATAGTGTTTTTATTTTTAAACATTTTTAGGTTAAAATTTTCTTTTCATTATGTCTACATACTGCAAACTTAAATATAAGATAATAATATTTAGATGTAAGAAAGAGAAAAACTTTAAACGAGTTTTTAGAGGATGTGAAGACTACAGATGTGCAGTTCAGCACCATGGACAGTTTCTGTTGCCAGATGCGCAGTTTCCATGTGTCTAAATATAAAATACTGTCTCCACATTGATTTCAGGACTCCTTAGAAGTGCTTTCCAAGTGGTCCACTCATAACTTTTCAATTAAACTGATTGAAAATGTCAAGAAACACTCACCACCACCGTTTTGATAGCACACGTATGGAAATCTCCAAACATTTCCTAGGTCCACAGCAAAGCCAATGACAGACAGGAGGAAATCCATCTTTTTGCTCCACTTGTCTCTGGAGTTGGTCTGAGTAAGGACCGACCCCGGGATCGCGTTATTATTGGCGGGGTAGCCGGGGTTCGGGGAGCCGTGGTGGGTCAGACTGCCGGCCATGATCGCTGAGTCCTGTCGGGGCATCGGACTGTGAAAAGTCAGTCAGAGCAGCTTCACAGAGAAGAGGATGGTTTTTTTCCCCCCTTGTGATGATGACAGACGGGCTGGGTGCAGGAGTGGGTGGAGCTGAAGGGGGGCTACCTGTTGGAGGAGAGAGATAACATAGCAACCTGAAAACAATCTGAGCCAAGCGGATTTAGTGTACACGTGTTCATTTACCTTGATCAATAGTAGCTTTCTACTTCTAGTGGTATTGACAGATTAGTGGCCTCAGCCATGTGGGTAGTCACGCTAGACATGAATAACAAGCAACCTTCAACATGTTTTGTTTCAGACACGATCAACATTATTTTGGTACGATCAACATGATTTAGTAAATCAGTCATAACCCACTAGGACTGGATGCTTCAACTGCAACCAGGCTCATACGAGGGTTGGGAGTTTCTTTTCAGAGCTACTGAAGGCTTAGACAGGCAAATCCTTGAGAACTCGTAACAACAATTTAAACCAATACAAAGATGAACAGGTACCCATGTAAAATGACAGAATTTCCTTGCCACTGTCACTCATGTAAGATGAGATGGGCCAAATCCCATTTTAGGTTGGGTCTTGATAATTCACCAAACCATGAGAGTGGTCTAGACCTGCTGTTTTTCTTTGGGAAGTGTCTTGGGAGACTGTTGTGAATTGGCGCTATATAAATAAAATTTGACTGACTGACAGAATTTGAGTTAGCTTTCCAAAGCTTTGTTTAATTAAAATCAAATACCAGTGTAGATGGAATAACAGACAACACAAAGGTATTGACAAGCTTGTGGTAATCTTGGAAGGTTAAAAAATCTAATTGGGTAACCAAGATCAAAACAAACTTAATAATGGACTTCACTTTGCCATCAAAAATTGCCTATTTTCTTGCTGTTGGCTCTGTGTTATAGAGTCTTAAGATTGCAGTCTACCTCTCTTTAGGGGGAATTATGGACGTGCAGACAATATCATCTCTAAATATTCACTTTATCCACTTGAAAATGAAGAGTGAAACTATTCTGCTAAATAAAATTCCTGTTGGTTTGTAAATCAACTTCAATGTGAAAAGTGGACCATGCGTGGATTTCCCGAACCTCCCTGCTCTTGTTTTTGGGAACTAAGCATGTTTCATGAGAGTCTTCAGAGTCTCTTTGTCTTTATCAGTGTAGCAATAATTCAGCCACAAACAACCTTTGGCATCACTTTGGTAAACTTATTCACTGCAAGTTTTTTAAGTTTTAGGAAGTCCAACAAATATTAGCCGTTAAAAAAACAACACCAAGTTTAGTTATACCTCTGTTGGTGGATGGCATAGGTACATGATACAGGGGGACTGATTATTAGGACTGCTAATGATTTGACCCATAGGAAAACATCGTTGAACAGCAGAGTGGAGGACCTGAAACTGAGCTTCAAGGAATACCTTGGATGATTAATTTGTTTTCTGACAGCAGGTACTTCTCAATCTTTGGGTGCCACTATCAAACTGTCACAATGGTACCACTCATCTTCCACCCCCATGATGCATGTATAGCAACATATACAGGGGGGGTTTTGGCATATATACATTTCATAGCCTTGTCTATGCCAATGTAACCAGCCCATAGCAAAGTCTAGGGCGCCAGCACTATGCAAAGCCCTGGACTGGAGTGCTAGTTACCTAAGTGGTATGCCACCAGTATGCCACCTCTCTTTCAATGGTGTCAGATGGTCACACCAGCTCTACTCATGTTTCACCCCAATGATACATACAATGAGACAATACAGTCCCATATTACATCATAGAAACCTCTACTTTATTGAACAACCTGGAATGGCTAACCTTCTACCATAGTTAGGGTGACCAAATGTCCTGTTTTCCCAGGACATGTCCTATTTTCACGCCCTGTTCTGGCTGTCCTGGTCGTTTTTTATAAAGTGATGAAAATATCCTGGTTTTCATTGTTTTTCATTGGGCCACTAGGATGAAGAAGAAAGCTGAAGAGAAAGATTTTCTTTGTTTGTTCATTTTTGTAAGTTTGTGAGAGTTATTTTGCTAAAGTTGGAAGTCATGGTCAAAACTGAGATATCTCGATTGAAGACTTACAGTCAAATATCTGTTCAAAGATAAGACTCAAACTAGTTGCAGACGGTTTATTCAACCACCAACTTTTTAATACAGACAGCTATTAATAGCACGGGGCCATCTTGGCTTCCTGATCCCATGTCACTAATACAGTTTGGTGAAGACAGCAGGAGAATCACAGCAGCTTAACTGCACTCGTTAGGAAAAACCTAATAAAACGACTTGATAATCAAATCCACCGCTTTTAGCACGAAGGCCTTTGAAAAGGTTGCTAACTGGATATTCAGTGGGTAGTGGTCACGCAGGTTCTGCCAGAGAGTGCATCAAACAAAGTTACTCCTGGAAATGGATATGACACAGACAGGACAACAGATACCCTCCTTAATCATGAGATTGTCACTTAGATGTGAAGAGGAAGCCAAACCGTCTGCCTTTTTCTAGATGCATTACCAGATAGACACACAGAGGATGTTGGTGTCTCATAATAGACAGACGGACGGACGGATGGACAGTCAGATAGATGGATAGATAGATAGATAGATAGATAGATAGATAGATAGATAAATAGATAGATAGATAGAACACGTCCTGTCATTGCCTGAACAGGGAAGGAGCAAACTATCAGCTGATGGAGAAAAGACTTCAGTGCTCAGCTGAGGTGCAGGGGCCCCTGAGGGCCAGAAGCCACAACGAACCAAATAGCACTGGCCTTCTCTAACATACAATCTGTCAACGTGCATTGGCACACATGGGCAGAAGAACATCAGACTGACAGGAGCCTGTATTGCATGCCCTGGTGCCTATTTGAGCATGTCGACTCTAATCACACATGGACATGTGCATGTTGGTCCTGCCCGCAAACTCTGCTGATGGGCAAACATATGTGACTCAGCATTGTTGTTTTTAAAATTTAGATTTGGATTTGGTTTTGAGCTTTTTTACCCTTTTGAGATTTTATCAGCTATTGTTTTCTGTGATTTTATCATCATTGTGATTCTTCTGCCCATCGACTAAAAGTAAAATCTTAACATCCACGAGTATGTTATGGCAAATTAGATTAGACCCTTTACTGTAAGTGCATGATGTTTCTTTGTTTTTGTCAGCACTGGGCTAATAAACAAATGGTTTTTATTAGTCTTTTCCCAATGACGAGTAAGCATAGCTGCAAGCTTGAGGGGAGCTTTGGTGTGCTGTTTACTCAAGCAGAAGTCCTGGCATGGCATTTAACAAACATGCTACCACCTCATCTTATCTAAAGCCACTGTGAGGCATTAATCATCCAAACGCGGGACTCCTGGGCTCAGAATAACATCTGTGAGAAAAAAAAAGGGAACCAGTCCTTTTAAGGAAGGTAATTTATTTATTTTTTTGTTAAAGTCTTTAACTTTACAATGGCACTTGAACTATAAAAGATTCAATATATTGATGTTTGCTCTGATATCTCAGAGCAAAATTTACCACTCTCAGCATGTGATTACCACAAGCCTTTGCCCCCCAATCAAAGTCAAAGGGTTATAAAAAAACAAGGTGGTTATACAAACAAGACGGAAGTTGTGGGAAGGGGTGTTGGAGGAAGGTAGGGGTATGGAAGTCCCCTCCTACTTCTCTCAGTCTGTCATCCCATGTTATTCCCCAATTCTTTTCACCCCCTGATCTACCTGACAGTTCAGTCCTGCAGGCAGAATTGGACTCCAGGCCCAAAGAACTTCTTCACTTCAGTGCACTGTTGCTCTGCAGCTCCTCCACTGCTTCTGTTTCAGACATTGGTATTACTCAACATATTTTCATTTATTTAACCCACTCTTAAGATTTCTTTCCACTTTCTCTGTAGACAAAAGATAAAAAAAAAGAGGAAAAACAACAACTTTGGATTATTTAGTTTACAAGATGACAGCGTCGCCATCTTCTGGACATCATGAGCTATATACTTGTTTTGGAGAGGATAAGATTCTTGTTTTGTAACCAGGAAAAAAACAAAAAAAAACATCAGGCCACAAACACAAAGACAAAGTCAATATCCACAACAACTCACAACAGCCTACAAGACAAAAACAAAGCAACAAAATTAGAACAATACAAACAACATACACATATGACTGGACCTTATTCATTTTCACGGTGTAGTTATAGTTCTGAAGTAATCAGATGATCAAATATTAACATACATTCGACATAACTGAATTAATTTACAGAAACAATATACAATACTTAAGCAGACTTCAGATATTTCAAGTAAGTCAGACAAACACTGATTGATTCTACAAAGTAGCTTCATCTGAATAAGGAGTTGTTTGGCTTATAAATGTTCTTTTACTAGATCTTTAATCTGTATTTGTTGTGTTCTTGTGATATGTTTTATCTTTTCAAATATCTCTGAAATGTGTTTTATGTTGATAATTTGGCTCCATGTCTTTCAATATCTTCACCACAAGATGGCAGAACTAGCACAAATGTTAAAATTATAAGGACTTGCTCACTTTATCATGTGTTTGTGTTCAGTTATTTATCACTTTGTTTATTCATTCATTCATCTTTTGTAATTAACTTTAATTTCACGATTAGATTTGTTTCCCTTAAAGTAAACTGTAAAAAAGATCTTAAATGGATAAACCTTGAATATCTTTGTAACAGGAGACTCTGTGTCTAGTTGATCAATTTTCCAGTTCTGCTGAAAGTGGACTTGATAAAAAGCCAGATGGGTTGATCACTCTTAGTATTTGGAACAAACATGAGGTGACAACTTAGGTGGTACATTAGGTTGCACCTGTCGACCAGCCTCAGCCATAGTGAGGCCGTGCTTGACAACATGATCCACAAATGTAGCAGGGATTTGCCTTATGTACTTCACCTCTTCTTCCTCTGCCCCCTGCTTTGTCCCCTTCCTTCCCACATTCTCACTTCTCCTCCATGACGCTGACCTTCCATATTTGTGTCACAGAATTGTAGAAATGGCACACACTCTGTCCTGCTGGTTTACATATGCTTGCTAAGTGAGGGTTCATGGGATTCAGCTCTGAGTGACTGTGGACAAGTGGCTTGTCACTGGTTACAACTAATGCTTCACACACCTCCTCATGAGTGAAAGCTAAAGTTCACCTAAGAGTGACTGACATGACAGAAGCAAATGATAATGTTATAAAACAGCAGAGAATTGTATGAAAGTAACTGATACATAAATCAAAATTATGCATCAGATTTCATACAGCGCTTTATCAGAGACCCTCAACGCGCTTAACATCGGATACATCATTCATTTGTTCACAAAGTCACTCTTTGTTGGTGGTAAACTACCTTAGTATTCACTGGTAGTAGTTTACCCTAATGACTAGTAAGGTAGTTTACCTTTACCTACTAAGGTAAACTACCTTAGTAGTCACTAGTAGTAGTTTACCCTAATGACTACCAAGTAAGTTCACCACCTACTAAGGTAAACTACCTTAGTAGTCACAGCTGCACAGAAACATGGCTGCAATTTTGCATCTACATCAGTGGAGGACACACACTGGGAGCAAGGTGGGTTAAGTGTCTTGCCCAAGGACACATCAGACAGGCTCATGATAGGGGAGAATCGAACCGCCAACCTTCCAGTTATTGGACGACCGCTCTACCTCCTGACCTACTGCCGCCCCATGTCATGTCCAAGAGCATTTGCAATTTGTTCAGAGGAATGCGAGGAATGACTAAATGTTGTGGAGGTTGAACTAATAGTCATGAGAACTTTTATTCTAATCTGAGAAATGCAACAAAGAGTACGTTCACACTGCAGGTTATGATGCACAATTCGGATCTTTTATTAAATCCGATCTTTTTGGGCCGTCGTTCATATTACAAAAACAAATGCGGCATCTAATGTGAACAGAATGCGTCCGTGAAGTGATCCGCATGCACACAAAGCACAAATTGCGTTCTGCCTATTTGTGTTGTCGAACAATGGTGACATTTGTCGCATATTGATGACCTATAGGTCGGATGAACGCGACCTGAGCATCCACACTGCAGTCACATCGGATACATATCCGATTTATATCCACATACAAAAGAGGCCTGGGTCAGATTTGAAAAAATCAGAATTACACTGTTCACACTTTCATGAAAAAATCAGATATGTGTCACATATGGTTAAAAAATCGGAATTGACCTGCAGTGTGAACATAGCCACTGAGATAACTGTGCCTGTGTCTTTAAGAGGCGTGTCCGGGAGGAGGAGGAGTCTGAGCTTCGTCACAGGGCACGAGCAGCACTCAGCTGATGGGAGGGTCGCAGCTCGCAGACCGGAGACAGGATCCATGGCAACAATCATGGCAGGTGGGAGCAGTAGTAAAACGCTTAGAGACAGTATTTCTAAATGAATGTTGTTTTTTTCTTGTGAGAATTGCTCGTAGGTGAAGTTGTAACTCTCTCTTAAACATGCTGCTTGGACTGTTTTTTGTTTTTTTTTCTGTGTTTAGAGGCAGAGACCCGTCAGAGGCTGCTGCGCACAGTCAAGAAGGAGGTGGGTGTTTTTCTTTTTTTTTTTTTACAGCTCGCTCGGCAGTTATCGAGTGAAGAAAAACAAACACATTGGACAGTAAAAAGCTATGTAGTTCAAACAGGCTTCTCAGGTAGTCCCTAACACACACTGGTTCTGTACAGAAGTGTTAAGTCTTGGTGATGTCTCCCAGGTAAACAGACTGAATGCAGTGATAAAACAAAAACACCTTTCACACGAATAGCTTTTTTTATTTTAAGTTGGCTAAAGGAAAGTTGATTGTTTTGACCTGCATTAATTTTATTCAGTGATCCTTGAGTGGTGGTCGTGCTGCAGCTCTGGAATAATTGGGGTGGAGAAGCAGCACTCAGGAAATATGCTGTCTCTAGTCAGTGTTTGTGGTGTTTATGGCAGAGCAAACCATCAGCCTTCTGTCAAGCCATTTGCTGCTTTTTGGTACACATGAACTCATTGTGTGTGTGTGTGCGCGTGCAACTAAGTGATGGATTATATGGCGTTGAATGGAAACAAATATGGAAGCAGCTCAGGTGGTTTGTACAGCTGGTCTAATGCACTTTCTGTCACTCATCATGATTCGAGGTTACTGTGAAATTAACATGAGTGGTCAGAGACAGTTATCTGGATGAAGGCCTGACTACTATTCTGTGGGCAATCTACTCAAAGGCCCAACTACAGGTTATGAAAATGAAATGAAAAGCTTCAGTCTGAAACTGGTTGAGATTGTGGGAAATGGTAACAATTTGGTTTTGATACTTTGTTTAACCGTGAATAATCTACGCTTACTTGGTACTTCTTTAATGATAATAGCTACCAGGTTAGATTTGAACTTGCAGTTGTGAGGTGAGGCTTAATTTTCACATTGATGGTCGTCCTTTAATTTTCTAGAAGCTTGGTGTTGCCAGACCAGTTCACCTTGGCAAAAAAGCATTTAAGATGGCTGATGGATCTGGATCTGCACACTGATATGGTTTTCACCTAATGTGTTTTCAGTGTCTTACAGCAATTCATGCTTCGTGTTTGTCTTCTGTTCGTTTGTTTGTTATGTCTGTTTCACAGAGTTTGTTGAGTGTGTTTTGTCAAAATCACCAACATCTCACTCAGCGTTTTACCACTGACAAACATAACCCTACCCCGACTATTATTGGCTTTCTTTAACAGAAAGAAAACGGAAAAACAGAGCAACATTGGTGATTGCTTTTTATGGAGAGAGAGTGTGATTGATTGACTTTTCCTAATGAAGCAAATCTTCGGCAAGAGGACTTTCTTAACCACCCTCTTTAAACAACTGAAGGACCAAAGTAATCATCCCAGATTGTCATATAAATGACAAGACTTTCTTTCTGCCAACAAAAAAACAAGATATGAATCACACCCCGGGCGTTGTGAGGAGAGAAGTGCAGAGGCTTTGCTCTGGTTTGTTTTCCTCAGAGTCCTGTTTTCAGTCTTATCAGTAGAGACCAGACCCTTCCCTGCTTCTTTTGTGCTGATAATGCCTCACTTCAATTCATTCACAGTGGTTGTTCCACGAATACGACAAGATGAAGTCTGTGAATGAACCAACTGCACAGCATGATAGCTCTCTTAGGTCACAGATGGTACCTAATGAAAACAAGCTGAAAAGATAAATACTTTCATTTGTCAGTTGTTTTCCTGATGAGAGATAAATGTTGCTGTTTATACTTACTCCCGTTAGTTTTTGAGGATTATTAAGTTTGGGTTTCACTTTGCGATATCCTGTGTCCTCACACTCTCCATGTCTAGTTGTTGTTTTTTGACCCGCCTGCTGAAATATCCCTGGATGTAGACCATTATCCAGAAAGCACTGGATGTCTGTAACATCCTGAATTACCTTCTGACACAAAATTGGTTTGAGTGAGATCTCTAGTTTGCCTTAGCTTTGATTCAGAGCCCCTCACAGCCTGCCTCTGTCTTTTTATCTTGCTCAGATCAGTCCTTTGAAAAAAGCTCCACCCTTTTGTCTTTTAGTACATCACATGTGCACGCATACACAAATACACACCTGTGTTTGCTGAAGGAGAGAGAGAGCTAGACGGTTAGAAAACAGGCCGAAGAGCTCTTTGCCTTCCTGTTTTGCCTTTTTTTTTTAGACTGATTGCTTATTTAGGATAAGATTTCATACAGCAGAGTGAGAGACAACAGACGAGGTACACCAAATCAACTGGGCTAGAAAGCCACAAAGAAGGCTTTAGTCTGAGATGAATGCAAAAATAATCTCAGTGATCAAAACACAACCGGAGCCAACCACCAGGTTCGCTTATTTTTTTACGCTGAATAGATTTTCTGATTCCTGTTTACAATAAAATAAATTAACATACAAGGTTGATTTGCACTTTATGGATGATCTGCAAGGAAACTATTAAATAAAATGATGGTCACAGATACTTAAAGATACTAAAAAACTGAGTTTTTTTCACTTTTTAACCTTTAGATAGAAATGTATTCATACTTAGGTTAACCATAGTATACTGCAAGGAGTGGTCCCGCACTAAAAATGCTTAATAAACTGAGAAATCCTGCATAGGGACCATGGGATGCGAGTTGTTTTTACGTTCAATCTTTTAATTTAATGTGCCTAATTGCTTTAACATCGCAGTAAATTAAAGTTCAATTGCTGTGTGCACGGATTAAAAAGATTATTTCCCCATTTTCCTGGTGTCGAGTTACCACATTCATCAGTTGCTACACAGGTGATGAATGAGGAATGGTGGTTATTCATAGATGGTGCTTTCTTTCTGGTTTTAATTCCTCAGCTCGGCTGTTTAGGGAGTTAATTGGAATACTCTGAAGATCTTTTATCATGCGAGCTGATGCCTTCCAGCTACAGAGGCTAGTTAGAGCAGTATGACTGGGCTTTTTAAGGATAATTAATGGCTTGTCACATCATGCATGTTGTTTTATCTCCAAATTCTCCTTAAAATACTTCGATTGTCTTTTTGTAAGAGGTAGGAGTGGTACAAGTGCAAAAGATTTTCTCTTTATTGACACCATGTTAACACAGAGAACCATGTCTTGTTAGATATGATGTAAAATTATGAAGCAAACATAGATAAAGATTCTCATTGGCTACTGTAGTTGAGAACCCGCAGTCCTCTTTCTTAGTTTCAGAGATGAATGGATGTTGTTGACGCATCTCCTTAGGCGGAAGTGATCTGCTGTGTGACACGTGCGGTCTCCATAGAAACCTGCTGGTTGTCTTTGCTTAGACACTTCACCATATTAAATTCCTTGCTGGCTTAATCTGTAGCTCAGATGAGAGAGATGAGAAAAAAACACAAAGGGTCTGCATCCTCAGGTTGGAAAATCAGTTGGATCTTTGTATGTCAGGTGCACTCAGTGAAAAAATCTGTCCTTACAAGTCGCCTATATTATATATACTGTATGTGTGTGTGTGTCTGTGTGTATGGTTGGATATAGCTTTTATATAAGTGTGATCATGAGCAGAGCAAATGCATCATATCAGACTGGCACTGTCTGTGTTGTTTTGGCACCATGAATCATGCCTGTAGACAACAATGCAGCAGAAGCAAACAGACCAAAGTGTGCCTGATGACTCCGTCTATTTAGTGAATGTTTTCAGAAACGCTCTCTGCGGTGGCACAGTTCTGGGCGCATTTTCTTTTTTCAAGTGTTTTGCAGACCTTTGTTTTCTCTTAGCAAGTGAGAAATTAGTCATTTTTTGTTTCTCATCTTGTTTCAGCAGCGAGGGGGCAATCAGTACTCAATGTGAAGATTACATTTTTAAAAAAAGTTGTTTTGTGTCTCACTGTGAAATATAAAATCTCTATTTCTGCTCCAGTCTTTTACCTGCTTCATGTTGCTTTTTCATAGGAAAAATAATAAATCAGAAGGACATAGGGGGTTACATGCTTTCAGCAGTGTGTGTTTATTTTCTCAGCTTTAGGTTTGCAAGGATAAAATGTAGGTGTTTAATTTTTCGAATTTTGAAATGTTATACTTATTTATTCAAATTTTTTTTGTCTTGTGACTATTGGAAGCTCTCATTTCAGGTTTGTGGGATGTGAATGTTTAACATGTATTGTTATTTAATATACCCTAGCTATAGTTATAAAGTGTATACATAGAACAGTTGTGTCAGCATAAGAGGAGGGTATGAAGCCTCTTCTCCTTGTCTGGGTTCATCCACCTTTGGAAACATTTTTTTCCTTTTTACAACCAAAAAGGAAAAAAAGAATAAGAAGACATAAATCACCACATTTACATTTTCTGTGCAAATGCAGAGATATTGAGAACAAAACCTTTTCAGACCAGATTGGACCAGACATGTTCTGTTAAAAAAAGGTAATTTTATGGGGTCTGATTGGGTTTCCATTTGTAACCTCAATGGGACACACAGGGAAACCCCATTTGATACCCCAAGATTTTATAGACAATTTTTGACCTACTTGTAAAAAAAAAAAAAAAAAAAGATGATTGTTGTTAATGAAAACACCAGACAGTAGGTGGTAGGTATGATCAGCTCAGTGTCAAACAGCTATCACATTAAAACCCAGCACTTCCAAGCTCTGTCAGGGTTACCTAGACAAAAAAGAAGAGGAAGGTGTTCTTCAAAAGATGGTTTGGCCTCCTCAGTCTCCAGACCTTTCTCCAATTGAGCTTGTGCAGGATGAATTGGATCGATCGGTCAGAAAAACGCATCCCACAAATCAGCAGTCTCTTTTTAATGAACTTAAGAAAGCTTGGAATGAAATCCCTGAAACATACCTTAAAAAACTTGTGGAACGAATGCCTGGTATATGCCAAGCTGTTGTTAAAGCCAGAGGAGGTTACTTTAAAGAAAGCAAAGTCTAAGCAACAATAACTCAAATACCTAATAATTATAGTCAAAATGTCTTCTGATAAGTTACTCTTTACACAATAGTCATGTTTATTGTTTTGCAAACTATGAAACTATGATCTTTTTTGTACAAATCTGATCTTGCTTCCAAACTTTTGGCCTGTAGTGTATGTCTGCGTTTTCATGGAAAACCCCGGCTTGCTGTTGACAATGGTGGCTGCTGCGTTTCAGAAATATCCCAATCTGGAGAGCGTTTTTAAAAGTAACCGTTTGAGACTGAATAAAACACCATTTCTGTTATCAAAAGAAAACTATCTTTGTTATATCGAGAAAACAAGATAATAAGTCGTTATCACGAGATAACAGTGCATAAAAAAAGAAAAATCCATGGCCATTTTCATCTTCCATACTGACCACTACAAAGACTGTGCACGTGTGTGTGCTTGTGTACATGCTGCAGATTTACTTGGCAGTGTAATGTGGTCATTGTGGACAGACTCATCTTGCAGGAAATTGCAGTGATCTGTGTGGCTGTGTCCGGAGGATGACAATTCCCATGCAGACTGCACAGATCACAGGGGGGTATCTCCATATCAACTGGTGGTACTAATACATCAGTCCTCAATAGAGAGGGAAATCACCATTATAAGAAAAAGCTATAGCTACTTGAAGGAGTCTTGTGAGCAGAACATATACATTTGACCTTCTCTGTTTCTTTAAAAAAAAAACAAGTCTCAGTTTTAAGGACATCATCAGTCTTTGACGCAATCGAATCAATGACTCCCACTGAGGATTACAAACTGTTCAGAAAGGAGGATCTATGATGGATGAAAGCCCCTCCCCTCCCCTTTTGTACCCCCACATCCCCAAGTGTACAGCTTTCATCTCCCAGCAGAGGTCCTTGGTATAAGAGCTGGTGACTCATCCACCAACTTAACGTGCACTCTCCCACTCAGTGTTTCTCTTCCTCTTAACTTTTCAGTCCCACCTCATCTGTCTGCAAGAATGGCACTCTCCTCCCATTATTCTACCATTGTCATACTCAGACATGCTTCCTTTTATCAGTCCTCCTCATTAGAAAATCTTAGCAGTCAGGCAAACTCACTACATGAATCCCTTGCAGACTCTCTCTCTCGCTCTCTCTCTCTCTCTCTCTGTGCATGTCTGTGTGTGTGTGTTTTTAAATGTGCGGTTTATGCAAGTTGCGGCCTGTTAATGAATGACTCATCCAGCCAGCATCCGATTTGTCATTGACAGGTGAAGCAGATCATGGAGGAAGCTGTCACCAGGAAATTTGTTCATGAAGACAGCAGCCATATCGTGTCCTTTTGTGGTGAGTAAACAAATAAGTGACTAGCACAGCTTTAATAACCTCTTTGGCATACGTAAACGAATAAGAGAACTCAAGTTAGGCATTAATTTGATCTAGCTGAATCAAACAAGTGTGCCTTTTAGTGACTTGTGGCGTCACCTTCTATTTGAATCTCTTGACCATCAAGCTACTTTTAATTGCGAACTATTCTTTGAACTCTGTAGTTTTCACAAAAGCTCATGTCCAAGTAAAGTCTCGAATCCATAATGTTTAAGTTTGAATATTACCCGAGCAACTGACTCGAGTCCATTTAGAGTCCCATTACTGAAGAATTATTTAAGTAATTCAATTAGCTCTTGTGATGTTGATCTGATAGTTCTGAAACCATATTGACTAGCTGAGAGTAGAGAATCTATTGAAAACTATCTGTTGTTGTCTATGAAGTTGAGTTTAAGTTGAAAGCAAATCTCATACCATACATGACAGGAACTGATGCTGAACAACATGGCACATGAAAATGCATGAAACGGAATAAATCAAGGGTTTAAATAAAAAATAAAAAAAAAATTTTAAGAAATTTTACTCCATTATTTTCTTTGTTAAGTTAGAATCTGTAACTTGGCTTTATTTCTACGTCCTTTTCTTGATTAATGAAGCCTTAGTCACGGATAGGGCTGGGACGATATGCTTTTCTCCTGATTCGATTTAAATTGTGATTCTACGATATTGTTGATTTTCTCAATTTTTAAGGTCCTTTCACTCCGGGACCGTTTTTTTCGTGCGATTATTTCAGACGTCAGTATTTTTTTTCGAACCCGTATCCTGTCAATACAAACATTCACATCAGCGACGTTTTCCCGTCCCGCGATATTGCGGCATTTATTTTTTCGGATCACGGTCAATTTTTCTAAAGTTTCACATACTGTGTGTCCACTTCTGACCATTTAGATTGCGTGTTGTTGCAACGTCAGATTCACCGGTACATCAAACATGGTCCACAGGCTGATTGTTTACGTGTCGGAGAACAGAGTGCTTTTTGATAAAAGACACAAATATTACAAAAATAACGACCTGAAGGACAACTTGTGGAGAGTCATAGTGTTGGATTTCTCATATGACGATAGTTTGTGTGCTTTAACAGTTTGCTAAACGATATTGTTTGATTTTAACTTTCAATCTGTGCTAAGGTAACTTTCAGCTCCGGGACCTGTTTTTTTCGTGCGATTATTTCAGACATACCAGTATGTATTTTCACTGTCTCAAACTCAATCGCGTTGCTGTCACAGCACCATTAGGTCTCGGTTGTTACCTTACGTTTATGGATTATAGTTTTATGTGCTTAATTGATACTGGCCCCGACTCAGTACATGCTATCATGACGGACCGCCATCTCAACACTAGTGTCTAATCAGAACTGAAAAACAGTCAGTCTTCTTGCTTCCACTTGGGACCGCCCATAACCAAAACATTTTCCAGACAGGCATAAATGAATCTATAAAACAACAATTCAATCATTTTTAAAAATGGCTTCTACATGCAGCCATCTGCAGCTTTCAAGAATAGAAGATGACCTACAAACAAATCAGCGCTGTTTAAAGTTTGCTGAGTTTAATCAGTTTGCCAGTTCTCCAAGTGGTCAATAAAAATCATCCTTTGTCTTCATTTCTCCATGCAGTATCACTTATGTGGCCACACTGAGCAAATACAATTGAGTTCTTGGTCCTTTTTATTGAATTAGTTTTTCAACAACAGGAATCTTTTTCCAACTGCGGGTCATATATGTCTGCTTTGATGAGGAAGGAAGTTACAATATTAGAAAAAAAGTCATGGGGCAATGTACATTAACAGGCACATTACCAACATAGTGTTGTACAAGTATATGTTTATCATTAGGAGGGAATAAACAACACTAAAAGGTCTTTATTTTACCAAATGTTGTTGTTTTTATCTTATTATTACACTATTAAAAAAAAGTGAAGAGGTATTTCTGCGAGAAACACTCTGCCACATACAGAAAATCACACTCATCATGAATCTGGCTCAGTCTGGAGCTCCACTTAGTCACTAGATATGTTTGTTATTTCAGTGTGACAATATTGGTCTCAGAAAATGTGATGTATTTGTATGTATGAGCAGACAAGTAGACCTGCGGCTTAGGCGATAAAGAGAGAAACTCTCTTGGCACAGATTCAGAATAAGTAGAACAAGTAGCTCTAATAATCATCCACCTCTTTCACGCCGATGGAAAAATATGGAGCAGCTTTACAGTCACTATCGCCCTGTCTGCTAGGCTGCATGTTGTTCTCAGTGAGCTATAACTTTGCATCATTATTACACTTATATGAGATGTCAGTGAGTGGAACATAACGCTGAAAAACAGGCTGAGTCAAAGCGAGTCCGGCATTCCTGCAGAAATCAAGATTATGTGACTCACAGAAGATATTTCTTGCATTTCTTGCTTCATGATTAAAGGAAAGCGCATTTGGGTTTCCCTAGCGTGAAAAACATCGGCTGTTTTATTGAAACAGTATAAGTTAATGTTCTCTCACACCATGTAATCAGCTTTCAGTTCATTTCATTTTATGACGTTATGTTTTCCCTCGACAGCTTCTGAAAATAATTTGTCATCTGTACGTTTTTTTTACAGTGTGTTTTGTTTCTTCTGTCTCCAGCTCCATATTTTGGGCATTGCTTGTGCTTTGTTGGTCTTTGTCAGCGCTTGAATGTCCATTCATCATGAGTTACTTTGGTTTGTGGTTTGTGCAGTAGCCACTAGATCATCTGATTGTTTGTTTTAATAGCTGCTGGTCTCTTAAGAGAGCATCCACAACCTCTGTGCATCTCTGTGTACACGTGGCCATGCAGGGTAACTCTCCATCTCACAGTCAGATAATGTTGCTGGCCAGCGCCCTCCTCCCTCATAGTGGCTCTTGTTACTACGTGTCCTCTTTCAGCTTTGCTCTGTTAAAAGATGAGAGTGAAGGATGGGGAAAAAAGGCTCAGCCAGCTCAACAGGAAGCAATTAGCTTCCACCATCATGGCTTCTTTGATGAGCCCAGGCAGCCTAGACAGTCTGAAATGTAGACCTTGTAAAGGGTTAGTGTGTGTCAAAAGACCACTACTTACTTCAGTTCGAAGGACATGGGAAGCGGCTCTACAAAGCCGACAACTTCCACTGTTTTATGGAGAAATTAATCCAAAATTAGCTGATACACAAATTGATCTTCTTAGTTCTCATTGCTTTGCACCTCCTTCTGTGCAGTCGTAGTAGACTGGTACAATTATTGTAATTTTTATTTGTCAATATATCAGTTTGGACATATGAAATGCATAGTCCAAATCCCCTCTACTTTCACTTAGTAGAAACACTAGAAGTATTGATCTATCAAAAGTTATTTCATGTCAGTTACAGTACTCTTCAGGAAAATGTTACTCTTGACTTTTTTAAGTCATTATTCCCCAAATTATTTTTTCTGTTGCAGCTCAGTGGTTAAAATAACTCAAAACCACTGTGCAAAAAACACCAAAAAATTTTCAAATAGTTTATATTTAATGAACACTCTCTCCTATGTAAACCAAGAATGTAAAACCTTGTTGTAAATTTAATTTTAGTTTTTTATCTGAATTGTTATGTTAAAAAATGGGTGTGGTGTGTTAGCAGCATCAGACAGGCCAGCTAGACCGGTCATTTGTTCAGATATATGAAGTGAATTCAGAGAACCTTTTGCTGCTCAAAAGTAAATTGGGTAACACTTTATTTGATGCCTATCTCTATAACGCATTATAAATATGAGTACGCATAAGTAAAAATGCATTATAATCACATTATAGTACTGTATAACTATAGTTATAAACACTCATAAATGATCATAATGCTTTATAGCAATAATCAACACATTATGAAGCATTTTATCATACATATATACTTACAAGGTCAGGTATTATAATGTGTTATCACTGGTAACAACAGTTGCATTGCATTATCTATAATGATAATTAATGAGTGTTTATAATGATATTTATACAAGTTTATAAGCAAATTATAACACATGATAAATATGTATAATGCATTGTCTACGTGGGCATTGTCATTGAGTTGTTACTAGTTATGACACATTGTAATACATAATATTGTAAGTCAAGGTAAAATGCTCTATAATGTGTTATGATTATTGCTATAAAGTATTATGATCCTTTATGAGTGTTTATAACTATAGTTATACAGTGCTATAACGTGATTATAATGCATTATAAATATATCTATAATGCGTTATATAGAGAGGCGTCAAATAATGTGTTACCGTAAATTGCATTATTGTATCATAAGGTGATGGTGCCAGAGCCTTCTGTGTATTTTAATTGGCCTCTAATTACTGTGTCATTGCGGATTTTTTAAGGGATAAATTTAGTAACCAACCTATGAATCATTCTGACTGTGACATTTCAAATAATAAGAAAGTCTACAGGTGCTGTCGTGTTATCCAAAAAGATCTTATTGTCTGAGTCCTCAGCCCTGCCTATATTAAGACCTCATGTTAGTGAATCCGTCTGCCCTGACTGAGTGAAGAGCTGGTCAGCTGTGTCTTGTTTCTTAATGCACTCAGTTGCCACAGATACAGAGAGATTAGAGGTAATTTAGTGTGTTTTTATCTCTACCTGGATGGACTGCACGGCGGACTGAACCGACAGACATGGTGTTGGTTTTTTTTCTCTCACCACACATTAAAACCGCTGTTGGGGTGAACATTTGATGAGTTTGCAAGCTCATTCATCTGGAAGATTGCAGTTTTATGCACCATACCCCTTCCTCCTTTGTGCTTTATACACACAGCATGTTGTTTTTCTTCCTTACAGAGATAAACAAATTTCCCATGTGTAAGTCTGCAGCTGCAGGCACTTAGGAAAAAATTGAGATTTTTTTCTGTTACTTTGGCGAACAGAAAAAAAAAGTGTGAAGATTAGGGAGGTGCTTTCTTAACACTTTTGCCTCCTGAGACTGTTGGCAGACACAATAAGAGAGTAGGGAGGATGAACTATATATAAAGACCCTTTACTAAGACACTTCGTTCTGACATTTAACCTCTTGCATTTATAATGATGTGAGGAAACGCGGTACCGGTGATAAGAAGCACAACACAGAAACAAAGGGGGGAAAAATGAAGATGCAGAGAGGATAATGAGGACATATTTAGATTTATAATGAAAAGTGAGTGATGAAGGCTGTGATTGTCATTTAATTGCCTGTGCTGGAGTAAAACCCTGCAAACATTTATTATATTGGAGGTAATGACAGAGAGGGCGACAGATTAACAGAACGGCAGGAGGGATTCAGGAGAGAGGTCGTGTTTGAAGAAGTGGGGATGGTGGAAATAGAGAGACTGCGATGCTGATGAGTCGCAGTCAACCCTCCCTCAGCTCATCTCTCCCTCAGCTCTATCGCTCCATCAACAGGGGTTTCTATGGCAACCCCAGCCCTCCCCGACCCCATGTGAACAGAGCCACAGGATTAGTCCAGAAAGAGAACTCAAATGTCAACACAGCTCAAGGCGCTTCCACGTAGGCCTGAAGGGAAGGAGGGGTGTCTGTTTTCTGCACAGCTCAGCAATCGGACAAGTGTGTCATCTTGTCATCAACCTGCGTGCCCACTCCAGCTCTCTGAATCAGACTGATTTATGAGTGAATGGAAGTATAATAACAAGCGTTTTTAACCTAGCAAAAAGATTAAAAAAAAAAGCTGATTGCAAGTATGGAGGGCAAAATTAGCTGTTTGATCAAATATGAATCAAACTGGTTGTATACTTCACTACTGAGTCATATTCTCAGGCATGTAGAGAGTTATCTGTTTCCACAAGCTTTGGATCTTTTGAATTAGTATAGAAAGTGAATATACCAGATATGCATTATCTACAGTTGTAGATGTTACTTGATGTCTGACATGTTGTGTACAAACTTATAGTTTATGTTAAATGTTTGCTATTGTACCCAAAACTCCCTTGAGACCCTTATAAGTATTAAGTGGATTATCCTGGTGTGATACAGGAAGTTGGTTTATTTGGATGTATGAGACATTATTATTTAAGACAGAATTAGCTTTTCATTTACAACATGGTGATTATCTCTGCCTCGAAAGATGAGCAAAATTCATTCATGTGTGTATGTCACAGCCCCATGTTTGAAGTACAGAATGTTAATCCCTCAACTTCAGAGCAGGAGTGAATTCATATTTTACCAAGAGTGAATGAATTTCTATATCCTTCCTCCTGTGTTAGCTTTTACTATGCATCCACCGTGTTAAGGGTCGGTTTTGTCTTAAATCAGCTGTAAATTACACTAAAAACAATTATCTGTTTTTTTTCCAATTTGGTTCTCATCTCTAGGTTACCTTGTTGAAATATGAAAATATTGCTGATAATAGTTTTTGTTGTGGTCCTCTGGGCCTTTCTTTGTCAGTGTACCCCTCATACAGACGTCTATACAGAATTGAATTCACATGTCTGGACATGCCCAACGTTGTTTTTTTGTGCAGGGAAAAAACAGGCAAAATGAGAATTTCCTAAATCTCACATGATTGGAAGAGGATCTGACCATCAGTGTGGTGCACATATGATTTCAGTTTTTGCTCTAATAATTAGATATTGATCTAACCGGGTCAACAGCGACCCTAACACGACAAATGCCATAATTTTAATAAGAGCATTTCATAATTTAGTTACTTTAATTTTCTATTTTTATTTTGTTGAAATAGAGGTTCCTGACAAAGTCAAAAAGTCTTGATGCAAAAAAAGCTAATTTAAGTGGTTCTTTTAAGCCTTTAAAATCAAAAATGGGTCGGTGCAGACCCTAACACAGGAGGCGGGTTAAGCACTAAAATCATAGAATTTCTTGTTTTGTGTGTCTTTGGTTCAATTTGCTGAGAATACCAATAAGCTGAACATTCTGAGTTTTAAAATATGTCTGTACTTTGAGTTTTCACTGTGTTATCAAGAGGGTTTTTTTCATTGGATATTTGTTTTGTTATAAGGTGTTAAGTTTGCAATATTTTCATATGCACAACCGTGTGTTTGTGTCCACGCAGCCGCAGTGGAGGCATGTGTTTTGCACGGGCTGAAACGACGAGCAGCCGGCTTTCTGCGTAGCAACAAGATAGCGGCTCTCTTCATGAAGGTGGGGAAGAGCTTTGCCCCGGCTGAAGAGCTGTGTAGAAAGGCCCAGGAACTGGAGCAGATCATCGAGACGAAGTGAGAGTGAAGACATCGCAGCTCATCATCACACATCACATCAGACTTCAAAGCTGATATCAAAGCCTCGCTCAAATTCAATGCAACATCAACAAACAGCTGTCTGCCCATTTGAAGGGCTTTTTTTTATTTAGAAAAGCTTCTAAATTATTCATGATTATGAGCTTTTATGACCCATGAATTGCCATTTACTTAATTTAGATGCAGTTTTACTAAATGGGATATATTCAAAAAAGCTTACATTTGTTTAGACAAGAACTTGATTTTATTTATTTGCAGAAGAAGTCAAAGCTTGCAAAGTCAAGACAGTCTTCGCAAGATGCCCCGTCTGCCCAGCCTCAGTCCTCAGGGTGTCAGGAACCTGTGGATCCGGACTGCTCTCTTTGAGAAGGTGCTGGACAAGATTGTTCTGTATCTGGTAGAAAACAGCAGGTATGATGACATAGACCTGGGATACTCTCTTCCACTGAAAGTGTCAAAAGATTTCTCTTTAAATTCCCCTCGCTTGTTTGTCTTCCAGTAAATACTATGAGAAAGAGGCTGTTTTAATGGACCCTGTGGACGGACCGATTCTTGCCTCTTTGTTAGGTAATAATGCAGGTTTTTTAATGTTGTAGATTCTCATGTAGGTCTTTTCTTGTTGTAGATTATCCATGGCTCGTGTTTACATGAAAATGCTAGATCATGGTAGACTTGGAAACAACAGGAAAAGAATGATGATTTTGGCCTTACTAGGAATATTGGACAAAATAGTAACTTTAAGGCTAAGGAGTCAAAGATGTTTTTGCAGTGACAGGGACACAACCCTTCACTAAACACAGTTTTAAACACAAACAGTTTGTTTTCGAAAGGCTTGAGCATGAAGCACTGCTTCTTGAGACTTGATTTGAATCACAGTTTTGGTCTGAAGACAGGGAAAATTGCTATTTCACAAAAGAAACATTCTGTGTTTTCAATATTTGCTTGACAAAGATTGCACGCTGTTGTGTGTCAAATCTATTCAGACAGAAAATTGTTCATTTCACTCTTGAAGAAGCTCTTGAAGAAAATGGGCAGAGAAATATAGCTGTCAAGCATCATAAAGCTCCTTGTTGCCTTTATCGTCACACAAAAGTTGGTGGTCTTTGATGATGCATCTCTGACAGATAAAAGAATATTCTACTTTTGAATTTGCTTATTGATTTTTAATTAGATTCCAGGAGAAACCACTAGTTAAGTAAAAACGTTTTAAAGCTTTTGTCTGTAATTTTTCACCTTCATTCATCCAGTGGGACCCTGTGCTTTGGAGTACACAAAGATGAAGACAGCAGATCACTTTTGGACGGACCCATCTGCAGACGAGTTGGTGCAAAGACATCGCATCCATAGTGGCCACATCAGACAGGATTCACCCACTAAAAGGCCTGCACTGTGTGTAAGTAATGAAATGGGTTAGCAGAGGATCCTCGTGTGGAATTCAAGTCGGGCTTCTCTGAACCTGTGACTGTTTCAAATCATTTTGCACTGCAGGAGTGATTTTACCTTTCAAAACCAGGGGTTGCTTCTTGACTTCATCCCACACCTCTAAAGAGATGCTCTCCGTCAGATCAAAGAGGACCTGTTAGGATAGCAGAGTAAAATGAAGCACAGCGTGTCCCAGGAGGAAGAACAGAATGTATCTAAGACTTTCACAATTGTTTACTCTTCAGGTTATCACTGAACCAGGATTAACTTGGCCTATTTTACAGTTTTTATCATCCTGTGTATTAATGTATGCCTGTAACAGAGGTAGACTGATATCAAAATCTGGGGAGTGTGCATTGGTGCACATGAATTAATATTGCATTTGGAAAAAGAGATACACTGTGACAGGCAAGCTGTAATTCTTTCTGCGAAGACAGTCATCTCTTTAACACCGGTTTACAATGTTTGTTATCTGATTTGACATTCTGTGTTTGTGCAGATCCAGAAGCGGCACTCCAGCAGCAGCATGGATGAGCGCCCTTCCCCCTCACCATCAGCTCGTGAATATGTGGAATCGCTGCATCAAAACAGCAGGGTGACCCTCCTGTTTGGCAAAAACAATGTGCTTGTACAACCGGTAACTGTCTGATTCCTCATCACTACCCCTCTCCGCGGTCCATATACAATCCTGAAAATCTCAGTAATAGATAAATAAAATATTTGAAGTTTTACAAGTAATAAAAAAGTTAGATAACTCTTTACTTGACACATATCTCTATAATGCATTATAATGCGTTACAATCACATTATAGCACTGTATAACCATAGTTATAAACACTCATAAATGATCATAATACTTTATAGCAATAATCATAACACATTATAAAGCATTTTATCATTACTTACAAGGTCAGGGATTACAATGTGTTATAACTGTTAACAACGGTTGCATTACATTATCTACGTGGGCATTGTCAGTGAGTTGTTAACAGTTATAACACATTATAATACCTGACCTTGTAAGTCATAATAAAATGCTTTATAATGTGTTATGACTATTGCTATAAAGTATTCTGATCATTTATTAGTGTTTAAAACTATGGTCATACAGTGCTATAATGTGATTATAACACATTATACATATATTTATAATGCATTATTGAGACCGGCGTCAAGTAAAGTGTTACCAAAAGGGTACGCACATACTGGTATAAGTTTGCTGAAATAACATGTTTTTAATGGACTGTTTTTTTGTCCTGCTCTAATGAGCGTGGTCTAGACCTACTCTCTTTCTTTGAAAAGCGTCTTGGGATGACGACTGTGAATTGGGGGCTATATAAATAAAATTTGATTGATTGATTGATTGACACTTTTGTCACAGCTGCAATGCACCATTACAAGTTAAAACTGTGAATTGAGGGCAAAATATTCATTGTGTTGTCATACAGTTTTATACTCTCTGAATTTTCCTTGTTTAATAAAACATACCTCTCCTTACTGTTTCAGAGGGATGATATGGAAGCCATCCCAGGCTACCTCTCTCTGCATCAAAATGCTGACATCATGACCCTGAAGTGGACACCCAACCAGCTAATGAACGGCTCAGTCGGGGACTTGGACTACGAACGCAGGTAAGGAATTATTCCTCTGATTATCTGTGTGTATATTCAAACTCAAATTCAAATTCAACTTTATTTGTATGGCACTTTTTAGACAAAAAAATGTTGTTCAAAGTGCCTCACAATTAAACAAAGTCACAATTGAACAACAATAAAACCAGACCCTCCCACCATGTAAAAGGGGTAAAGGAAGTAAAATCCTCTATGGTGGGAATTAAGAAATATAGTATAGCTGGTAAACCTTTCTGAATCAATGTAATAAGTCTCTTTCAAGACTTGTCAAAACTGCTTTGTTTCTTTTTGTTGACTGTCTGTATAATTCTAAAGTATAACTGATGAATGCGGTATGTGTGAACATTTTGTGAGTAAGGGGCTCGGAAGGCAATTGATCATATAAGACGTATTTTCAGCTCGCAGCAGATGGTTTACTGGTGAAGTCGCTCGTAGAAATCTCCCAGACTAACAAACCATATTAAGCTCCTTCGCCTCTCCATGGCTCCTCTCACCAATAATTGATTATTCCATTATCTGTCTCTGCTCCTGCTCCTCTGTGTGAGCACTCGTAACTTCTGTCTTCATTGGCCATTAAATTAATGATCCTTGACATTTGACTCTCACAAATAATGTGTAAACAGCCCCGAGGTTGTTTTTTTTCTCCAGTGCGAGCTGTTGGTGCACCTGTTTATGCAAAGAGCTATTTGGTTTTGTTGTTTGACTTGAGGTGTATCTGATTTGATGTTTTTTAGTGTTTACTGGGACTATGCCATGACAATCCCCCTTCAGGAGATAGTTTACTTGCACTGTCATCAACAAGGTGGGTCCATATAAAGCTTCATTAGCATGTCTGTTTAGGTTCTCATTATTAATTATCATCTTACTCAGAGTTCGTATTTGTTTTTTTTGTTGGTGTTGTTCAGTGTCTGCAAATACACAAAATGACGTCCTGTTTGTCTCTTGTAGTCGACAGTGGGGGGACTGTCGTACTGGTCAGTCAGGATGGAATCCAAAGACCTCCACTTCGCTTTCCCAAAGGAGGTCACCTGCTCCAGTTTCTCTCATGCCTGGAGAATGGCCTTCTTCCTCACGGCCAGCTTGACCCTCCTCTTTGGTCTCAGAGGGGAAAGGTTAGCTAAGACGGGTTTTTCATAGAGGTGGCTCCTTTTCTTCAGATCTAGCGCACAAATGACTTGTATGACTTGAAATTAGATCTGCCAGATCTGATCAATAAATCAATAAAAAACACATTTAGTGGACTGATGCAGATGCTTGGGTTGGAGTGATACTGATGAATGTGTGGCTTTGTGTTCTCTCTACAGCCCTACACATAAGGTGTTGTCTGTAATGAATGGATATGAATAGTGTTATATCCGTAGCTAAACCACCCACGCATGTTCACTCTCTATTAATAGGCTTTAGCATGCAGACAGTCATTGTCTTTGATTCATATTGAGGGCTTAGCTGGGCTTAAATGTTGGAGAATTTTTTTGTTGCCGGCTTTAACTTAATACCCGTTATATTCTCATTACAGGGAAAGGTGTTTCCTAAGCTGCGGAAGAGGGTTCCTCAGGGATCTGGATCCACAGACTCAGTCTCAGATAAAGAGGAGGACGAGGCCACAGATTATGTCTTTCGCATCCTCTTCCCAAACAGCCAGTCAGAGTTTGGTGAGATTTCCCCCAGAATTATGAGCAGTACCCAACAGCTGCTCTAAATCATTGCCCTTTTATGAAAATATTACTCGTTGTTTGTTGCAGTGACCGTAACCCATCTTCATCCAACACATCTGACTCCCTCTCTCCCCTCTCACCTGAGTGGGCAGTTCCCCTCCCTAATAGGGACTGTGGTTGTACCCAAGAGGTCCTGCACCTGTCCTGAAGAATCCCCCTCGCTGACAGGAAGCAGCTGTAACACTGTCACAGTCCGGCCCGTCTGTCTGTCTATCTGTCAGCATGTCTTGCTTTAATTCACAGCATCTAATATCCTTCTGCGCCTTTGGCTAACTTTATTGATGTGCTGCGTTATTAAAGCCCCTCCCACCCTGTGCAACCCTGTACCACAACTCTTATCCCGTATTACATTGCTTTAACCTTTTAACAGCCAATGGCTGGATATCAGACTGATCAAGCTTCTGCTCAATTCATCTTTTCTCAGTTTTAATGTAATTTGATAAAACAGCCTCATGCTTCCAAATTATACATCAAATCCATCCTGATTGTTTTGTTTTCGTCCTTTGTCTGTGCTCTTACAGGAATCAAGCACAAATAACTTATAATTTGAAGCACTTTCAGCAGATGATGAGTGATTAGTTATATTCTGTTGTATTCTGCTCATGGGAAATGTTCTGCTTTGTTGAAATCATTCAAGTGAAACTTTAATTGCCCGCAGAACCCTGAGCGGCATGATGCTTTGTTAGTGACAATGCGGGTTTGTGTGTTTGTGCGTGTGTTTTCGCAGTGAGTCCTCCAGACTTGATGGATCAGGGAGCTACAATGTGGCATCCCACTCTCAGGAAGACTTCTTGTTCCTCTTGTTCTCAGGGGAGCTTCTCGGATGGGATGACACCCAAAGGTTGCAACCATGAGAGGTGGGAGATAAATACTCTTGAGCGCTAGACTGAGTTGTGTTGGATTGTGACAGGAATACTGTTGAGGGCTGCAGAGACACGCAAGAATCAGAATTAGAATTAGAATCTTTATTGTCCTAAAAGGGAAATTAATGTTGCAGCAGGAGCACACAAAGACAGGGTACACGGTGACATGCAGTAAGAATAGTCGAAAGGTCAAACATGATAAATAAAAGAAACACCATAAATGTACACAATTTCACTGAGAAATGTTCAGTCTAGAGTCAATACCAAAACTGGAAACTAACTGCTTTAATAAACTCTGAAAAGTGCAAATATGGGCAACCTAAGGCCGAAGAATGACTGCGATTCCCTCAGCGCCAACCCGAAAATTCACAAAAGGAAAAAAAAAAGAACCTAGCAATTACCCAGGAGACAATCATGTGACATTTCGCTTTCTGTAATAAAAATGTCTTGAGAAAATGAGCTGATAAGCAGCAAGGCAAACACAGTGGATGAAAGGCAGACGCCCGGGCTAATTCATTTATAATGGAAGCAGAGTGGTTAGTGTTTGAGTGATAAAAGCTCAGCCCTACTGCTGTAATAACCTTTACAATTCATATAGCAATGAATTACATTATACAGAGGTTTAGATTAATGACGATCCAATTAAAGAAAATACAACATAACCATGTCCTGTGTGTGTTTTCTCCACCTGCAGGACTCCTCTGAAATTGCTTTGTGACAACATGAAGTATCAGATCATCTCTCGGGCGTTTTATGGCTGTATGTTATTGCTTTTGTGTACTCTAAATAGCTTTATACATTATTCATGCTTTTATATTCACTATCAAAATTGCTACTGGCATCCTTAGGGGCATTAATTGATTAATTGTGTTGTCTTATAGGGTTGGCCTACTGCCGTCACCTGTCCACTGTGCGCACACACCTTTCCGCTCTCGTCAATCATACTATTGTGGCCCCTGACGCGCCATCTGATGCCTTCAAAGGCCTGACCACAGACGTGTGGCAGACGTTTCTTCAGGACTGCACAGTAAGCATCGCTTGTCTCACAGCTCTGTAGCACAAACATCACATGCTTGTGCTGTTCTAGTTTGTTGGCCACATGCACACACGCATGCTCATACACATACACAGGCACACACATATGTATCCAGCTTCAAGGCTTTCCCTCTCACGCTGTTGCTGCTCCGTCTCATTCATATTCATCTCTGCTAATTATGCGGCTCACACCATTAGTCTTGCAAAAGTGTGCATGAAGCATGACTAATGGCCCTGTCAGTCTCTGTGTCCATATCAGCAGTTTATTACGTGCAGCCGCAGAGAGTTTGACCAGAACAGGAATTGTAATTGTGGTTTTTTTTTTTCTTTGGAAAGACTTTCAGAAGGTATTAAAACTAAATCGAAAAAAATTTGAGATACTTGCATGAGCCATTTTATCTATACTATTTTTGGGGTTTTGTTTTGTTGCTCGCACAATCACCACAAGGGGCACTTCAGGTGAATTGGCAAGTAAATGCTACAAAGGGACACAGGTGAAGCAGTGATCTGGGGAACAGGAAGAACACACGGTTTTTACCGCTAATCTATGACACCATTCTCCCCCTCATCATGAACATCACCATCATAGTAAGTTAGACGTATTTGTCTTTTTTTGTTTGTTTTTAATTTAATCAATAAAAATCAGGTCAGCATAGTCACTATAATACTTAAAAATCATAATCCAGTAAAAGATTTCCTTACTGCAAGTTTTAAAAAAGCAGGAAAACTGTCTGCATCCCCAGAGGCAAAAAAGCACAAAGCAAAGTGGGAACAAAAACTACCTGTCAAAATTTCACAGGAGCGTTGGTTGTTCAAAACAAAGAGCATCCACAGAAGTGAGGCTGGAGAGAAGTGAGAGTTAGCTCAGGTATTTTTTCTCCACTCCAAAATCTAAGTTATCAATGTTAGTAACAAAAGCTATGCTGCAGAGAGAATGAACACATGACACCCCCTCATCTTTTAGATTAAAAATATGTATATTTTGGGGAAAGATATTTTAAGCTAAGAATACTTTTGGTTGCTGCATCTTTAAAAAAAAACAGATACAGTTTTAATGGTTATAAAGCTGTTTTTTTTTTGTTTTTTTTTTTTTTATATATATATTTTTAAATTTTCCAGAAACAAAACAAGAGCAAATGACAAAAAACAAACATACATTTGGCTCACACACACATTTAGGTTCAAATTCATACAGACGAGAGATTCAGGAGTCATCCTATACAAATAAAATAAGTAAGTCAAATAAAAGTCAAAAAAATCAAGTGTACATTGCCATACATAATCCGCTCATATGTTCAAAGAAAGGTACACAGAGGCAAAAACACTGATTAAAAAGGACGTCACTTTGGAGGCAGCACGTTTAAAGCTATGATACAAACCCTCTTGTAAGAATGGTAGAAATATTTAAACCAACACATGACAAAAAGGGTTCATGAAGCTGTTTTGCTTTCGTGTTATTACAGCAAAGGTAAAAAGTTGAGATGATCTCCTCCATCTGACACTATGTTGTTTGTTACCTGCACTGACAGACCTCTGAGAGACCCGACATGGCAATACTGCTTTGATTTTCCGTATGTTTGCACACGAAGAGATGTCTTTCTTTTGAAACTAAGGGGGAAACACAAGCTCTGTGTAGTAAACATTTCTGATGTCTTCAGGCGTACGAGGAGAAGGAGCTGCTTCGCCTCGTCTACTTTGGTGGTGTTGAAGCCTCTCTGCGTAAAGAAGTCTGGCCTTTCCTGCTGGGTCATTATCAGTTTGGGATGTCAGAAGAGGAGAGGAAGGAGGTTTGTCATTTCATTGATCCTTATCCTACTTGGAGAGTATTTCCTATCTTAACTTCTACCCCTCAATGCCTCTTCATAGGTCGATGAACAGGTCCGAGTGTGCTACCAGCAGACCATGCGCGAGTGGCTCAGCTGCGAGGAGATTATCAAGCAGCGGGAGAAGGAGCAGCATGCTGTAGCATTAGCGAAGTGCTCCTCTGGAGTGAGCATGGACAGCTCCACTCAGAAGATGGTCCACCATGACTCAACTGTCAGCAATGAGGTGAAAGAGGAACATATTTTGACTTTCACAGACAGAAAATTTGTGTGCAGAAACATATAAGACTGATAAGGTAAATATTTTGTCTTAAATCAGGTAGTATGTAGTATGTTATACTTTAGATATTCAGTTAAATGAAGTTTAGTTTCAGACACACAGTCAGTACATGTTCGGTTTCATTTTCTCTGAAATAGGCAGTTTAAAAGTGTGTAAGTGTACTCAATATCAGTGGTCTCAAGAAGGTATCAAGTATAATGTGAGCACAGACATAGATAAAGATTAAGACTGTATATTAAAAAGAAATGAATTCATATGGTAACAGTTTGCTTGGCCTGCATGTTTTTATTACTCAGTCCCAGTCCTCTCAGAGTTCAGACAGGCAGAGTCTGGCTCGCCTGCAGAGCGACTCCAGCAGCAGCACACAGGTATCAAAACTCTAAACCTGTTACAGCCTGAATTATACATTATTTGAGAGATTTTTTTAAGTTGTCTTCCTCTTCTTGCAGCCTCATAAGCTCCTTTCTCATACATTTTGCAGTATATGGTTTTAAGTAAAGCATGTCATCTCAACTTTTTGTACCGATATTCCTCATCCCTGCACTCTCTCTCCTGCCAGTTCTTCACAACCTCCCATCCCTTTCCCTGGAGTAGCCTGCTTCCCTTTGGCTTGTTCTTTCAGGTGTTTGAGTCCATAGAAGAGGTGGACCAGATTGAAACAGAGCCCAAGAATGAAGAGGCCAAACAGGTGCCAAAGATGCCAAATGGAGCTGTGCAGAACGGGACAAGTTCTCCTGACTCTGGACATCCCTCTTCCCGCAACTTCTCTGTCACCTCAGGCCTGTCAGATGGCTCACTTAGTACGGAAGACAGTGCTGCACCTGATCTGAGTCAAAGATCTTCAGCTGTCAAATCTGTAGGGGTTGAGAGTGAGGGTCTAACAGAGGAAACGGACAGCCAAGTGGAAGTTAAAGCTAAGGACACAAAAGAGGAGGAGAAAAGACCTGAAACTGCAGAGAGTACAGCTAGTGAGGAAGCTTGTGATATGAAGATCCAACCCTTGGAAAAAGAGCTTGTGAAGGATAACAAAGAGATAAGCATGCAACCTGAAACACAAGAAGCTGCTGAGGAGCTCAGTGTTGTTAGTAAAGCTGAAGATAAAGACCTAGATGCACTAGCAGACTTCAAAGGAGTTCAGTCTTTAGAGTCAGAAGAAACAGAAAAACAAGAATCCAGTGAGAATACTTCGGTGTCAGCAGCTGCTACAGAAATAGTTGTGGAATTGAATGAGCAAAGAGAAGGTGCGGAAAACAGTGTTGTGGAAACTTCAAAGAAAACTGCAGAAATAAATGAGGACATTGATAAGGAAATGGACCAATCAGATTCAAGCAAAACACCAGAGATTTCTTTAGAAGAATGCAGAGAAAGTATGACAGAATCTTTAGCCTCTGAAGTTGAAAAGAGTCTCATTTTCCCAGCAGACGCTGAAGTATCAAGGGCAAGGGAACCTTACATGATTCCTCAGAAAGAGGAGGCTCAGGTCATGACTGACTCTGATGAGTCTCCATCAGCCATAGAGATGGAGGACATACCTACGGCCAAAGTTTCCATGGTGCCTTGGAGCAGGAAGGGGCATTGTGAAGCGTCGTCATTTTCTGAGGATTCAGCCCCTAATGTGGAGCTCAGGGAAGAGGGGCAGGAAAAACCCAGTCCAGAAGGTACAGAGTCCATCCTGTCAGAGGAGCCGGAGATGGAGAGCCTTTACCCTCAGTTTACTCCTATGGTGGGGTCTGAAAACTCCAAGAGTGAACCAACTCATCCGGGATCCTCTGAGAGCACCTTCTCTGTATGTACATGTGTTCTCAAATTTGATTTTGTCCCTAATAAACAGTTATGACATTTTTATTTTATCTATTCATTTTTGTTTGTTTTTACAGCAAGAACTTCTGGACTTGTATACATTAAATCTGCACCGCATTGACAAGGATGTCCAGCGCTGTGACAGAAACTACTGGTACTTCACTCCTGTCAACCTGGAGAAACTACGCAACATCATGTGCAGGTGAAACACTGACAAGGAAACACTGTTTATATACATTGTGAGAGAATGTTTCTGGCTTACTCATCAAGAGAGAACTTAAGTTTTAAGAATTGATAATTCAGTGAAAATTGAAAAACTGAATAAGTCTGTTATTACTATCAAAAATCTAATGAAATGACAAAAACCAACAATGAGCTGATCTTAATGTGACGCCTGTGATGCCAAAGCTAATGGAGTGTATTCCTCAGTGCCTTAGGCTTCCACTGTGATCCAAAAGAAAGCCCAAGACATGTCAGTGAGTCACATGCAGTTTGTGACATTTCACTAATTATGGAGAAAATGGCCACTAGGATATATTTTGAGTCAAACTCAGAGCCACTTCTAATTTTTTCAGTCCATTGCTGTAAATTCTCCACAAAAAATATACACATTAGTGCAGCACTTTTTAACCCTAGAACACTATCGCTAAAATAAGTAACACCATCAATATGGCCGGGTGATTTTTACCCAAAATAATATACCCAAGAAAAAGTACTTGTCATCAAAATAAATCAAAATGGGAAAAAAATGACAAATTAAAGTAGTTTTCTTTTATTTTCAACTGTGCAATGTCCAAAAGGAGGAGGAAAAAGTGCCATTAGGGGACCATATAAAAATGCAACAAAATAACTGAAATTAGGCTTTCATGAACAAAAAAATCCTAATATATTTATATTTACATATAGAAATTGTAAACTTAGTTTCTTTTCCACCCATTCCTGGGGCATGTGAGTCCTTCCTGGTGAAGACTCAGGGTCCAAAATGTGGCATATTTTGAGTGAGTAAAAATGACCTGCTGACTAGAATATTTCTTATCACCATATGAATTCCCTCAAAAAAATCACTGCTTTGTGATAGTTATTCATAACCACTGCACTAAATAAAGATAGCATGCAAATTCCAGGACCACTCTTACTGACCTTATTCGCCTACATGCAGCAATTAAATTCACCCAAACCTACTTTACCCTCTAACACTATTTCTGGGTGAAAATAACCCAAACGCATGCTTGTGGGAAAAAGCGAGTTTTGGATCAGGGAAACAAATATGCCTTCAAAGATGTCAAAGGCAATGCTGAAGCTACCCAGGGACCCTTGATACTTAGACAAACACAACATCATGAAAATCACGTAAACATGTTTGGTCGGGTGAAAATCCACATTTTTAAATGTTCGACACATTTTCAACATCAGTTACTGTACTGTATTGTATCCTAGCTTATCGTATTGTGTCATGTGTTATCATGCTATTGCCATCCCTAAAACAGTGTCAGTAAAACAAGTGTCCCTCCTCACTTTTAGTACAAACACTTTCTAAAACCAAAACCAACTTTGATTTCACTTGAGAGAAGCCACAACATTTAAACATAAATCCCTGCTTGAGGTACTCTGGCAACAATTGCCTTGTTAAAAAAGGAATATTAAGTAGAAAAATCTATTGTCAGCATTGAGGCAAGAAGCAACATGACTTGGACAGCAGTGTGACTCAGATCAGCAGACAAAACTGATGGTTAAGTTCACTTGTCTTTGTTGTATATTTTCAGCTACATCTGGAGGCACCTTGACATCGGTTATGTGCAGGGCATGTGCGATCTGCTGGCTCCTCTCCTCGTCATTCTGGATGATGGTGAGTCAACATTTCGGATCACTGTGTATTTTCTCTCCACTTCGACATTTGGTGTATATTTGATGGTTATTTATGAAACAACAGAAAACAACTCGCCCACTCACTTTCTCACTCCTGCTTCCTCTCTGTGTTTCCTCTTCTCAGAGGCCCTGGCCTTCAGCTGCTTCACCGAGCTCATGAAGAGGATGAATCAGAACTTTCCACACGGAGGAGCTATGGACACTCACTTTGCCAACATGCGCTCCTTAATCCAGGTGACACGGTCGCTGTAAAGTAGCTGTTATATATCCATGTTAAACCCACAAACAATCCACTTTCTCACAACCTGTCTCATAATGACTTTCTCTGAATCTTCTCTGATCCTCTTTCTGTAAAGATCCTGGATTCTGAGCTGTTTGAACTAATGCACCAGAACGGAGACTACACCCACTTCTACTTCTGTTATCGTTGGTTTCTCCTTGACTTCAAGCGAGGTAAAGGGATGGCTTGGTGCAAAAGGGTTGTTTGCCAATTAAAGGAGAAGGAGATACACTCCTCTTAAGCCTTACATGTGGATGAAGTGCCAAACCCCCTGGCAGCTTGTTAACAAGACGTGCACTTACTGGGATTTAGTCGGCTTTAGAAATCAGTATTATCACTGGAACTCAAGATTTTGCATGGGAAATCACTGAGATGTGCTCTGACGGCATCAACAAGTTTAAATAATTATGCTCCCTGTTGCATGATTCAATGATACACTGTGGTTTTCTGTGAACTTTCTCACTGTGGTATCTCAGTTTATCCTCTCTCACACTCGAACAAACACCTGCTCCCACTCTTATCTTTCTCTGCTAATAACACGGTTTCCTTCAAGCTCGCCTCCCATCCCATCCCTCACACACTGACGCACTTTCACTCCTGCTTCTTTGTGTGTCCTGTCTTCCAGAGTTGGTGTACGAAGATGTGTTTGCAGTCTGGGAAACAATCTGGGCAGCTAAGAACGTCTCCTCCAGTCACTTTGTCCTCTTCATCGCTTTGGCGTTGGTAGAGATCTACAGGGACATCATCCTGGAGAACAACATGGATTTCACTGACATCATAAAATTCTTTAATGGTAAAACATGTTGCTTTACTGCTGATGTCTGTACATATCCTCTCACCCCTCAATGCTAATTTTAGGTATCCTAGAGGAGCTTTGTTACAACCTTGCAAAAACCTTTATGATTTATTTATTTAGGAGTACAATACACATAAATTAACTTTGATTTTCTTTTCTTAAATAAAATAAAAGATTTTTTTAGTTAAATGTGACACATTTTTGGTTCCTACACGAGAAGATGTTAGCTTGATTGGGATCTGACAGAGGGGAATAGCTCTGAATAGCTTCGTTTGGTTTGTAACCAGGCCACAGATTTTTGTGCAATAATACAAAACTCAATTCCATTGAAGTTGGAAAATTTTGATAAACGTAAATAAAAACAGAACACAATGATTTGCAAATCCTTTTCAACCCATATTCAATTGAATACACTACAAAGACAAGATATTTAATGTTCAAAGTCATAAACTTTTTTTTTTTTTGCAAATAATAATGAACTTGAGAATTTCATGGCTGCAACACGTGCCAAAGTAGTTGGGACAGGGGCATGTTTACCACTGCGTTACATCACCTTTCCTTTTAACAACACTCAATAAACATTTGGGACCTGAGGAGACTAATTGTTGAAGCTTTGAAGGTGGAATTCTTTTCCATTCCTGCTTGATGTACAGCTTCAGTTGTTCAACAGTCCGGGGTCTCCGTTGTTGTATTTTACGCTTCATAATGCTCCACACGTTTTCAATGGGAGACAGGTCTGGACTGCAGGCAGGCCAGTCGAGTACCTTCACTCTTTTACTACAAAGCCACGTTGTTGTAAGGTGCAGAATGTGGCTTGGCATTGTCTTGCTGAAATAAGCAGGGGCGTCCATGAAAAAGACGTTCCTTTGATGGCAGCATATGTTGCTCCAAAACCTGTATGTTCCTTTCAGCATTAATGTTGCCTTCACAGATGTGTAAGTTACCCATGCCTTGGGCACTAATGCACCCCCATACCATCACAGATGCCGGCTTTTTAACTTCGCGTTGATAACAGTCCGGATGGTTCTTTTCCTCTTTGGTCCGGAGGACACGACGTCCACTATTTTCAAAAACAATTTGAAATGTGGACTCGTCAGACCACAGAACACTTTTCCACGTTGCATCAGTCCATCTTAGATGAGCTCGGGCCCAGCTGGATGTTGATAAATGGCTTTCACTTTGTTTAGTAGAGTTTTAATTTGCACTTAAAGATGTAACGATGAACTGTATTTACTGACAGTGGTTTCTGAAGTGTTCCTGAGCCCATGTGGTGATATCCTTTACACATTGATGTTGGTTTTTGATACTGTGCCGCCTGAGGAATCGAAGGTCATGGCATTCAATGTTGGTATCTGGACGTGTCACTTACATGCAGTGATTTCTCCAGATTCTCTGAAACTTTTGATAATATTATGGACCGTAGATGTTGAAATCCCTAAATTCCTTGCAATTGTACTTTGAGAAACGTTGTTCTCAAACTGTTCGACTATTTGCTCATGCAGTTGTTCACAAAGTGGTGAACCCCGCCCCATCCTTGCTTGTGAATGACTGAGAATTTTTGGGGAAGCTGTTTTTATACCCAATCATGGCACCCACCTGTTCCCAATTAGCCTGCTCACCCGTGGGATGTTCCAAATAAGTGTTTGATGAGCATTCCTCAAATTTCTTAGTATTTTTTGCCACCTTTCCCAACTTCTTTGTCACGTGTTGCTGCCATCAAGTTCTAAAGTTAATGATTATTTGCAAAAAAACAATAAAGTTCATCAGTTTGAACATTAAATATATTGTCTTTGTAGTAAATTCAATTGAATATGGGTTGAAAAGGATTTGCAAATCATTGTATTCTGTTTATATTTACGATTTACACATCTTCCCAACTTCAATGGAATTGGGTTTTGTAATTTGCTGGAGTATACTCTGACCTAAACCGAGCAGAATCTTGCGTTACTGATGGAAACATTTGAGAACATGCATACATAATAAAGATCACTGAGTCCATTAGCTCTGTTTCAAATTACAAATATGCATTAAACTAACTCAGAGTGGATGTGCTTTTGTCTTTCAGAAATGGCTGAACACCACAACATAAAGCAGATTTTGACCCAAGCCAGAGATCTGGTGTGCAAAGTGCAGATGCTGATAGAGAACAAGTGATCACTCTGTTTGTCTTCTTTTCCTTCCAAGTAATGTGTGAGCAGCTGTAGCAGCATCAGAGTAAAACACTTATGAGCACACACAACATACAGATGTAACACAAAGCCTTTACAGTCATAGTTTGCTGCTATGAGCCTTATTAACTGTACTTTTATGTTGTATGTGTTGTCAACAGCTGTGAGAGAATATTTTCCTCGTAATTCAAAGTATATTTCAGTGAAAAACAAATCTATCACAAAAGATGTTTAACTTCTGAAGTGTCAACCTCAATCTGAGTGCACTTCATATTTTAAGATCAGGAAGTTTAGTTGCACATTAAAAACCAAATACAGAGCAGAAATCACCCTGAGCTATATTTATGAGAAAAATACATTGTGATAATAGTTTGTGATACATATTATTTTAATAGTCAGAGCCTTAAAGTTTAAACAAAGTGTATATCAACAAGTTGTACTTTATCGCGTAATGAAAGTAAGAATGTCAAAAAACAGCCTCATTTAAAGATGACACCCTGAAATCAGATCTATTTTGACAGATGACTGAATGTGAACACTGGCCTGTAGTCTTAGTGAAGATCCTCTCCTGTTCAAAACACACATCAGTGAGAATAATTTAGCTTTAGCGCCATGTCAGTGATTTAGCAATCCAACAGTGTTTTAAAGTTCTTGAACTGCCTTCTCTGCCAAATATTATGTCTAATTTGTTTTGTGTGAATTGTACTGTACTGAGAGATAAATGTGTTTAACCTGCAAGGGTTATATTGAGTTAACACTTGTATAATCATATCCTGATATTTAAGTGACTTAAGGATGTCTCAGCTGAGATTTATATAACACGACAAGCCTGTTTTTTCTTTATGTTGTGACCCACTGTATATTATGTAAATTGTGCAGTTTACTCACCTTAGTTTTGTCTTGTAATGTCCAGCACTGTTTGTTAAATTCAATGTTAATTTCAATTTGAGAATAGTAGTGAAAAGGGAAGAACAGAGGAGAGTTATAGGTTCTGTATCTTATTTGGATATTTAGAGCTTGAGAGTGATTTGAGAGAGAGATGAGTCAAGGTTATAGTTTGACACATTTTTACATGGACAGTGCATGACCTTATGTTAGGAGGGAAGTTGTTTTGGTGTTTTGGCAGATTTTTGGCTTGTGATGACATACGATTTTAAATGTTTCAAACAACTTTAACTGAAACTAAAGTTGGCACTAGTCCCTAGCATTTATTCTTGTCATTCATTGCCTAAAACTTCAGTCAGTTTGTTGTCGTGTTGCCTAATGATTGTGGTAAGATCAACTGCTTTTAATATTTGTGTTTTTGTGTGAACACTTACTGCTGTCTGAAAACCTCTTTTTTTATTGTAACATTTGCCAATTTATTTATTTATTTATGTATTTATTATTCTTTCTTTCATATGCTTTATTTGTTAAAGCTGATGTTTTTTTATTTTGTGGCCAGTTACAAATGTGTAATGTAAAACAATCAAATTCTATACTTAGAGTACATACGTCTATACACAGTATATATTAAATGGTATATGTTCTTGTAATAAAATAATAAAATGGAATCATCATTATTTTTCCAAAACACTTTGTTCAGTGCATTTTATCATGTAGCCTACTGTTACAAAGTGCAGTGTCATCTACAAAAAAGAGGACATACGTATGTGGTCATGTTAAAAGCTCTCGTGAACTGGTACACTCTAGATTTCTTTAGTGGTACCACCAGCATCCTCTCCAGCACCACCATCTGAAGCCACTGGTTCTTGTTCGGTGAAAAACATCATAGTAACAACCAATCAAACTTTATTTATAAAACACTTTTCCTACAAAAAATGTAGCACCAAGTGTTTAAATTCAATGTAAAAATACAAATACAGAACCCCACCCATTCTCCCAACCCGTATTCAACACATGCAACACTCATGCTCGCACACACACCCATACACAAAAAAAAACAGGTGAGGCATTGCCACAGATGACTGAGGAAATGCTATCTTGACTTAAAAACTGAGGAAACACAGGAGTCTGATTAGAGCTTTCTCAATCAGAGCTCCTTGTCTTTGGAACGACCTGCCAGAGGAGAAAAGGCGTGCAGAGACAGTCGCTTCTTTTAAGTCAAATTTAAAACTCACTTTTACAAACTCGCTTTTATGTGATGCCATCTTTTATCTTTTATCCTTTATCTGTCATCTCTTATTTCTTTTACCGCTATCTTATTTCAGCCTTACTGTCTTTTAAGCTTTTGTTATACTTGCACTCTTTTCTTATTTAACCTTTTAGGCCTTTTATTGTTTTATCTCTTACTCATTTCTGTTGCTCTATTTTATCATTACTATTATTATCAGTATTACCTGTTATTATTTTATAATCATTGCTGATATTGCCTTTTATATTTACTATCCTGTTTCCGCTTTCAACCCCCCTTTTATATTGCATTTTCTTTTTTCTTAACTATTTTGTGTTTTTATTTTGGTCCTCATGGTCTCATTTTATGTTGCATGGTTCTTGTATTGTCTAGGTTCCTTATGACATGAAAATGGCCTTCAATTCCGTTTTAACTGAGCTTGTTGTTTTTATCTGTCTTTTTCCTTGTGCTCTATGACTATATGTCAAAGCACTTTGTAAACATCTGTTTTTTAAAAGTGCTATACAAATAAAGTGATAATAATAATAATAATTATTATTATTATTATTATTATTATTGTTGTTGTTGTTGTTGTTGTTGTTGTTGTTGTTTTTTTTGTTTTAAGACTTAAGCGATGAAACAATGATAAGATATAATAAAGGTAATAAAGTGTTAAAAGTAAAAAATAAAACTGTTTTTAAACCAAACAATAAATGAAAATAAATAAAAAGAGGTCATAAAACACAAAATAGTAACTCTGGAACTAAAATAATGTAAAAATAATGTAAACTCACATGATGCAGATTAAGAGGTTGAAATAAAAATCAGCGAAAAGCCAGACTAAAAAGATAGGTCTTCAGTTTTCTCTTAAAAACTCGAACTGTAAGTGCTGCTCTCAGGTCTGCAGGTAGTTTCTCATTCTGAGGCCATAATATTGCAACCATGACATCTATGTTTACATCTATGATATGAATACTGCGTCTAGTAACATTACAAAGATCAGGGGTCCGTTTCACGTAGGTGGTTCAACAAACTCTGAGTTAAATCCTTAACTCTGAGTTGATCTACTCTGAGTTCGGAAACTCTGAGTTTCCGGTTTCACAACACCTGATTCGAGACGGTTTTAACAACTCCGAGTAGTTTGACCTGGAGTTAAGCACGTGCACGCCAGACATAAACAGCCAGCATCTGTGGAGCGCAGATTCAATGATCAACCAATGGAAACAGGGAGAAGGAGGGGGCAGCAGCAAGCCAACAGCGAATGACAGCACGTTTTTAAAAGAAAGTGCAATACAGCAGCAGCTGCAAGGGAGAGGGAGAGGGCTTGGGAGGAAATCGCTGCTCGCGTCAATGCGTAACTTTAAATCTAGTCTCGTGCAAACACAATGACAGACTGTTGCAGGGAAACTGCTTGAATCATTTTGATCATGTTTTACATTGTCAAGTAAGTATTAAGTGGCAGTTTGATCCCTTAGAAAATGCTCTTTTCACACTCAAAAATGAATTTTACTCTCTTATGATGTTCCGTTAAATGATTAGGAATATTAAACTAACTCTCAGTTATGTATATGTACATATATTAAACTAACACACACTACACTCAATATTAGACTTTCACTCAGCAAACAGAAAGAGGGCAGATGCCAGAAAAACGGGTGGTGGCCCAGCAGCCCCACCTTTAGCGGAGGCAGAGGAGCTGCCCCCCCCCTTAGACGATCGCAACCCCCACCCCGTAGCAGCGATCGTCGGACTGGTGTGTGTGTGTGTGTGTGGGTGTGGGGGGGGGGGGATTTGCGATCGGACCGGCCGCGATCGTCGAACGGGGGTGGGGTGGGGGGCAGCTCCTCTGCCTCCGTTAAAGGTGGGGCTGCTGGACCACCACCCGTTTTTGTGTTAGTTTAATATTCCTAATCATTTAACGGAACATAATAAGAGAGTAAAATTCAGTTTTGAGTGTGAAAAGAGCATTTTTTAAGGGATCAAACTGTCACTTAATACTTAGTTGACAATGTAAAACATGATCGAAATGAGAAAATGCCGATGTCTCACCTGAAACTCTGGGTTTACTGAGTTAAACCTGCTCCCGAGCAGGTTAGGTTCACGGAGTCTGTTACTGTGGTAACTGACCGCGAGGTTGAGTTACCTCTCTTTGTGAAACAGGTTAGAGTTACCCCTCTCTCCCTGGTTTAACTAACCCTCCTTTGTGAAACGGAAAACTCAGAGTTTCCCTGATTTCAGGGTTAACAAACTCGGAGTTTCCACTAAACCTGCTACGTGAAACGGACCCCAGGTGAGTATTGATTTTACAGCTGGAATATTGCTGCCACCATGTGACCAAAAAATATAACTTCACGAGGTTTGATTTTGGTCAACAATCTTAAAGTACTTGACGGCAGCTGGAGGGTCCCGTTGAATTTAAATACATCACATTTTGCATCCTGAGCGTTTATCTTTACACACATATTGTGGACACATATTTCCTGATAGTGGTCATTTCAATTTTTAACCCGATAATGATGTGAATGAGTATAAATGAGATGCTGCATGCTTGGGGATTAAATTCCTTATTGCTGTAAAATATGTCGACATTTTGAAGAGATTTGATAAAACTCAAGTTAAACATTTCAGAGTCGACGTCTAGGGCGTGACTCTAACGATGACGTATTGACGTCGACAGGAAGTGTTGAGCTGAGTTCCTTCTTCAAAACTTGAGTTTTGTCGTGTTGTGTTGGTAATGTTTGTACTATTCGACCTGTGACCATGCCTGTGCAGAGCGTGCCAGTACGAGATGTGTCTGTTCATTACCGTTTACTACAACAGTATCTGTTTCTGCTGAAGAAATACCCCATCCTCACCAAGTCAATAACGAGGTCTGTTCACTGTTTATTCACTGACTGACTGGTTTGTGTATGTTTTACGGCTGCTGGCTGGTTGCTGTCGTGTTTTTCCAGTTGGACAATTCCGAGTTGAGACGTTGTTGTTTACTTTACTACTCACAAACCACTCTTTTTGGATCAATCAAACTACTATAGATAGACTAAATAACGTCTTCAATTGTTGTAAATACTAACTTTTAGTGCATCTTTGTTTGTACAGACCACAGGCTGCCCTTTTGGCCAGCACAGTTTTGGCCAATCCGCTTCTGCACACAGAACCTCCCCTACTAATGTCCGAATTATTTCATGACAGTAGGGGAGACCGGGGCTTGTTGTCACACTTTTCACACTCTTACATATTTCTTGCAATCAATACATCATATATAAACAAAATGTGAACCAGATTAAAGACCAAAGTCTCAGGTATATTTTCTGTATTCATGTCATTTTCATATCTTGTGTCAGTGCAGAGTTATAAGCAATCAAATAGAGAGCGTGGACATGTGACATGGGGTAAGATGTCACAGTGGATTTGCAGCTAATAAAACAAGGACAAAATTATTGTTGTTCCCCTTTTTTTCCATGAAAGTGAACATCAAAGTCAGGCACAGAAAATGTTTATCATTGAGCTAGAAAAACTCATTGAACAAACGCTAACATAAAATATTATGCAACATGCTCTTGAGTTTGGAGAGCTGTCTGACTCTGTATTTCAGCTGGGCTGGGGTGAATGTTTTGCAGTACTGAGCCAAGGTATGGTAGTTGACATTAAAGTCCTTTATTGTACTCCAGATTGATTTATTAGCTAGGGTCACCTGTCTGACTGCCCTCAGCATCACGTCAGGTACTGCACTATGTTCTGGTTTTCTTTTGTAACTCCTGACCATGTATTCTCCCTTTCTCATCTCCTTTAAAGCACTCTTTTTTTTGTGAAAGTTAAGTCAAAATTTCTGTATGACAACTGCTGATCAGCAGACTCTCTATATTAATTTTAACCCCTTTTAAACATGTGACAACTAACCCCAAAATGACTGAGACTTGTTGCCCCAAACTACCATGTTTGCTAATTATAGCACTAGTTTAAAGTTAGCTTAAATCAGAACAATGACTGAGCTATGACAGGATGCCTTAATCTCTTCTCTAGCAAGTCCACATGTATCACTGCTAGGATTTTTATCTGGAAGAAGCTTATTTTAAAATATATAAAGTTATTTTTTTTTTACTTTGGGTTGGGCAAAAGGGTTTATTGGCACTCATCTCAGCTCACAATGTTCTCTTCTCAGACAAGACACAACCCCTGACCATGTAAAAGAAGAAAACTAGTATTCCACTTTTTAGTTGCGCCCTTTGTGGCAAAGATATCTGCAATGTGACAACTTACCTGTGTGACAACAAGCCCCGGTCTCCCCTACCTTTTTATAATTTCAGGCTAAAGTTGTTGTATTTGTGTTTTTCTTTTGATATTTTCAGTGGCATCCTCTCAGCATTAGGAAACCTTTTGTCTCAGGTTTTGGAGGCGAGAAAAAGGGCCAAAAACGGTGTCCCAGCCAATGAGATTGACAAAGTTGGAGCTACACGATATGCAATTTATGGGTGAGTGACAGGGTTGAGGGTGATGTGCCTTTCAACTTTGTTTATTTTTTGGCTAATGAAACAAAAATGAAGTTGCATGCCCTCTGTGGTATGTTCTTAATGGTGTAAAATAAGCTATTTTAAAAATCTATCATTCATAGTAAACAAATAAAAAGAGAATACAGTGTCACCCTTTAAAATTGATTTTAAAATCAAACATTCACTCATATCGTTGTGTTGTTTTTATGTGTTAGGTTGTTTATCACTGGGCCAGTGAGCCATTACTTCTACCAGCTGATGGAGTTATGGATACCCACCACAGACCCACTCTGTATAGTCAAACGTCTGCTTCTTGATCGGCTCATTTTTGCCCCTGGCTTTCTCCTCCTTTTCTACTTTGTAATGAACATCCTGGAGGTGGGTCTTCTGAGAATGTCTCCCATCAGCACAACTGGTCCATGTAATACTGTGTAGCACTTGGTGGCCACAAGGTGGCTGACTCGTGTTAAACAAAATTTACTACAATTTCTGCCTGAAAGGTGTTCTGGATTTGTGTTTGTGTGATTTTATTGTTTTCAAAGTCAAACACACTTAAAAGTCTAGTATATAGACTAAAGGATATGCGTACATAAAGTAAATCAAGTCTTTTTTTAGGCCAAAGGTTGGGAAGACTTTGAGAAGAAGATGAGAGCAAGTTACTGGTCAGCTTTGAAGATGAACTGGAAAGTGTGGACTCCCTTCCAGTTCATCAATATCAACTTTGTGCCTGTTCAGGTATGAATGTTATTGTTAAAATTTTGATAAAAAAAGATAATGAATCACGTGGTGGCGTCACGCTTAATGTATTCATGTGCCTGTTTGTGCTTTCAGTTCAGAGTGCTGTTTGCCAACATGGTTGCTTTGTTTTGGTATGCCTACCTTGCATCTGTGAGAAAATGAAGCGACCTGAACCAAGGAAAAAAATGAACCTGGAGGAATCCTCCATCTTTACAATGGCTATAATGTCTAACGTTTGTTTGTTTATTGAACTATAACCCACTTGTTTCTAATCTGGTCAAAAACTCTCCCTTACTCTGATGACTGTCTGCCAAAATACCCTTTCATGGAAGTTATGCCTCTATCAAATGCTGCTATAACAATCTTCATGACTGCCTTAATAATTATAAAGTAAACATAGTTTAATTTATTTTTCACTAAACACTGGAAAATTGTGGAAAGAACTAAATGTATGTATTTATTAGTTTAAGGGATATTCCAGCGTAAAATTAATCTAGGGTCAAACACACCGTAACACCGAGTTAGACACGAGAGATGAATGTTGCCAACCGCTTGCTTCTCTAGTTATACCAACTTCAGTAACAACCGCACGACAGTAGTACACAGCGGTCTAAGGAGTCACACAAAGAACTCAACCAAAACACCACTCTACAGCCACAAATAATGCTCAGAACAGCACCTAACTTCATCAACAGTACATATAGGGTCCTAGTCACAGTACTAGCCACCAAACATCTTTGCCTAATTTCTTTAGCAGAGAGACTAAACACAACCCACCTACTCTCTTCCAGCAGCTGCTTGTTTGTAGCAAGACCTCGGGCCAGTCCATTACAGACTGCAGTGGGGTGATGCAGCTCAAGGAAGAACATTTATGATCATTTTTTTATGGAAATGCAATCAGACCAAGACGCCAAGGCAGAAGAACTACCGTGTCTGCAGTGCAAAATGATTAATATGGTGATTATTACTTCAAGGAAATGATAAAGATACTGCCATAAATGTCCTTCCTTGAGCTGTGTCACCCCGCTGCAGTCTTTAATGGACTGGACTGAGGTCTTGCTACAAACAAGCAGCTGCTGGATGAGAATGGTTGAGTTGTGTTTAGTCTCTTTCCTAAAGAAATCAGAGAAAAAGTTAAAAAGATGTTTGGTTTCTAGTGCTATGACTGGGGCCCTATATGTACTGTTGATGAAGTTAGGTGCTGTTCTGAGCATTATTTGTGGCTATAGAGTGGTATTTTGGTTGAGGTTTGTGTTTGACCCTAAATTCATTTTATGCCGGAATATTCCTTTAAATTGGAACCATTTGTCTGAGACACTTGAACCCTGGTAATAGCAATTTTGATATTTCACTGCTAAAGACTGACTGTGTGTCAGTTGGTGCAGCTCCTCCAAAGAGCTGAAGAAGTGTTTCTGTGTGATACATAAAATAAGACACGTTTAAATCTGTTTAAAGGATTTTATTTGTTAACATTGTTCATTTAAAAAAACACAATTACATCCATTTGAGAAAATAACAGATCATAATGTGCCTTAATCATTATCCACTGTAATGGTCAATGATTTATAAGCCATAACAAACTTTTAAGACATGCAACAGGAATGTTTCATTCAAAATAAAATATATTACATAACAAATAGCCTGACAACATTTGTTCTTCGTCTGTATTAAATAGTATGATAATTAATAGAAACAGTTAAGAAAGTTGTTTACGAGCCATCAGTGTCTTCAGCCTCCTCTCAGGCGCATCACCATCTGGATAGTACTCTGATCTTTAACGTTGTAGTCGGAGAGTTTCCCGCTTGTCATATCTCTGCCCTGAAAAATCAACCTCTGCTGGCTCACAGCGACCCCCTCCACTTTCTCGACTTTTCTCTTTAACATGTCCACAGTCTCATCCTTCGTTATGTCGTAGGTTTTCGTATTTCCCTTCTCGTTCCTGACAAACACCTGTGGTTTGGTGATCAGCAGAATGACCTGGGAGCCGGAGTGAAGGGAGTAATCTCTCAGGGTCTTGTTGTCATCGTTGAGAAACGTCTTGTCCCCGTTCTCAAAGACCAGCCTTTGCTCCTCACAGGGAAACCTGAGCTTCTCCTGGATCAGTCTCTTCAGAGACCCCACGGTGTCTTGAGGGTTCACCGTCAGAGAATGGCGATCGCCGTTCATCATTACAATGGATATTTCCATCATCGAAAGCTCCTAAAACAACAATAGAAGAAACAAAGTGAGGATAATAAATAAAAGCAAAGTGTAGCAGGATAAAGTTGCGTTGATAGAACAAATTTTCTCACCTTTTGCTAACTTCGAAAACTCCTGTGAAACTTCTTTAAAAGTCCGTAGCTTCTGCAACAGGAAGTGGTGCACAGCACAATTTATAGAGTCCGAGGCGGGAGATTCAGATTCAGAAGTTCGAGAATGTTCGGTAATATTCTAGAACATTACATCATTACATAGAATAAGACCCCCCCCCCAAAAAAAAAAAAAATAAATAAAAAAATCTCCATTCTTCATACTTGACGCTGCGTTATCGCTCTGCAGTGCAAGTGTAGTAAAAGGATTTACAACCTGTTGCACTCCCTATCCTAAATCATCAAACAGGTATAACCAAAAACAAAGCTGACAATGTAAATGAGTCACTGACAGGACTGGATTTACGGAGAACTAGTGCATGATCTGATAAACCTATGACGCCAAAGGAGGACTTTCTGTTTCCAAAAACAAAAACAATGCGGCATGATGCAACACCAAACATGGCATTGACTATTATAGGACAAACATTTCTTAGAGCTCCTGAGTTTTTTTTTTTACATTTGGGAAACTTACTGACTGGCTTTCATACTTTGCCTTTTATGATACCCAAAAGCAAATAAGAAGCCACAAGAGTGATTTTTATTATTTAATCATTATCTTTAATGAAAGAAATCAGTGCAAAGGGGTAGATGTCAGCTGATCATCTTAAGAGATAGCTCTGTTTTTACAATTTTGACCTAAAATGTTGACATTCAGTGACGCAAAGTTACTCACAGGAGCTGTAAAAACTAAAACTTATAATGAGAAACAAAACTGAGAGACAAACTTTTACTGTTTTTAATCAAAGTTTGAATGAAAATAGGTAGAAGTTCACAGAATGGACCAGTGTACTCACAACAAACCATTGTGATGGACATAATCAAAACACATGCCTCTTAATTCTGCACACTCTCTCCCTTACTCTGATGACTGTCTGCCAAAATACCCTTTCATTGAAGTTATGCCTCTATATGGTGCTATAGCAATCTTCACATGATTGCCTTAATAACTAAAAAGTAAACATACTTTACAAAAAAATGTAATTTTCATTAAACACTGGAAAATTGTGGAAAAAAACTAAATGTATGTATTTATTAGTTAAAGGGATATTCCGGCGTAAAATGAATGTAGGGTCAAACACACCGTAACACAGAGTTAGACACCCCGTCGAGGGATGAATGTTGCCGACTGCCTGCTTCTCTAGTTATACCAACTTTAGTAATAACTGCAAGATAGCAATACACAGCGGTCTAAGGAGTCTCACACAAACCTCAACCAAGAGCCACTCTATAGACACAGAAAATGCTCAGAACAGCACCTAACTTCATCAACAGTACATATAGGGTCCCAGCCATAGTACTAGCCAACAAATATCTTTTTAGCTTAGCCTGATTTCTTTAACAAAGAGACTAAACACAACTCACCTACTCTCTTCCAGCAGCCGCTTTTTTGTAGCAAGACCTTGGGCCAGTCCATTACAAACTACATTGGGGCAATGCAGCTCAAGGAAGAACATTTATGATCATGTCTTCATGGAAATGCAATCAGACTGAGACGCTAATGCAGAAGAACTGCTGAGTCTGTAGTGCAAAATGATTACTATGGTGATTATAACTTCAAGGAAATGATAAAGAAACTATCATAAATGTCCTTCCTTGAGCTGTGTCACCCCACTGTAGTCCATAATGGACTTGCCCAAGGTCTCGCCACAAACAAGCGGCTGCTGGAAGTGAGTAGGTGAGTTGTGTTGGTCTCTTTGCAAAAGAAATTTAGTTAAAAAGTGTGTGACTCATTAGACTGCTGTGCATTACTATCCTGCGGTCATTACTTAAGTTTGTTTAACAAGAGAAGCAAGTGGTCATTTCTCAATGGGATGTCTAACTCGGTGTTGCGGTGTGTTTGACCCTTTTTATGACGTAATATTCCTTTGAGTTGGAACCATTCGTCTGAGACACTTGAATCCTGGTAAAACTGATTTTGATATTTCAATGCTAAAGATTGACTGTGTGTCAGTTGGTGCAGCTCCTCCAAAGAGCTAAAGAAGTGTTTCTGTGGGTTACGTAAAATAAGACACGTTTAAATCTTTTTAGAAGATTTTATTTGTTAACATTGTTCATTTAAAAAAATACAATAACATCCATTTGAGAAAATAAAAGATCATAATGTGCCTTGAGCATTACTCACTGTAATGGTCAAATGACTTACAAGCCATAACAAACTTTTAAAGACATGGAACAGGAATGCTTCATTCACAATAAAATATATTAAATAACAAATAGCCTTATGACATTCGTTCTTCGCCTATATTAAATAGTATGATAATTAATAGAAACGGTTTGGAAAGTTGTTATATGAACCATCAGTGTCTTCAGCCTCCTCTCAGGCGCATCGTCATCTGGATGGTACTGTGCTCTTTAACGTTGCAGTCCGAGAGTTTCCCGCTTGTCATATCTCTGCCCTGAAAAATCAGCCTCTGCTGGCTCACAGCGACCCCCTCCACTTTCTCGACTTGTCTCTTTAACATGTCCACAGTCTCATCCTTCGTTATGTCGTAGGTTTTCGTATTTCCCTTCTCGTTCGTGACAAACACCTGGAAGGTGTCAGGCGGTTTGGTGATCAGCAGAGTGACCTGGGAGCCGGAGTGAAGGGAGTAATCTCTCAGGGTCTTGTTGTCATCGTTGAGAAAGGTCCTGTGCCCGTTGTCAATGACCAGCCTTTGCTCCCCATAGGGAACCCCGAGCTTCTCCTGGATCAGTCTCTTCAGAGACCCCACGGTGTCTTGAGGTTTCACCGTCAGAGTGTGGCATTCGCCAAGCATTACAATGGATATTTCCATCATTGAAAGCTCCTAAAACAACGATACAAGAAACAAAATGAGAATAATAAATAAAAGCAAAGTGTGGCAGGATAAGGTTCCGTTGATAGAAAAAGCTTCTCACCTTTTGCTAACTTGGAAAGCTCCTGTGAAACTTCTTCAAAAATCCGCAGCACGAACAGACGATGCTAAGCAGCTTCTGTCACAGGTATTGGCGCTCAGCACAATTTATAGAGTCCGCAGCAGCTGACCCCCTCCTCCGTAAGATTCGTTTTCCCATCTCCTCTGTAACTTTCGTTTTCCATTCTTCACAGATGACGCTGCGTTATCGCTATGCAATGCAGGTGTAGTTAAAGGATTTTGCAACCTAGTGCACTCCCAATCCTGAGTCATCAAACAGGTATAACCAAAATCACAGCTGACAATGTAAATCAGTCACTGACAGGACTAGATTTACGGAGAACTAGTGCATGATCTGATAAACCTACGACGCCAAAGGAGGACTTTCTGTTTCCAAAAACAAAAACAATTCAGCATGATGTAACAACAAACATGGCATTGACTATTTTGGGACAAACATTTCTTAAGGCTTCTTTGATATTTTTGATATTTGTGAAATAAATGACGTTCATATCCTTGCCTTTTATGATACCCAAAAGCAAATAAGAACTTCAGCAACAAGACTGATTATTATTCAATCATTATCTTTAATGAAAGAAATCAGTGCAAAGGTGCAGATGTCAGCTGATCGTCTTAAGAGATAGCTCTGTTTTTACAATTTTGACCTAAAATGTTAACATTCAGTGACCCAAAGTTACTCACAGGAGCTGTAAAAACTAAAACTTATAATGAGAAACAAAACTGAGAGACAAACTTTTTCTGTTTTTAATCAAAGTTTGAATGAAAATAGGTAGAAGTTCACAGATTGGACCTATGTACTCACAATAAAAACGTTGTGATGGACATAATCAAAACACATGCCTCTTAACTCTGCACACACTCTCCCTTACTCTGATGACTGTCTGCCAAAATACCCTTTCATGGAAGTTATGCCTCTATCAAATGCTGCTATAACAACCTTAACATGACTGCCTTAATAATTACAAAGTAAACATAGTTTACAAAAAATGTATTTTTCACTTAACACTGGAAAATTGTAGAAAAAACTAAATGTATGTATTGATTAGTTAAAGGGATATTCCGGCGTAAAATTAATTAAGAGCTAAACATACCGTAACACCGAGTTAGACACCCCGTCGAGGGATGAATGTTGCCGACTGCCTGCTTCTCTAGTTATACCAACTTTAGTAACAACCGCAAGATAGCAATACACAGCGGTCTAAGGAGTCACCAAAAAGCCACTCTATAGCCACAAATAATGCTCAGAACAGCACCTAACTTCATCAACAGTCTGTATAGGGTCCTAGTCATAGTACTAGCCACCAAACATCTGTTTAACTTTGCCTGATTTCTTTGACAGAGAGACTAAACACAATTCACCTACTCTCTTCCAGCAGCCGTTTGTTTGTAGCGAGACCTTAGGCCAGTCCATTACAGACTACATTGGGGTGACGCAGCTTAAGAAAGAACATGAATGATTATTTCATTATGGAAATACAATCAGACCGAGACGCTAAGGCAGAAGAACTGCTGAGTCTGCAGTGCAAAATGATTAATATGATGATTATTACTTTAAGGAAATGGTAAAGAAACTATCATAAATGTCCTTCCTTGAGCTGCATCACCCCACTGTAGTCCATAATGGACTGGCCTGAGGTCTCGCTACAAACAAGCAGCTGCTGGAAGAGAGTAGGTGAGTTGTGTTTGGTCTCTGCAAAAGAAATTAGGTAAATTTAAAAAGATGTTTGGTTGCTAGTGCTATGGCTGGGGCCCTATATGTACTGTTGATGAAGTTAGGTGCTGTTCTGAGCATTATTTGTGGCTATAGAGTGGCGTATTGGTTGAAGTTTTTGTGTGACTCTTTAAACTGCTGTGTATTGCTATATGCCAAAATATTCCTTTAAGTTGGAACCATTTGTCTGAGACACTTGAACCCTGGTAATAGCAATTTTGATATTTCAGTGCTAAAGATTGACTGTGTGTCAGTTGGTGCAGCTCCTCCAAAGAGCTGAAGAAGTGTTTCTGTGGGATACATAAAACAAGACACTTTAAATCTATTTAGTGGATTTTATTTTTTAACATTGTTCATTTAAAAAAAACACAATAACATCCATTTGAGAAAATAACAGATCATAATGTGCCTTAATTATTATCCACTGTAATAATCAAATGACTTATAAACCAAAACAAACTTTTAAGACATGCTACAGGAATGCTTCATTCAAAATAAAATATATTACATAACAAATAGCCTTATGACATTCGTTCTTCGTCTGTATTAAATAGTATGATAATTAATAGAAAAGGTATAGAAAGATGTAATATGAGCCATCAGTGTCTTCAGCCTCCTCTCAGACGCATCGTCATCTCGATGGTACTGTGCTCTTTAACGTTGTAGTCCGAGAGTTTCCCGCTTGTCATCTCTTTGCCCTGAAAAATCAGCCTCTGCTGGCTCACAGCAACCCCCTCCACTTTCTCGACTTTTCTCTTTAACATGTCTACAGTCTCATCCTTCGTTATGTCGTAGGTTTTCGTATTTCCCTCCACGTTCTTGACAAACACCTGGAAGGTGTCAGGCGGTTTGGTGATCAGCAGAGTGACCTGGGAGCCGGAGTGAAGGGAGTAACTTTCCAGGGTCCTGTTGTCATCGTTGAGAGAGGTACTGTGCCCGTTATAAAAGACCAGCCTTTGCTCCCCGTAGGGAACCCCGAGCTTCTCCTGGATCAGTCTCTTCAGAGACCCCACGGTGTCTCGGGGGTTCACCGTCAGAGTGTGGCGTTCGCCATTCAGCATTACAATGGATATTTCCATCATCATTGAAGGCTCCTAAAACAACAATTCCAGAAACAAAGTGAGGATATAAAATAAAAGCAAAGTGTCGCAGGATAAAGTTGCGTCGATAGAACAAATTTTCTCACCTTTTGCTAACTTGGAAAGCTCCTGTGAAACTTCTTGAAAAGTCCGCAGCACGAACAGACGATGCAAAGTAACTTCTACGACAGGAATCGGCGCTCAGCACAATTTATAGAGCCCGGAGCAGGTGACCTCCTCTTAAGATTCATTTTCCCATCTCCTCTTCTGTAACTTTCGGTTTCCATTCTTCATACATGACGCTGCGTTATCGCTCTGCAGTGCATGTGTAGATAAAGGATTTACAACCTAGTGCATTCCCAATCCTAAATCATCAAACAGGTATAACCAAAAACACAGCTGACAATGTAAATGAGTCACTGACAAGACTAGGTTTACGGAGAACTAGTGCATGATCTGATAAACCTATGACGCCAAAGGAGGACTTTCTGTTTCCAAAAACAAAAACAATTCAGCATGATGTAACAACAAACATGGCATTAACTATTTTATGACAAACATTTCTTAAAGCTTCTTTTAGTTTTTTTTTACATTTGTTAAATAAACTGACGTCTTAAGAGACAGCTGTTTTTACAATTTTGACCTAAAATGTTAACATTCAGTGACCCAAAGTTACTCACAGAAGCTGTAAAAACGAAAACTTATGAGAAACAAAACAGAGACAAACTTTTACTGTTTTTAATCAAAGTTTGAATGAAAATAGGTAGAAGTGCATGGTGCAAAACACAGATTGGACCTATGTACTCACGATGAAAACATTGTGATGGACATAATCAAAACACATGCCTCTTAACTCTGCACAGTCAGAATTTTCATGAAATGAAACTAAAACTACAAATCAAAAGGAAGGAAAGAGGATTCAATTTAGAAAAAAACTGGTGAAAGACATTTGGTTCTATTACTTAAATAAAAAAACTTGTACATAATAAATACTTTAGACAAACTCCTAATCATCAAAACTCTGAATGTTTCAGCATAGCAGTCCTTTCTTCCCTCTTTGGTAGAGGAACATTTCCTATGATGAGAGAAAATAAAATCCTGGTTAAGGAACCTGGACAACAGCAGAAGGGGATCATTGATTCATCAAACTCAGATCTTTCTTTTATTGTGAACAAAAAAGTTAAATCTTTTTTTTTTACCTGGTGGTGCAACAAAATATTCTTCCACTGTGTTTTTGGAAAGCATTAGCAGTTCTTCAGCACAGTCTCCATCCGTTACAGCATCCTCCCTCAGATACAGTGCCCTGGATGTGCATGGATAAAACAGTTTGCATTCATACAAATGACTAAAGAAGAGATTTGAAATCAGCTTCAGCTGTTGCTCATGTGCTATAAATGGGCAGCAAAGATACGGGTCTATCTTTCACAGCTAACACACACACACCTGTCCTCCAGAACTGAATCCATTGGTTCAACCCCAGTTGTATCGACAACATGAAGTTGATCTGCAAACCGTATGGCTTTCTCCAAACACTCCAGTCCCTGTTTGGTGCGAAAATCAACCAAAGCTAGACGCTCCAGTTTGTCCACTAGGTCAACAGGGACTTTGGAGGGCTGTCAAATCAATAGTGTTGCACAGAAAGGTTAAATTTACAGCAGCCTTTAAACAATCAAATATCAAAGACAGAAAGTATGGCATGAACCTATGAAATATATTGAAATGTCAGGACTCGTGCTTGGTCATCTTCAATCTGTGGGCATTTCTTATCCCCATTCAAAGTTATTCAGTCATTATATTTTTCCATTAACACTGACTACAGGCTAGTCTTTATTTCTATTTTTTTTATTTTTCGTATAAATGCCTCCTCCTGTGTTAGGGTCTGCACCGCCCTGTTTTTGTTATAAAATGCTTAAAAGATATCATTAAGATTCGCATTAAGACTTTTTCACTGTCAGGAACCTCTATTTCAATAAAATAAAAATTAAAAAATTAAATTGACTATATTATAAAATGCTCTTATTAAAATTATGACACTTGTCATGTTAGGGGGTGTTGACCTGGTTTGATTAATTAATTTATTTATTTATTTATCAATTAATAATTAGAGCAAAAACTAAAATCATCTGTGCACTGTCAGGCACCACACTGACATTCATATCCTCTTCCAATCATGTGAGATTTAGGAAATTCTTATTTTACCTTGTTTTCCCTGCACAAAAAACAATGTCGGGCATGTCCAGACATGTCAGCACAATTCAGTATAGATGTCTGTATGAGGGATATCCTGTCAAAGAAAGGCCCAGAGGCCCACAAAAAAAACTATTCTAAGCAATATTTTCATGGATAATGAAGCCTAATAAGGTAACCTAGAGATGAGAACCAAACTGGATAATAGATTATTGTTTTAAGTGTAATTTACAGCTGATGATTTATTACAATTTACAGATTGACATGGGTCAAAACTGACCCTTAACATAGTAGGTGTGTAGTAAAAGCTAACACAGGAGGAAGGATAAGCTACAGGTGAATAACTTTAATAATAAATACAACAAGTTTTCTTGTTATCCCTAAAATTAGTTCTGTTTTTCTTTTTTGTCTTTTCACTTTTCTTTCTTCATCTTATTTATGTAATGGTTTATTTTTCAACAAGCAAGAGAGAATAAGAGCTACTGTATGAATGAAGTGTCGAATGAATGTTATGTAAGAGTAGTGTCTGTAAGTACATTTCTAAGTTCGAAATGAAAATAGAGAAGATAATAAACCCAGGAATAGTAGTTATTGCATATTTTGTTGCAACTAATGGTGGATCCAAAACACAACAAAACAAAAACAGATTAATCCTGTTTGAATAGCCAAGAGACAACCCGTCTGTTGTTTGAAGAAAGGCAGGGTATTTCCAAGAGTGGTTGCAATTTATTGGCTCACACTGTGAGGGAATTACCGGAGGAAGAAGGTCCTCAGGAACTGGTTTCCATGTTGGAATCTCCGGTACCTAATTGGAGTAACAGTGACACCACTTGTTAACACATAACATTACACCAATGGATTCACCAGCACTTAAATGTCTCATTATAATCATGTACCTTGGAGTTGTATACTTTAGTACTGAAGGTGCGCGTTACACCAGCGATGTAGTTTCTTCTTCCTCGACAGGTCCCAATGTTTGTAACTTGCTTTTCATAGTTTCCAAACACGTTTATTTCAGGGCGGGTGATTTGTAACAGCACGCCAAGGCGAGCGCGTTTTATACTGAGGCTAAACACTGACATTTGTATTATTTTTGGATACGCAGCAATGACCAAAGAGAATACAGAGAACTTAACATTTTCCGGATCTCTACTCACCTAGAGAAATGTCAGGAAAATGTCGACGACATGTACACAAAACACGACTTTCAGTAACAGAAAGAGGGCAACACAAAAATCTTCCGTCCTGCTCACTTCCTGTTTCGCTCTTGGGAAACAGAGAGCAAAACAAATCCACAAATTCATCATTTAATATTCAGGGTGGCTCCAATATCTATAAAATTTCATCAACAATAACATTTTAACGGCACTCTCGTCGTCGTTCTAGAGTGGAAATTATTTCGTGCTTAAGACATGTTGCAGTTGCTTCTGAGTCGAAACCTCTTTAAATAATAGTGCCACTTCTTCTTTTGTATTTTTGTTCCGGGGTTACGGGGGCGAGGCGCATGCGCACAAGCATTGTCCAATCAAAATTCGATTCCAACGGGTTTCTTGTGTACAAACAATACTAGGTGCGCGCAACCATGGGGCAAACGCCTGCTACGGAGTGAACTGTTATCAATGAAGATGCTATATTGTTTGCAAGTTCTCCCTGACACAATTGCAATAAAATGTCATCTCATTGAAAAATCGCTTTGTCTTTCATTGCATCAAGATCAGAAAAATAGTGCTGAAATATTCATGAATTTCACTCAATTTACCAGGTTGTGACGTTGTTTTAGATGTTTTTAATATCAGGAGCAGGATCGTAATGTTTGCCGGTTATTTGTTTTGCCAATTCGTGCAGTTTACAGCACAACAGCTCCTTGTCATTTTCTTTCTCCGTTGACTCCGCTAGTAAACAAATAAGAAATGTCCCGCTTTCTGCCCCAAGGCCACGCGTGCATACCTGCGATGAGTTGCACATAAACCCATATCGGAGTTCTCCAACTCCAACTCCGATTATAGTCGGACTAAGGTGTTTACATGCACTTCAGTTGTCCGGTCTTATTCAGAGTGAGGCAATCATTTGGTTTTCTTGATTGCCATCTAAACGTATTGAGTGTATTGTGCACTGACAAACAATTACCCAACTATAGTTTAGCAGTAGGGCTTAACAATGTGGGAAAATAATCTAATCAAATTTTTTCCCCAATCACATCATTTGAATTAAAACACATGCAATGTTATTTTATCCAAATAAAAACACAACTTTGAAAACATCTCAAATTGTGACGATTTTGACTCATATTGAAAATTGTATATGAATTGTAAAAATGACACTTGAATGATTTCATATGTAATGCATACCATCTCTGCTGCAAAAAGGGTTATAAACTGGTATCAGAGCAATAATGGAGTAAATTTTATTCTTTCCCTAGCTCAGTTTCACCATCCACTATATGGCTAGGGTAGAAAGTAAGGAAACAAAATCAGAGTTAACATAATTCTGGTGAGCCTTGAGTCTAAAAAAATGTTAGTACAATCATAGCCCCTCAATGGTCATTCCTCTTAATGTTTTAGTATTCCAACTTTTGGTCTTGAGCTATCACCACCAAGGTTAATTGTTAAGTCTTTTCAGATAAAGTCCCAACTGACAAAGGACCGTATAGTGGCTCATTGTCAGCATATACAGTAGATTTTTTTTCTAACTGGACAGTGAATGGTACCTCCTCTTGAGATGTTAGATTTTAGTAATTTTTGCATTAAAATGAAATAATGGCCTGAAAAGTCTTACATGTTATCCTGTAAGTGTTTTATTTCACCAGCTTTTATTGGGTGTTTCTTTGGAGTGTCCATATTTAAACGTTACTTAATCAAACAAATGCATTGATAAAAACATAGGGGAAGAAAACATAATATATACAATGCTGAAACTAACAGGCGTAGTCCGTACAACTTAAGTATCAATACATCTTGCGATACAGTTTTCATGAACAGTTCAGTGTATGGCACAAATGTAACAGTGCACTTCAAATTAGTTTGCAACTATAGCTCAACATAGAAAACAAATAAAGCTTATGAGCAGGTTATGAGTAAGAGTTCAAGGACATACATTTGAGATAAGCTCAGATAAATGACAGATTAAAGTGCAGTCCAGTCTACAGGAGCCTTTCCTGATTGCTCCAGCAGCTCATTGGCTTGTGAGAAATGCCTGCAGCCAAAAAATCCTCGATGAGCAGATAGGGGAGATGGATGTACGGCCTTGAGGATGTGGTGGCGTTTCTAGAAACAAATATTCTCTTTAGATGCAAAATCATAAAAAAACATTTTTGGGTTTTGAGTGCTTGTAAAACAACCGAATTGTAAACCCACTCTGTTTATAGTAGCTCCCTTCTTCTGAGCGTACGATCCCCACAGCATGAAGACAAGGCCGTCCAGGTTGTTGCTGAGCCACTGCACCACAGCATCTGTAAAGTTCTCCCAGCCTTTGTCTTTGTGGGAGTTTGCCTGGTGGGCTCGAACAGTCAACACAGCATTGAGCAACAACACACCTAAAGAGCAAGGTTGCAAATAAGGGTACATTATATTTGTAAATGACCAACAGTTTCCTTGTTGTGTAGCTGTGATTTCAAATCATTTACCCTGTCTCGCCCATCCAGTTAGATCTCCATGTCCGGGGTGCTTAAAGCCTTCAATGTCAGTCAACAGTTCTTTGTAAATGTTCTCTAAACTGGAAAAAAAAAACAGAGCGATAAATACGTCACCCTCCGATTTGACATCAGAAATCTGACCTTTCAAATGAGTTTCATAGGCAGCGAAGTCCAAAGTTTCTACCTGGGAGGAGGTGGCACTGGTCTTCTAACGCTGAAGCACAGCCCATGGGCTTGGTTTGGACCATGATATGGATCCTGACCAAGAATCACTACTTTGACCTGCAATAGCCCGCACATTTTTAATTGAAGTAACTGTGACATGCATTTTATAACGAACATACACTTAACTTCCATTATAGAGGAAATGTGCAACTTCACCACATGCAAAAAGACAAGAAGTTTGCAAACTAATGTCACATTATCTCTGACCTGGCAAGGGGAGACGTTCAACATTTTTTCACACGTCAATGAAGAAAAATATATAATTTGTGTTAGCCGGCCACAATTACATATATTCAATTGGGGTGATCCTTAATTAGTTGTTGGGCTCCTCTGTGACTAGAGTGCTTGATTTCTGAAAACAGGAAGACCAAAAAGACATACACAGACCCTGTGGTATTTATATGTCTGCTATTATTAAATGTTCCACGTAGGGTTGCAAAGGGGCAGAAAACTTTCGGTAAATTTCCAGAAACTTTCCATGGGAGGTTAAGCTGGGGAATTTTGAAAATATTCCAAATTGGAAACTTTCCATGGGAATTTTTGGGAATTATTGGGAATAAACTGGTAATTGGGGGTAATTTAACCAAACGGTATCATATCCAAATATAAATGTAAATATTTTCCTTCAACACTGGCTTGTGTGAAATGCTTCCACACATCAGATGGTGAACATGGCATTTTTCTGTAGAATAAAATAACAAAAAAAGCTTGTAAAAATACTAATGCGATGGCATGAACAGAAATATAGTTGGCTAAACAACTGGAATGGTCTTCAGATATTTGACAATTGACATATAAATTATTGTATGGTTTCAGAAAACCGACTTGTGGGAGTCAGAAGAAACAGCATCATTTGAGGTATTTGAGGTAGCTACCAGCACCATAATAAGCTAGCCCCTTAAATAGTCAATGAAATGAAAAATAGCTTCTATTTATCACTTATTAGCTAAAGTTAAATATTAATACTACAGATCAAATATATTTACCCCATAATATTATCAGAATTACTTGACTTTATATAGTCCTTGGGCTCAATAGTGTGGCCTCCAGGGTTCAAGAAATCATTTGTACATGTGATGGAGGAAAGCACAGTGCATGTAGGGGTGTGTGGCCTCAATAGCCCAGCAGTCAGCAGTGTGCATGTGATTAAGGAGTGTACTTGCATAAAATCTGGTGGTTTTAGCCAAGATTATGCAACAGTGTATTTTCCCTAACTTTATTTAAGTTCCCTGTTGAGGGCCAACCTTCAATTTTGTAAATTTCAGATTTATTCCCGTTAATTCCCATGGAAAGTTTCCAAATTGAAAAATAGTTCCACATTTAAAAATAGTAGACCGTACTGCTCAGAGCCGGCCCAAGGCATAAGCGATCCAAGCGCCTGCTTAGGGCCCCGCTGCCAATGGGGGGCCCCCAAGAGCAATCAAATAAATAATAATTTTAAATTTTTTTTTATTTTTTGCAAGTATAAGTGATGCTTTCTGTATGATGAAATATATATTATTGGAAAAATAAAATAAAATAAAAGTGCTGCTGCTGATGTAGGGCTATGATTCTTAGTGCCAATATGTCAAAGCTCTGCTACCATTATGTGCCTTCTGCTGTGCAATGTGCACTGAGCATCCAAAGCGCAGGTAGCTGTGGGGCAAAATAATGTCACAAAAAAGGACATATCCTTCAGGAGCAGAGAAAAGGAAGAGGAACAAGAGAAAAAATGCCAGGATAAAGGTGTGTTTGCATGTCATTAAATGTTAATCAAAGAGATTTGTGAAGGTGTGTGAATGATCAACAATCAATATTATCAGCAGAAATAATCAAAATCAAAATCCCCCTAAATCTAATTTTGCTTGGGGCTCAATTGAGGCTCGGGTTACTGCCCCTTGACCTCTGGTGCTCTTATTTTGTAAGAAATTGATGACTCACATGTATGCCTGAAATGTGTGAGTCTAGACAGAGTCTCAGGAGAGGGTAATGCCACTGCAGCTCACACTTACATCTCGGATGTCACACATTTGAGTCCAGGTGAAGACTTCTTGAACAGGTGGGTAAACAGTGTGGCGGTTTCTCTCCTCAGAAACAAAACTCATCAACTGTTGCAGAGGGGGGAAAAAGTCATAAGAGTCATATAAAACAACAGAGACAAAGAGTTCTGCCCACTTTTCCTCTCACCTGTTTGAAGTACGGCTTTCCAAACTCAGCCGCCAGTTCCTTCCTCCAGCCTTCCCCGAATCCTGGAGGTGTTTGAGCGGATGCAAGTTTCTCCAGCGCCGCCCTCTTGTTCTGGGCGATTCTGTCAAGCTGCTCCTGGGACAGGGAAGGCGTGCTGGACGGCTCTGTGTCCACGGCGGATAACTTTCTCTTCTTCGACATAATTTTTGTGTATTGAGCGAAAAACAGAGCGGGTGAGAGGCGTACAACTGGAGGTAAAGCAGGCAACAGAAACCGTCGACAGAGTAGTGCAGGCATGCTAATGTTGTGAACGCCAAAAGCATAAATATATATATAAAAGAAAGGCTAAATGACTCAAGGCGGAGTCACCGTCGTCCCTGACTCCATTGGCTAACAGCGTGCGTAATCCATCTAGCCTTTATATATATCTATGGCTAAAAGCTCAACTTCTCGTAACAATAGGGAACAGCTCTGCTTGTGAACGCAGCTTGATTTGCGCTGAACGCATGGCATCCAACTACAAACCCTTTTATCACAACTTTAAATGGATCGTGCACAGTATTTCAACATTATCCAGCGCTGTGTTAAATGAAAGCAAGGTAGAAAAAATGTGGCTAATTTCTGTTAGTAAATAATGTGCAGCAAAGGTAAGTCTCACCGGGTCTTTAGCATCATCTTCTCCATCTAAATCCTCGGAAGTTCTCTTTTTCGAGACAGGCGAAAAAAAAGAGTTGATTGTCTTCTGTCCGATCATTTTAGCAAAATACAACCTGTCGATAAGCTGCTGTAAAATCAGTGTCTCAAACAGAAAGATGCTGAGGGAGAAAATGCTGTATTCCTCACGCCAGCCTAATCTCAACCACGGTAATTGGCGCCAAAACAACGTGACGAAAGCGGATATTATTAAAATGAGCTGAGCGCTGTTCAAAACAAACTGTCAGTGTTCACGACAGTTTTAGTTTTGTGATCGGGTGACATTTGACTGTTTTTAGCCGCAGTGTAAGATGCTGTGCAGATGGAAGGTAAAACTTGATTAAGCAAGTAAACAAAACAAGCCCAGATTTGGTCCTTAAACATGATTATTGGCTGCTTGCGTTTGACTGATAGGATAGTTTGCAAATGAAGGTTTGAATATGTCTTATGTTCGTGTAGGCCTATAATGAGGGGGGAGCTCCGTATCCTTTCCCCATATTTCCACATTTTGTGGACAAAACTATAAGTTAATGGATAATAATCAATGAATTTACTTTGAATATAACAGGAAGCTGTAGCCTTGGGCTACCTGTATGGTGGCCGGGAAACGCCACTGCTGCGAATAAAAAAGAATGCAAAAAAAAAAAAAGTCACAACGGAAGTTACAGATTTAAAAAAAAGAAAGAGAAACTGAAGCCTGCTGCAAATAAAAAAAAAGAAACGGTGGAGGCACACAAGATGACATCAAGAAGACGAGCAAAGGAGTAGGTGGGTTAATTTTGCTTCGTGTGCTTTTCAATGTCTGATTTGGTTAGACCATGTAGCGCCTGAGTTGATATGAAGTTGAACTAAAGCTAACACTACATCCGGCATCCTCCCGTTCAACTTCATATCAACTCAGGCGCAACATGGCCTAACCAAATGACACATTGAAAAGCACTCGAAGCGAAATCTAACAATAACCTTTCCACTAACTTCTTTGCTCGTCTTCTCACCGTTGTCTTCTGTGTCTAGATCGTAAAACACCAGTGCATCATCATTATCGGTCCCTGGCAGCTCACTTCTGTTGTGGCTTATTTTATTTGCATCCTTTTATTTTCACAGTAAGAAACTTTTTTTTCCATCGCCACTTTTTTTTGGTGCGTCAACTTTCATTGTGGCTTTTTTTTTATCCGCACCGTTTCTTTGTTTTTATTTATCTTATTTTATTTTTTTGCATCAGTAACTTCTGTTGTGTCTTCTTTTTTATTTTTATTTTTTATTAGCAGCAGTGGCGGTTCTCGGCCACCGTATACCTGAATTAGAGAGAACAAAACTTAAAAAAGAACATATCTCATGAGGTATGCTAGCATTCAAGTTGTTTATTTTCACATTTAGGTTTTAAACCCTGTTTAATCAGTCTGTTTAAAGCAGTTAATTTCACTGCATCACTTGCCTTTCTTTATCCAGATTGCTTGAGGGGAATTGTCAACATCAGCTTTTCAGAGTGCCAGTGACAGCGCATTACTGGGATGAAAAAGTTTTTGGAAGGAGGGGAGAAAGACTCCAGTGACGTAAACAGTCCATGCAAGAGAATCAAACTGGAGAGTGATGAGAGCATGAATCAGGAGGAGGAGGAGGAGGATGACCAAGCAATATTAGCAGAGTTTTCTCATCCCGTTCCTTGGCAGAAAATAGAGGCAGAGGGACTGGACTGTGATTATGCTCTGCTGTTCTCCAAAGAGGAGGCAGACAAGCTTTTTCAACAACTGGAGGAGGAGGTGGTGTACTCAACAGGTACAGCCCTAATTCTTTTTCACTTAAGTGTTAATGTTGGATTTTTGTTTCAACAACTGTGGCTGTTTTTGCTTCAGGTGAGGAAGCAAAGGTGCAGGTGTTTGGAAAGGTGTACAACATACCGAGAAAGCAGGCAACATATGGAGATGAAGGTCTGACCTACACTTACTCTGGAGTCACCCGTTTAGCCTGCCCGTGGACTCCAACCTTGGAACACATTAGGGATGCTGTCACAAAAACAACAGGACAAACATTCAACTTTGTGCTGATAAACAGGTAAGAATCAGGACTTCTTGAAGTCAAAATCAGTTATTTGTGTCTCTGCTAAAAGTGTTGAATCTCCCTACCAGATACAAAGATGGCCAGGATCACATGGGGGAGCATCGTGATGATGAGAAGGAGCTGGACCCCCTCTGTCCCATTGCCTCTGTCTCTCTGGGAGCAGCACGAGACTTTATATTCAGACACAGAGATGCTCGGGGGAAACAGAGTCATCGACAGATTGCACCTGTGAAGCTGGAGCTTGCTCATGGAAGCCTGCTTCTCATGAACTCTCCTACCAACACGTTCTGGTACCACAGCCTCCCTGTTCGTAAGAAGATTATTCAGCCTCGCATCAACCTCACCTTTAGACGCATTGTAGCCAAAAGAAATGACCAAGTATGAAATAATCGTATAAATGGCCTAAATTTGGCCTTAAAAAAATTAAACAGCATTCATGGGCACAAGGGAGAAATGTCACAGATATACTACCAGTTTTTTTTTTTTGTGACATGATTGAATGACAGCAAAAGGGGGAAAAACTTGAACCCCGTTTCATAGTCAGTTAAACTGGTGTTTTCCTAGTTGCTGCAGTAATGGACAGTAATGACACCAGTGTGCTCATGAATGGCTCATGTCACAGGGAATGAAACTCTCAGATGACTTGGTTGACAACTCAGAAATAAAAGCAGCCTTGGGTCAGATGGATTTAAATATCGCCAAGTATTTTAAATTCCTGCTACTTCTTATAAAACTAATCTTACAGCTGACTCAGTTTAAGACAAGTTAGATTTCAATGCAATGCCGTCTAAGGAGTTGACGGTCACAGGCATTCTATGTTGGTTTTCGGCCCTGCCACTCACATGCAGAGTTTTCTCTGGATTCTCTGATTCTTTTGTCAATATTATTGACTGTAGATGATGAAATCCCAGTTTCTGGATTGACAAACTTTGTTCTTAAATTGATGCTCCCTTTATACCCAATCATAACACTCACCTGTTTCCAGTGAACCTGTTCACCTGTTGAATGTTCCAAACAGGTGTTTTACATTTAACCAGTCTCTTTGAGGACCTGTCCGTAGTCATCATTTTTTTTCATGGATTTTGAATGAGGCCTCCATTTTTTTACGATTTTTGAGTCAGGTCCTCATCATCCATTTGAACGTGGATGGTGGACTTATAGTGCCCCAGCCATTGAATGAATAGTCCCAAAGCACCACAGCAACTCAGGTGTTGTCTTAACAACTAATTATCACCCTTATAGTTAAAAAGGCCCAAACTAACAAGTGACACAGTAAAATAAGCTGGCTCTCTTTTCTCTCTTTCTCCCAGGACAAAATTCAGGTTTAGCTGAAAACAAAGTCACATTGCTAATGCAAGTGATGAAACTTAATAACTGTAGCCACGGTCTAAAGCAGCCCTTCTATTTGTTCAAACACATATAAAATAGTATAGGCTCAAATAGAATCTATGATGTTGGAGGGGACAATTTAGATTAAAGTGGCTGTATCAGTCATTCTACCACTCTAGATTAAAGAGAAGAAGAGCTGCGCTTTACTACATAGATATTCCCCAAAGAGTTTAGTCCTTGGCTTTTTCTTAAAGGTGGGAGGAGACACTACAGACCTGACAGTGTGGTAATTCATTCCACCAGCAGGGGGCAACAGAGGAGAAGAGTCTGGTCAGTGACTATAGGCCCTGTTTTATTGTCTTTGAATTGTAATGAGTTATATGCTATCCACTGTCTGACATCCTACATGAACTGAAGGAGGGATTAAGGTGAATTTTTGAAATTGCCAGAAAGGTTAAATGAGAGGTAAAAATGAGAACCATCTGCAAAGCAATGGTACGAAATATTCTGTTTGTTTTTTATTTTATTTATTTTTTGTTTTTTTTGTTTTTTTTGAAGATGGAGCATGTTTAAAGTGAACAATGCAAGTGAACAATGCAGATCCAAATACTGAGCCTTGAGGGCAGATGAAGAGAAAACCATATTATGTCTCTTCTACATCTCACTCGTGTGAAGATTTTATTTTCATTTTAGCTGCTGTGCTGACATTAACTCCCCCATTAATTTTAAATAGTCTCTGAAAATAAACTCCTTTGTCAATTGTTTAGAAAAATAGAAAAATACAGTCATTCAGTGTATTTAAATACGCTAATACTTGATTCTAACTGTGTTATGTTTCAGGAATTTAACGCCAACCAAGGGCAAAGAGATGTATCAATCAGCTTCAGAAAAACTTTAAATATTGAACTCGGGCTATCAAAGTTGGCCAAATAAATGTTAAGGAATCTTATAACTATGGTGGCTGAGAACTGCCACTGCTGCAAATAAAAAAGAAGCCATAACAGAAGTCGCTGATGCAGAAAAAAAAGAAAGAAAGAAACCGAAGCCCATTGCAAATAAAAAAAGAAACAGTGCAGATTGAAAAAAAAAAAACGTAAGTTAATGACGCGAAAAAAAAGTGGCGATGGGAAAAAAAAAAAGTTACCCACTGCAAAAATAAAAGGATGCAAATCAAAAAAGCTACAACGTAAGTGGGCTGCTGGGGTCTGATAATGATGATGAACCGGTGTTTTACGATCCAGGCACAGAAGATGACGGCGAGAAGACGAGCTAAGAGGTAAGTGGAATGGTTATTATTTGATTTTGTTTCATATACTATTTAATGTGTAATTTGTTTAGACCATGTAGTGCCTGAGTTGATATGAAGTTAAACTGGAGGATGCCAGTGTAGTGTTCGCTTCAGTTCAACTTCGTATCGATTCAGGCGCTACATGGCCTAACCAAATGACACATTGAAAAGCACACAAAGTGAAATTAAACAATAACCTTTCTACAAACTTCTTTGCTCGTCTTCTCACCGTCATCTTCTGTGCCTAGATCGTAAAATACTGGTGCATCATCATTATTGGTCCCTGGCAGCTCACTACAGTTGTGGCTTTTTTTATTTGCATCCTTTTATTTTCGCAGTAAGTAACTTTTTTTTCCCATCATCACTTTTTTGTGCGTTATTAACTTCCACTGTGCCTTTTTGCTTTCTTTCTGCACTGTTTCTTTTTTTTTCAGTTTCTTTTTATTTTTTATTTTTATTTTTTGCATCAGAAACTTCTATTGTCTTTTTTATTTGCAGCAGGGGCGGTTCTCGGCCACCGTATCTAACCTCTCGACGCACAAATTGCAGTGAGGTTTTCACAATGTCATTCTCCTATGCTGTTTACGTTACTTTAACCTAACATTTTGTCACAACAAAAAAGGCAGTGTGTGTGTGTGTGTGTGTGTGTGTGTGTGTGTGTGTGTGTGTGTGTGTGTGTGTGTGTGTGTGTGTGTGTGTGTGTGTGTGTGTGTGTTGATATGTGGGGGCTCCCAAAGCGCTTTACACACTGAGTAATTAAGCTTTTGACTGACAACAGAGAGCCAAAAGGCTCAGGCGAACTCCGATTGGTCAGGGAGTACATTACAATCTCCTCTTGTTTCCAAGCCCAGCGCAGGCAGAGCGCTTTCCCCCTTAAAACACACCAAATAGCCACACGCAGCGGTGGCCAAGGGGCTGGAGCCAGAGAGGACTGTTAACTTTACCAACCAGATCAGAAACTCGATCAGAGGAGCACTGATTCTCTCCGAATATATCCTTCACTCAGAGTTTATACATGAGGTAACTGTTGAACCGACTCTTTTCGCCTCGCTGTGCAACATTAATTCTGTAATTGGAAAGAGGAAATATGAGGTCTACTTCGAGGTCGCTTTTGAGAATGATCCAGCTGTCTGTTGTAGCGGCGCTTCTGTTTCCGTGCAGTGCTTCAGAGTATGAATACTGGAAGTCGGACACGTATGACGGCGGACGCAGCTATGGTAAGCCTCACCAGTGCGTGGACATACCGGACGAGTTGCGGCTCTGTCACAATGTTGGCTACAACCAGATGTTGCTGCCCAGCCTACTGGAACACGAAACCATGGCCGAGGTGAAGCAGCAGGCGAACAGTTGGGTGCCACTGGTGCACAAGAACTGCCATCCGGGAACGCAGGTCTTCCTGTGCTCGCTCTTCGCACCCGTGTGCCTGGAGCAGCCGATCTACCCCTGCCGCTGGTTGTGCGAGGCCGTGAGGGACAGCTGCACCCCCATCATGGCGGCTTTCGGTTTCCCCTGGCCGGAGATGCTTACCTGTGACAAGTTTCCCCAAGACGATGTGTGCATTGCCATGACGCAGCCCAACGCCACCGTTTCCCCCCAGACTGGAGGTAATTCAGCTTTTACAGGATTGTTTGTGAACTGAAATATAGTTACTTTAAAGACGTTTTCAGGTGGTAGCCTGGGATTTGGAAAATACTTATTATTGAAATGATTGCACAGGGAAACAACACTTTTCATGTTGTCATTATTTTGCCAATACATTATCAATTATGGTAAAGACTAGACTATAAATAATTCTTATTATAGTTTACAATAGTTTGTAATAGCTTGTTCAGTTTTGGTGTTTGTCTTCTAAATATAACACACGCCTCTTTGTCCCATATATTTAAAAAATGATATTTGAAATATAAGCACAACTTGAAGTTTTCTGAATGTACTATCAATTCTAATCAATCAGTTTTTTCCAAGAGATAAAGAGTGCATAAAAATCTTGAGTCACACTCAAAGTGTCACAACCACAAATTCTGAGATTAAGTGATCCCCAGCAAAAGTCCCTTCCAACACACACGAACATACAAGATATAACGCTCTGATGAAGGCCCAGTGCAGAAACACGTATGCGTTTGTTTTTTGTGATGTTAGCCAAATAAAACTTGTAAAATGTTATTTCTTCTCCTCCATGAAGTGGAACATAAGATGTTCTGCCTCCTTTTGAAACCTTCATACAATATATAAAATTATTATTCAAAATCATGAGGAAATGAGCATTTATCCCTGCTTTAGGGTGGTAAGAGTGTGCAGGGGTAGAACACAAAGCCGGGCCCACCCCCTTCTCTTAAGTGTCAATCATTCCAGTATGTCATACCATGCTGTCCATCTCAGACTATACAACTGATTCCCAGAAATGAGGAGTCTGGAGACATTTCTAGCTTTTTTCTTAATCATTAAATATGTCATTGATTACCTGTCAGGAACACAGTTACGTCCTATCAGATTCTCTTAAATGCAACACAGAAAAAACAATTTTACCTAAACATGGCACAGTTTTTGTTTTGGCTACTTGTTGTGCTGAGACACTGCCCAGCGACAAAGCAGGGACATGTTGGGCATTGGTGAGAGTTGTACTGGAAACCTGTCAACCAACTGGTTAGTTCCTAAAATATGATAGTGCCTGATGCTTTAACCTGAAATTATCATTTATTCTTTTGTCAGCTCTCGTTGGGAAGTGCTTTTGTACTGAATGTAATAAAAGTGTGGCTGTGCCAAAGGAGGATAGTTTGAAATGGTGTTTTAGACCATGCACCACTGCAGGGCTGATTTCATCCTCATTACAAGCCCGCACAGCAGGCTGTTTCCCTAACATAAGTCTTTAGACGTAAAAGTTGCGATAAAGAAGTTTGTGGAGTGAGTGTATCCCAGTGTCCTACCTGAAAACACAGGTTTACTGAGTGTCCCAGTGTGTGTTTGATATGTTAAAAGTACATTGGTAGATCTGTAAAACTCGATTCTGATTCGAAAAGGCTGGGTACCACTGATGTAGCTAAACAGACTATAAACAGCACTTCCACAGGTGACAAGCCCAACACATGCACAGGGTTCGATGGGAAACACTCCTCCATATAATTGTATGAAAAGTGCAGATTGATCGATTGATACAGCAGCACTTTGAAATCAGGAAAGAGAATAAAAATAATGTCAAAAGGTTGTTTGGGATTCTCCTTTCCAATATCTTAATACTTCTCTGTTGCTATCTGTTGTGGGTTCTGTAGAGAAAACAAACAGCCGCCACTTTTGTTGCTGTGTGAAAATGGACACCCATGAAGTTAGATGAGCTCGAGAATGTTGTTTCAGGGGTGACTTGTGCTTGCAAATCTAAACACAAACAGATAGGCTACAGCCTTTTGTGGGAGGCGTGTTTTCAGTCTGAAGCTGTTTCCACAGTTTATTTTATTTATCTATATCATGGTCAACATCACATTGGTATCTTGAACATTTGGACAAGGGGCACAGGTGCAAAAACAAAAGCACTAAAGGACAAAACTACAGAAAATGTTAATGATGCTTTAAGAGAAAGTCCACAATAAAACAGAGTAGCTAACCAAAAGGAAATTTATAGAATCAGGGCCTTTCTTGTAGATTTTATTCCTCAATGGTAAGAAGTTATTCGCATTTGTTTTTTCACGACTTTGAGGGCTTTTGTTTGAGATAGAATCAGACTGAAGAATATACAGAATCTGGGTGTGATTTCTGAATGTTTGGGTTTGTGTATGTAGTTTTTTTTCCCCTTAGATTAGAATAATGCTCACCAAAAGTGTAAATTCTCTGTTGTCCATAACAAAACTATAAGTAAGGTCCATTTGTGGGAATTTAATTTAGTTGTAAGACATTTGGGTAAAGCCACTTGTGTACATCTGGACAGAGAGCTTTAGAATACAAACACGGGAAAAAAAACGCTCTATACAAAATACATAACTGTTGGTCTCGAAACCATATTGCAGACAAATTATCAGATAGATACACACCATTTAGGATGTTAAGATGAATTTCTTTGGCTTTATAGGCTGTGAGGAATTTCAAGTATTTAGTTGGTACTGTATGAATTATACATTTCGGATAGATGCGTGAGTTAGTTTCTGTGAAAGTTTGTGGGTTATGAGATGTGATTGAATACATTTTTCTGTGTTTCAGCTGTTTCCAGAAACATCCAGAAAATTTCTATAAAATGTCAGAAGCTCTGACTCCGCCTTAACCCATAGACCCTCAAAGTGAGAGGTCTCAGGAGACCCAGGAGTCAAATAGAAGTCTAATGTTTTACTATCTAATCTAAGAGTAAAACTACAGACCCTTTAGTCTAAAACTCCTTGACTTTCTGTCTTATTCACTTCCAACACAATCCAAAAGATTTGTGATCTCATATGAGTTTACCAGGACTTTATTCTGAAATTATACGGGGGGGCTGGTTGGAAATATTCTGGGTAAGATCAGGGTAAAAAAACTGGATTGATTGTGTCTGCACTCACAGTCCACTGGGATACTTTCGGGAAAATTTTAACAACGGTTAGAAAAGTGAGTTCCTGATTGTTTAAAACACCCTTTTTTTTCACCACACTCTCAGTGACCAATCCTTAATTACTGCCTTATGGCGGACAGACGAAGACAGAATCTGAAAAACACCTGGTCCAAATCACGTGTATAAAGAATAAAGGAGTACGGCTAGATACTGAGAGTGAGCATGTTTCCAAACCCAAGCGCTGAATGCAGATAGAGTCAGACATCTTTATCCTGATTTATAGCTACTTATGCTTTGAATCTACTCAGAGACAGCTTCTATGCTTTTGTATGTAGACACCTCAAACTACTTAGTATTGTACTAGTGTGTTTGCATTACTAATTAAATTACTAAAACAAATACTTTTTTAAATACTCTATACAGTCTTATCTGTGTACTTTAGACAGAGGTTGTAGTTGGAGGTGTTAGGTTTCAACATGTTGGGGCACTGCTGCAGCACAGTAGGTCACCCTATGCAGAGACAGCAGAGGCCCAGGTGAGACTCCCAGGCCTTTTGCTATGTGGTATACGGCATTCCCCATTCTTTCTCCAGATTTCCTGTTCCTCTTCAGCTGTCAAGTCATAGGAGGTTAAAAAGCTTAAAAATAATCCAGAAAAAGTTTTTTTCTAAAATTGAATATAAAGCAAACAATTTTGTCTCAGAGGAAAAAGGATAAAGTGTGGTTTAAACCCCCACACTGAAAAAGCCCTTTTACGTGGAGGGTTAAAAGCTTTTCGACCCCTTGAAAAGCTCTAGCTCAGGGGGTAGTATTTTCCAATGGCACAGGGACTTTTGGAGTCAGGACCCGACAGTTTCATTTACATTAAAAAACAGGTCGTTAATTTACATATAAAATACAGGCAGCACAGACAGGCACACAGAGAGCGGGAAGAGAGATTCTGCATTAGATCTAATGTTATCTGATCAGTAAAACAGATTTTTTAACTCTGTTTACAAACCTTTTTCCATCTCAGGAATGCTTTTGGCATTATAGCAGTTTTTGAGGTTAGCCTCATCAGGAAACAATCTTGTTTACAATAGAAGCTTGTGTTATTCACATACACACACATACACCAGCTGAGCAGGGAGAAAGTTAAACAAGTTGAGGCACCAAAGCGCAACAGTACAAGAGCGAATATTTCAGCTAACTTGATGTTTCATAATCAAATTCAGTCCACTTGCTGTCAACGTGATTCGAGACAGCTCTTTTTGAGAAGAGAAGAAAAATCTGCAGGGACTGGAGGAAAGAAACTTCATTTCCAAAAACCATCCCTGCATGTCATTGGCCTGATTTGCATTATTTCCCCAGGACCTCTGGCACCCTGGTGGAAATGCAGACAACAATGAACCGCAGGAACTAATTTAGTTCCTTAAAGATACCTCCCAGGAACTTTAAGATCCAGGGAAGTATCTTAAAGGAACTCACTTAACTAGTTAATTCACGTTAATGGCGCTACAGAGGTGGAATTCCATCACATTACCAACTTACCCACTTGCAATTGTTAACCCAAAACTGCCCCACTTGAGGATTTATGGCCAGAAATAGAGCGTCAGTGGATATTTGAGCAATGACACAGCACTCAATGTACCTGTGGAGTAGACATGTCTTATCTCTGTGTGGAACTGTAACTGAGTGGTGTTGATACAAATGAAAATGTGGGCTCCTTAAAGCTAAACTCAGAGAATTTACCGTCATGATGATTCATTTTTCAGAAGCCCAATCTCAGTCCTTGACATTTAAGACTAGAGGTCTCACTAAAACCTCTCTAAAGAGGTTGTTTATCTGCCATTTTAAGGAGAGCTAGGCAGATTCAGGCAAAGGAACCCTACGACTCTGTCAACAGTGTCTGTTTTCACAAACTCTTTACACTTCAGTGTTACTTTAACAAGCATTTGCAAAACACACGTAATGGACAACTGGCAACTGGAAGAAAACTGTTTGCTTTTCCCCCTTTTCGCCCCTGTGCTCCCCTCCATTCTACACTGTGAAACTGATGCATTTGGTTTTAATTGAATGCCACAGAGTGTTGTGACTCATCTGTTTGGCATGATGAGATCTTGGGGTATTAGTAAAAATGTAACAAACCTATTAAAAACCTATTCTCTACTTTTTGCAAATGCACATTTTGGTCCTTTGTTTCCTGAAAGGTTTTTTGTCCTCAGGCTCATAGTTATTTCCTCTTCTTGGAAATGTCGGAGCATTCATTGAATCTGAAATTAAACACAAATATGCCTCGCATATTATTTTATGTCAAGGGTGATACAGTGCATGAACATGATTTAGAGAAAAAAATCTGCCTAAATGTGGGGCAAGAGGAGGAATGTTTAAAACAGCTTTTAGGCAAAGCTGGCCATAAAAGCTGAAGACATTCCTCACCGGGGCCAGGTCATCAGGAGTGTACAAAGCATGAATGCTCAGGGATCTCAATCTAAGCCAGAGAGAGGTTGGATGAGTGAATTTCAAGGCAAAAATAATTTAAATCCATTTTTGGGGATGGTGTGGTGATATTTAGAAATTCTTTAAAATTCATATTCATATCAATTTTTTTCTCTCTTATGAACTTTGAGAAAGAAAAAAGTGAGGAATACCCTTTATGTTAAAAAAAAAGTCATGTGATTGATTAACTGCTGATATCACTGCAACTTGAATGTTATATCCTGGCCCTGTTTCTAACCCATTTCCCGTCTTTTATCCACAGATTACTCTCCCATCTGCCCGCCATGTGACAATGAAATGAAAACAGATGCCATGCTAGAGCACTTGTGTGCCAGTGAGTTTGGTAAGCATCCTTTAGACATTGATTTACCGACACAACATGTAAAATTCTGTTCTCACAGAAAAAAAATTATCAAGGATTTCACAGAGCGCAATGAAATTGGATTGGAACGCTGGGATTGCAGGAAGCAGGAAAGTATGATTGATGAGGGAAAGTATGATTCATCTGCCGGTAAATCTAGACTAAAGCATGTTAGGCCCCCTTTATGAGTACCCCCTGTGTCTTAGAGGAGGATGCATGTGTTTGTGTGTGTGTGTGTGTTTCAGACCAGGCAAGTTTTACGGTAAATCAATAATGCCCTGAGTTTTTATGTGAAAGTTGCACACACAGTTTTGCTGTTGGTCAGATGTTTATTATTGATAACTGTATTTCCAGTGATTTAGACGTTGATTGTTCCGTTTGAACGGGTCACTTGGTGAATAGTTTTCTGGTAACTTAGATTGTTGTTTGATTTAGGATCAGTTATTTTGTTCTATTGTTTGTGAGTTTGCGGTCAGTATGAATTGGCAGTGTTACCTCCGGCATTTTATTCGTTCTGCTACTTCCCCCTCTCTTAATTACATTTTCTCCTAATTTTTTTGGCCTAATCTACTGAGAGTATGTCGTGCCTTTGCTTTGGCATAAACCCTAAACCTTAAACCTTGACCCCCCAACAAAAGTAAAACAAGCTAAAAGTCAAGCTGACCGTGCTCTCTGTTTTTGAGCCCAGTCTGGATTGATACACTTTAGTGTAGCAAACCCTGATGTTGCAATCCACAGCAGACTGCTACCGACCCTGATGTTAATGTTTTTCCAAGCCATGCAGATTTCAGCCAAAAATTCAAAGAAAAATGGGACCTCACACCTTCGGGTCTGTGGGGATATGTTGCACATTGAGGTGGAGCAATTGTTAGGATGCTGTGGAGACTGTTTTTGTATGTGTAGACATAATGCAGAAGCCTGTTAAAACACATCTTTTCAAGGACAATCGTGATGCAAGGGCTTGTGAAAATTTGTGGGTATGGCAAATTTAGCCTTATAGCTACTGACTCAAGTGGGAACTTGTGTGTCACATTTGGTGACTGTATTAACTACGTAACCCCCTGTAAAAAGCAACTTCCTGTTTTATGGCCAATGACACATCACCACGGTAACACATTTGGTGTAGAGTTAAAGGGATATTCTGGCGTGAAATTAATATAGGGTCAAACACACAGTAACACCAAGTTAGACACACCATGGAGAGATAAATGTTGCCGACCGCTTGCTTCTCTAGTTATACCAACTTTAGAAACGACCGCACGATAGCAATACACAGCGGTCTGAGGAGCCATACACAAACCTCAACCAAAACGCCACTCTATAGCACAAATAATGCTCAGAACAGCACCTAACTTCATCAACAGTACATATAGGGTCCCAGCCATAGCACTAGCCACCAAACATCTTTTTAACTTTGCCTGATTACTTGAGCAAAGAGACTAAACACAACTCACCTACTCTCTTCCAGCAGCCGCTTGTTTGTAGCGAGACCTCAGGCCAGTCCATTACGGACTGCAGCGGGGTGACGCAGCTCAAGGAAGAACATTTATGATAATTTCCTCATGGAAATGCAATCAGACTGAGACACTAAGGCAGAAGAACCACTGTGTCTGCAGTGCAAAATAATTAATATGATTATTATTGCTTCAAGAAAATGATAAAGAAATGATCAAAAATGTAAACTTAAGGGTCGCAGAAAGAAGATTCTGGGATGTACCAGAACCATATTGAGGAATGGTTTGTGATCAGTAACTTCCTATTGCTAGCAGGTGGCACTGTAATTTGGGTAAATTTTTAACGATGGATGTGTTCAGGGTAGTTCCTGTTTTGCAAATGAAATATGTAGGTGAGGGGCAGAGTTAAAGAAACTTTAAATTTCATGGTATGAGTTTAATCGTAATCAAAATTTGCCGCACTGTGCTGACCACGCACAATGTTTAAACTTTATATTTTGCCTGTGTTTATCAGTGGCTTTGATACAGCTCATCCTTCAACACTTGGTTCCTACCCCAGTATATGTTTATACTAAAGCTATGTTTTGGGGGAAGAGAGACCAGAAATGTGGGGAGTAGAGGGTGGGGAAGACATGCGGCAAAAGGTCTACGTTTAGAATCAAACCACATACCACTGCGACAAGGACTATAACCTGTATATGTGGGGTGACCACTGAGCTATCAGTATCACATGCTGAAGGTTTTATTAGTCCCTCTTTGTCTCAAAATCTCCCACCCTTCGATAAAAACACACATCAGTCAAATGCTTGCTTTTTCTATTTGACTGCACCATCTCTTTGCTGATGCAATGAACAAACTGGGTGATCTTGCTCCTGTAGATTAATTACTGAAGGTGAGAGGTGGGATTAAACTTTAAAAAATATATGTTGCTAAATATATTAAGTTTAAGTGTAAATACTAAACATAGGGAGAGTTTTAAATGTTGTAGTAATCACAGGTTGAGATCATAGGGTGCTCTGAACAGTACAAGAACCAAGCAAGATCTGGAGCTGCTGTCAAATAGAACAAATCTTGCAATTTTCCCTACTTCCTGCCACCTGTATTCAGAGATTTGATTCTTCTAGATAAATCAGGAATGATCAGAAATGTTCCCAATTTTGAGGATTATCATCAGCTATCATGATTAACATGGGTTCTAATGTTGAACTATAGAAGCGTATGGAATACCACATAGTAGCCACTAGATGTCAGCGAAACACCACAAACAAAAGTATTCAATGAAATAATCTTTTTTTTTCTTCAACGGACTCAAATTACTTTTCAACTTTTCTTAACTCAAACTTTTTCTACCCAGATGAAAAATGTATTCTCTACTGAAAGCAACTCTGTCTGTTCAGTCGATTATAGCATATGTTGTTGTTTTTTTTGGCATGTTTTCATTCTCATGTTGGTGTTGCACAGGGTTTGCTATACTGCCAAAGCTCATACACATGTGACATGGAAAAATGAGGCCATGCATCAAGATTCTTGAATTTGGGTCAACCTCAGTGGGGTTTTTTCCCTGCCTGAAAAGGAGAGCCGAAGGAAACCGAGATTAGAAGGTCAGATAGAGTTTACTGAAAGATCAAGAGGATTTTTGTCAATCTGAATAACAGTCTATGGTTCAGAGTAAAGGTAACAGCAAAGAACAAAGATGTGCATATCTTTTGGTCATCAGGCAGTTCTGATTTACCCCGACAAGAAAGATTTCTTGCATCTGTTACCGAGCATAGCAGGACTTCATTCATGTGTGCACACTTCCCTCATACCACCACTGCAATGACGTCAGCATTCCAGCCAGCCCATCTTGACATGTCTCAAGAAACACCATTTTTAATTGATTGATCGTTTTAAATGTTTTAATGTTGATGAAGTTTACAAAACAGGTATCAGACTGAAAGATTTTGTGAGGACCTGATTTGATTTGGCGCTGGACCTCAATGTGCAAGAGCTCATTTGGATTTGAACCTCGATCTTCTGTTTCAGAATCTAAAGTTACTGGGCTGAGCTATAAGCTCTACAAAAAGAGAAGGACAAGTATCATATAAATAAACAAATGCACCTTTAAATTGGAAAAAAAATAAGAAAAAATGTGTGCCTAAGTGTGCCTGGAGGTCAAGCTGAGTGTATTATATACACACCACATATACAAAAGTATGTGTGGAACTTTAATGAAATAATCACAAGTGTGCGTGCATGCTTGTACCCTGGCACAAATCCTGTACCACAGTGTATGTGTGTGTGTGTGAGGGCACATATGTATAAGCTTGTGTTTATCTCTGTGCACAAAGCTACCAGTGTTTTATTTTTAAATAAACATATAATCATCTGTTTTTACACATTAATGATATTGTCAGGCACTGCCGCCCTGAGTCGCCAGGCCAATGGAAAGTACTGAGCAAGGGCTCTTCAAGGCGTAAATCAGTCACCACAGAACCAAACTTTCCTGTGGTTGAATTACAGAGTTTCTCAAAAGGTGCTTTTCGACCAAAAATAACCAGAACTTCAGGAACTTTTCTTGGATGAACTAAATGGTTCAGGGGCCCATTGTTGTCTGCGTATCCACCAGGGGCATGAAGTTCATGGTAAAAAATGCAAATCAGACCAATGAAAATAAAACTAGTTAGTCATGCAATAACAATCTAAATATATCAACTTAACTGATATTTAGCCTACAGTGCTGACGTAGAGCTATTACAGGTTGGGTGCCTCTTTGAAAGTGGTTTTAGGAAGATATCATAATTTTACATAACCTCATTCTAAATGTTATGTCATTCAAAATAGGTCTCGAGGGTGGGGGCAAAGTTCCTGCCTTTTTGCACTTTATACTACAGTCAAGTGATTGGTTTGCCTTTAACAATGTGATACTCTTGATTTGGCTGCATGAAAAGGCCCATCCTTTTTATGTTTGGAATTATGTAAGCAGTAAATGTTTACTGCCAATGCACAATGATTTACTAATGTTATACTGAGGTAACAGTGTAATCAAATCAAAACCTTTGTTCAAAAAAGTCCTTTAAGCATGGAGTAACTGTTTTTTCCCCTCTTCTTTTAACTACAGCTTTCAAAACCAAGATTAAGGAGGTAACACGGGAAAACATGGACCGTAAAATAGTTCTGCAGAAAAGAAAGAAGATGTTGAAGTCTGGAAACCTCAAGAAGAAGGATATGAAGACAATGGTGCTGTATTTGAAAAATGGTGCAGACTGCCCCTGCCAGCAGCTCGAGAACTTGGGTAACCAGTACCTGATCATGGGCCGAAAGGTAGACCAGCAGTACCTCCTCACTGGCATACACAAGTGGGAAAAGTCCAGCAAGGAGTTCAAGAAGGCCATCAAGAAAATGAAAACATACCAATGCCCTGTATTTGACAATGTTTTCAAATAATCTGCCCCCAGCCCCCTCCCCATCCCCCTTATACAAACACACACACACACACAAAAGGGTTTGGTTTTCTTATCGTCTACTGCCAAAGAAAACAAAACATCAGATGCCTTTACTCACTGACTTTACAGTATGTTACTCTCTTTCATGAAACAGGTGAGTTGATTTCGTTCGATGTTCAATGTCTGTTTGCTAAGTTTAAAGCTAAAGCCACAGACGGTTTCAAATCGCACAAAGATTAGACATTTTTATGATTTACATCCTTTTGTGTTGATTCCAAAACAAAAAGTTATATAGTTGGTTGTTGTGGTGATGTATTTTCTTATAGAGGCTGGTACTGTTTGAGTAAAGGGCTTTACTGTTACTGTTACAGCATATTAGCACATATGGTGCGACCTCTAGGCATAAGAGAGGCGTATATTTGCCTTTTTTATTTTCTCTTATTTCTATCATAACAAGAATTGCAACAGAATACATAAGCCCCACGTAAGACTCCTGTTGGATACAAGAGAGAAAAAGGTAGAGAGTTATTGCGCTGTGATTACTTTCTGAAATACATATATTTTATTTTTCATTTTTTTGTTATGTGAAATGTCTTCATACAGTTGTAACTGCTGGTTGATAGTTAACGGGCCTGTGTAGCAGATCTCTTGATGCATTGTAAGCATACACATATACCACTTTTCTGTTTTTATACATCCATTTATTTTAGTTTTCAGGATCACATAAAAAAAAGAAACGTGAAGAACTTTTTTTTTTTTTCAGATATGAATGTCACTGGCTCATGGCTGCCAAAAACTTGTACATACAAATGTTACATGAATGTTATAAAACATTAGTGTCCTTGATTTGAGTTTTTTAATCATTTTAACATAGCAAAGTTTGCTGGTTAGGCTGTATACCACATTTGAACTATGAAATTTTTGCACATTTTCTTTACCGAAGAAAAATATCCTGTACACCTATCACACATTTCAGAAAATGACTGATTTCTGTGAGGGGACTACACAATCCTCTTTCTCACCTTTTCAGAGACACATCTGAGACTATTTTATTCTACTGCCTGTTGAAAATGTTAGTTTGCAGTCTGACATTAATAGGAGAAAACAAGTGTTTCTGAGATAAATAAAGCAAATATTTTGCAACAATGAACTGTCATAACATATCTGCCATTAATTTCTCTTCACCTGATCAAACAGCATCACTTTATGGGTTTGTGAACCATCTGTGAGCCCTCGGGTTTTAAAAACAGGCATCCTGCCTCTATGTGTGCTCTTTGAAAATCAACATCTGTTTAATCACAGGAATCAAATTCTGAATAATTTTCAGAAATTTAAACCTCTAAATGCCAGTTTGATTGCTCAAATCCCTGGTATTTGATATGAAAAACAAAATTTGATATATTTTCTTTGTATTAAATTTAAATAGGATTTCCTCACAGGGGATCATAAGACCATTGGGTATGTTTTTGATGAGCAACAGATTTCATGTTTGTACATTTTTTTTATTACACACATACACACAACAGTGAGATGTCCCCCCTTAAGGAGAAAAATCATTGGCATTGAGGCAAGTGCATGCATTTGAACCCCTCTACAAATACATGGTAAAATGGCTCCATCTAGTGGTGAAGTGAAAAATTACAGTTTTGGGGGAAATTACAAATTGGAACAAATCGTTGAAAACCACTTTTTAAACCTCACAGCTACTGTAGCATGAAAAAAATGCATTTAGTGGGTTTAAAAAGACAAGTCTACCAGGAGGATTGTTAGTCTGCACAAAAAAATACCTGAGCATTGGTTTCAAGACAAAAATTGAAACTCATTTAAAGATAATTATGAATGCCATAATACATGTTGTTAGCCTTAATACAGTCAAAATAATCAAGAGATAACAAGAAAAAAATGGCAAAAATTACCTTAAGTTGGTTCCATCCACCAGCTGCCGTTAGACCAGTGTAGAACTTAGGTTTAAGCTAAGTGAGTAAATTTTTCAAATTCATTTTTTAAGATGATAATAAAGATGCTGACAGTAGAGAAATGTAGGAAAAAAGAGATGGTCCTCTGTATTTCAGTCTGGATTAATTAAGAAAAGTCTAACAAAATGGCATGCTCATGAAAATTAACTTATGACGAGCATGAACAAATGAAGGTAATGCATACTAACAGACCATGAGTGGTTTGTTATCAAAAACTTTATGTTATGTTTATCAGAAAACAAAAAAGGTCCAAGGATTGAACCCTGAGGTACCCCATGTAACAGCTTGACTCTAATTTTGTTTGCCCATTTATAGATAAATACTTTTCCCTGTCTTTAAAGTAATTCTCCAACAGTTTAAAGCAATGTCATTTAACGCATTTTTATAATTTAGTGATAACGACATGAGGATCCACAGAGTCAAAGGCTTTTGACAAGTCCAAGAAAATGCCAAGAGAGATTTTTTTATTGTCCAGGTCTGCAGAAATAAGGGCCATTTCTGTATATATGGGAAGGTCAGGTGACTTTGGCTGGGTCACGAGGTACAACTCTAGTAACTTGATTTTTTCTTTTATTTGTTTGTTTTTTGCATAATTTTCACACAATTTACAACATAAAGCAATGACACACATCTTTGGTTCATTTTACTTGAATGTTTGCATTCAGGATGTTAGGGAAATTCAGTTTCTGATATATTGGGTGAAAAAATCTTTGTGATATTACAGGTTGGATGACTTGATTTCATGGGTTTGATCTTTGCCATTACACTGTGGCAAAAGGTCGAGCAAGGTAAAGGGTCATGATCTAAAGCTGAACATTTTCTTAGAGAGACAAACTGAAAAAGTGAAAAAACTCAAAGGGTAGTAGTGCAGTGTGTGTACTGTATAGTATGTCTGTTAAGGCTGACAGCTGATATGCTAATAGGCTTAAGTGTAGATACCAGGCTGCCTGGCTAAAGCAGTGAGATCGTGTGCTCTCTTCAGCTCTTCTGAGTTGTTGCACAGAGTTAATCAAAACAGGCTTATAACCAGTTTGATGGTGTCTGATCCAAGCCAACACAGACTGTTAAATTTGTTTTTTGTTGTTGTTACGAATTGTTACTAATACTGTAATTAATTAAATGTAATTAATACCGGTATTGTCATATCATATACAAGGAGAAACACCTACAACATGAATTCCTTTTTTCAAGTAAGAATAACTTTATTTATCTCCAAAGGGAAATTCAATACAACAAAAAAAGAAAACTTAGCCAGAGCAGTAGAAATCTGGAAAACTCCAATAATTGCTCTTCTTTTTGGGCTTGTCCAATCGACTTCAATGCAAAATTTTATATGTTATTTCCCAACTTACGTTACCAAAGTATCACATAAAATAGAGAATTTTTTAAGTAATAGCACTGATCAAACAGCGTGTTTTGATATAGAATTTGTCCTACAACTCTTCCAGCTACAATTGGGGCCTGCTGTAAGTTTATAGTATCTCTATTGTATAGGGGGCCAGTTGCTCTAAAAGTGATTCAATGATGCAGAGATATCAGGACAGTCCCTAATTAGTGAATTGGTCTCAGCTGTGGGCCTGGGCTGAGTATCTCAGGTTGCCACAGCAACTTGAGCTGGTTGCCCTCGACGATAGACGCACTGCAGACTGAGGCAGCCAAAATGAGCAGTTTTTTGTCTCGGTGCTGGTCTCAAATCTGGGCTAATTCTGACAAAACGATAGCTTCTATCAGAAAACAGAGCAGGCCGTGGTTATCGGAAGGACTTTCTGAACGCTTTGAGATGATTTGGGTGTTTCTACAGTAAATAGTTTGGACAGACTTGCAAGTTATAAACAGGAGTCCCTTCTGCTTCTCAGAAAATCTGTATATCCGTTTCAATGAGGAGCAGAAAGAGACATTGCTGCTTTTAGAGGCTCAGTGTTTAAATTCTGTATGTCTCTCTGCTTAGATGAACACATCGTTACAGACAGAACAAGAGTGTCTTCAACTGTGGAAAAAATCATGTGTGTAGAGTGTAATTTGTGGCCAGGTGGAGCGTGGAAAGAGAAAAGTTTCAGATAATTTCATGCAACTTCTCTCACTCTAGCCAATGATGTCACCCACTCTCGAATGAACATTCCACGCAATACACACCCATTATAATCTCAACATTTCTCCAGAAATGATCATGGTCATTGAACAGTTGGTGGTCAAAAATGGCAGTACCTATTGGAACGTGGATTGGTACACCAATAGACAAGACCTGTGTCTACATTTTTAAGTTTAAATGGAGTCTCTAGGTGAAAGCATGCTGGAGTAGTAGATGTTTGAACAACTCCAAATGGTTGCTCTTTAGCCCTCAGGGGTCCTTTAAAAAAAGCTACGTTTAGGTCCTTCGATGGACAAAAATGTCAATCTCTCAAAAGTGCTATAAAAATCAGGAATTCAGTTGATTAAAAGATTTAAGGAAAAAAAATGGAAAAAATATTAATGTATAATATTTTATCGTACTTTTAGGAGATGAACATTTTTGTCCACCTAAGGACCTAAATGTATAGTGTTTTTGTCACACAGTGAATATTAACCTGATATTATAATAGGTGGTCAAGTTTTAAAATTTGGAAAGAAAAAAAAATTGGCATAACACAGCCAAAATGATCAACAAATTAAAGGTAAAAAGTCACCAAAAAATGGACACAAATACTCTAAGAGCCCCAGAGGGTTAGTTGTCCCATTGACGGCTGGGTTCCTGCCTGCAAACAAAATATACCGCAAGGTATAAATAAAGAAACCTTTGAACCTTTGACTTCAATGCAAAATTTTTCAATTGTGTACATTGGAGAAAAGTAATAGCACACTGATTTAGCTCTAACCACGTGTTTGGGTATATAATTCGTCCTACAACTGTTCAAGCTGTAGGACTAGTAGCGAATCAAAATTTTTCCTGAAGGAGAATAAGAAAAAATCCACAGTATAAAAACGACGTCTTGGTGCGTTTGCCTCGTGGCCCTAATAATAAACCCATAATCAGAAGCTGAGGGCTATTTTTTCTTGGCCTGTTCTTCCTCAGGGTGATGGATCAGCAACACCTGCAGGGCAGGAGTGGATAGCGTGTTGGCAGACTGAAAAGGAGAAAAGGGAGTGGGGCCACAGAAAACAATGGTGGAACTGAAACGAGACAGCCTGTCTGTGGGGCCGCCGGCTGCAAGGTCCCAGAAGGAACCTCCTGCGCCATACAGGAAAAGGATTGCACCGGGGCTTCTTAGAACACACACACACACACACACACACACACACACACACACACACACACACACACACACACACACACACACACACACACACAGCTTACACAACATAAAACCAACACACTGATATGGAAAATAAGAACAATAGGGGCCCATCCTGACCAAGCCCTGGACATGACTCTGTTGAAACTCCAGGGACCCGTTTTACACAAAACCCAAAGAACAGACAGTCTTGTCAGGGAAACAGAGGTACACAGGTAGGTCATTACAGTCAGCATGAACAATGCTAGGTGGTCTGGATTGATACTGATGAGGCCAGCTTGCTTTATCTCAAGTACTGGTAGCACGATAACAAAGCTGTACAGCAAAAAGGTTTTGTTTTACTTCATAGCCTGTACACCACATCAAATGAAAAGGATGTAATGTTTAAGACTGTGTCCTCTCACTGCAAACTCTAGTGTACAAAATTCACAATTTTTGCAATTATTGTAGACTATGTGAAAATGTTTAGTTAATATCATTATTAATTCTTTTATGATGTTCGCTGAGTTTTGTAATTACTAACTATCCCTTCAGGAAAGCTGGGGGTCAGACGTAGTGGCGCTGCAAAAACAAAACAAAGAAAAAAAAACCCCTAGTCATTCAGTATTCTTTTCCCGTATTCTTCTTCAACAGATCATCCTCATCCTGTAGGATCTTGCATCATCTTGACCACTTGACCTTTGCTCTGCTCTGGCCAGCCAGTCTTCCAGCTGCTTTTGACACACAAAGAGAAAAGTACTTTGGACTGAAACAGTTTAAACTCAAATCCACTTTGCACTCGAGGAAGCAACTGGGTTTCAAAATCTTTTTCTTTCAAAAAATGTATTTGCATTTCTACTTTTTTTATGTTTTTATAAACTTACTGTTTTATTTTCAAAATTATTATTATTTTAAAATTTTTTCAGAATCTATTCGTGCTTTCAAAGATATATTTTGTGTTCAGGTGAAATGTTTTTACGTGTACTTATATGTTATTATTATTATTTTGTATTTAATTACATGTTTTTGTGTTTTTTATATAATAATTGTGCCACTGACCAACCAAGGCGATACCTTCATAGTTTCTTTGAAAGTCTCCAAGCAGAGAAGACTTTGTAACCCAGGTATTATGCCTCCTTATACTTTTCTGATGATTAGTACAAATAACATATCTCTCAAATATAAGAAGGCCTTTAATTAGCCTGGGTGTCAATATTCAATTAGCAATTCGCTGTTAACTTTTCTGTATATGACAAACTATTTTTTATCATGAAAAATGAATTTCAAATGAACAAACTGCTTTCACTTCATGGAAGCAAACTGTACAACATTTAATCATATGTCATAGTTCTCTGATATTCATACTTTTTCAAATGCCACAGTACTGTATGTAATACTGCAATTATACTTACTCTGCTCTTTCCCCGCATGCTCACGACTTCACCCACACCGTTCTCTCAGTGGCCTCTCCATGCCACATTGTCTGTTTACATCAAAGCATTCATCCTTTCAAGGTTGATGAAAGGTGATAGAAGGGTGGGACAGGAAAGGCCCTGGTCCAACCGCACATCCCTGCCAATTCTGCAAGGGCAGCAAAGACAATGGCTCCAGATATGTAGGCTTCTCTCCCGAAATACAAGTTTTGTTAAAAAGGAAATGGGGCCAAAGGAATGAAGTTGTGTGTGACACATAAGAAAAAAATGAGAGGACAGTTCAGAGATACAAAAGCAAAAAATGACTAAATTATTACACAATTTAGATTGGCCATTTGTTGAAGAGGATTTTTGTCAATATTGTTTTTGTGCTTTTTTCATTATAAGCAATAAAACTGTTCTGTATTTTGGATTATCATTATCTCCGAACATTGTCATTTTATGAAAAAAGGTATAAATATTATAGTCTGCTTATAGCCTTGATATTTATAACCATATGTATAATCTGTTCATAGCCTGCACATACTCAAAGTTATAGCATATTCATAACAATGTTATATACCGTGATATACTCATGTATATATCTCCTTCATACCGTGTACACTTGTAAATATATTTATACTTGCTAAGCACTTCTGGATGGATGCAAACTGCACTTCATTGCTCTGTACTTGTTACATGTGCAATGACAATAAAGTTGAATTCTATTCTATGCTATTCTATTTTATAAATGATATGATTTCAAAAATCATTTGAATATCAAATTGCATTAAATTATTCTGCTTCAACCCTTTAATGCCTGACACCACAAATTATGACCGGATAATTCAATTCTTTTGGAGCTGAAATGTTTATTTCACTTACTACTGAAAACCAAAAATATCAAAATGTCCTTAGAATTTAACAAATATTATTATGTATCTCGTTTGATACATTAGATGTTTTTGGAAGCTAAAAAAACTACAAGAGGACATTTTTATCATTTATCAGACTGTATTCAGGTGTTTTTTTAGCAATTTGTTGATCATATTGATTTGATAGAAGTACATAAAAGTATGTATCAAATATGATACAAAAGGCATTAAAGGGTTAAAACTATTCTTCACATTCAAAGTAGATCCCATTTGTTAACTAGCCCTTGGGTTAAGCAGCCTCATACAGAAAATACAATTAGGGTTTCAAATTAATCTTAATTTTGTTCATTGTTTTAATTATTCTGTTTATTTCTTTGTCCTCACATTAAAAAACCTGCTAACTCCATCCTCAAAAGATGTCTGTAAATAAAACTTCAAAGTTTGGACTGTGAGTAGGCCTCGCTGACTGTCTGTGGCATTGAGTAAATTTGTTACTGCTGGCTAGACACAGACATTCCTTTTTCTATTGTCAGTGATCATTCAGCAGAGAGTTTCAGACCATTACGGAGCTTCCCTCTTTACTCAGCACAGGCAAGCAGATAGAGTCAGATGTCGTCATGCACAACAGGAAACTGGTTTGAACCGGCAGAGGGACTATGACAGCAAGCAGATTAGCAGGCATCCACTGAAGTGATGACTGTTGCTAAGCCTTGTGTATCCAACTACTGATGTTTGCTGTGACAAACAATCTCAAATGACTGTAAATTGGTCTATAAATGAGGGAGGGAGACGCAGAATATACAGGATAAGAGGCTGCTAAACTGAATCCTCAAGCCTGTTTACAACAGACGGCGTTGTCTAGAGAACACAGGTGATTACTCAAGCACAAGCAAGTTGAGATAAGAAAGCACTACAACCCCACACCCTCCTGGATTGCACCGCGCCAAACTGGTTCTCGCTGGTTTGATGAGGCATACAGCTCTGTGGGAAAGCCCTGTGAAGCTTAACCACATGCCTTTATGAGCAATTCTCTTCCCTTTATTCTTGCTTGCCTCATTCCCACTTATATAGTATGGAACAGACAAAAAATGTGTTCACTTTGTTCCTATTTTTTAATCATTTTTCAGTCACTGTGAAATAAATATATTTGCCTAACCTTAGCATGACCAACCATCCTCACAGATGTTCTTTGTCTGTGTCATATATACATCAAATCATCATTTTTCTGTCTGTGATTCAGTGAGTATATATAGTATATAAATCCAAAGATGCTAAGATGTGTGATGTTGCAAAAACACAAAAGTCTTGAATCATGAAATCAGGCAAACATAATTTAATATCTCCTCAGATTAAAGGTCAACACAGTCGTATCTTTCAGGAACAACACATTCATAAAAAAATAAGAAAGAAATCCAAACATTAAAAAGCAACACTTACAAATAGAAAATTGACCATAGTTATAGCAAATCAATCTGCTATAACTACAATTATTGTCAACTGTGAAGTAAGCAATCGTATCAATGTCAAAATTTCAAACATTTTTGCAACATAGAAAAACCATTATTAAAAATTACACAAGAACATCAACCTTTGAATCTCACCATCATTACATGACATGTTTTGACATTTCTGATAACAGCACTTGAGTGTGCAGATAAACATGATCAAGCAGTGAGACAAGGCCTGTGTGCAAGACAAGCATTTGTGTTTAAGTTCTTCTGTATTGTAAAGTCACATTAAAGAGCTCTGCCACAAACAGCAGTAATGTACAAGATGTACAAAATGTGGCTCCACGGTCAAGTGAGGGACTTCGCAGTGAATTCGAGTCCCAGGTTGATAAAGTTCTTGTCCATATTCTGATGGACTTGAGATAAGGCTCTCCGCTGATACACTGATCGTTGCTGTGAGGCGACAGTCGCCGCAGTGCCCTCCCTGCGGTCCGGCTGCATGTTCTGCGCCCAAAGCTGCCTCAAGTTGCGGCAGATGAACCGCACATACACGGCGATAGCTCAGTCATGTCAGGATTGTTTTCACATTTGGTGCGACGATTCACAGTCAACGCAGTTTAAGCAGCTGCCGCACCATCCCAGCGATCTGCAGGAACTTATCCTTTTTTCGCTGCTTCAGAGCCATCAGAGCCCGGGACGTCTCCTCCGGGTCCTGGGTGAAGGAGAAGATACTCCTAACCCTCTCCTCCGCTTTCATGTCGCCCGTTTTCTGGAAGAGCCTCATGAGTGCGTCCTGGTTGACGTTGTCGAAAATGTTGGCCACTGCTTTCTTTCGGTGAGCCGTGTCGAACTTGCTGCCGTGGACACACGGGCTGACGCGGCGGCAGTCACTTGATGTATATGTCGACATCTTGTTCCTGTTGTACTTTTGAACGTCCTTGCTCTTGAACAATGGCCTTCCTCGTCGATGGAGATGCCTAGTACCGTTCACCGAGGTCGTTCCGCCACAGTGTCTCCAGCTCAAGAGCTTGGGCGAGTAACACAACAACGCCTGAGCTGCGAGTATTTATAGAGGCTCTCCGTGGAGCGGTGCGCACTTACAAAGGGACGCACAAAGCCGTACAGCAGCAGAGGCGCCGCCCCTCTCAGTGGAGACTCCGGTGCGTCCCCTCAAATTCTTAGACAAAAGCTCGAACCACCAGGCGCCTGGTGTGGTGTGTTTCAGTGGCAGGGAGGCCGAGCAGGGGTCGTAACACTCATTTCCTAAGCGCTTGCTACACAAAACTTGAGCTTTAACCTCCAGTATTAAGCCATACAAAGTGCCCACATTTGTTTACTACGGAAGCCCGTAGCTGTCAAGCTGAAATATACATACGGATACGAACATACAGATCATACACTTTAACGTTACAACCTATATTGCTTCAGACAATAATTCTGAAGCTTTTATTACTATGAGCAATAAAGTTAAGTGTTAGAATGATAAAGTAGTTACAATATTATGTTATTGTAGGGGAGAGTGGGGTAAGTTGAGCCACTCCCTGTTGCTTGGAAATGGTCAAAGAAATTGATCATGTGAGCAAATATTTAGGAGATGGGCATCAACTCATGAAGTCTGTGAAGGTTAGAAGCACATGGGTGAAGGGGTTAGATATTTATTTCCAAAAAAAACCAACCAAACAAACAAACAAACAAAAACATTTTTCACCCTTGAAAGTGAATTTAGTTTGTCATAAGTTTCATTAGAATTGTGTTCAGACCAAAAAAGATCATTTTAAATTTGCTTTATACATCAATTGTGGTGTCTATGAGCTACAACATGAGGTCAAAAACATAAAAGTCCACCATTTTAGCTTAGAGGACAAATAAAATCATAATAGTAGTTCCAAGTAAAGGAGTCTGATGAGAGGATCAGAGTTTCAGTTCAGATTGTTGAAATGTGTTATTTTTCTTTCCAAAAATACAGCTGTGAATGTTCTGAATCACTCAAAGACATTCTCATGTTAAAATGGCTTTTTACAAAATAGCTTTCTAGCAGTTATATGCAATAATGATAAAAAGAATTATTGTACCGGTTGAATAGCGTATAATGAATAAAGTTAGAGACAAAATTATGATTGCCTTGATGTAGTGATCTGAAATATGAAAAATGGCTCATCTTACTCCACTCTCCCCTAAGTATAAAGGCATTTTCAACCAAATGTGACAACATATAGGTGATTGTGGCTCATTTACAGGATTTGCTTATATTAAGATCATGCATCGGTTAAATTTACAATTACAAGTTGCTTAATTATGCATCTAAGACCTTCAAAAGCAAATCAGACCAGCAATGAGACAACAAACCACTTCTTTATAGCCACATTAGTGTTTGTAATTGCTGCTAATCTTCTCTTATGCTAGTGAGACACCCACCCTGCTATGTACAGTATAATCAACTGTCACCCCACCCAAACACACACGCGCACACACAGACATTAGACATTCATATGATCCATTTTCTTGATCTTTAATAAAAATCAATTTGCCGGAAATTTTGGGGTTTTTATTCATGTTATTGACCTGTTTGCATCAGATGTTTTGTGCATTTAGTGATAGCACTGTTTCAACTGAGCAGTGAAACAAAACACTAACACAACACTTCTGCATCTTCAATGAGAAAAAGGTTTCTGGATGATTAACAGACTTTCCTGATAACAATATTATGATAAATTACCCAATTGTATCATAGACACTAATGAATGTTTTAATCTCGTTTTCACCTCAACTTCAGACAATAATGCATCTTTTTAAAGGTAAGTATTCGTAGTACAAAGATGCAGCCCAGCTAACTAATGAAGTTCACAAGCTGGACAGAGAATGTAGGAAAGTGTAAAGGAGACGAACAGAACTAGTGCAGTTAGTTAAATGCTGACCGAGCTAACAGAAAATATTGGTGACCGAAGAAACACAAATTAGACAATCTTTACTTTCTCTCTCTTAACTGTATCATAATCTGTTTTACTCACACGGGACAACATTTAGGTTTGAGGTAATAAATTAAAAAGCACTGGGTAAAAATATAACTACAAGCCAAACAGGGCTGAAATGCTGGTGCTAGGTTTATTTATTATTCTGAATATTATAATCAGTGAATATTATGATTAGCTAATTGTACGATGAATATCACTAAAACAATAATTTTCAAGAAAATTACTACCATAAACACTGATGCAAAATTAATATATTGTATTTATACTATTACTATTTCTGATATAACTTTTAGTGTGTCTTTTTGGTATGCACTAAAAATATAACTGTACATTTATTTTAATATCAACCCTGATAGCCCATAAAGTTACAGGACATACTACACTTTTCTAATACTCTATGAAGAGTGAGGTCATAAATATGAATAAATTGACCTTTTTTAACAGACATGACATCATCAACAACACTTTTCATTGATGCTGTCACTTTCTCTGACATTAATCTGTACCATTGTCTCAGGGTAATATTATGGTGCCTATTTCTATACTACAGGGCCTTGATTCATCAATTTGTGTAGTCAGTAAAAACTTGCAATAAGACTGTTAGGATTGTAATTTATATGCCACTTTGTAGGTCTTCCTCTCTATGTTCTGTTTCGTCCTTTTCAGTACACAAAAGTGGGCAGACAACAGCGGGAAAAGGGAAGTTATTATCAATTTCCGTTCTGTTTGGGTAGCTCATTTTTCTGAGGTCTGGGACAGATGTATGACAACTTCCTAGAGAGGATCATGAGGAGGAGTTGTTAAGTTAGACAAAAGTTTTTCAGGAAGGGAAGTCTATGCAAATAGCTCTGGCGTTTGCAGTGACGCGCGTGGGGGGAAGGCCAAAGGCCAGAGCAGCCTGGGGGAGGAAAGAGGGAATGGTGGGGACGGGAACCCTTCAACTGTTCTTTGGGTTTGGAAAAACACTTTAAATTTGCCTTAAAGAATTGTTATCATTGTTTTAATATATATATTTTTTTTCATTCTGAGTCAGACCTGATAATCCAAGGGCTGTGGTCTGTAACATGGCAGACATGACGGGGAGTGTGGCTGGTGGTGGGCAGGCACTGTGGACTGTCTTATTAAACAATCAAGGCTTTAACGCTTTGGTAAAAGGGACTTAAATTCTGACATGTACAATCAATTTAAATACAGGTAGAAATCCTAAGGGATTTAGATTTAAATGCTTAGATTTGTTCCGCAAACACACCTCAGAGTTCTGTCACACCAGTCAAAATCCTTCAGCACAGTCTCAAGTTACAAACTGAATATTGATAAAAGTGAGTATCTCCTCTTCAGTCAGTTAACTACAGAGATCCCATCAACATCAATACCATTTGAGTTATTAAACTCTGGGTTTATATTTCCAGGTTCAAATATTTGGGAATTCAATTCACATGACCTATCTGCATCTTACAGAAAAAAAATGGACCACCCTTAGAGAATGAGTCAAAGCTGATGTACTTGAGTGGGGTTGTTTTCCACTTTCACTCATGGGGACAGACTGTACAAATAGTAAAGATGAACTTATTACCAAAATACCTATGCCAGTTTTCTTACCAAATTTTGATGTTTTTGTAGCATGATAGCATGTTCCTCATTCATTTGGGAAGGTAAACATGTAAGAGTGAGTGAAATGTTGTTACAAAGGAAACGATCTGAAGGTGGACTTGGATTACCTCGTCTCACAGGTTTTGGGCATTGGGCAGCTAATATTCACAAGTTCGTGCTCTGGTTCACTTCACTCCACAGTGGTAGGTGTCAAATTGAATTATTGATGTCCTTGGCATGTAAGTCTTGGCGTGTAGTACCTTACCTCATTCTTCTCTATTTCCACAAATGCCTTACTCCATTGGAGTAGATCTCATGTACATGTTGCTATGGTCTTTAACTCCATGTAGTTATCTGTGTATGAAAAAAATCAGAGCATACTGGGGAAAGGAAATCCAAACCCATTTTTTCAACGAATTTTAGCCAGTGCTTCGAGAGTTGTAAATTCTTCCTTAAGCTCTGCCAAACTTAGCCTCATACAGTTAGAAGTGGTTCACTGACTGAATGTAATTGATTTAGCTGTTTATCTTTCATTCTGTTCTAGTCTTCAGGTGTTATTTCAAGTTGTTTTCTCTTACATTTAGGAGATGACCAAGACTCTTAGGACACAAATGTACAGTTGTCAGAGGGATATTTCTAACCGGATAAAAATGGAACTACAAATGGGTAAACATTGGCTGTATGCTGCCAGTAGGTGGTGGTGTGCCCTTTGAAAGAAATCCAAATCTGGATGTGTCCTGACCCGGACTCTCAAGCACATTTAATCTACTTCAGATATGTTGATGTACATTTGAGTTTTAACAGTTTGATTGGTTATAGTTAGACATGATGCTAAACACAAAAGCCATCAAACTTTTGTTCATTTGAGCAGGTCTAGACCATACACACATTATCTACCAGGGGCTTACATCAAGATAGGATATGACTGCTTTCAATCTTACAGACTAAGAGTCAATTTTCATCTATCATGAAGAGAGCACTCGACAGTGGCAAGAAAAAAAAAATCATTTTATGGACAAACACCTTAAGCCGATCCAGACACTTGTTGAATGGCATCTGTAACCACCAGGTACACTTGGAGTGAAGAGATCAGAAATGTATTTTGGTGCAAGACCAGAGCATGCTTTAAACATCACCAATGAAATCTTGAAATTAATTCTAAAACGTACTGGGAACCAAGGGGGGGAAACTAAAATCGGAGTTATATGATCTCTTTTTGGTGCTAGTATGGAGGCGAGCTGCTGCATTTTGGACCAGCTGTAACTTGTGCAAACTCTGATTGGATCAGACATGTACTAAGAGCTGCTGTGGTCCAAACACAGAGAGATAAAAGCAACAATGACAATCTCAAGATTTTTTTCTGGATAAAAACAACCTACATTTGGTGAGCCTCCTCAGCTGCATAAAACATTGCACAACTAGGTTGACGGACTGAAGTTTGCATCAAAAATCACGCCTTGATCCTGCATGGGTGGAGTCAGAATGATAACGGCAAAAGTATGTGCACTATTTATAAGTCACCAATTCCCATACAGTGACAAACGGATTAATCGATGTAGCCGATTGGAGTTTTTGTTCTGTCACACCAATCAAGATCTTGAAATCCTTCAGCACAGTCTCAGGTTAATTATCTGTAGTATGTCTAGGCACATTGTACACATATGTATCTTAATAAAGCACTGAAAGTACATTTTTCAGGCTGGTATCTTCAATTCAAGTAAATGCAATGACAATGTGCAAATGTATACTAAAACATACTCTTTTGAGTTTAATTTCATTATTAATGTGAGTAAGAACGAAAAAAATATGCCAGACTCCTTTCAGTGGACTGATTGGTTTGATTGATAAAGATATTGTTATTTGCAATGTGGAAAATAATGAACTCATTACTCACGAGTCTCTGGGACAGCAAAGAACTCGTGATTAAGTTGATGTTGTGAGTTCGCTCTATGTTGTGAAAGCAGGACTGCCCTAAGGTGTGTGTAAGCTAAGGGTCAAAGGAAGTTTCAATTCGAACAGGTATGATTCATCCTGTATGTGTGTCCTAGTTTTTATATGAGTCAGGTGAAAACTTGTGCTGTCACTATTGCTGAAACATGTTTGTCTGAAAAAACAATTAATCATCAAACTGGGTTATGTAAAAAGGTTGTGTTTGTCCAGAAGAACACCTAAGAAGAGCTTCATCTAAAACTTACATCAACATGAAATATATCTTTGGGGATGCTGGGATAACTCTCATTTATGATCCAGAGTAAATATTATAATTGATGTAGTAACCAGTCAAAAACGCATTGGTAGAGAGTGTGATGGGTGCAACCAGAGCAAATCCTCATTATCCTCTTACACACCGCCGTTCTGCAACAATTCATCCAAGTGACTTATCCAACTCGCAACTTGTCATGCTTTCAGTGTGATTCATCAGATTATCCAAAACACGGCTGAGTTGCGCAATTAAAAGTACAGCTGTTGATGCGGGGGGGGCAACAGTCTTAGATTTGGAGTTCTGGGTACCCAAAGTTGCTCAGAGTTTCTGAGCGGAAATTCCAACTTCAGGGTGACATAACAGATGAGCATCTAAGAGTCTCCAACTGCCAAGATCAAATGGTACATGCCAATATTTCACAAGAGGGCAGTCTCACAGTCAACACAATGAAAAGCAAAAATTACTGCAACTTGTCTGGCACTGTTGTTTATTTTGAGTTGTTGAAGCAAGTTATGGCCCATAAGCACTCCCAGATTGGCAGCAATAGGAAAGATCGTGTTGCCTTTCTGTGCCTGCGCTTGTGCAAATCTCATTTTATGGGTTTGAAGCCGTCCTGATACAGAGCACTCGCAGTAGTCAAACAAACTGGACAAACTGGAGTTGCTTGGAAAAAAATACAAGTTTTTTTTTTTTGATGTGAGAGTGCCCTGAAATCAATATTGATGCTTTGGTGTGGTATACAAAAGCAAGGACAACCATTAGCAACAAGACTAAATGTGTGAACAAGGCCCACAGCCAGGATGTCATTTTTGTACATTTTTATAGCAAAGGCACACTCTTATGTTTGGTGAAGTTCTGGGTGTTCACTATGCAGACCGTTCAATATTTCTTAGTGTATTACTTGATTAATCTACAGAGTAATTGATAGAATACATGATTACAATTGAAGCATCAAACACAAAGATGCAAGACGTCTGAACAAACTGGTGAAAAAGGCTGGCTCTGTGGTTGGATTCAAGCTGGACTCAGTGGAGGATGTGGTGGAGAGATCTACACTGAGGAAGGTGGAGACTATTCTCAAGAACACTTCACAACACCTTGATGGACCAAAGGGCCAATGGTGGCGGACGGCTCCTCTCTCTTCGCTGCAGGACAGAAACATTCAGAAGATCTCTTGTACCCACAGCCATCAGACTTTACAACTCTTCTGTAAATAGTAGATGACTGTTAGACTAATGAAGTTCTTCTTATTCTTATTCTTACTAAAATGAACTTTTACTGCTGGCTTAGGGTATGGTGGTTATGATCAACACTACACTGTTGAACATGATATCTTAGTATCACTGCAAAATCAAGGAACTGACTTATGGTATGTGCTGGTGTCGGCTCTCAAAGCGGCATGTCAGGACAGGCCTGAAAATAACAACCAACTTCTTCAAATGAAGCTGACTATCAAACAAACTTATTGTAGAAAGACTCTTTTTTTAGAGAGACCCATTGTCTTCGACAAACATGCAAAACCATTTGTCTGAAGATTCTGAGTTATGGTTAGAGTGACGTGAGGTCATCTCAGTCACAGTGGGACAATTGTTCATGAGGGTCGTGTCCTCAGTAGTGTGTTTTAATGATATGAGTGAGCCTTGTAAAACATTTTTAACAAAAGTTGGTCTTGTTGTATTGTTTTACATAACCTGACAGTAAGTTTTACTTGTTTTAATGCTTTTTGAAGATTTTACATGAGATGCTGTCTTTGCCCTGGTTTTCCACTCATCGGTTCCCAAAGTGGATAATTTTAAATTTCCAATTACTATCATACTGAAAATGCTGAATTTGTATTTCTAATACTCCTCTGGCCAAATCATTGCCAAACCCTCAAGACACCGAATATAAAAGTTGGAGTGTTAAATAATCCAAAGAGGAACTGATTTAAACTTTCACAAATTTTAGTTACTCTTGAGATTTCAAAAGGAAGCCTTGTTCTTTCATATGTCTGTGTCCCACAGTGTTTAAGTCCACAATGCCCAGCCCACTTAACCGCACACACTGATATTTGTCCTTAGTTGTCCTGATTTGCCGCTGAGTGAGCATACACATTGGCCTTATTGTCTTCTGACACTTTGTCTTTGCTGAGACATCAAGTATGTGGTCAGTGGGTCAGTGATAGACGGGAAGGAGACGATAGTGCCGTTTCTAGATTTAAATCCGGTGTCTTCATCATAGGTTTTGAAACTTAATGATGAAGTCAGTATAGTGTGACAAGTGGTATTGGAAAGAACCAAATGGCTCATATGCAGTCAGCTGCACCACAAGATGAGTCAATCTGCTGATTTTTGGCTTGTATGGGAAAAAAAGGAAGCAGCTAATATTTCCATCTTTTAAAAGGTATGAAATCGACCGCCAGAAGTTTTCTGTGATGTCTTCTTTTATTATTATTTTTAAAAAGTAGCTACTGTCAGAAGTTTCTGTCATGTTATGGCTTTGTGACTGCTGACAGGTAGAGAAGAATGTCATGTGGTGTTTTACTCTGTGGTATTCTCCACAGAGCATTCTGCAAGCAGGGGGTGTGTTCAGACCTGTTGAATCAATGAGGAAGTAGACGGGGCAAGTCCAAGAAGGCTGACAAAGGTGTGGCTTTGCCAACACAGAAATATGGCGTGGAGGTAGACAGAATAAAGCTTGGACACAACGCTGATCTGCTCTATTAAAGGGACTGCCTGCACTTGGACAATGGAACAAACAATACTTTTGTTGGTCCTTATCTTGGATGCATCACTCACGCTCACAGGTAATTCACTGAAATTTTTTACCACCTGTAAGCATGTTGACCTAAAATGACATGACTTAAGACTTAATGCAAACAACTTGAATGACAGTTTGTTATTACTGAACCTAAGGCTAAAACCTCACCCGAACTGAAACTGATCTTAAAATGGAACCCGAAACTAAAACTTATATTGGGAGTTTTTTGATGCTTGTGAAAGAGATGATGACTTTTTATGATATACTAACACACATAAGACTATTAATCAACAAGAGGTTGAGGTTGGGGGTAGGTGCCAGTTTGTTACCTTTCAGAGTGGGTTCAAAACTTTCCTTTTTGATAATACTTGTAGTTAGAGCTGGTTCAGGCTCAGCCCAGTTGTAGGTTATGCTGCTACAGGTTTAGACTGCAGAGGGACTGGCACACTGACCCATATCCCATTGGAGTCACTAACCAGTTTTCTGGGGGTCCCTGTGCTCCATCATGTTGAATACTCTGCTTAAAGTATATGCATCAGTCTCTACTCTGTCCATCTCTCTCTTGTCAGAAATCGACTTTTGACTCATCTTAAATCGGCTTCATATAACTCTTTAAGTCTGACATTAACTGGGACAGAACTCTGAGTTCATGAGGATTGTACTGATCAACTGCCTAGATCGCGAGCTATCAGGGAAACAAAACTTGACACTTGACACACTCACCTCACCTCCCCCCTCACCTCACCTCATGTTACCTCCTGGCAGTCAAAGTTGTCACGTCTCAGCAAGATCCCCGAGCTGAAGCAAAGAATTTCAGGTTCTACAGGAAGCACCTGAACACGACCCTCTTCGACCCTGCAACCTCCATTGAGTGAGTTGGAAGGCACGGCCCCTTCATTGCCACGCCAACCCAAATGAGGGGGCTGATGGGTCACACAACAGCTGTCATTGTCCTCGTAACCCGGTTGCTTTCAGTTCACACCTGACCCAGTCACCGGAGGTCCAGTGGAAAGCTCCGGATCGGTAAAGAGGCTGTTATGAGGATGGGCTTGGAGGTGTCTCACATTCAGGGGCAGCTGAATGTCCCTTAGCCAGGAATGGAGCCAGCTCTCCCAGCTGCACTAAACAAAGTTGGCATCTCTGACCCCATCTCCACCTGTGGCAGAGACATAGGATAGTTTAGCAGGCGGCTGAACACCTGGCTGTCTAATGCCTTTGGTTCTCACAGTTTAGGATTCATGCACTTTTAATGTCTTCTGGGACAGGAGACATCTGTTTGGGGCAGACGGGCTTCAATTTAACAGATAGGGCCAACCATGTCCCGCCACACTCACATCACATGTGCCCACGTTGACTCTCTTGTTACCGATTGATGAACAATTCCACATGCTCTAATGGACTAGGACCACTCGATTTAGGCTATTTGACAGCTTCCCATTCCCAACATTAGGCTATTTACTGATTATCATTTAACTGATTGATTGAGTGTGATTTAAATCAATTAACATTGATAAAACTTACCATAATGTCCAAATGTTTTCCAACAATGAGAGGATGTTTTGTCTCGTCTGTGTCTCTACAGGAAGCCACGGTCACACTTTTGAAGAAGGGACACACTGGGAAGTGGTTCGACCTGTAAAAATACACTCAATAAGGAAAAGACATATAGAGGTAGGATTTTTCTGTCAGTGTTGTTCTCCGTCTTCTGTAAAATAAAGTTTTATTGTATAGAGTAATGGAAATACATTTTATCTTTTTTGGCAGGGGCACAGGCCTCAAACTGTAAATTATGCAATCACTCTAGGAGGAAGAGCGATTGAAATGCAACTTGAAAAAAATAAGTAAGTTTATACTTTCATTGAGTCATGCTCTTGTCATGAGGCAAAAATGCTGACTACTTGTTTTTGGTTCACTTTGTCATGATGTTGAAAATATGTTTTAAAAATGATGATGTCAACTTGTAGAATACAAGTTGTATTTACACTGTCTTTTCTCAGATGTAAGTTTTTATGTCTTCCTTATACATGTTATTATTTAACCTTTATTTTACCAGGAGAAAAAAAACTCATTATTGAGATTAAAAAGCTATTTGTCAAGAGTGTGCTGGCCAAGATAAGCAACGGCACATTATACAAATTTTCAGATAAAGAGCAGCCATTCAACATACTAAAGAGAACATGTTTACAACAAATATGTCTAACAAAGGAGGTGTGTGACAAAACACACATTGTGGAAATTCAAATTTTGTTATCATCTGTTGTCGTCATCAGTGAATTATTAACCAAAGAGTACACTGAGACTCACTATCAAGATGATGGAACTCGGGTCACCACATCGCCGACTGACATCGTAAGTGTTGTAGTTCTGTTTCAGCTGTGTTATCTGTTTTTGTTCCTCATCTGTGACGTCAATTGTATGCAATTATCTCCAACACATTTTTCAAGATCCTCTGAAATATTTTGTAAATTATACAACTCTCCTCTTGGAAAAGTAAAAAAAAATGAATAAATTATTGGAATTTAATTTAATTTGTAAAAAAGGAAAAACCCAGTTTCTTCTTTCATGATGAAGTGAATATATTTGTGGCTTTTTCAGGATCACTGCTATTATCATGGGAAACTTTTGCATGACAGTGAATCATCTGTTAGCATCAGCACTTGTAATGGACTCAAGTGAGTACTCAAACCTTTAAACTGTCTTACTTCTGTCTATACACACAGTATATACACTGTATAATGACGGCTGAATGACTATGGGTGATTAATGGGCGATGAACAGAGCTTTTTTGCTGTAAACACTGTCCTTCTGCATTTATGCTGAGCAACTCCAAAGCAATGTCTGTTCAATGAAGCACTAACTGGGATATTGATTTAGGGGTTACTTCAGAACAGCTGAGCAGAGGTACCTGATTGAGCCTCTCACTGGAACTGATGAGGGAGATCATGCCGTGACAACACTGAACACCACGGAAGCAACACCGGCAGTGTGTGGAGTTACCAACACCAGCTGGAACACCGACTTCGAAGTCCTAACAAGCCGCAGTCGATCCAGATCAGGGGTAACACTATGCTCTCAGAGCATCTGGCATTTTTCAGGATAATAGATGTCCTATGTCAATGGGAGACGACTAAAAGAGAAAATGACAATTTATCCTATAACTGACATAGATGGTCCATTGATGACTTTTTTAATTTTATTTTAGGCCAATGAACAAAATCAGAAACTTTCAAACTAATTTGTTCTTTTGTATTTCAGAGTTTATCCTTGGTTCAGCAAAAGAAATACGTTGAGCTTTTCCTTGTAGCTGACAACCGCGCGGTAAGACATAAACAATGGCATACCTGTAAAAAAAAACACAAAATGAATCAGGGTTTATTGTCCTGGCTGCTCTTAAATTTTGTTAAGTGATATAAAAAAAACTTCCTGTGCTTTTTAGAAGTTACATTATTCTAAGTGTATCATCATAAACCTGGGACTGAAAATGTTTTTGTGTCTGATCATGATATCATGCTGTTTTAGTTTTTGAAGGCGAAGCGAGATCAGGCAGCGCTGAGAAGGAAGATGTTTGAAATGGTCAACTTTGTAAATCTGGTAAGTCTGTATTTTGGTTATTTGAGAGGTTTGCAAGTGCAGTACGATGTGTCATGTTCTGTTTCTGATGATGCTGGTGTTGCTTGCAGGCATACAAGCCCCTAAATACCTTTGTTGCCCTGGTGGGATTGGAGATCTGGTCAAAAAAGGACTTCATTTCTGTGACCCCCCCAGCTGGCGCTAACCTGGATGCTTTCAAAAACTGGAGAAAATCTGACCTTAACAGCAGACAAAAACATGATGTGGCCCATCTGATCAGGTTTGAACACTTTAAAAAAGTAAATATGATTAAATTAAATTCAAATGGTAAATTCAATGGCCTTGATATGCAGCTCTCTGTTCACTGTCTTTATTGGGATTGTTGGCATGTTGTCAGTTCTCACAATTGACCTGCCAGCCAATGCTATAAAATCCATCCATCCATCCATCCATCCATCCATCCATCCTTTCATCCTTTCATCCATCCATCCATCCATCCATCCATCCATCCATCCATCCATCCATCCAACCAACCAATCAACCAACCCTGGTCTTTCAATGTTTTCACCTTTAGCCAAATATCACTGATGGCAATTTTTTTTCAGCTGGCCTTAAATCCCCCTCAATTCCAGAAATTTGAAAATAAAACCCCCCTCCATATAGATCAGGACAAAAATGGTAATGATAAAAAAAAAAAACTCCAGGGATATCAGTAGGTATCCGAACAGGACATTGAGCTTTGTACCAGTTTATGAGTTGGAATTTGAATGTGTTTAATGTTTTCATTATATGACTTCATGTCTTTCAGCGGTATCGACTTTGAGGGAGCAACTGTGGGGCTGGCTTATATTGGGACTCTTTGCTCAAGTCACTCTGTTGGAGTTGTACAGGTAAGGTGTTTTTTTGTAGGACCAACAGATTGTGCCACATATGAGATCTATTAGCACCATCAAATGTCTTAAGCCACTGGCACACAACATGGATCCTGGCATCACTTTTTTCTATGAGGGATCCGGGGTGGGGATGGTTGGTGGGTGGAGGCTCATCTTTCTAGAATACATGAGGTACAGCTGCACATTTCACATAGTTTATTGACAGATTTATCACACTACATCTACCTTTCTAAATTTAGCAAGAAAATAAGGAAATTTGTGTTTGGTTGATCACTTCTTAGTTGTAAAAATGCTTCGTGTACTGTTGGAAAGCCTGTTTATTTCCATCTTTTATGGTTCCACATTTGTAAGGAACACACATTTGCAAATTTCCCCACTATGGGATGAATTGAGGTTTATCTTATCTTTGTGGGATGAGCAGCAGAGCGGAGTTTGTGGGTTGCGCCCACGATAAACCTGCCAAATCTTCTCACATTCTGCCACTGACTCTTGTTTGGTGGATTGGATGACTGAAATCTGTCATAGTATGTCATAAAATCCAGATTTCTTCAGTTCCTTTGTCATCCTCCAGAGTCAGTGATGGATCAGTTTTTTTATATCAACAAAACAAGGGCAAATATACAGCTACATCCAGACACAGTCTAAAGACTCTGAGAGCCTTTAGACAAGACCTTAAGGTTTTTTGACAGTGAATGATGGAAGTAAATACCAGGATGTGTTCATACTTTCCCCCAATAAAGTTTATAACAGCAATATTTGTTTTTCACATCATACATCCCTATCTGTAAAATTGAAAGGACTCGCTCAGTGCAGTACATTGTAAATTTATTTATTTATTTTTCTACTTTGTTTATGAATGTTCGGCTGTCCATCTCAATGTGCAGAAGTATTTGAATTTTCCATCTCAGTGATATTCCCTGGTAGGTGAAACCACAACTACCTTTTATAGCAGTGTTTCACATTTTGTAGTGCCACCGCTTTAGGGAAGGATGTCTAGACTACAAAATGAGAATGGAGGAACTAAAACTGTGATATTTGCAATCAGCTGGTTCACACACTGTTGCCTGTTGCAGACCTTCTCTCAAGAAAAAGGAAGTGATTATTTGTGAGTCAAATTGAAAGAGTTGTCTTGGTATTTTTTCACAGGATCATAGTGACCGGGCAATTGCTGTGGGAGCAACTCTGGCTCATGAGATGGGCCATAACCTTGGAATGGACCATGACGACTCCAGCTCCTGTAGTTGTTCTGGGGATAGCTGCATTATGGCCGCAGCACTTAGGTAAGAAATAGTGTTAAGAAGCATCAGTAAGAAATGTTAAAAAACCTCCAACACAAAATGCAACCATGAAAGTACATCAGACGTAAAAATCCCAATTGCTATAGAACAAAATTTTAAAGTCAGCATCTATGATGTTAGGAGGTTGTGTTAGTGCCAATGACATGGGCAACTTGCAAATCTGTGGAGGCTCCATTAATGCTGAAAGGTACATACAGGTTTTTGAGAAACATACAGAATGCTGCCATCAAAGCCACGTCTTCTTCATGGCTGTCACTAGTTTTTTCAGCAAGACAATGCAAAGCCACATTCTGCACGTGTTACAACAGTGTGGCTTCATGGTGAAAGAGTGCAGGTACTAGACTGGCCAGTTGAGACGTGTCTCCCATTGAAAATGTGTGACGCGTTATGAAGCGCAAAAAAAAGGGAGACCCCGGACTGTTGAGCAACTGGAGTCGTTCATTAAGCAAGAATGGAAATCATTCCACCTCCAGAGCTTCAACAATTAGTGTCTTCAGTTCACAAATGCTTATTAAGTGTTGTTAAAAGGAAAGGTGATGAACATGCTCCTGTCTCTGCCTTTTTGAGTGTTGAGTGAATATTTGAAACAAGAAAAAAAGAGTTTGAACGTGAAATACCTTGCCTTTACAGTGAATACAATTAAATAAAAAAGGATTTGCAAATCATTGTATTCTATTTTTGTTCCTGTTTTACACAACATCCCAACATCATTGGAATTGGGATTTGTAATTATATTCGAAAGAAATTCATAATGAAGATGTTAGTGCTTGCAGTGATTATACTTTTTCATGGAGAAGATGTGGTTTCTGAATTTATTAAAACTTCATTTTCTAAAAACGATATGGCTTCAAAGTTAACAGGATTTTTCTTTCCACAGCTGGAATGTTCCTCGGTCTTTCAGTGGTTGCAGTAGCAGCAACTATGAAAAATATCTGTTAAGGTCCAACCCCACCTGCCTGCTCAACAAACCTGAATACGCCAGTCTTGCGTCTCCTGCAGTCTGTGGAAATGGTTTCTTGGAGACAGGAGAGCAGTGTGACTGTGGCACCGTTGAGGTAACTGCGCCGCGTATCATTGGAACATAAAAATTGATTCTTTCCTGTTAATAAATAACTGTATGATGGAGTAATCAATGTACTCTTTCGCCACCCTGTGTTGTTACAGTTAATAGGTCAAAATATGGGGCGCTAAAACAGCTAAGCTACCAACACCCCACTCTGCACCCTGTTAAATGCTGCCACTAAAGAGTGACTGAGTTTATATACATAATTACACCGGTTTTCTCTTGATATATTTTGACAAAGATAAAAACAAATCTGCATTTTAGTCTGTTCATTAAATTGCTTTAGACTAGACTTCTGGGGCTCTCAGGGATTGGACACTGTGTATGAGTGTTTGACGATGAGTGTGTAGCCTTCAGGCCAGAGGAAGGATGAATGAGCCTACTTCTGGATTGCCTAAAAAAGGACACAAAAGCTCACTCAAATAACAAAAGCAGGAAAAAAACAACAACTAAGAAATTTACATGAAACAGTCAACTCCAGGAACATTCTTAAGGTTAATGAAGAGAAGTCTGAATCATAAAGTAATCAGTGTTGTGTTTTCTTGTAGGATTGCACTAACCCATGCTGCAATGCCACAACCTGCACCTTAAAGCCAGGTTCTCAGTGTGCTGAAGGAGAGTGTTGTGAAAACTGTAAGGTGAGTAAAAATAAATGGTCCGTAATGATGTGTATGCTTCAATCACCTATGCATATTTATTTCCATAACATCTTTGCTATCTTGGAAATTGTAGAGAAGAATACAACTTTTGATATAATCACAGCCATCATTCTGGGACCCAAGTATAACCTAAAGATGTGACTGTATTTACGTCCTTGAAATACTCTGAAAAAAGTGGGATTATCATATATGGGATATTGTAAAAATTATGTAATGTTGTTGGGTTTACATTACAAGTTGTCTTACAACAGAATAGAACATCATACATACTTACTTTAAAATCCACTCGCTTCCTAAGACCAGCAGCTATTGGATAATAAATGCTGTGTGTTTCTGAGACATCCAGGGGAACTTAATCCTCTCCTGACTCTCCTGATCCAGTCTCTCAAAAACAAAGTGAATCTGTGCTGATTTATCTATCTTTTTTTTATGGATTGTGCAGATCTTGCCCCGGTCAAAGGAGTGTCGCAGTAAGCATGATGAATGTGACCTGCCAGAGTACTGTGACGGGAAAAGGGCCACTTGTCCTGAGGATGTCTTTGTTGTGAATGGTCTTCCATGTGATGGAGGCCTGGGATACTGCTTCAATGGCCAGTGTCCACAGAGGCCAAACCAGTGCATTAAGATGTATGGATTTAGTAAGTGTCCTCTTGGTTTTTGGTGTGTTTTGTGTCCTTTCTCTCTACAAAATAAACCCAATCCTAAAATATCATTTGATCAGATGCTAAAGAGGGACCTTCAAACTGCTATAACCAGAATACCAGAGGGACCTACTATGCTTTCTGCAGACGCCCTTCAAAGAATCAGTATATCCCCTGTCAGAAGCAGTAAGTTGATTTGCAACATATACCACAGCACCAAGAAGCACCATGCAACGGACCTTTCTTGTCTGTGTAAATGTTTACATTGAAAGGACAATTTCGGAGGAAATAATTTAAAAAATATCTTTATTTTTGTAGAGATGTACTCTGTGGGAAGCTCTTCTGCACCAACGGGAAGGACAGCCCAAACTACGGTCGAATGGTTAGGTTTGGTAACTGCAAGGCATCTTTCTATGAGGATCACCTTGAAGACTATGGCCAGGTGGATGATGGGACTAAATGTGGAGATGGAAAGGTAATGGCCAGTGGTACCATTAAGGTTGGAGCTAGGGTTAGGGTTAGGTGTGGGGTTGGAGCTAGGGTTAGGGTTGGAGTTAGGGGTAGTGTTGGAGCTAGGGTTAGGGTTGGGCTTGGAGCTAGGATTTTTCTGAGTGCAATGAACCAACTCCCGAGTCTCTAGGATGTTCCTAAAAAAATTTGATTTTTTCCCATAGGAATGCATGGGTTAGGGTTAGGGTTAGGGTTGGAGCTAGGGTTAGGGTTAGGGTTAGGGTTGGAGTTAGGGTTAGTGTTGGAGCTAGGGTTAGGGTTGGGCTTGGAGCTAGGATTTTTCTGAGTGCAATGAACCAACTCCCGAGTCTCTAGGACGTTCCTAAAAAAATTTGATTTTTTCCCATAGGAATGCATGGGTTAGGGTTAGGGTTAGGGTTGGAGCTAGGGTTAGTGTTAGGGTTAGGGTTGGAGTTAGGGTTAGTGTTGGAGCTAGGGTTAGGGTTGGGCTTGGAGCTAGGATTTTTCTGAGTGCAATGAACCAACTCCCGAGTCTCTAGGACGTTCCTAAAAAAAATTGATTTTTTCCCATAGGAATGCATGGGTTAGGGTTAGGGTTAGGGTTGGAGCTAGGGTTAGGGTTAGGGTTAGGGTTGGAGTTAGGGTTAGTGTTGGAGCTAGGGTTAGGGTTGGGCTTGGAGCTAGGATTTTTCTGAGTGCAATGAACCAACTCCCGAGTCTCTAGGACGTTCCTAAAAAAATTTGATTTTTTTCCCATAGGAATGCATGGGTTAGGGTTAGGGTTAGGGTTGGAGCTAGGGTTAGGGTTAGGGTTAGGGTTGGAGTTAAGGTTAGTGTTGGAGCTAGGGTTAGGGTTGGGCTTGGAGCTAGCATTTTTCTGAGTGCAATGAACCAACTCCCGAGTCTCTAGGACGTTCCTAAAAAAAATTGATTTTTTCCCATAGGAATGCATGGGTTAGGGTTAGGGTTAGGGTTAGGGTTGGAGCTAGGGTTAGGGTTAGGGTTGGAGTTAGGGTTAGTGTTGGAGCTAGGGTTAGGGTTGGGCTTGGAGCTAGGATTTTTCTGAGTGCAATGAACCAACTGCCGAGTCTCTAGGATGTTCCTAAAAAAATTTGATTTTTTCCCATAGGAATGCATGGGTTAGGGTTAGGGTTAGGGTTGGAGCTAGGGTTAGGGTTAGGGTTAGGGTTGGAGTTAAGGTTAGTGTTGGAGCTAGGGTTAGGGTTGGGCTTGGAGCTAGGATTTTTCTGAGTGCAATGAACCAGCTCCCGAGTCTCTAGGACGTTCCTAAAAAAATTTGATTTTTTCCCATAGGAATGCATGGGTTAGGGTTAGGGTTAGGGTTAGGGTTGGAGCTAGGGTTAGGGTTAGGGTTAGGGTTGGAGTTAGGGTTAGTGTTGGAGCTAGGGTTAGGGTTGGGCTTGGAGCTAGGATTTTTCTGAGTGCAATGAACCAACTCCCGAGTCTCTAGGACGTTCCTAAAAAAATTTGATTTTTTTCCCATAGGAATGCATGGGTTAGGGTTAGGGTTGGAGCTAGGGTTAGTGTTAGGGTTAGGGTTGGAGTTAGGTTTAGTGTTGGAGCTAGGGTTAGGGTTGGGCTTGGAGCTAGGATTTTTCTGAGTGCAATGAACCAACTCCCGAGTCTCTAGGACGTTCCTAAAAAAATTTGATTTTTTCCCATAGGAATGCATGGGTTAGGGTTAGGGTTAGGGTTGGAGCTAGGGTTAGGGTTAGGGTTAGGGTTGGAGTTAAGGTTAGTGTTGGAGCTAGGGTTAGGGTTGGGCTTGGAGCTAGGATTTTTCTGAGTGCAATGAACCAACTCCCAAGTCTCTAGGACGTTCCTAAAAAAATTTGATTTTTTCCCATAGGAATGCATGGGTTAGGGTTAGGGTTAGGGTTAGGGTTGGAGCTAGGGTTAGGGTTAGGGTTAGGGTTGGAGTTAGGGTTAGTGTTGAGCTAGGGTTAGGGTTGGGCTTGGAGCTAGGATTTTTCTGAGTGCAATGAACCAACTCCCGAGTCTCTAGGACGTTCCTAAAAAAATTTGATTTTTTCCCATAGGAATGCATGGGTTAGGGTTAGGGTTAGGGTTGGAGCTAGGGTTAGGGTTAGGGTTAGGGTTAGGGTTGGAGTTAGGGTTAGTGTTGGAGCTAGGGTTAGGGTTGGGCTTGGAGCTAGGATTTTTCTGAGTGCAATGAACCAACTCCCGAGTCTCTAGGACGTTCCTAAAAAAAATTTGATTTTTTCCCATAGGAATGCATGGGTTAGGGTTAGGGTTAGGGTTGGAGCTAGGGTTAGGGTTAGGGTTAGGGTTAGGGTTGGAGTTAGGGTTAGTGTTGGAGCTAGGGTTAGGGTTGGGCTTGGAGCTAGGATTTTTCTGAGTGCAATGAACCAACTCCCGAGTCTCTAGGACGTTCCTAAAAAAATTGATATTTTCCCATAGGAATGCATGGGTTAGGGTTAGGGTTAGGGTTGGAGCTAGGGTTAGGGTTAGGGTAAGGGTTGGAGTTAAGGTTAGTGTTGGAGCTAGGGTTAGGGTTGGGCTTGGAGCTAGGATTTTTCTGAGTGCAATGAACCAACTCCCGAGTCTCTAGGACGTTCCTAAAAAAAATAGATTTTTTCCCATAGGAATGCATGGGTTAGGGTTAGGGTTAGGGTTGGAGCTAGGGTTAGGGTTAGGGTTAGGGTTGGAGTTAGGGTTAGTGTTGGAGCTAGGGTTAGGGTTGGGCTTGGAGCTAGGATTTTTCTGAGTGCAATGAACCAACTCCCGAGTCTCTAGGACGTTCCTAAAAAAATTTGATTTTTTCCCATAGGAATGCATGGGTTAGGGTTAGGGTTAGGGTTGGAGCTAGGGTTAGGGTTAGGGTTGGAGTTAAGGTTAGTGTTGGAGCTAGGGTTAGGGTTGGGCTTGGAGCTAGGATTTTTCTGAGTGCAATGAACCAACTCCCGAGTCTCTAGGACGTTCCTAAAAAAATTTGATTTTTTCCCATAGGAATGCATGGGTTAGGGTTAGGGTTAGGGTTAGGGTTGGAGCTAGGGTTAGGGTTAGGGTTAGGGTTGGAGTTAGGGTTAGTGTTGGAGCTAGGGTTAGGGTTGGGCTTGGAGCTAGGATTTTTCTGAGTGCAATGAACCAACTCCCGAGTCTCTAGGACGTTCCTAAAAAAATTTGATTTTTTCCCATAGGAATGCATGGGTTAGGGTTAGGGTTAGGGTTGGAGCTAGGGTTAGGGTTAGGGTTAGGGTTGGAGTTAGGGTTAGTGTTGGAGCTAGGGTTAGGGTTGGGCTTGGAGCTAGGATTTTTCTGAGTGCAATGAACCAACTCCCGAGTCTCTAGGACGTTCCTAAAAAAATTTGATTTTTTCCCATAGGAATGCATGGGTTAGGGTTAGGGTTAGGGTTGGAGCTAGGGTTAGGGTTAGGGTTAGGGTTGGAGTTAAGGTTAGTGTTGGAGCTAGGGTTAGGGTTGGGCTTGGAGCTAGGATTTTTCTGAGTGCAATGAACCAACTCCCGAGTCTCTAGGACGTTCCTAAAAAAATTTGATTTTTTCCCATAGGAATGCATGGGTTAGGGTTAGGGTTAGGGTTAGGGTTGGAGCTAGGGTTAGGGTTAGGGTTAGGGTTAGAGTTAGGGTTAGTGTTGGAGCTAGGGTTAGGGTTGGGCTTGGAGCTAGGATTTTTCTGAGTGCAATGAACCAACTCCCGAGTCTCTAGGACGTTCCTAAAAAATTTGATTTTTTCCCATAGGAATGCATGGGTTAGGGTTAGGGTAAGGGTTGGAGCTAGGGTTAGGGTTAGGGTTAGGGTTGGAGGAGTTAGGGTTAGTGTTGGAGCTAGGGTTAGGGTTGGGCTTGGAGCTAGGATTTTTCTGAGTGCAATGAACCAACTCCCGAGTCTCTAGGACGTTCCTAAAAAAATTTGATTTTTTCCCATAGGAATGCATGGGTTATGGTTAGGGTTAGGGTTGGAGCTAGGGTTAGTGTTAGGGTTAGGGTTAGAGTTAGGGTTAGTGTTGGAGCTAGGGTTAGGGTTGGGCTTGGAGCTAGGATTTTTCTGAGTGCAATGAACCAACTCCCGAGTCTCTTGGACGTTCCTAAAAAATTTGATTTTTTCCCATAGGAATGCATGGGAAGTGCCAACCCAATTTTTCACCTTCCAGAATTGTGTTAGGAGCACGTTTCAGGGCACGGGGAGTCTATAGAACCTAATTCTGGGGGAAGTTTTTTGAAAAGTTTACTTAGGGTTTGGGTTAGGGTTAGGGTTGGAGCTAGGGTTAGGGTTAGGGTTAAGGTTGGAGCTAGGGTTAGGGTTAGGGTTAGGGTTAGGATTAGGGTGGAGCTAGGGTTAGGGTTAGGGTTAGAGCTAGGGTTAGGGTTGGTGCTAGGGTTAGGGTTAGGGTTAGGGTTGGAGCCAGGGTTAGGGTTAGGGTTGGGCTTGGAGTTAGGGTTAGTGTTGGAGCTAGGGTTAGGGTTGGGCTTGGAGCTAGGATTTTTCTGAGTGCAATGAACCAACTCCCGAATCTCTAGGACGTTCCTAAAAAAATTTGATTTTTTCCCATAGGAATGCATGGGTTAGGGTTAGGGTTGGAGCTAGGGTTAGGGTTAGGGTTGGGGTTGGAGTTAAGGTTAGTGTTGGAGCTAGGGTTAGGGTTGGGCTTGGAGCTAGGATTTTTCTGAGTGCAATGAACCAACTCCCGAGTCTCTAGGACGTTCCTAAAAAAATTTGATTTTTTCCCATAGGAATGCATGGGTTAGGGTTAGGGTTAGGGTTAGGGTTAGGGTTAGGGTTGGAGCTAGGGTTAGGGTTAGGGTTAGGGTTGGAGTTAGGGTTAGTGTTGGAGCTAGGGTTAGGGTTGGGCTTGGAGCTAGGATTTTTCTGAGTGCAATGAACCAACTCCCGAGTCTCTAGGACGTTCCTAAAAAAATTTGATTTTTTCCCATAGGAATGCATGGGTTAGGGTTAGGGTAAGGGTTGGAGCTAGGGTTAGGGTTAGGGTTAGGATTGGAGGAGTTAGGGTTAGTGTTGAAGCTAGGGTTAGGGTTGGGCTTGGAGCTAGGATTTTTCTGAGTGCAATGAACCAACTCCCGAGTCTCTAGGACGTTCCTAAAAAAATTTGATTTTTTCCCATAGGAATGCATGGGTTAGGGTTAGGGTTAGGGTTAGGGTTGGAGCTAGGGTTAGGGTTAGGGTTAGGGTTTGGGTTGGAGTTAGGGTTAGTGTTGGAGCTAGGGTTAGGGTTGGGCTTGGAGCTAGGATTTTTCTGAGTGCAATGAACCAACTCCCGAGTCTCTAGGACGTTCCTAAAAAAATTGATTTTTTCCCATAGGAATGCATGGGAAGTGCCAACCCAATTTTTCACCTTCCAGAATTGTGTTAGGAGCACGTTTCAGGGCACGGGGAGTCTATAGAACCTAATTCTGGGGGAAGTTTTTTGAAAAGTTTACTTAGGGTTTGGGTTAGGGTTAGGGTTGGAGCTAGGGTTAGGTGTGGGGTTAAGGTTGGAGCTAGGGTTAGGGTTAGGGTTAGGGTTAGGGTTAGGATTAGGGTGGAGCTAGGGTTAGGGTTAGGGTTAGAGCTAGGGTTAGGGTTGGTGCTAGGGTTAGGGTTAGGGTTAGGGTTAGAGCTAGGGTTAGGGTTAGGGTTGGGGCTAGGGTTAGGGTTAGGGTTGGGGCTAGGGTTAGGTGTGGGGTTAGGGTTAACACTAGAAGGACCACAGAGCAGCCATTTGGCTTTACCCCCCTCAAGGTCCACGGGGCAGCCGATCGGCTGGAAGGATTTTAGCTAATATCCTAAATCACCTGTGAGCACTCATTTTGTTATGCAAACGAGGTGATCGTTGGTGCACCACAGGAGGGGACTGGACTAAGTGGTGTATGCAGTGGGAAGGGACAACAGAAAGGAAGGGATCAACACACATGGGTTGTTTACTTTGTTGCTGAAGTTTATTGATTAAAAATAAACAAAATTTAAACAACTGTATAGAATAAGAACAAGAATCAGAATCAGAATCACAAGGGGTTTTATTGCTATTGTCAATGAACAGGTTTCACAGACTAGGAATTTTTTACGGCGTGATGGTGCAACATTAAACAGAGTATAATATGTAAAATACAAGAATAAAAAATAAGAGCATGCAGGACATATATAAAGTATAAAAAGGTTGGTGATGGACTTCAGGTGAATATGCATCATCAGGATACAGTGTTAGACTCTCACTCACAATCCTGGCACTGCCATGGTATCTCCCTTCTGCATTTCCCACATGTGTATCTGTAGCAGTCAACACATCGCACAGTGGCATGATTGTTCTTACACTGATTTTTAACCTGGCACATGGCTCTTTTCCCAGGGCTAGGTGTGGAAGGTTGTTGCCGAAGCAATTCTTCCTTTCATGCCTTCTTCGCAGTCACATGAGAGTTAGCCAACTCTCTTGCAAGCTCCACCAGGAAGTCCACCCGTCTCTCCTTCCTCCCGGTGCATGCTTGATACAGCACATGTGCATCCAATGCTGCCATATCAATCATGTTATAGAACACAGCGACTGGCCAGCGCCATGTTCCTGTGCGGACAGTGTACTCCCGCTCCATCTGGTCCATCACATCCACGCTGCACTTTGTAGCATTGTAAAGTTCATTGCAGTCCCTCTGTCTAGATGACTGTGGAATTTCCTGGCGAATCTTGTTGACTGTGCCTAGGATGGTGGTTTTCCGCCTAAGCAGTTGTTGCGCAAGTGACAGTGATGTAAAGAAATTGTCCGTGGTAACATTTCTGCCCTTGTCCAGGAATGGTTCCATCAGCCTCATGACTACATTCTCGGACAGTCTCTCCCCACTGGGACGACTGGGGTCCTTGCCAAGATATGGGAGGACATTGCAGATGTACTTGGATTTCAAGTCACAAGCCACCCAAAACTTGATCCCAAACTTGTCAGGTTTCGTTGCAATGTACTGCAGGAAACAGCAGCGAGTCTTTGGGGGGAAAAGCTGTTGGTCAATGGTGATGTGTCGACCAGGGTTGTAGGATGTGATGCAGTTGGTGACAAATGATGACCACACAGCAGAAATTGCAGCAAACTTGTCAGTCTTTGTGCACTCACTGCGGGTGTCCCTGTCATCAAAGCGTAGGTGTCGCATGATGTCTTTGAAGCGATTTCGGGGCATGGTTGCCATGATCTGGGGGTTTCCCAGGTTTGCTCACCAGCAAACCAGAAAATGTGATAAATTGTCAATCAAATAGTGATCCTGTGAATGGGACTGGTTGCATTCACCTGAGTCGTTATGGTCATTCTCACATTCATACTCTCAACAGCTTCACCAGAGTATAAAAAATGTAGTGTCATATGCAAACAGTATGCAATTTAACAATTTAGATACATTTACAATGTCATTAATATAAAGTACAAACAGTTTTTGTCCGTGGACCGACCGCTGGGGCATCTGCTGAGGTGCAGGAACATCAGGAGAAGTAGAACCAAACAAAACAAACAGAGGCCCAAACTGTCTGTGCAGTGGCTATGGCTGAAGCAGTTTCTGTCTACAGTTGTTCTCAGGTTGGAAACTCCCCTCCCCCTCCCCACTCACTCTCCCCACAACACAAGTTTCCTTGAAATAACTTAGCATATCCCCTCCTGTGGTGCACCAGCAATAGCCTCGTTTGCATAACAAACTGAGTGTTCAGAGGTGATTTAGTACTAGCTAAAAGCCCTCCAAGCCATTTGGCTGCCCTCTGGTCTTTATAGGTAGAACAGCAAAAAGCCGGTCCTTCTAGTGTTAAAGAAGATTTCCCTTTGGGGATCACAAATGTTCTACTGTATAAAAGTAAACAATGACATGTGACGGCATACGCTGATTTATTTCTTTTAAAGGTTTGCAGCCAGAATGAATGTATGGATCTTGAAGCTGCCTACAGGAACACAAACTGTTCCGCAAAATGTCCAGGAAATGCTGTAAGTATTCTACACGCCAACACTGCTCAGGATTTATATTATACTGATTATTTAATAAGGAGTTTGGAATGTAGGGTAACTATAGAGTGTTTTTTTGGTTGAGGTTTGTTTATGGCTCCTCAGACCGTTGTGTATTGCTATCGTGCGGTCGTTACTAAAGTAGGTAGAACTAGAGAAGCAAGCGGTCTGCAACATTCATCTCTCGAGGGGGTGTCTAACTCGGTGTTACGGTGTGTTTGACCCTAAATTAATTTTACGCCGGAATATCCCTTTAAGTAATATGACTTACCAAATCTTATGTAAATTAAGAGACCCCGGACCACTCAGGACCAAACACTATAAATGACAAACTTCCTGTTCAGAGATTGAGCTTACTGATTTGAAAAATGAATTCCTCATTTGAGAATTGAGACAAAGTTTGTCAAAGTTAATACTGGCATATTTTCCTACAGCGATGGTACTATTGTGATGTTTAAAACAATAACATCTAACATTCAAATGGTTTCTGTCCTCATCAGGTGTGTAATCACAAGGCTCAATGTCAGTGTAAACCTGGTTGGTTGCCCCCAGACTGCGATACGGAGGATGAAGATACTCTCTCAACAGGTTCGACTTCCTCACAACTGTTCACCTTGTTTGACTGCAGACAATGACGTGTACTTTCTGTTTAACAAAACCTTTTCATTCCATTTCTGCAGGAGCCATTATTGCCATAGCTGTGACGTGCATACTGGTGGTTGTAGGACTCATTGTTGGTGTTGTGGCGTTCCTCAAGAGACAATGACAAAGTCCCATTTTACTAATGTAAGTTATCATCATTACTCTGTGATGGGCAGGCTACTTTTAAAATGTTGTGAGGTGAGAATGCGTGGCTATGGTGCTATTATGAGCAATAAATTATTTATTTATTTTTCAAATAATATTTTGCTCCTGGAAGAAAGGTTGTTCAAAACTGTGAAATCTGTCACATCTGTCATGGATGAACGACACATTAAAACGATAAAGACTCTTCATCATCATCATTCAGCTGACCTGAGCTAATGTAACAGGCTTAGCCAATAGAAATTCATGATGTTATCTTTGGTATGGCTTTAATTGACTTGTTAGTAATAATAACTTCTCAGTTAAAATATATCTCTGTCTCCTCCTTGCTTCTGGCGGCAGCATTTAATTATTTCTCTGGTGTGTACATCCCTCACACCAAGTGACACCCACCCACTCTGGCCACGTCACTTGAAGTCTTTGATTAAAAGTCTTTTCAACTAAATCAACACAGACCATCGTAAGATATACAGGCATGATTTTGTCCTAATGAGCAAAAGTTTGATCCATAATTGCATCCGTGGTATAAGAAATCCCAGAATGCCTTGTGCGGGGATGTGCGGTGTGCAATACGCAATGAACTGGGAGGCAATTTTCTTAGATACCTTATGACACATTTGGTGTGCCAGCACCATCTTTTTAATAAAGTCCATACTTCAGCTATGTGAGTTTGTTTTGTAGTACACCACCATTTGCTTTGGTCTGCCAGCACAGACCAAATTCAGCTTTGAGTGTCCAAAACCACTGAAAGATGTTCGCCCACTACACAAATTAAACCATGTCACGTGAACATGGATTATTAAGCTTGTGATGGCCTCCAATAATTTTACCCCTGATGTGAGGATAAAGGGGAGGAGGAGACCAGGTGTCATTGTTTTTACTTCATTATTAGGTTGAAAGTGAGAAAAGGAAAGAGGAAATGTGCCTAAGTGTTTTGATTTTGTTTTTTTGATTCGGACAGAATTTTTTTTTTCAGTTTAAAGTTCTTAATAAAATAGTACTTTTTTTAGTTTCTGGATCACCCTGACCCAAAGTCAAAGGGCATCCTTCGAAGCCAAGTTTTTGAATTCCATGTGACTACAAACAAGGTTCATCAGCCTGATGGTAAAAGGAAGGAAATGTTGTCACAAGACTTTGTCACAGACATAACCACAAAAACACATGAAAACACACATGCATGCACTCCTCATGGCACATTCGGTCATGAACCTTTTTGTGACCTGGTTGTCCAATGCTGGGCCAGAAAGGGTAGCAGTCAAAGACTCAGTCGGAGAAGTCAACGGGAAGGAGAGAGGGCATGTAGCTGGCATGTTTATGGGACCAGTACAGGCAGGCTAAGTATGAAAGGGTCTTTACAACAGCAGATCTGAAAGGTGTGAACGGCAAGGCATCTGACAAAGCAGTTGAGTGAGAGTGGTGAGGCTTTTGTCCCTGATCAAGCACAGGAGCACAGTTAGGTTTGACTAATGGGTTTTGAGGTTTTAGTAAAGATGATTCAGCAGATAATGAACCTTGTATGTCACACCAGGAGAATCAGCCTGAGGTCCAGAACACTCCTTGTCAGCCAGGAGCGGGTTTTTGTTTTGATAAGGAGCCTGTTTTACAGCTACAACTAGTAGCAGCAACAGCTACTACTGTTGCTTCTGGCTGTTGTGGGTACATTCTGTTTAAGGCAGAGGAACAAGAAACAGACTGAAGTTTATAAGTCAACTTGAACCTGGAGCAGGAAAAGATGGTGTGTTACTGGGTCACAACAGGTTAGCAGACATCTCAGCTTCATGACTATGAGTGAGGAAAAAATGGAGTTGAACCTTTTTGTTGAGTGAGGACTGGTGTTGTAGGCCAAAGTAATTTGAATGAGGTGGTCATCCCATCCAAGTGACCTGGCTAGTAAGTGTTCTGTAAAATCTCTCTATCATCCCATCACACTGAGGATGATAAGGGCTAGTTCTGGTTTTCAGGAGTTGACACAAGAGGGTGCTTTTGCTGCATTTTAACAGACAGAGGTGCGACCTCCTCACCCCCTACCACTACGAGAGATAGTGTCACGCACCTTTCCATATAAACGTCCAGACTAGAATGAGTCACGTTTTTCAGTAAAATAGGTATTCCAACTTTACACATCACTCAAAACATCCAGTTAATGCAAAGGATCACCTATGATTTGGAAATGCATCTAACTTCTGGTTTGTCTTCCAGGTTCTGAGTACCTCCACCAAAGGCCTGACACAGTGCCACCTACTGGCAATGAGGACCTTTTTTTTCTACTGTGGGAAGCTGCTGGCAGTCCAGAAAAGGAGTTTTTTTTTTAATTGTACAGTCTCAATTGTTTTCACTGTGTTTTTTTTTACTGCTGTGCTTTGTGAAGCATCAGGAACATTACTGATTACACGTACAGAGTAAACCTGAGAAACTGACTTCTTATTGTCATTGTCCTGCTACACACCGAGAGCTTTTTATTACACCTACTAATGTTAGGGCACTTATTTATTGATTAGCATTGGAGCACTTTTTGGAACAGCTGCGTTACTTTTGCATATATTTTTTTTAACATGTTAGTGATACAGTTTATTGCTCAAGAATGGATCGATTGTAAAACAATAACCTGCTGCTGAGTTAGCATTATATTTTATCATTTCATTCCTTGTAAATATCCTGAATTTGAATTAGATTTGATAGTGTAGGCATCCTGGCACTCTTACATTATGGTGCAATGCAATATAAATATTTGTAGTCGGAGATTTCAGATTTGAAACAAACATTGATTATAAGGACGTCGTACTTAAGTCTTAAATGTTTGGTTGAATTATGTCGCAACATTTTTCAAGTGAACCTCAAGCTAAACCTTATTTAAAAAAAAAAAAGGAGTGGACAAATGCCAATGAGTCTTAGTTTAAGAATTATAAAACATTCAACAATTTTCAGCTAGGAACTTTGGCTGCATGTCTTCCCCCCTGCTCTCTACCCACCATGTTCCTGGTCTCTCTTAAACTATCTTACCTAATGAAGACTTAATCAAAAACTTCTGTTGTTTTAATATCTATTTTAAACTTTTCATATCCATCTATGCATTTGTATTCATGGTTTATTTTCAGAAACTTTCGCACCCTGTTTTCCTTTTGAGAAATGTATAACTCTTTCAGTGTTTTTTTATAAATCAAGAACTGAAAAGATGAATTGCAATATATGACAAAGGAGAAATGTTGTGTGTATACTTGATCGTTAATTCATGTGATAAATTTCTTTTTATAAAAAAAGTTTATTGTCTCTTCATACCATTAGTAATAAACAGGTTTTCTGTTGGGTCTTCTCAGCAACTAAAGGGCGGTTCTGTAGAGATATAATCATGTTATAATTGAGAATTATCAAATTTAATACAATGTCACCTTTTTATGTTGCTAAGAAGAGTCTACAAGAATACCGTCTGTATCCACCTTTTGAACAGCTCAGGTTGTTTATTTTTAATGAATACGATGTGTGTCTCAGGAAGTTCACTATTCAAACTTGTAAAAAAATAAACAAAACTCTTGTAATCTTCAGATAGGATTTATAAAACACAAATTTTGCATAGTAGCTGGATAACCAATGGGTAACTAACTACAATTTGAGTAGCAGTTAGCCCATTGATTATGCAGTAATTATTCAGAGTTTGTGTACCTTACCTACCTGTGGTCATGGTTGATCAATGGTTTACTCATAGCCTCTTACTCATTTTCCACATTTACTTTAAGAGCCTCATTTTGACTCTTTTTTTTTTGTCCTTGTTTTCCATTTTGTTAACAGCAGGCCGACCTACGTGCATCATTGATAAATGCCAGCTTACGAAGAAACCACCAAAATTCAAAGAGACACTATTTGAATTTTATTCTTTTTTTTTCTTCAAGTCATACATCTATTCAAAAGCTTTCATGGCCTTGCATGACAAACAGTACATTTTTCAATCCTTTTGACGGCTAAAGCCTTTTTCTTAATAACAATATTCTTACATTCTGCAAGATATATAAATGACCTAACACGAGGTCGGTATGGTGAACGGCTCATACAAAAAAATCCTCATCTTCAAATTTTCACATCACAGTTATGACTGCAAACCAAAATACTGAATCTTGATGAAGCATCTACTGAATACAATGTTCAACATTTTGAAAATTTCTTAAGGATATCAAGGTTAACAGAAATATCATAAAATCTTAATTATTTGTGATTGAAAGTACCCCAGCTACACTCTGTTCACCATCCACAAACACTCAAATACAGGTCTTAACATGTGTGGCCAAGGTGGCATGGCACATGAGTGCAAACACCTCATTTAAAAGAAATCACAAGAGCAATTTTTTAAAGCTTTCCCTCCTTTCTTCTTCAAGAAACGACAGAGTCACGGTCAGGTGTGTTGAGGCACCAGTTGAGATGGTTGTATGCGCTAATAAAAGCTGGAGTACCTGTGAGGAGGTATGGTTTCTTAAAGACCAGAGGAGAACTGAGCAACCGACCGTGTACTTCAGATTAAAAGACATAACGCACATCATCCTTCACAATCTCAAATAGTTTAACTGTTGTGCCTTTAGCAGCTGATTGTCCGTACCTTTACTGCTTTAATCCTGTTAGAAGGGATGACTCAGTCCACTAGATTTTGGTTGGATCAGCATTGTTTAAATAATGTAATCCTTCTCAATGAGGTTTGTTGTGTAAAAATGATTATTCTCTCATTCAAAAAGCATCAGAATTACGTAAATAAAACGATTTATGTCGACACTTTTGCAAAATCTTTTCCCCTTTCATAGTGTCGGACTAATATAGCATTAAATTAAACAGGCGTAATATGTTATGTTTTCATAAATTCTGCCAGCTACAATGAACATCAACACAACCTCCCAAGTCCAAAATAACAACAGAAGAACAGCTTCACCTTATCTTGATGCCAGAGTCGAGAAAGAAGTGTTTTTAAGCTGTCTTAAGGAGAACTGACACACAGGTCTGACATGGTGACCGAAGAAAAAGCTGCACTTACCATTTTTTTTTTGGTTTAGCAGAGTGAGAAGCTTCCTAGCTAGCATCAAGCGAACGCAACTAATACGGGACAGTCACCGACAACAACTATCCTTTGATTTCAAGCATTGATCCTTCATTTGAACTGTTTCATACTGAGCGGAAATCCATTAAGCACCTTTGAGGATTCATCAATGTTGTTTTGGACAATCAAATTTCAGATGTGAGAAAAAATATTTGTGTGAACCGACTTCCCCTATTTGTTTTTCTATCAATACATATATAGATAATTCACTTTTACTTGACACATATAACTGCACTGTATGTAGATTCTCTGTAGTGCCAATAAGTACCGCACTTTGAGACTCTTGCAAGATCCGAATGAGGCTTTGAGGCTACAGTATTTGTACTTAATTTCTTACCAAATAAAAGGAGAACAACAATACAAAAACTGAAAGAAACTAAAATTTCCCAAGTAACAAAGACTCTATCTACATTGTCAACTCATACTCATAAAATTCTTCTTGATATAATTTGGACTTCTGTTCACAGTCTAGCTTTGAACAACTGCAAAATATCTTCAGTCAATAAAGTATTGCCAAAATCTCTCATTACATTTGAGTTAAATAAATATGATTGGTGTGCCTTTTTTTTTCAGCTCTACGGCTTTTTTTTTTGTTTTGTGTCCACTTCACTTTTTCTGCCAGAACCATAGACAGTTTCTTTAGAAAAAAGACAGCGCGGTGGACTGGAAGAGAGATAGAGGCAGAGAACTGTGAGTCAGTTGGTGTGGGCTGTTTGAAATCGGGAAGCAAGTGCTCTATCCGTCAGTGCCGTTCTTGTTGGGGTTGTTTGAGTTGATGGTGGTGCCATCTGGCTGCTGGCCATCTTTGCGTGGCGGCATCCTCTCGTTTATCCTGTCAAGGCCACGTGCCTCCTCAAAGTTGCGGATCTTTCTTGTAGGAGAGAAGCCTTGAATGGCTAAAGAGTAAAGGGGACATCAAAGACGAGAGTTACAGACTTCAAACCACCGGGTTCATCTCCTGCTGCAAATATCTGCTATAAACCGTGTCTTTAGCTTTTTCATCTGCATCAGTAAAAATCCTTTTCTAGTTTATGTGAAATGCAGAAAACAAACTATCAGCCTAGGACAGAACAGATGATTTGTAAATATTATACACAGTGGGACACACCATAGAGAGACATCATCATACACCATGTAGACTTACGGTAAAGTCCAGAAACAGCCGAGAAACCAGACGGAAAAGGTGAGCAGACAAAAAACACAATTGGAGAGGGACAAACTCTTTTCAGAAATCATTTCAGAAATCAAGTTACATCAAGAATGAACGTCTTGAGGTGTGGGTCTACAGGTGGACTTACAGCTACACAAACTCAGTACTGGTGGGTACTCTTGCACAACCAGATCTCTGTGACACTAAAGCCTGTGGGTACTACATAGTTAACCTGTGAATGGTTCTTTTCTTGTCTTTTCATATTGTGTCTTTTTAACCTTTTACACTGTTGGTTTTTTGTCTCAAAATTTTCTGTATTAGAAATTGTGTTTTTATTTTCTTTGTAAAGCGTCTTTGAGCACCTGTAAAAATGCATTATAAATAAAATGTATTATTATTATTATTATTATTATTATTATTATTATTATTATTATCATAACTATCCAAAAAGAGAAAAAAAAGACTGGTGTGATGTGGCGACGTTAAAAGTTAACCTCAGGCTGAACATACTGCACAGTACATGTTTCCTAGCATCAGCTGGAAAACGTCATGCCAGTGGTGGCCAGTAAGGGTGTCCTGACACAGTTTTTTTTACTTCCAATACGATAAGGATATTGTAACCTTCAGTAATGGCCGATACCAATATTGATCTGATATTGGCACAACCTTGTGCATGACAAGTTTTGCACTCAGCTGCAACGTCTTTTTCAGAATTGGATGAAAAATACTGCCACACAGTGGACATCACTCCTACTCCTTGATACTTTGTTAGTACACTATTGTTGTGACCACATGGGCTCTACATGCTGGATCTGAGTACTGGTGAAGTCTGGAATAGACTGCTCGTATCAAAGTGCTGATATTGGAGATTTTAGATGCAGGCGGATATAATCCGATATTAATTTTTTTTGCTAATATCGGACTGATATCTGATATCAATACTGGATCGGGACATCCCTATTGGCCAGTGTGTGGCATACCTACCTGTGAGGGCCGTTTCATGGTGGATCAATAAACAAACCAGAAATGAATGATGGTATTCATTTAAAACATTCACTGTATCTACTTTTTATGATTCAAACCCAGGGCCGTAAGAACAGGGAGATATGTAGCAGAAGTTTGGGAACCACTTCTGCCACATATCCCTAAAGTAAACGAATTAATTTGAGAGCGCTGAAAGTAGAGAAGAGAACATCTTAAGGTTAAAGAGCTGAAAATAAGTAATAAAGATTTTGGATACTTTTCCCAAAGTTTAAGCCCCCATGAGGAGTTTCCTCACATTTATGAAATAGACTGAAAGTCAAAATAAGTGAGGAAGTTTTGTTCTTAGGGCACCAAATACAAAGTTCCTCACAGCATATAAGACAATTGAAATATTAACTTGGTCAGACTGGTCTACTTTTTTAGCTTCATGTTATTTTGAAACATGAAGAAAAACTGTTCCCTCTGCTACTTTAAGTGGTAGGGGTGTGGAAGTCAACAATATCATACCTTTATGAGTTGAAATAAACTCCATTGGGGTGTGTGGTTACATCAAACAAATATAGATGCCATTGCTTTGCTGCCTGTACACACTGCCCCTGTACTTGTTTTGCTTACTTTGCATCTATTGATGTGTTTTGCATGATTAAATCTTCAAAAGCGAGCAGCTCTCACAGTTCACGGCTATTGGTTGACTGACAGTCACTATAACCCAAAAGGTGCAGACAGTGTAGCAGCAGCAAAATGGTGTAACAAGATTAGCGTCTGAAAATATCCCAGGCAGGGATGTCCCTAGCCTTATCCTAGCCAAGTCTTAGCAGGCTTTTCTCTCTGTGGCCGGCCACGCTTTGTAAGAAAGAGCCCACGTGAACACAGTTAGCGAAAAGTATATTCATAAATGATGACTGCAAACACAAATGAGAAGTCTCGTCAGTCATTTCAAGGCTCACACCTCTCACAGTATAGAGGTAGTATTCCTCGTACTCCTCCTGTTCTACATTTACAATCTCACACCCATCCTCTAGTTACTTTAAATCATGTTACCATGTTACATCTCTTAAAATAGCTCCTACAGTTGACACATTGTTACTCAATCCCTATTCTAGGACTCATTTCTGTCAGTTAAATCTGTTAAAATCTGTTAAAAACAACTTAAAATGATCAAACAGATGCTGGTAATGCAAGAGCAGCCATCAATAAAGTCATATAACAGAGCACAATAATCAGTGGGGTAAATACAGTGGGGACACTACGGGAAGACTAACATCAACAAAACAAAGATGCACTGACGGGTGGGGCTGGGTTAAAAGGATGAACAACACACAGAGAAAGAGAAGGCACACAGCCATCCATACCTTTTGCTTTAGCTGCCTCGACTGTAGCTATTTAAATAAGAGTTTGGGAGGGGGACAAAAGGGAGTCATCAAACACACAGAACAGTAATATCAAAATGTAAACCCTTTAGTAATTACCAGAGGGGGGAACAAATGGGAAATAATAACTAACAGCCATGATACAACCATCATTGATGCTAAAATCACAGCAGCTGTACAGACTTTCTCACAGAGTGAAAAGCTTGTTTGAGATTTAAAATAGTGTTGGTGTTAAAGGGTCTTCAGGACTTAGGTGGGGAGAGCTGAGGGGGATTTGGCTGAGTCCTAAGAGCCTCAGGCCTCAGTGAGCAACGACGACTAGGCTGAGTGACATTTATGTGGACTGGAGCTGAGAGCAATGTCAAAGTTGAAGTTTGGTTGAGTAACATGGGAAGTTTACATGGTTTAAATTTTACTGTAGCAGTTTTGTTTCTGTTGATGAAAATATTTCGTCAACACCCCTATTTTTCCACGACATGACGTTGACGAGCTAAACATAACATAAACATAAGTCTTAGACGACTAAAATGTGACGAGACGAATGTGTGTTTACGTTGACGAAACTAGACGAAAACGTTAGTGGTGGACAACGAACAGAGTTGCAAAATTCATGAGCATTTCGTCAGTCAAACGCTAAACATATATTCCGCAGTGTTGTTTTTGTTGACGATGACGTTGACAAAACATTTTCGTCAACGTCATCGTCAATGAAAACAACACTGTACTGTAGAGATAATGTGTGTTGTATACTTGAACACATCTAATGACATAAATAACTGGATTCTCTTTCTTTTGGTGTAAAACCAAGCTCTCTCTTTAAAAGGATAAATGACATCTGACTTAAAGGGATATTCCGGCGTAAAATTAAGTTAGGGTCAAACATACCCTAACACCAAGTTAGACACCCTGTTGAGAGATGAATGTTGCTGACCACTTGCTTCTCTAGTTATACCAACTTTAGTAACAACCACACAATGGCAATACAGAGAGCCACGCGCTCAACCAAAACGCCTCTCTATAGCCACAAATAATGCTCTGAACAGCACCTAACTTCATCAGCTGGGTGATGGACTGGCCTGAGGTCTCACTACAAACAAGAAGCTGCTGAAAGAGAGTAGGTGAGTTGTGTTTAGTCTCTTTGCAAAAGAAATCAGGCAAAACCAAAATGATTGCTATCGTATTGCTATCGTGCGGTCATTAACAAAGTTGGTATAACTAGAGAAGCAAGCGGTCGGCAACATTCATCTCTTGACGGGGTGTCTAACTCGGTGTTATGGTGTGTTTAACCCTAACTTAATTTTACGCTGGAATATCCCTTTAAAAGTACTACAATGTCTTAGATTAGTGGTTTCAGGGCTCTGATTCAGACATTATGGATTTCTTGAAGGAGGGGGCCAGTGCAGCTGAAGGCTCTGGATCCCATAGTGGTCAGACAGGCATGTAGTGCAGTGAGGTGAATGGGAGAAGAAAACTTGAGTGGGCAGGCAGTGTTGGTAAAAAGAAGCTCGGTATATAACAACATAAGATATTCCCACCTTGAGCATAACGCCACAGGAAGGTAGCAGCAGTAAAAATGAGGTCTATTGTGGCTCTAAAACACAAGACTTACAAAATCACTTGCTCGCTGTTGTACAAAGCAAAGGCTAGAGGAGAAGTCATGGACGGTGACATTCTCCAAAAGGTCATTACAGGTTTTCTTTGCAGCTTCTGTGGAAAATCTCCAGCATGGCAAAGCATGACTCCCAGCATGTCCTCTAATGGACAAGGATAGGTTCTGACATTTAGATCAGAGGGTTAGGACTGACCTCCAGGTAACAGTCTGCCCTGCGTTTACCCGGCCCACGGCTGAACCAAAATTTAGGTGGTGGTTTCCTGTGGTGGGCTTGCTGTTTGTGATCTGGGGGCTTTCAAAGGTGCATGCATGGAAAGTAGTCTATGACTGGACATAGGGACAGATAGCTAAAGCACCTCTATCTCTACTAGAAGCAACACTGTAGGTCCACATTGCAAAGTTAGAGTTGTAAGGGGCAACTGGGGTTCAGTGGTAGAGTTGGTTGTTTCCCAATTGGAAGGTCTGGGGTTTGATCCCAGAGTCGTCCACATGCCAAAGGGTTTTTGGGCAAGACACCTGACCCCAACCCCACTGGTTGCGCCCAGTTGTGGGTCAATGGAATTAGTTAATCAGTGTGTGAATGTGACATGTGATGTAAAAGTGCTTTGAGTTGTCAGAAGACTAGAGAACACCCTACATGGTCCGTTTATTTATCTAAAGCATTTAACATACTTACCAGTTTGTAGGGTCTGCTTTCCCCCAGACAACACACCCATAGGAAGAGTTCCCGTCGGGGTCAGGCCCTTCAGTTGTAATACACTTTCGCTTTCCTCCCTTGTTCACAACAAAAGAAAAAAAGGGAAAAACTTGAAACCTGGTCACAATGATCAAATGCTATTAATAATATAATTAATTTATATCAGCTAAGTGTCTTTATCTGGAACGCAACAAAAAATAAACGTCTTTGGAGCCCAAAATGTATTTCTTTTCATTTTGATTTCTGACCTGAACACAGTGCTGGTCTAGAAAAGTAACTGAACAATATTTGACACACTGTTGATGGTTATGAAAGCACTCATCATGAGAATTATTGAAACAAACAAAACAAAAAATTGATCAAAGTTATAGTCCACTGGCAGTAAGCCTCTTCTCTTTTGTACATCAGTAAAATAAAGACACACTCCATGAGAGATGACAGTCATTTTTTTGGATGCAATGATAATTCATAGAAATGCATGTATACATAGGATTGTATGCATGCAGTAGAGTGCTTATGTTGCTATGCCAACGCAATACATTATTACAGTCAGTTCTGGTCAATATCATATGAGGGTGAGTGTTTGAGACATTTTCACTGGTTAGAAATGAAGAAGAAACACGCGATAAGTGACTCAAAGCAGTCTGTCTCTTGGCTTCATTTATGTTACTGGATCCCACATATACTTTCTACTCTCTCCTGTAATTTTATAAGACCTGCACTATCTTGCTCTGTGTTTTGTTTGGCAGGGGAGAACTTCCCTGTGCCTCCACCTGATTCCAGTGATTATATCCACATAAATCACAGACACTAAGAGGAGTCTGTTGATGTTAGATCAGTCATGAGAAAGAGGTTAATCAAAGACAGAGCGTTGGTTATACATTAGTTACTCACCTGAGGACTGAGAAGACTCGGGCCATTTTCCCAACAGCACGGATTTTGTTCCGAATGACCTCCTTGCGCATTGCTGAGGTTCCCCCTGAAACGAGTCCAAAACATTAGGAACAGACACCTTGAGGATTCAATGCTGTTGTTGGTCTTTCTTTGCACTCATATTAAGTTAAATAAAAATAAAAAGGTTTCTATGAAGAAAACAAGGAGAAATGCCTGATTTGTGTTTAACAATGAACTGAGGACTAAATTACTTGAACTAACAGTCAGTTCCCTTTGATTTTATGACTAACAATCTGTAACACAGCAGTGCAACATTATAACAGCACTTAATGTTCCCATCCTTACTACACATCAGAAGACAATTATGAGACCGCGGTTAATGGTGGGTCACAAACAGGTTGCTCACACATTAGCAGACAACCAACATCTATGCTGTTCCAGGGCAAAATTAACCACTTACGATCCGGACTACTGCACTAAAATCTGAGAATTAAGAACTAAACATGCACGTAAACATCTGTAGAGTCAGATCAAATGTTAAACTGCATTCAAAATGAAAACTGTCCAGGAATATCAAGAAAAACAGGCGTGGTGCCTTTCACAATATCAGGATATATTCTTGATATATTTCTTTTTATTCAGTCTTACCTTCATAGAGGTCATCTCCCTCTGACATGAGTTCATCGTCGGAGCAAATGTTCAGAACATTTACCAGCATCTCCGTGACTGTAAGGCAGAGAAGTCATTTCAAAATCGAGTCTGTTATCAAGTCATGACTGAGATAAGATTTTTGTGAAGGTCTTAGGGTGCAGATTTGTACACGTAAGGGGTTTCATTTCCTATTTTTGCCTCCTAATGCATTAAATCTCTGCTCTGAACTCTTGCTGGATGTCCTCATGAATTGAGTCTGTGCATCACAAAATTGTACCTGGATTTATGCTAGCTATTTTGTATCCTTTAAAGTTTAGAGAGCCATCATCATCATCATTAAAATCAAGGCTTTTTTGTTAAAACCAACACTTGCATTTACATCACTTTACAAAAGCACTGAATCCAAGACTTCCAATGGGAGTCTTGCCTGAATGCAAACGCGTTCCTGAAAAGCAGGGTTTTAGCTTTTTCTTAGAGGTAGAAAGAAGGGACCCTGCTGAATGAATGGAGTTGCACCACAGGGGAACAGCAGTGGAGAACAGTCTGGCTATTGACTGGAGGCCCTGCTGTGACGGGAGTACTGGGAACGAAGACCTGAATGAGTGATTTCAGGAAGACAGGAGCAGTTTTTGCTACTGTAGGCACAGTTTTGACTTTGATGCAAGCAGAGACTAGAAGCTGGTGTAGATTTATGAATTAATTAGGAATTCAGAGACCAGAATTTTAAACCAGTTATTAAGCGAAGGCTTTGTTACTGGATAGTAGACTCTAGTGGTTTGGCCTACTCCAGCTCTGGTCTCCAGACTCAAGCTGGGCTGTGGGCCCATTCTACCAAGGGTCTTGTGACCTCTTGAGTCTCAATCTAAGACATCTGCTCTGCAGCTAGCTGGTCATCCCCCTTCACTTAGGTTTGCTAGGTTTTATTAACTGCAGGGTCGTCTTCTCTTACCCAGACATGTCCTTGTTTTGGGGGGCTGACCTTGTCCAGGGGAGTTTATGAAATCCTTCCAATGTCCAGAGTTTTGTATGGAAGTTTTGAGTTTGTGTGGCGTGGACTAACTGAGTAAGAAGCATGAAAAAAACATTCAACCTGACCCGAAAAACCCTCAAAATTTACTACATGCGACTCTGTGACTCCACCCCACGTAGTAGTGTCCTCTTTTTGGGGATTCAGAATATGGTCAGCCTTATTAACTGGGCGTGACCCACGCTGTTTTGAGTGTGGCTTTCCTCAGTGGACCTGCTTCATCCACACATCCAGGCGTGGAAAAGGTCTTTGTCAGTCATTTCAGATAAGCTTGTCTGGGAACACAGGAGTCTCCATACTCCACAGTGAGACGTTCAAACAAATGCTTTGACAGAGAACTTTAGGTTACTTTCACAACCGCAGTTCTCAGAGTAGCATGGTTGAGATGTTGGGCTGAGTAGGAGAGGCCTTCTGAACTGAAGATCATGAGGGTTGAATGTTTTCTTTACTTGTGACATAAAAAGTTTAGATGTAAGATGTAAATTGGTGGTTTCAGTGGTCCAGTTTGACCCTGTAGTCTAGCCATGACCCTGTGCTGCATGTCATTCCCCATACTTACAAGTAAACTAACGCTGTTGCTTTCAAAGTAGCCTATTCTTTTCATAGACTATGTGATATCACAAATCTATATTTCTTTTTTGGAGCAAGCGATGAGCAATCTTAATGGATTGTCGTGAAATCTAAGTGATTTTTGCACTTAGCAGGTTTGACCATCGGTGCTCAGTGAACAGCTTTGTTCTAATTCAGTATTTGTTATTTCAAATTCACTCTTGTTCAGTGATTTTACAAAGAGAAAGATACTGGTATCCAAGTCAGCAAAGACCCCTGAACATAAAACATACCTTTTTCTCCCACAAAAGGCAAAGACCAAGTGAAGACATCCATAAAGTTGGGCAACCAGTAAGGGTGTGGGGAGCAGTTGAACTGTCGGATATTCATCACGTTGTTCTCGTATTTTAAAACAGCAGCTAGTGTTGACAGAGAGAAACCAGCAAAAGGAGATTATTAAGGCTTGAAGATTTGTCAATTTAGGTAAAAAATTTACATTTAAGTGAGCCAGACATGAAACACACACCTTTATTGTTGTAGACATCAAGGTAATTTGGGGCCGAAAAGATTGTGATTAATGAAGGGAATCCTGTCGTCTGGCTTTTTCTGTACATCCGATACCTGTCGAGCCAAAAACAAAAGGACTTCAAATCCTGATTTGTGACACGCAGTTTACTCAGCACAAATCTGTTTAGTACTTACCCCGCATCCTGAGCTTCATGGGCTCTTATCACTGACAGTAAGTTATTATTTACCAAAAAGTCACAAACTGCAGAGTAACTGGAAGAAAGAGAACAAAAGATACAGCAAAATTATTAAATAAACCAAAACAACCAAAAGGCAAAGTATTAGGCTGTTTATGACTCAAGGTACTGCTGTCTAGCTATGAAAATACTTTCAGGAGACCATATCTTTGGCTTGTTGAGCTACAGGTATAAGATACTGAGTGGTAAACAGTGATTTTTTTAGGTGTGACTGATCAATCTTGACTCATGGAAGACAACCATTCCACTGAGTTTGTTGCAATCACACACTGTAACCTACACATGATGTGTTCAGACACGATGGGGTTGTGCATATTAATGTTCGCTACCAACATGAGCTTTATTATGCTCTGTCTTAACCGGTCATCACATGCAGACAAGATCAATTTTCTGTGCCAGAAAGTGAATACTAGAGAAAAAGAATCGTCCACTTGTGTCACAGAATTCATTTGATTCACAGAGCTGACAGTAAAAAATGTAACTTGTTTGTTTTTTTGTCTCTGTCAGATTGGCACTGTTCACAAATATCTCAATATTATGAAATTAACTAACTCCCTTATTCAGGTGGAAAACTTGTCCCTGTTAATGTCTTGGGTTAAGACCAATTCTTGGTCAGCCAGTGTAACTTTTGTTCTGAAATCAATTTAAATTAAGACAGCAAATATTATTAAAGGGCTCCTATAGCTCTATGTACATTGGGTTATAGTGCATGTGGACATGTAGAAAATATCGAGGCGAGAAAAAGGGAAAGAGTCACAACAACTGAGATATTTTTGTGCGTGAAACACAATAAGGGGTGTGAGTAAATTTGCTCTGCATCCCAAAGCTTTTGAATAATATTTATTCTGTACTGTCCTTCGTCCTTAGTCAAACAAACTTTCCCTCTGCCACATCACGCTCTTAAAGCTTCCTGAAGTACAGAGGATTGAGGAAAGAGGAGAGAAATTTACGTCACAAATAATACACCCTAACAACCCAATTATAATACATATTATTTTCAGATATAAAGCTGTGAACACATTTTTCTTCCTTCCTTTTAACTTACCTTTATTTCATCTGTCTCTTTTTGTTTTTATTCATTTTTTGTTTTCTCTGTTTTTATGTTCATTTGTTTCTCTTTATTTTTTGTTTGATTTTTTTTTATTTCAGTTTCTTTAATCCTTTAATTCTTTTTTTGTGTCTTTGGTTTTCTTTTTTTTTTTTTTTTTTTACATTTTTCTTTATTTCTTTAGTCTTACTTTTGATTTCTTTGCTTTTTTCTTCTTTCTGTTTGTCTGCTTATTTGTTTGCTTTTTTAGATTGTTTCTTTTTTTCTATTTTCTTTTTCTTTTTTTTGTTTACTTTTCATGCTTGCTTCTCTCTTTTTTCTTTCTTTGTTTCCTCAGTCTTTTTTTCTCCTACTTATGTTGCTTTTTTATGTTCTTTATTTATACACTTATTTCTATGCGTTTTGTTTTCTTTTTTTAAATTTGATATCGGCCTCAAGAAAGCTTTATCTCATCACAAAGTGCTATATTTGAATCTGTTGTGGGCGCATTATTCAAGTTAAATTAAAGTGAATTAAAGTGAAGCTGCAGCAGGTGTGAGGAACATCATACCTGAAAAAGTAAGAACATCCTCTGACGGAGTTATGGTTAAAGTGTTCAGATGTTTTTTCGCTTCCATAGTCTTCACCGGGGTCAGCCCAAATCAGGTCACACATTGGTCCAAATGCTGGAGGCTCTTTAAACCTGTCTAACTGTTGAGTACAAAACAAAAACACACTGATTTGAGATAGAGATACTAAATGATTAAGAGTGTCTTGTGTTACACACATGAAAACAGAGTCTATGGCTCATTTGACACCTGAACAGAAAATATTAAAATCAACGGTATCTCAAAGCTTATTACGTAATTTCATAATTCATTTACAAATTGAAGTGTCAGTGATTGATCACTTACTTTTCTTATATCGTCTAGGCAGTTGATTTCTGGTGACAGTCCCCCGTGTACACATAGGAACTGTTGGTTGAGTAGGGCTGCAAGGGGCAGGCAGTCAAAGGCCTCCATACATGCATCATATACCCGCTCGGAGTATTTAATTTTACCTGTAGCAATCACATAGGGACAACACAGAAAGTATGATTCAATTTTTAAAGCTCATTTTACTCACTAATAATGTACAATTAGCTACACTACAAAAGCGAACCAATTCATGGGTCATGTCCTGTTCTAAACTTAAAAACTAATCCTGGAACACGATTTACACCTGTCACCCAACATTTCAGCTTGATTGATGACTACATAGCCACACTATATTTATGCACAAACAATCTCGACAGATTTTTGATTCATCTGTCCGTGTAGCTCAACATGTAGAGGTTATGTTTGATCTTTTGAGTCCAAGGTTTTGAGTTCAAGGCCCAGAGGATACAATTCTTATAGCTTGACAGCTTCAACTTCTCTTGCCTAGTACATGAACGAGCAGAAAACACATAGATAGGCAGAAGGATTTCATCTTGTACATGCTTTTAAAAACCTGAAACAACCAGGCACACTAGATTTAGTGTTTCAGTACTCAGTAATGATCAATTCTTGTTTTGGTGTAAAAATGATTTAAAATCAAAGCTAAATGCAGCATCGGGTGTGATGCCTGTTACAGATTTTGTTGCTGCAAAAACACATCGCAAAATGATTCTAAGGCTGTACATTTTAAATACCTTGACATGGTATAAAAACACTCAACTTACATTCCTGTTTAAAGGTGAAATACTCTGTGAGGTGCCGGCATTCATGGTTCCCACGTAGTAGGAAGAGTGTGTTGGGGTGGTTGATCTTGAGGGACCAGAGGTAGAGAACACACTGGGCAGACAAACAGTGAAAAAAGTGATATCAGGGGAGTTGAGGAAACCCCAAACAGAAGGCAAGAGCTGACAATACATTGGTAGGTTTAGAATTGTTTTTCAGCCTTGACAGCAAAAGACTGCTGATACAAGAGTCACAGAAATGTCATCTGCAAAGCAGCACTGCAGAAAGTGTTTAAATTTGCACCATTTTTGCCCGTAGCTCACTGTTGAATTCAAGGTTTTATTTCCCATGATAAGAATGATGGAACTTGACACCGTTCTGGTGAAACCTAAGGAACTGAAACGGTGCAGGTGCAGAGACAGTTTATGTCTTTGCATCGCAAGTGCCGACAGAATAAACAGCCTCAACATGTTAAATATGGGTACAGCTGTATCTTTAAAGGGATATTCTGGCGTAAATTTAAGTTACAGTCAAACACACTGTAACACCGAGTTAGACACCCCCCCAAGAGAAGAATGTTGCCGACTGCTTGCTTCTCTAGTTACTAACTTCAGCAACGACTGCACGGTAGCAGAACACAGCAGTCTGCGTCTCCACGCGCAAACCTCAACCAAAACGCCACTCTACAGCCACAAATAATGCTCAGAACAGCACCTAACTTTATCAACAGTACATATAGAGTCCCAGTTATAGTACTAGCCATTAAACATCTTTTTAACTTTGCCTGATTTCTTTAGCAAAGAGACTAAACACAACTCACCTACTCTCCTCCAGCAGCCGCTTGTTTGTGGGGGAGCCCTGATGAGTTGATCACCGAGTGTAGTGGAGTTTCGCAGCTCAAGGAAGAACATTTAAGATTATTACCTCATGGAAATGCAATCAGAGTTCTTGTGTATCTTGTATGTGCCCTCCTGTATGTAGCTCTTCTGCCTTAGCGTCTCAGTCTGATTGCATTTCCATGAAGTAATAATGAAAAATTTTCCGCAGCACTCAGTGATCCACTCGTCAGGGCTCCCCCACAAACAAGCGGCTGCTGGAGGAGAGTAGGTGAGTTGTGTTTGGTCTCTTTGCTAAAGAAACCAGCCAAAGCTAAAACGATGTTTAAACATTGGGCCAAAACTCAGCAAGGGCACGACCTATCATGACAATCACCAGATTCAGTCGCAAAAAATGTGCAACTATATACTGTGGTTTAAAATACCGCAAAATACCACACTCTTAAAGGGAAGGAATAAATGAATATCACACCTGTACAGTAATGACACCCTAAGACTGAGTTAGAGAACACCTGCGTAATATTCTCAAGTTTGTATTGCTTTCTATGATGTATGTTTCAAGGTGTTTTTACTGTGAGCCTCACATTTACTGGCCAAGATGATCTGCTGGAACTTCCAGGGTCGTGGTTAGTGGGTGCCATTAAAAAAAAGCAGCTTAAACAACTTTTTTTTTTTTTCCTTTTTAGTGTTTTTAGGAGTCCTCACTGCTGTTTTTAGCATTAACATTTAAGTTTGTTTTTTCACACCAATAAGTAAAGATATGAAGACACATTTACTCACCTCAATACTAAAGTATCCTCGATCTACATAGTCACCAAGGAAGAGATATCGAGTGTTACTGGGTGATCCACCCACTTCAAACAGCTTCATGAGGTCAAAGAATTGGCCATGGACATCACCACAAACTGCAAAAGGAACACAAAACAGTCTTTACTCATTTTTTCCTGTTCTTTTTCTTAAAATGCAGGGTTTGTATTTTATGTTTGAAGTAGGTGAGGCGCTAATGTTTCAACACACATTATGTAGTTGAAACTTCCTTAACTGAGATTAACTATTCACAAAATACACAATATATCACTGTATTGAGCTCAAGTCCAGCTGACCCATATATCACAAACCCCAACAGCCGATCAGCACACTGCTGCGAGAGGATTATGTGTGTGTGGTATGTATAAATAGTGCTGAGACAAAGTAGTTTTCTGACAGCAGAGTCAAGTGCTGAGGGCTTTAAGGAGCTACCAATAATCAGCACAGCCGATAGTATCGGCTGATATTCAGCATTTTTACAACAGTTGGCATCTGCCGTTTTTTTCCACCGATAGCCAATAAAATAAGTTTATTTTAAAACGCGCTCTTTCGGCTCTTACGCAGCCGTCTCTCTCTGCCTTAAGTCACCACTCTTGGCTGTAGATCAATGTCCCGCCTACAGTCCCCACTGAGATACACAGACAGCCAACCAACACTCAAGCTTCTAGATGCAGCTCCACAGTGAAGGAGAGAGAGAAAGGAGAGTACATCTTATTATACAACAGTTTGAGGTCTTTTTATCACCGATTTTCACAGTGTACCAAACAAACAAACGGTGTACTGTGTTCAGGGGTATTATCTAAAATTTTGTCACCAAAATAAGAATTTTTAGTGCAAATGAATATCAGTTATCGGTTTCCTTTTACTAGTAATAGGTATTGGTATTGCCCCTAAAAAAACATATCCGCTGATCTTGAGTAGATTTGATTAAAATTACTTAGACAACAGGGTAAAATTGACCCTGCATGCAGGGGTTGATAGCTTAGCTGTGGGTTGTAGACTTAGTTTTGGGGCTGGGCTAAGGGGAGCCCCCTGTGGAAAATAAATTTACTATTGACAGATACCTCACACAACCTCAATTCAAAAAATCTGAACTATCCGTTCAGAGACCCTGCTCCAAGGAAACATATCGGATCTCCTATCCATATCTATTCAAACTACACATTCATTAGGTAAAGTCATTAACAACCGTTTTCTCCTTTCAGGGTCATCTGTCAGTAGGTGGGATATGTCAGGCCGCAGGTGACAGAGGATAAAAAATATATTATCTCAAAAGTTTGATTCAAAAAAGAAAAGAAAAACACAACATACCATACATTCAACACAAATGCTACACTCTGCTGGTACAGACCACACAGATCAATGTGTTGAAATTACACAGTTCAAGTTTTGAAAGCATCATGAGCAGTGATGGCTCGAGGATGAAAATGGTTTCTCAGTCTGTTTGTTGTCTTTGTTCTGAAATGCCTGCCTGAAGGCAGCAGTTCAAACAGATGGTGATCTTTTCATATACCCTGAGCTTTGTTGAGGCAGCGTGAACTGTAAAGATCTTTCAGGGAGGGTAGAGGGCAGCCTATGATCTTCTAAGCGGTGATGATGACCCTCTGGAGCGCTTTTTTTCTCTGTTGCTGCGCAGCTGACACCACACACACACACAGGTAATAAGTCAGCATGCTTTCTTTGGAGTATCTACAAAAGGACACCAGCAGATTTTAAAGTAGGTGATTCTTTAAAATCCTTAAGGAGTAAAGTTTCTGCAGCGTCTCTTTCACCAGTGCTGTGTTATTAGTGTTACGTCAATAACTGCAACAACAGTTGTGCAAAAATACATATTTTTAACTTGGAGACAAAAACTGCTTCTTCAATTCCCACAGTCGTCCCTCCTACCCCAACGACAGAGCGCCCTCCATTACATAAATGTCATACTGGATGAGACACTTAACAAACTCGCCTTTCTCTTTATGGGGAAATTTCCAAAACAGCTCAGAGCAACAAACATGCTTCCATTAAATCCATTAACAATTTGAACATAGTTTTGCAGCTGCAGCTTTAATAACTCCGGTTTGTGGGTAGGAAAGTTCTATTTTTGAACAATCCATTTAGTCTTTTAATTGCCATACACCTTCGCTGAGAGTCCTCAGCCGAACCAGTGCCGATGTTCCCTTTTTTTCTCAGGCGGTCTGCAAGTTGTTTGCAGCTGACCGCATGATTTGTTGAATGACCACTTGTTGATGCTGCCGGTTTCAAGGCAGAGTCTCTTTTCTGTGACTTGTTTTGGTACATTTGACAGTCTCCAAAAGAGAGTGATTGTCTGTTACACACGTAATCGGAAAATTTCTGCGAGTGCGATCGCACGTGGTGAGCCCTGAAGAGCGCGTGCCAAAGAAAAACGGCATCGTTAATGGTGCAGGTGCTAAAGTTCCTCAGTGCCTGCGTAAGGGGGAATCTACTTCTCCCTCGCATAATCATCATCATCATCATCATCACCTGTATCTCATTCCTCACAGAGTGGATCTCTATCCCAGTGTAACAGACGCTGTTTGTGTTCTTGGTGTCTGTTAGGATTTTCAGGGACTCTGAGGCACAAGCAGGTGAGTCTTTTTCAAAGGTCCTCAGTCTTGAGTTCTTCAAGCTTCTCGAAACTAATGTACCTTTTCCGTACAACACCATTAGATGTTTCCTTGAGTTTGCACGCCCACCTTGGCCCCTCATCTGGCCCTCATCTCTCACCTCTCCAAACAGCTCAGCATTTTTGGCTGCAACCCTATTAAACTGCCACTGGGCTGATGCAGCCTGTCAGCTGGGTATCTGTAGACTGAGGGGCTGGAAGCTAACAGGAGTATTTTGTTCACTGTCCAATGCCAGGGTCACTTTTAACTCATTCGGCTCGAGAACACTCTGTACATGGCGGCAGGCTTGTTACATCCCTGCTGCCATAAAATACAGTGTACCATAGTATGAAATATATACCTAAGTTCCAACAAACCTACTAGTCAAAAAGTTAAAAAAAAAGAGTTTGGAGGTATCTGATGTCAAATAGTTTGCAGAGTGTGGCGAACATTAGTAGAGCTTGCACCACCTGCGTTAAGTCCTCCTTGCAGGTTATTGTCCACCAAACTGATAGTGAGGATGTTGAGGATCCCGACTCTTGGTCCCATTACTGCAGTTCTCAATATTTTGTTATTCACCAGGCCTCCAGACATCACTTAGAACTACTAGCAGACCTGCAGTGGCTCTCAATACAAGATTCATATGTTTGTGAATAAAACCCCAATGGTTCTTTATTAAACTGGATTACAGAACCTTAAACGGAGAAGTTGGGCCTCCAAGGACTATTATCCACTCTCTGGTCACTTCATTTCACTTACAGTTGATTTCTAACTTTTGTTTTATCTTGTTTATGAAGTCAAAATCTGTTGGTGTAAGGATGTGTGTGCATATTTGTGAGAACTTGTTATCATATTACACTTTCAGTCTGGTTTGACATGTAGCCAGTCGGATAATTTAGTCGGTGGGACATCAGGTGAGATAAAGTGGTGAGTGAAAACAGAGGGAAAGGCACAATTCTATTAGCGATCAGTAAAATAAAAAGGCGGACATAGACAACAAGCTAAATGCTAAATATTGTCTCTGAGTAAGTATGTTAGTGTGGTTGTGAACACCAAGGGACCAATTTATTTTTGGACTGTGCGGCCAAGAAAGCTCACGGCGTAATGTTAATGTTAAGGCTCATTATTCATTCTGTGCCTTAAACGGTCCCAAAGTGGTTAGAGTTCAGTTTCGTCTACAGAACAGCACCACGAGTACCACAGAGTTATACGTCTTCTTTAAAAATACTACAGCAGTGAGACAAACGTGCCTCGAACATCACAGAATCAATTTTTGCTCACCAGTTATAGGTGCCTCTACTTCCAGCATGCACTTCTCTTGGCGGAGGATGTTGGCCCCGTCGTTGATGATTTTAAGCGCCACATCTTCTTCCACCCTGCCCTCTTTGACGAGGTGATTGCGAAGCAGCTCGGCATTAGGCTTTCCATCTTCGTACAGCTCTTTCACAGTCAGTTTATGTTGTGGAGGGTATGGCACAGCTGTTGGAGGAACAAGACATGAAATTAACAACAAGGTTGTTTTTTTCCCTTCACTTTTAAGATGGATTCAATACACAAATGGCCTGTAAAAATTAAAAATGTTATGAAAAGATGAAGTTGTTGAATGAAGCTCGTTGATGCCAGAAAACTTCCACTCATATGTATAAGATAAGACACAATAGATGTGTAAAGTATCATCTTAGACTGTTTAGCTACAGCTGTAATCATAACATATGAATATTGCTGTGACTGGCGGGCTAGGAGGACACAATCTTCCAACACCGTACATGTTTTTAAGACAGAGACCTGAGAGCTTCATGAGCAGATCAATAAAGAGTAAAACATTTAAAAATGCCACATGTAGCGGCGTAAAACTGATCAAGCAGTGGAACAGTGGTGAGACACACGCAGCTATTCATGACTTAGACAAGCATTTGCTTTTAATACACTTGATGTTTATTTTTTTCTCTTGGGATATCTTTGTTCGATGTTTCTCTGATGTCATTTTTCTACTTTTTGTATTTTGTGGAAAAAGTCACCACCGCTAGGGCTGGGCAGTATGACCTCAAATCAATATCACAATATATATGGACGATAACTACTCCACAAGCTGCTCACCCCCTCCCATATTAACTTCATCTACTTCAGCCACTACAACTTTTGAACCATCCTCCATCTCCTCGCCTGTCTTTCCCTCTTTGTTACGGACTGGATCGGGCGGAGGACAGCGTCTTAACTCAACTCAACTTAATTATAGAGCATTTTAATACGACCAAAGCTGACATTAAGTGTTGTACATAACATAAAAACATAAAACAACCATAAATAGTTGTTTTAAAATAAAGTAAAAAGCAGTAAAACAAATCAATAGAACAAATGCCATCTCAAAAAAATTTCCCCCATGGGGGATCAATAAAGGAATATTCTATTCTATTCTATTCTATTCTATTCAAAAACCAAGGAATAAAAGTGGATTTTTCGACGGGTTTCAAAAATGGTCTTGAAGGGACATGAGACCATAGCCTACCTGTACACTTCCAAAACCAACTTTTATTTATTCATTTATTTGACACCAAATATATTGACGTGGGCAAAATGACTTCGGTTATTGTCGTAATATTCGGTGTCTGTAAATTTTCGGCATCTGTAAATTTTCGGTTTATCGTCCAGCCCTAACCACCACACTCAATGTTTGATGGATGATGTGAAAAACTGCGGCTCACTCTACCTCTTGTTTGTAGTATTGGGAGCTCTTAGTCTTCCTATAGACAAGACCTTCTTCTATGAGAATGTTTTTATGTTATTTACCTGTTAAAGAATAAAAATTTGCCCAATCATGCCATAAAGGAATAAAAGTGGATTTTTAGATGGGTTTCAAAAATGGTCTTAAATGAACATGAGACCACAGCCTACCTACACACATCCAAAACCAACTTTTATTTATTTATTTGACACAGAATATATTGATATGGGCAAAATGACGTTGGTTATTGTTGTAAATTTTGGTATCGGTAAATTTTCGGTTTATCGCCCAGCCCTAACCACCACACTCAATGTTTGATGGATGATGTGAGAAACTGCGGTTCACTGTGGCTCACTTTTTCTATGAAAATATATTGATGTAATTTAACTGTTAAAGAATAAAAATTTGCCCAATCATGCCATTCACAGTCCCTCACTGTGAATTAACAACAGATATGCCAAATAACTCACACAGCACACATCAAATAAATTACTGCACCATATAAATATGGTTTATAGTCAGGAGAGAAGGTCTGATTCACTGATGATGCTAGGCATAAAAAGGTTGAGAGGTAATACAAGAGACCTAGAATAAAATTTGAATAAAAGCCAGAAACCCTCCACTCAGTATGATGAAACGTATACTTGTGTTGTTAAACGTGACAACACTTGCTATACTGTATCTACTTTAGGATATTAGTATCTCATTATAACAAGCTGTGAAAAGAAAAGTTCACTAGATTGTAAAGTAGCTACATTTGCCTATTAGTGAGCAGATTGAGGATTGTTTCTGAAGTGTACATGGATTTGGAACTGGTCCGCTGGAGTCTCTATGATCTTTCAAGTAATAAGTGACAGACAGTGATTTGTTTCAGGCGCCACAAAGCAAAGGCTGTGACCGTGGGGCTGCTGTTGGTGTCTGACCTGAAAGAGGACCTGTGGCTGGATAGGCCACAAACTTTTATCCAAGTTGAAAATGAGATAACACTTCTTATTTGACTTGTCTTCTATAGTAAGGACAAGCTGTCATGCATAGACCAGTGCAGTACAAATAAACATTAAGTGCTCCCAGGCCCACAAGGCCACAAAGAGAGCTGTAAGCTGAGGTACCAGCCTTAAGAACAGATTAGGTAAAGCCTCTATTAGCAAGGGCTTCCAGATTCAGGGTCTGTTTACTTTAAAGCCGTCATACTAACAGAAGGCTCCAGTAGGAATAAAGCAGACTGTGTGAAAATACAATCCTACAAAAAAAAAAGAGACAAATTGATTATTTAGTGATCAGGAAGCGTAACATTCTGGCAAACACCACCTGATCACTAAATTTGATTTTTTCTTTTTTGTGCGTTAAAAGAGAAAACAATACTATAGACAAAGAGAGAAGGGAGCAGCTAAGTTGATGAATAACAAGAAAACCTTTTGTTTACATGTATGTAAATATGCTGCCACCGCTCTGACATTCACTTCTTTGTAAAGACTGCCAGGACTAATTAGCATTAATATCCAGTGAAGTCTACAACAACAACAACAACAACACACAAACACACAGGGCTGCTGCGTGTCGAAGCTACACCTTCACTGTCTCAAATGACAACAACTCAAGCGACAAATACACTCCCATCTTCTATCCTGCCAAAAGATCAGATCGTTTAAGATAAGTAATACAAAGCAGCATTTAGAATCCGCCCACTGTTGTGATAAAAACAGCACAATAGACGGAGTACTGAATTACAAAGGTGTGACTGAGGCGACTGAAAGAAGCAGGCTGTGACTGGATGAATCATAGACACGACTTTGGATTTCTCTCATTATGAGCGGATGCGTTGTCAAACTAGAAAGCCATATCACTGATTTCATATCTCTTTATTTTATTTGACACTCTGAGGTTAGTAATTATCTAGTTTAGGTTATAACAAAACTGACCCAAATGTTAAATGAAGCACTAGAAATGTTTAAATTTAAATGATGTACTGTATTTTAATACTCTTGTTTGGGAGAAACAATCTGATGAAATGCAGAAGTGACAGAAGAGCAGCACAGGGTGGTCTGCTCAGTTAGTCTAAAAACACCACTACAACTATGTGCAAGGAGGTAAATATCACCCGATATCAATATTGAACACTTTTATTTCAAATTTTTATCAATCATGTTCATACAACTCTTCCAATCATATTCAAAATGCATGATGTAAAGGGCTTTTCTTCCTCTCCCTGTGAAATGTCTATATTGTCTCATTATAGGGAGCATCAAACTCATTCATTCCCTGCTGGTTTACACTTGAACACTTCAGTCCTCTGTTAAAACTGCTCTTTCCAAAATAATGCAGATTGGTGGATATGTGGTGGCATCAAGTATGGTAGTGGTGGTTGTTGTAAAAGCAGCTGGCTTCTTAAAAGAGGCCGCCTAGCAGCTCTTAATGGATCTTGGCAGCTACCTGAGATTATGCTCTGTTTGTATTGACTTGGGCTGACCCGGCTGAACATGTAAGGTCTGTCCAATGAAGCCAGAGCAAACAGCTGTGGAAAAAAGATTGTGAGGAACATCAAACCAATTCAGATATGATGTATGTCAACTTCAGTGACAAATAATGGTGGGTTTGTTCAATCTGGGGGAATAAGTTTGAATTAATATATGTTGAAGACACTCACCTTTTATCAGCCTCTCCGTCGTGGACTGTTTCTCTTGTTTGTCTTTGTCTTTATCCTTTCCTGACATCTTTACTGCGTCCGTAGAGTTAGGTCAACAAGAAAATCTTGGTCAGTTCTCCAGCCAGCGAGCCCGAGGACAAGCTAGCACATTAACCCGGTGGTCTGTTTCGTCTCAGTCTTCAGCTGTCAAAGGCAAAAATTCAATAAAAGCTTTTCCAACTAATAGTTTTCCAGCTTGCGGAGAGGAAGCAGCTCTTGTCCTGGTTGGGCTATCCTAGCTAGTTCTCAGCAACATTAATGCTAGCATGTGATAAATGTTTACAGTCTGAGTAATAATAATACTACTAGGATAAACTCGAAATTTGATAAACAGCTGAAAAATAACTGAGGCGACTGGTTCTGCGAGTATTACCTGGTTATTATCCAGTGGGAGGATGCAGTTGACAGCTAATCCGATTTAATGTTAGTTAACCTTACTCTGTCTCAGCTAGTTAGCCAGCTAACATCCTCACGTATTCGCAGTACAGTGGACTGGCAAACACAGCGACGGAAGACACTGTCCTCATCTTCTTTGTGGTGCGAGTTAAAAAAGGGAGGAAAAAAACACACATACAGAAGAAGAAAAGTGAAGTCGTGTTTGTCAGCGCGCTACAAACCGAGTGTCCTTCCAGGATACAGGCAGTTTCTTGACAGTGTATCCACCCCCTCGGATTAAATTGTAATCTGACAGCAAGTGAGGAACAGCAGTGGATTTCCTACAACATGGTGGTGCCGACATGACGTGACTATGGTAACGTAACACGTGGATAGTGGTGCGTTCAAGGCACTATCAGAGTTCTATCTATCTATCTATCCTTTTTAAATAATTCTATTACTTAAAATCTCTATATTTTAAATAATTCACAAAACAGATAGATAGATAGATAGATAGATAGATAGATAGATAGATAGATAGATAGATAGATAGATAGATAGATGTCGCTTAAGTTTGAACAAATCGCTTATTATTATAGAATTAGTCTGAAAAACAAAACAAAAACAAAACAAAAAAAATTGGCAAACAAAAAAAATTAGTCTGAAAACAAAAAAAAGATTTCAAATAATTGTCTGAAAAACAGAAAAGTAAAAAAATCTGAAAAAACAGAAAAAAACTACTCTGAGTTTTTTTGTGTGAATGCTTTTGGTGAATTATTATTATCTTCATTTTCACTTTTTATACTAATGTTTCACTAACATATAGCTAGATAGATGTCACTTGAGTTTATACAAATCGCCTAAAATGACTATATATATATATATAGTCATAGTGGCAAAAGCATTTAATATTGAAGACAAATCTGTGTGGTAAATAACAATTTTAATAATAATAATAATAATAACAGTAATAATAATAATAATAATCAGTATCATCATCATCATCATCATCATCATCATCATTATTACTATCAACATTTTCACCTTTTAACTACTGTTTCACTGACATATAGATAAATAGATGTCACTTGAGTTTATATGAATGGCTGAAAATGCTTCTCAAGTAAAAGAAGTGTGCAATAAAAATTAACAGCTGTATGCTTTGGCTAAAAAGTGAGCTGTTGGAGTTCATGTTAAGCCTCGTTAACGCTACTGTATGAGACCTACACTGTAGTGACTCACTTCCTCTTCAGCACCTCATCCTTCGTATGCTGTGAGTGCCCGCCACCCTCTGCAATACTCCACCTAAACACTAGTCAGCATTGTGGTGTCTATGCTCGTCATATCATCACTTTCTGGACCCTCTATGTTCTCTCCTTGTTTGTGTACGGTGACCATGGCAACTGAATTGCTGCAAAAAGACACTGAAGGAAAGACGTATGAAAAAATATAATAAATAATTCACAAACTGTCGAACCAGAACATACATCATCTTAAAAAACAAATTTAGCTCCAACACATAGTAGAAGGACGAGCACTAGAGGCATTCAGTGAGACTTCAGATGTGTTGATTGCATAATGATAATGATGCAAGTGAGTAAAAACAAATACAAAACTTTGAGATTTATTGAACTTGAAAATAACATTGAATTCCACTTAAACATTCAATTAAGTAAATACATACATTATACTGAAAATATAACCAACCACATATAAAACAATGCATACAGAAGATCAGTTCAAAGGAAAGAGCAGCTGGACAGCTTAAAAAAAAAGGTGTTACAGAGGAATATTCCAACCAAACACAAAAACATGCAAAAAGAGTCATCTGTTGTTAGATGGTCCATGCTAGTTTATGGAGATGTTTATGCTTACGCTTCAGTATATTCTATAGTTTGCCCTTTGACAAGTCCAATTGATGTTAAATTGTTTGCCTCAAGGTGAGAAATTATCACCATACTATGACATAAGACATTCCTGAGCCCAGTTATTTTTACAAGTTAAAAACCCAAACAACAAATATCACCACATTTAAATGTCACCCCAATACAAACTTTGAAACAATGGTGGAAGAATTAAAAAAAAGAGATGCAGAGACACAAGCACCAAAAGGCAAAAAACCTATTGGTGCTTACTGAGTTGGCGAGGAAAACGGGAAGGGGGGGGACATGGAAACACACAGAGTTGTCAGCAGGACATGATAATTTCAAGTGTAGGCACTCGTGGCTTTTAACAGTGCACAGCTACAGCTTCTGGGAAAAAAGAGGTGATTTATTTTTTTTTTTTTTAAATCGCACCAGAAAAATTGTTCCTCCCGAAGCCAAGGTGTTCTTGCAAGCTCCAAAATCTGGCAAACATTGTTATAAAAAAAGCGATTCAGCTCAACATCACAATCCAATGTGTTGGTAACTATGTTAGACTACCTCACTAAATGGTTCACTCACATAAAAAAGACTGCAACAAAAAAAAAAAAAACATTTCAACAGAGTGATGAAGGGACTCTTTGGTGCTAAACCTTAGAGAAAACTGGACAGGTCCATAAATGTGAGAATGTAAAAAAAAAAGGTTAGCATTATTTTATCTAAACTTAGGTTGGCAAAGACATGAACATCATAAAGGAGTGTTGAATCACAAAAGTAGCCCACAAAAAAGGATACACAAATGAAGTGTAATGTATACCTATACATAAATCCTTCATTTCAGATAAGAGTCAACAGGATTAGTAATTTGTTACAATAGCTCTTCCACAACCCTCCGTTCTTCGACTCATTTTCAACATCCGCCCTGAGATGGACGGTCAGCCATCTTGTTCCAGGGAGTTGTGAAGTCTTTCTAGACAAGCGCCCACAGATAAATAAAAAGATCCACAACCCAAAAGCTCTCCTTCACCCCCTTTTTTTTGTCTTATAAAGATAACTCTAGTTGGAATATACCTTGAGAAGAAATTCAAACAAATCACAGTAGAGTTCCAGTTTGGCCTGAATGTAGTCTGGAATATCTTCATTAAAACTGCACAGTAATTAGGGTCTCTCATTGCTTGCATATACATTACCAGTAAATTACTGTCTGCAGATATTGATAACTTTCATAAGCTTTTTTTATTTATTTTTTGATGATTTCAGCATCCTCTGAAGGCTCAAGGAACATGTCTGATGAAAGGTAGGCGACAAAAAAGTGATTGGCATGAAGAGCTTTGGGGAGTGTCTGGAGACGGAAAGTGCAGATAAATGAAAAGTCCCAGTTCGTCAGTGATTTGACGAAAGACAAGTGCTTCAGTCCCACCAGGGCAATGGGCCCTTCAACTAAACAGAGTCAGATAAGCATTACTTCTGACCGATCTTGTCAGGTTTTTTTTTTTCCTGGAGTGTTGATGGGATGGAGTGTACAGCACAAATCCATAGAAGAGTTTCCTCAGCTTACCATCTGGTGCAGATCTGCCTTTGAGTTGTGGTTCTAGTATTCCAATAATGCTGCCCACATGGAGGAAAAGTTCCTAGAGGAGATCCAGGTGTGGAAAGTCAAAGACACCCTCTGTGTCTCGTGAGTGGCATCTGCTTTAAATTACTGCATGATGAAGCCAGGTTGCGGGGCAAGGCGGGGACTAGGCCTCTGAGGCAAAGCAGGAGGGCACTGAGATAGGAAGTGGTTGGGGTAGCCAGAGGAGACGCCTGGATAGGGTTGGCCTGTCCTGGGAGGAATTGGTGGGTATGGTGAAGCTGAGAAGAAGACTGGAGGCTGAGTTGGAGCTGATGAAGCTGGAGCTGTATCAAGAGATGGCACTGTGTAGGCTGGAGGGGCTGGAGGCTTTCTCCTTGGCTGTGCGATAGGGGAGGAGGTGTTGCTCGGCTCTGCGAGAGAAGAGGAGGATGGGAGTCTGGCTGCTGCTGACACATCCTGAGATCGGGAGGATGATTCCTGGGGGAGCTGCTGGCCCTGCAGTACCATCTCCTGCAGCTTTTCAATCTTCACCCTTCTTAAATGTGCCAGCTTTCTGTTGCTCTGATATGCATCAATGAAGGAATCGAGGGTCATGTCTCCATCCAAGAAGGAATCAGCCATATTCTGTGGAGCACAGGGAGATTATGAGGAGGGCCTCTCTGAGCGTTGTTGGACAATAATAGCAAACATGATTGACAGTGTTGGAAATCAAGTTTATGGACAATTGGAAACAAACCAGAAGAACTTTAAATTGATTTCCTAAATTCAATTTAAATTCACAATCATCGTGCTCACTTAGATCACTGGTCAAGTTACAGGAAACCTTGTCATTCTGTGGTCCAACTATCCAATTAGACAATGACCTGATTCAAGGTTTAAGCCGGCACACTAAAACACTGAAACAGCCACAAAATACTAAATATTGTTACAAAACACAAACAATTGCATACAGTATAAATCTTAATTGAAAGACAGCTTGAAGAGTTGTCATTAAATATTGTTTCATTTTCCCTTTTTCCTTTTCTATAGAGACTAATTTTGATGGCAGCACACACTGTGATTGATAAAATCCTCAAGTTCTTGCAATTTTATGCTCGGGGACATCTATTATCTTACTAACCTGTTGTACATTGAATGTCTATGTAAAATTGAAGTTGCTAAAATATTTGTGACATTGCTGACTAGCAAAACTGTAGACATTTCCAATAACATATAATAAGCTGGAGAACCCAGTTTTTAAGTCCTTTTCTACCATGTACAGCACTGATAGCAGAGTTCAGCTAGAAGCCCCTAGTTTGGAAAATCTTTCTTACAGTCTAAATCCATAACTCAGTCAAACATAGATCTCAGTCTTTTCAAATGTTTCTGTTTTCCTTATGCAACACAGCAGCTTCTTGAGTCGTTATCACAGACCACCTGCCTCATAAAGTGCAGGTTCCCACTCTTATCACATCAGACCATAGACAGCCCCTGAACTGATAAGACATGGACACTGGTAGACCTCTAGTGGTGTGCCATGGTATCTGGTACCGGTAGCAACAGATCATTCAAGTCCTGTTAACTGTGTTATGGGGACTGTATGGATTGGACTTTGTTCTCTAACTCACTAAGTTGGTGTTTACTCGTAATCAAGCTTTCACACCCATGGTCAGTCAAAGAGATAACATGTGTTATTCTTCAGCTGTCAGAGACGCCCTTCACAAAATGGGACACAGCGCCATGTTTGCTGCCTACATAACCTCCATAAACAAGAGTGTTCAAGTTTAACTATTAACCCTGTTTAAGAGAGACACCGACAAAGGAAAAGTCAGGAACTTGTCAACGTGCATGGAAGGAGGAGGAGTCGAATGCTTACCTCTGTGTCCTCCTCTATTTTGGCCCCTTCTGCCTGCAGTAAAGCCAGCAATGTATCCAGAGAAGTGTTTCCTGATTTGTGGTCTGTTAAATAGCAAGAAACAGTGAATCATTACAAATGAAATGACACTAAACCTATAAAAGACACGTTCTGTGTTGTTGGCAGTCAGACATGTTACAAGATAATAAGCAGATCCATAAATACAGAGGAGTTAACAAAGCGAAATCATAAGCAGAGTGATCAGTGAATGTGGTCAGATGAAGATATGAGCCTTTTGAGGCTTTAAAATGAGCTTGTCAGCTTTATCTGACAGGCTTATTGTAGAACCAAAGACTATTTAAACATTAGAGGACAGGTGTGGCTTTATATGTTGTTTACTAATCCTTATAATTTAATAACAGGACTTCTGTCTGTGACAGTACGAATCAAATTTGATTTCAGCATGATGTCCATGAGCTTGGAGGGCTGTGGAGGACGGGGGACTTTTCCTTACTGTACTCAAGTATTTTTGAGAGTATCTACACTTTACTTTTACTTCACTACATTAAAAACAGGTAGTACGTTAGGGGCGCCCAGATGGCCAAGCAGGTTAGCGTGCCCCATACATGGGGACCATGGTCCCCGAAGCGGTCGCAGGCTCAAGTCCAGCCCCATCAACGTGCTACATGTCTTCCTCCCTCTCTCTCTGTCACCCAACATTTCACCCTGTCCTGTCAATAAAGGCTAAAATCACCCAAATATATATATTAAAAAAGAGTAGTACGTTAAAACTTTGATTTCAATCGCCTTTCTTATGTTATTTGTTAAACGGTAGCAGCAAATACGAAATATGTTTTAGGTATTATTTCTCAGGACCCATCCATCCATCAATTTTCTGACACTTATCCCGTATCATTAGAATCTTAATAAAGTCTATGACTGTGTGAGGATGACCATCGTAAAGAAAGCATGCAGAGTGTTTGAGAAAACTTGGGACTTTTCTTCCGCCTAAAGTTCAGAAGTGCAGATCCCATCTCAAAGACAGAGCGCAGATGTTTTCCATTATTTGACTTGCAAATAAGAAAGAGGTGAAAGGTCATTAAACTGGACAGGAATCTCATTATCTATTACCGTTACCTTCTTCTACTTATAAAAGTAGTATTAACCTTTAGTGCTTCACTTTGCCCTCTCTCGCTCTCTCTCTGTGGCATGCCATTATAAAAGAAAGATGTGTGAACAAAGCTCACATTTTTCTCTGTGCTCAGCACTTTTAACACATTTGCCAGCAGTCTGTCTTGTCTTGTCTTGTCAGCCTCATATCATGTAGTTAGCTAGTAAAAGAGTTGTTTTCTGTTATTTTTGTGTGTACTCTTCCAAGTTTTACAAAGGACAAATACTGAGTATTTGAACAACAACATTTTTTTTCTTGTATGCACAGACTGGGCATCTTGATTCTTAAAATAATCAATCCACTAGGATACACTGGATGCTTACGGTGCACACAGGCCTATCTTTGACAAAATGTGGAGAAACTTTTCAATAAAACAACCGCGACTGGTAATGTGTTCTTGAAGTATTAGAGTACTTGCTTATTTTGAAGACAGCACATGAGCATTAATTTGCAGACAGGCTTAAATTTAGGTTTCAGTTCACTAAGTCTTCGTAAACAGGTGTGTTCATATTTTGTAAAGGTTGGGTTCTATTAACACACTGAAGCACCAGCTGCATATTTGCCTTACCTAGGGTGGACTTGCGAAGTTGATAAGACTCAAAACTTTCCCGGAGACAGTTGTAGCGCTTGGTGAGCTGCTCTTTCTTATGCTCCAGTCTGGGCTGCAAGGCAAGGTTGAGCTGTGCCAGGGTTCGGTTACTGGCCAGAGTCTTGTCCTTGTTGTCCTGGACTTCCTGCATCTACAAGAAAACAAGTTAGAAATGTGAGAAACAGTGAAGCCTTTGTACTTCAAGGCAGACAAGATCTTCTTACATACTGGGCTCATAATTTTTGACTATGAGGTCCATCAATAAGCTTTTGCAAAGAAACACTGAATCAAAAAAGTGAATAATAGTATTAATAGATTTAATACAGTGTACTATTAGACATAAAATGTGCAGCGTAAGATATTTATCAATACTGCTCTTTGAACCATAATCCTAAAGTCATCAGCCGTCTTCTTGCAAAGCTAATATTTGACAGTGCGGGCCTGCTGAAGAGGCAATATGACAAGCCCAACTGCAGACTAACTCTGTCAAGTACATAAATGTTTGCTTGGAAATAATAAGTACACTCCAGCCACTATAAACAGACTAAAACGACAACAAGAGTTGTAGCTGAAGCATGTCTTGCTTATGTACAACTTGTATTTGGTGTAGCAGAGAACAGAGATGATACAGAGTAATGTCAGGTCTGTAGAGGCAGGACACAGGTGAGATCAGTGCACACAACGTTAGTGGCATCAAAAGAAACAAACACACTGCCATGTAGAAAACGTAGATAATTGTGCGCAAATCGTCACCATCTCACTCAATGGTTTTGTGTCTACACACTACAGATGTACTCACTGAACTTCTCAGCACCCTCATTTGCAATTCAAGTTGCCCTATAAAATTTAAATCACAGTCTTAAGTGCATTCTAAGAGGCGAACTGAGGTTTGTCTGACCACATGTATCTCTGACAAAGCAAATAGCCACGTAATGTGATGCTTTGAATTTTTTCTTCATAGTTATACCTCATGTTATGAAAAAACATGAAGTATATGTTTTGCACCACTGCCTTATGGCCTTATGGTCATGTTTATAGACTGTTTTTATTCATTCGTTGGTTAGTGTAAGTATTGTCACAGTATTTGTATTTGCAGAATGTGTACTGTGTTTTTAATTGGTGCTGCCTGTGGTTTTTTTAATTTCTTTCTGGTATCAATAAAGTATCTATCTACCTACCTACTTATCCATCTAAAACTAAAACAAACCCTAAACTTTAAAAAAAAACTGTAACCTCAATTTAGAGAGAAAATCATCACTTTAAATAAGAGGGCAGCGGCACCGGCTCTAAAAACTAAAAGTTGAAATTGTAACCCACATACATGACGACATACACATCTCAGAATTCTCATTTCTTTCTTATGGCTTAAAATGGGAGACTGGTTAATCAAACACGTATGTTGCTTTAATGCAGTCAAACAGCTGTAAAACTGCTGGGCTGAAAATCCCACTCCTGACAGAGAAGACTGCGAGAACACGCAGAGTCTTTCTCTTTTCACTCTGCAGTTTCTGATTTTACAGATGTTCAGATCTGTGCCTCGTAGGTGCTGTTTCGACCCAAAGTTAATACTATGATCACAGAATGTTTTACATTGTGTCAAAATTTACAGATACTTTTTGATCAACTGATGAATCTTGCCATGAGTATATCCATTTGCCATATTGTCTATCTGTAATAAAATAGAGAAAATCAAAGTTGTGAACATGTTTGGTTTGTTTTTTATATCCTTCGTGCTGTGCGTAATGTGTTACCTTTTACCTGGGGTGTAAATCAGCAACATATGTACCATGGAGACAGTAGAATATTTATGTGACATAACCCTTTCAAGTGTACCAAATGGGTCCACTGTTGTAAACTTCACAAGGTTAAACCAATGGCTGTTTTCACACAGCTTCCAGGTCTACAAAATAGTTCATAGTTCTGACAGGCTTCTTCCACGGTTTGTGACAGAGATAACGCAGGTCCTTCCTTCCTGCTGCAGTCAGACTGTTTAACTAGGCCTACTCCCAATAATCCAGGTTTTTTAGCACAACTAACAGACAATAACTCAATGCTACCTCAATGTGCAATAATGACAGGCAAGTTATTTATCACAATTGCAAATACCTACATTTAGCTCAGGTGTATAACATGTCCAATTTTTTTTTTCACTGTGTAGAATAGTTTTTATTATTTTGTTGTTGTTTCTTACATTTTGTTTCTCTTTCTGGTGTATAATATTTTTTGTATAGGGTATAGAAGTTAACTTTTTATAATTATTTGTTTAATGTGTGCATGATGAGTTTATTTATTCTTCTATGTTTGCTGTGCTGATCTTTTGCTGTTGTTAACACTGCAAATTTCCCCACCGTGGGACTAATATAGGTTTAGGGAAAGTTTTTCAGATGAGATCCTTTAATATTCAAAAGGTATTGAAAGCTGTTTTATTTTCTGAAAAAAAAAAAAAAGTGGAATAGGAGTAATATTATTCCAAACAATAACAGTGAGTTAATTTCAAGCTAAAGATTCAATTGTGCAGAGATCATGACTGCGCTGAGTCAGCCAAGAAAAAACAATGCAATATTTTGAAACTGAAAAAATGTGTCAATTTCACTCATGATTTAGTTCTCATGAGTGGTGAGGCATAGTGAGGCTAGTCATAACAAAGTTAAGCGAGTCCAGAATAGCATCAACAGCAACAAGCTGCACAAAAATTACATATATTTAAAAAAAGACAAAAAAAAACCAGTTACAGGACTGTAAGCACCATAAGATCTATGTCACGCTGCATTTTAGGAGACAGAAAACTAACATCACTGTGTTTCACATACAGAGCGGAAAACAAATTTGTTTATCTATCAAAGATGCAGATCAAACATGGTTAAAAAAAGCCATGGAAATGATCGGCTTGCATAGCTAGAGGTCTGATCTGAGTGAGGAAAACGGCTTTTACAATCAGCATGTGAAGAGGCTATACCTTGATCAGAAGAAGATTGCAAACATTTCTTGAGCTTTTACAGAACTCATGATTTGTCCACACCAATACAATATCTGATCAGAATCTATGTTCAGGTGGCTCAGTTTCACCATTCCTCTGTGCCTGCTGTCACCATGAGAACATTTACCCCCCTTTTGGAGCATCAGCCAATCATCACCTTTACAAGAATGAGTCATAACGGGGTCAACCACACCTCCACAAGGAGATAACAGTCTGTAAGTAAGACCTCTGGAGTTAATACCTCTAAAGACAGGCACGAAAGTGAGACAACAGAGACAGTGAGGAGTTTTGAAACAACTTTTCTGATATGTCCCCATTAGAGTTGATTCAGAAGTTGATACCTGCGCAAAACTAAATCACACAAGCAGGAATAACTACCATGAGCACTACAATAATGAAAAATTACAACACAGACTATGAGATTTTTGCTTGAAACTAAAAACGGGGCTACAAAGGTAATGATGCTTTGCCCGATTTAAAATCGCTCCTTCAGCAATCAAGTTATCGAATACTTTAATTTTACTGAAGTGACTGTTATTTGACAGAACAGCAGAAAAATGAGGTTTACAAAAATCTTAAATTTAGATCTGTATCATCTTAAACATGCTATGTTGATGTGGATCTGCTGCTGGGAGGTAAATTGTGCATGGAAAGTCTTATCAGCGCTGAAGTAGGACAGGTACAGACTATGATGAATGACAGGTTCACACTGTCCTTGTGCTACTAATACAAAACCAGAGTTCAGTGTTTAGTGTAAAAGTTGACAACTAATTATATAACCTGTTTGTGTTGCATAATTTTACACATGACCAGGATGTAACAATTACTCAGGTGAAATAAACATTAACAGCAACTGAGGCCATCTGCAGTGTGTTTGTGTCCAGAGTTTATAGTCAGATTATTGAGGGTTTAGATTTAGACTAATGGTTTAAGATGATATTTAATCGTTCAGGTTAATCTTTCTTGTCCAAACTGTCAGTGGTAAAATGGCAGACGAGTGGATGCAGATTGGCACGACGACAGGTCTGAAAACTGTCGAAGTTAGGGCCATTTTTCCCCAAGATTTCAAGCCTCTGAAAGGTGACTCTGTCGCAGAGGTGTGCCAGTAACAGAGATTTTACAATCCCTACTCAGTGCTGAAGAAGAAATAGCCTTGAAACTGTAACTCGGAGTCCTCTTGTCTTCAAACTTGGGACGATACTTGCTTATTTGATTGTCTCTAGGATGAAAACCCTCAGTCTGTAAAATGCTCTGTGAGTAAGAACTTTAGATGCTATCACGGAGGCTACAGTATACGTCTTTATCGAGATAGAGGGAAACCACTTCCGTATCTATAACAGGCGGTTTACATGGAGAACATAACAAAGGCGAAAAACAAGCCCTGGAAAGGGAGTCGGTAGCTAATGTTGGGACTGGGGACTTTTACTGAAGAGCTCCACGTACCTCATCCATCTCCTGGACCATTTTCGTAAGTTTTTCGTCGTCCTCCAGAATTTCGTTTAGCTGAGTCATCGTGTAATCTACAAACTTGGTGTTGAAACTAGACATTGTAGCTGTTGTTAGGTGTCTCTGAAGTCCCTCTCCTCCTCGCCCTTTCGATAATGACAGCTGACTGAGCTTGCGTTACAGGAAGTAGTCAGAGGAGATAGAGGCCTTCTGTTGCCTTCACGGGCTGTCAAAAATATTGGAATATGTTGTGGAGAGGCTCCACATCACGCAGAATTCAAGGATTAGCTACGACGTTTTCACTTTATCCTAAACTGTAATTAAATCCCGAGACTTCCTCTGTCTTGAACGGAACATTCAGATTTTTTCTTCTGTGGTAGCTTAGATCAAAACCTTGCGGTATAATAGTTTCCTCTATTCCCATCATTAGTAAGGCCAAATTGTGCAATGTAATGCCATATTTTTTTCAAAGAAAATGATACAGATGCACGGGATTGAAATGGATAAAAATATATCGCTCCCTTTGCTATCCAGGTATCAACAGGGTCGGAGGATAAAGATTGTCCTCGGGTTTCCAATTGTCCAATACTCGTCCATAGTGACCTGAACGAACCGGAAGTCGTTGAGTGTCCGTCCGCCATGATAAAAGCTGGTGGGATTCTTTCTTTATTCAGAATTGACAAAATTATAATTCTAAACATAGCAGAATGAGTTCAATACAGTAATTTCAATATTGAAATAACGTATCAGTAAGAAATACTTAACAATATGGGACAATTTGGGACATTAATGAGCAGTACAGGGGCTCCACAAGGGACAGTGCTGGCGCCATTCCTGTTCACAGTGTATACATTAGACTTCAAATACAGTACTGAGTCCTGCCACATCCAGAAATACTCAGATGACACCGCTATTGTGGCATGTATCAGAAATGGACAAGAAGCTGAATACAGAGATCTGAAGAAATGAGTGGAGTGATCGGGGAAATTTGTTAATACAAACAGACATGAGATCGCAGGAAGCCACGCCTGTTTGTTATGGTATCAGTTTACTGCCATTGAATCAACTGTGAGTCAGCTGTATCATCTGTTTTTGTTTGCACTGTTATAACTCTAATTAAAAAAAACACAGGATGACAAGTTTAATAAAATACCTGAACTTTGATTATTATGTCTGTCTCCAGCTAAGATCCATATGATAATTACTGGTAGACTGCATTATTAAATTACTTATTGGACTTATATTTGTTGCCAATCTGATTTTGATCTCTAAATCCCATTAATATGGAATATTTTAATCATTGTAAAGTCTCAGAAACTCTTCCCATAAGGTTAAAAACTTCAGGGAAAATATAATCCATGCAACACTTTTCGCACTTGGCATCTATTATTATGATCAGGCTGATATGAAACGTACTTGACAATATGGCTAAACATCTGTGCAATAAAAACACAAAAGGTGATACTCTCTCCTGATCTCCGCTCACTGTAATGAACTCAAAACACCACCATTTGAGGAAGTTAGTGGACCCCCCTGTGTGATGCTGATGAAAAATGTTGACATTTTCAGGACTGTTCACATCATCGTTGTCACATCTCAGTCCAAATTCTCAAACTTAAAGAATACCAAAAGGCCGCAGCATCATAAAATAACAGCAGGGATAGTTTCTATTATAATTTAACCCCTTCAAAATCCATGTTATGAAAATTGCCAGGCTCGGCAGATGTAGTGACATCCCTTTCCCTAACAAGATCTGGAAAGGTATATAACCCTCTGCTTCAGATGCTAGTACAGCCTTTTTTTTTCCGCCAGCCTAATCCTCCCATGTGGGAGAACAGAACTTGTCCAAGGTATACTCTTTATGTTGAACACATGTAGAATTATGTTGTAAACAAAGAAGTGTTTCAAAAAGCCACAGCATGTTTAATATTTTAAATTCTTCAGAGTAGTCCCTTCTGCTATGATTGCAGCTTTGCACGCTCTTGGCATTTGCTAATTGGTGTCATGACGTTGTTTGCCGGAATAGTTTTCAACAGCTGAAGTTTTCAAAGGTGCTGAAAACTTTTTGGCTGCTTGTCTTACACTCTGCTGTCTAACTCAACTGAAAACCAACCTAACTGGGTTAGGATCAGATGATTGTGGGGACCAGGTCATGTGACACAGCACTCCAACCCTATCCCTCTTAAAATAGCCCTTACACAGCCTGGAGGTGTGTTTTGCATCATTGTCCTGTTCAAACTCAAATGATGGTACAAACCAGATGGGATGGCGTGTTGCTGCCAAATGCTGTGATAGCCACACTGATTATCAGTGTGCCTTGAATAAATCGTCAAACCAAAATACAGATTTCTAATTTTTTTTAAAATATCAATTACTTCTGTTTCTTGGCCCAAGCAGTTCTCTTCTTGTTGTTGATCTTCCTCAGAACAGATTTTTTTTTTTTTTTCAGAAATTTGACCATCGGGGCTTGATTCTCAGATTCCTCTGAACAGCTGATGTCTAGACCTGTCTGCTAGTTGAGCCTGTGAAGCATTTATGTGGGCTCTAATGTCCCTTCCAGATCAATCGTTTTTGTGTTAGTTCATTGGTATTGTGATATCTATTACATATGGAGAACATTTACTTCTGTCACTCCAAAACATAATCAACACTTAAATAATTTGATTGTAATAATACTCTTTGATTGGTTACATTGTCTGAGATACCAATAGTCCTCGTGGTAAGTCCAGCCTGAGGGGGACCCATTCCTCCAAGGACTTTTGAGTCCACTTAGTACATATGTCTGGATAGAACTCAACCTTACAAGATTCCTTTTGAGATATGATGTATATATGGCTTTGTCTAGACTTAAATAGGCTGGAGAGAGCGCTTAGGAGACAGGCAAAAAAAGAAGCATTGATGAAGTTGTTGTATTTATATATTATGTCACAAAAACTTAAACAGCCTACTTTGTATTTCAAGAAGATAAACTATATTGAAGTTGATCGAAGAGTTACCTTAATTAACCCCTCAGTTTAGAATAAAAGTGTTTTCTCTTCAATCAGATTGAAATAATCTTAAACCCCTAAAAGACCCAAACCTTGCCATATTGTGCTTTCTGCAGTGCGAGGACAGCCAGCGATCTTCTGCTGCTGTTGCCCCTCGGCTACCTGAGGCTGCCTGTCCCAGTCTGTTCCCGGTTTAGAGGGGAAATCTGATACTGTCCCTGTGAATTGCTCTCCAAGAACTTGTACCTCATCTGTGAAAACAGCTCAGAACTACTTATAAAGCCAAGTACAAAGCAAAACTAAAGGGAAATATACTACAGACTGCCCTAATATGAACATAATCTACAAAATCTAACCATCTAAAAGTAAATTAATCTGGCCTGCGAAGATGTCAATGACACGAAAGCAGCCATCAGTTATGTTGATGTGTGTTAAAGAGGCATCAAGAAGTCTTGTTAAACTGCACTTCACGGATAAACTCTTCCATTTAAGTTTCTTTTTACCAACAAGGTTAAAAAAGTATCACTGAAACTGATCCATGGATTCAATTAAGTTATTTTCTTTTTTCTTTTAAAACAAACGATAAAGTCTAGTGATGTATGCTCTGTCTATAAATTTAATCCTGAAACGTGCACTTATTTCTTGTAAATTTACATGCAAATTGTGGACTGATGTAATTTTATTAGTAATAACAGCTGAAATACAGTCTTAAATCAAATGCAACGACAGGAAAAACCGGACTGGTAACAACCATAGCGCAGTCATGTCATGCCGAATAGGCGGAGCAATGATGTAGGGGAGAGTGGGGTAAGATGAGCCATTTTTCATATTTCGGATCACTACATCAAGGCAATTCTAGTTTTGTCTTTAACTAGTGGATCTGCATATATTTCAAGATGTTGTGCATCCCCGCATACCAACAGAGTGAGTGTAAACATAACTGTCTTGATAATATAGCATGCCAAAAAAAGTGGTCTTCTATGGTCAACTTACCCTGTGTATGGGGTAAGTTGACCTCCAAGCTAAAATAGTGGACTTTTATGTTGGTTTTTGACCTCGTGTTGTAGCTCATAGATACCACAATTGATCTATAAAACAAACTGAAAATGATCTTTTTTGGTCTGAATACAATTCTAATAACACTTATGACAGAATAAATTCACTTTCAAGGGTGAAAAAATGCTTTGTTTTTTTAAATAAATGTCTAACCCCTTCACCCATGTGCTTCTAACCTTCACAGACTCCATGAATTGATTCCCATCTCCTAAATATTTGGTCACACGATCAATTTCTTTTACCATTTCCAAGCAATAGGGGGTGGCTCAACGTACCCCACTCTCCCCTACACGGGAGAAATTACTGTACCAACAGATATATCCTAACCGATATTAACCTTTTTGTGGAAGGGGTTAAACTTGTCAGAAAGTTTTATTCTTAAATCACACAAAACAACCGCACTGACTGGAGTCCTCTGCACTTCCTGATCAACCTGGAGCGTCTACACCTGAAGACAGCCTCCTCCTGCTTTTAGGTGTAGCCTCCAAATGACTCCTTTCTGCAAGACACGACTATTGCTGGCCTGCAGCGAGGCCTCAGGCTATCCAATGCACATAACAGCTTCGTATATAGAATCCATACCGTCATGTATATTGCTTTACATGGCTGTGACAGATCATACACGGAGACTGACCGCTGGCTCCGCCTCAAACCCACGTGACAGCGGGACCTCTGCAGTTAGGACAGACTTCAGCAGCAGCTCCCGCGGAGGTGGCTGAACTGCAGTTGGAAGGTAAAGCAAAACTTTCCCCAACTTTGATTTGTTTCGTCTGGATTAGTCATTGCATACTGCAGATACTTCATACTTGTTCTGTTACGAGGCATTTGCAAAAGCAGCGTTTGTCTTTTAAATGTTGTTTTCGCTTTGTTACACAATTCAGTTGGCTGTATACTCTGTGTTTATGAACTGTCTACGTGCACAAGTTTATCTTGAGTAATCCAGCAAACGCTGAGGGTTTCTCAGCACATGTTCACAGTGTAAAGTATACATTTCAGTTGCAGCAAGTTATGATTGCTGCTTTTTTGACTTTTTAAAAACTCATTCTAGTGCTAATGATTAAACTTATTTAGTACTTTAACCACTAAAAAGGGGGATTGCAATATTTGATTGTCACATTCATGCCATTTGTTAGCACTTCTATCCAATCACACCCAATGTAGTGCAACAGGATTAAATAAAAAACAACAGAGGTCCATACTGCCATGTGACAGAATTAATCTGTTTACATGAAGGTTGCCTTTGTGGATAAGAATAAGAATAAGAAGAACTGTATTAATCTCCAAAGGGAAATTCAATCATCTGTTGTCTACTATTTCCACAAGAGTTATCTATTATTTACACATCTGACTTCCAGATGTATTTTGTCTGTTAATGTAGACATGCAGGTGGCAGTGGTTGGAGCTGGAGTCATTGGCCTATCAACAGCTCAGAGCATCTATGAGCAGTATCACTCCACTGTCAAACCTCTGACCATCAAGGTTTATGCAGACCGATTCACTCCTTTGACCACCAGTGATGGAGCCGCTGGCTTCTGGCAACCCTACTTGTATGACAACGGCAAAGTCCAGGAAACGTGAGAACTTCCTCTCTAACGCTCTCTTTCTTCTGCATTTAATCTCAACAAAGTTCAAATGCTCTATTTTTCCTAAATCTAGAAAATGGAACAGAGATACATTCGACTATTTGGTGAGCTGCCTCAGTTCACCAGAGTCTGTGAAAATGGGTGTTTTCCTTCAGTCTGGCTACAACCTCTTCACTGAACCAGTCCCGGTAGGTAGGAGCCTGTCCTATACAATGAATTGTTGTTCAAAGATAAGACATGACCTTGTTTGGAAGACTTTTGCCATCCAGAGCAAAGGGTAAGATCAGAGATTCGGTTCAATTATTACCCAAGATAACTTAATCATAAATGTACCACATACCAGTGTGTGTGTTTCAGCCTGACTGAAAGTGGATCTTTGTTTAGCTGCACAAACATGGCTGCCTTCTTTTGTTGGTACTAACAAACAGAGAGGCCCCATCAGGGGTTGACAGTCAGATCCAGAGGGTTAATTTGGTTTCTATATGGTGATGCTGCAAACTAACACGACCATGACTGCTTTAGTACAGAAATAACAGGATTCAAGACAAACTGCTTTCTTATTTTGCAGGATCCCTCATTTAAAGACACTGTCCTGGGCTTCAGACACCTCACAGAGCGAGAACTTAAGATGTTCCCCGGATACAAGTAGGTTTACTTTCCAAACTGCCATCAATGTCAAACCAAAAACCCAACAGAGCCACAAATAGACCCTGTCATCGTGACTTTCAGGGAAATGTATAGTAAAACATATTCCTGTAGTAAGACAGAGGAAAAACATAGAGAGTATAATGAGATCCTCAGCAGTCATATTGTAAAGTTGCATAAGAGATACTAATATTTATGATTGGACGGGTCATTCTTTGTCACAACTACCCTCTCTCTAACACGTATCTTCTGATGTGTCCAGTTTTGGCTGGTTCAACACTGCTCTCATGGTGGAAGGTAAAACATACTTGCCTTGGTTGATGGATTGGTAAGTGATCTGACGTCCTCTCTGCTTTTTATTACACCTGCTGTTAGAGTCCAGAGGTGTTGCACCTTTTTGCAGCACTTGTCCAAATTGTTAACCTTTGAGTTATGTAAATATTGTGTTAACCCATTTTTAGTATTATTTATGTTATACTGCTTTGAATGTCTTACAATATTTCATCACTTCATCACAACATGGTGCTAGTGTCTGGTGTCCAAATGTCCTTTCAAGTTGTTTAGGATGACGAGTTATTGATTTTTAACAGATGTCCTAAGTACATTTTTTTAGTATGTTTTCAAATGGTTTTTATGTACAACTTTTTATTTTATCATAGGTTGACAAAAAGGGGTGTGACATTTCATCAAAGAAAAATAGAGTCATTCAAAGAGGTTAGTGAATGCTTTTAATACCTAACTCAATAGTGTGTTACTTTCCAAGTCTGGACTTTGACAATAACAGCGGTTCACTGAGAGCTTTAAGTTTGATCCCTCTCTCCCTTGAAGAAAAGCTGCAGACCAAGCTCTCTTGACAACACCTACACACTTGTTAAAGAGATATTCCGGCGTAAAATTAATTTAGGGTCAAACACACCATAACACCGAGTTAGACACCCCCTGGAGAGATGCATGTTGCAGACCGCTTGCTTCTCTAGTTATACCAACTTTAGTAATGACCACAGGATAGCAATACACAGCGGTCTGAGGAGCCATAAACAAACCTCAACCAAATAGCCACTCTGTAGCCACAAATAATGCTCAGAACAGCACCTAACTTCATCAACAGTACATATAGGGTCCTAGCCATAGTACTAGCCACCAAACATCTTTTTAGCTTTGCCTAATTTCTTAGGCAAAAAGACTAAACACTCTTCACCCACTCTCTTCCAGCAGCTGCTTGTTTGTAGCGAGACCTCAGGCCAGTCCATTACCGCAGCGGGGTGGTAGTCCGCAGCAGTCCATAATGGACTGGCCTGAGGTCTCGCTACAAACAAGCGGCTGCTGGAAGAGAGTAGGTGAGTTGTGTTTAGTCTCAATGCCAAAGAAATCAGGCAAAGTTAAAAAGATGTTTGGTGGCTAGTACTATGGCTGGAACCCGATATGTACTGTTGATGAAGTTAGGTGCTGTTCTGAGCATTATTTGTGACTATAGAGTGGCGTTTTGGTTGAGGTTTGTTTATGGCTCCTCAGACTGCTGTGTATTGCTATCCTGCGGTCGTTACTAAAATTGGTATAACTAGAGAACCAAGCGGTCTGCAACATTCATCTCTCCAGGGGGTGTCTAACTCGGTGTTAAGGTGTGTTTGACCCTAAATTAATTTTACGCCAGAATATCCCTTTAAGGGGTAGGTGTCAGTCTAGTATCTGAAAAAAAGCCGATTTGAAAATTACGGATATGATATTTACCATAATTGATTTATTTTCCGTCCAAAGTCAGCAAGATTACCTTTTTTTGTCAGAAATCACCACCCAAACACGTAGAGGACAAGATAAACAAAGACTGCTTTGTCCACAAGGGGCGCCAAACTTTACACAAACCAAAAGTTGCATGTCTTATCTTGAGAAAATAAATGCGAAATTGCTTTTCTGAGTATTTCTGCATTCAAATTGCTGTGAACCTCTGGCAGACCCAAACGGCAGGTTCAGACACAGTGGGATTTTCTACGACACAAACCCACTGACCTTCTTGTGTATGATCCAGATATTATGTGCATCTATTCTGCTCACCTCACAAGACAATCACAAAACGTTATCACTTGTTATCTCTTATCATACTTCCCTGGACCCAGCTTGCAGATTCTGGTGCAGACGTGATCATAAATTGCACAGGGCTAAGGTCAGGAGAGCTGCAGCCTGATCCAGAGCTCAAGCCAGGGCGCGGTCAGATAGTGAAGGTAAGAAGAAGTTTAACTGTCTGGAATTAGTTTATACAATTAGCTATAAAGCACATTTAGAAATAGTGGATGAGCCTTGTAATTTCATGTTTTGTTCAGGTGGATGCTCCATGGCTGAAGCACTGGATTCTTACCCACGATTTGAAAGCAGGGGTCTACAATTCACCATACATCATTCCAGGGTAAGTCTAGTGGTACAAAACAGGTGGACAACAGAAAGCAGCTCCACCAGTGGAAGCAGCTGTCCGGGACATGAGATCACCATGATGCTTTTGGGTATCATCATGCATGTGCACATTTGGTTTCTGTATTTTTAGCTGCCTTATATGCTATGGTACTATGGTGTTGCTCTCTGTCTGAGTTCTTTCTGTATCCAGAAAACCAAAGTTGTTTCCATGTTTTCTACAGAAGCCGTCTGGTGACAGTCGGTGGCGTTTTCCAATTAGGAAACTGGAGTGAACAGAACAACTCCATTGACCATAAGAATATCTGGGAAGGGGCATGCAAGCTTGAGCCAAGTCTCGAGGTAAGGTCATAGAAAAATAACTTTAATCAGTTATTCACAATGAGTATGAAGGAGTTTATCAAAAGGTGTTTGATATGTTCAGAATACTTTCCTCAAGCCTGTTTTCTCTTGTTCTCTTCCCTTAGCATGCCAGGATAGTAGAGGACTGGTCAGGCCTCAGACCTGTTCGCAGCAAAGTCCGGTTAGAGAGAGAGACAATACAGTCTGGTGGGACCACAATAGAGGTAACTGTGAACAGCCGGGCAATTCTCTTTTTTTTTAACTTGGGTTAGTTAGCCATTTCACACATTTTAACTCTCAATCAGGTGATACACAACTACGGTCATGGAGGATTTGGACTCACCATCCACAGAGGCTGTGCACTGGAGGCAGCGAGGCTCTTCATGGAGATTGTGGTGCAGAAAGGCAAAGGTCCAAAAGCTCGCCTGTGAATTTCCTTCAGAAAGTAGTGATTGGTACACTCCTTTTTTTTCATATCAAGCTTAATCAATCAGTGCATTGCATCTTACACAGATGAAACGGTTATTGTCTCTAACTTTACAGTCACCATAAATTATATGCCACTTATACGACAAATGTAATGTATATGCAACTTGAAAAAGAAGACAGTCTTGCACTTTGCTGTTGTCTATTGCTTCTTAAGAGATAACTCATTCTCATATTACATTCAGAAATCCAGAAAGACAAATGTACACCTCTTAAACTCAGCATAGCTCTAGGTAATAAATAACAACATCAATCCTCTGCTCTCGTTGAAAGGTTATTTACTACAGTATCATACACATTTACATCCAGTGTGTTGACAAGAATCTGTGCACACAGACAATGCAGCACTCACTATATCAAACACTGGCAGGTAAGAGTCAGCTCACAGGACCTGTGCTAGTTCAACTCTGTCTTTGACTTCGCTCATTGTGTTACTGGTAGAATCTGACAGGGCCGAATCTGTCATCACATCACCTTTGTCACAATCAAAAACAAAGACAACAATTAAACCAAGTATTGATACAGAATTTACAGAATGAAACATCCAGTTAAATGACTGTGCGTAAATGTGAACCTGTGTGTGAGAGATGCAGCAGGGTTTAAAGGTCCCAAAACCATATCTTTATGTAAATGTCACCTTGGAGTTATGTGACTAACTGAGGCATGTCAGATATGGATGATGAAATGACTCAAATTAAGATTTCCCAATCCTTCAATTTTCAGTGAAATAATGTCTTTAGAAAGCAGCCCACTCTTTTAATTGTGCTCTAAATGGGAAATGTCGTCACTGTGTGATGCTCAGATGTTATTTGATTCTATTGGAGGCTTTGGATTTTCCATTTTGTTGATCAAATGAACTCATAATGATCAATATATTAACTGATATTTTCATCGATACCAGAGTAATAACTGCTTGGTCCATGTATACATGTGAAACAATACTGACACGAGTAAAAGGAAACAATAACATGATTGAAGAAAAACTGAAGAAAATCAGTGACTGTGTGTGCAGCATGTCTTCTCTATCCTATTGGATTTAGGGTCTGTTGATTTCATGATGTAACTGTCCTCCCCTCTGATGCACTTTTAATAAAGCTGAGCTTGCAACGAAAGTATTTGTTTACACAAGTTATTGTTCTTTCTTATCTACGCATCTACTTCCAAGATGTTAAGAGACTAATCTTTTTCATCAGGTTGAAAGTACATCTCTGAACACTGGAAGATTTGGTTGTTTTTTTTAAGGCTCTTTGAGAAGATGATGTTTATTTGAAGTTAACTCTGCTAACTCCCAGCATGTTTTCACTTTTGTTTCTTTTACATAAGAAATGCAATGTTCAAACATTTTGCCTGAAGTATTTGATTTCTCATTTGTTCATGAATGTCCCATTTTGTTCTCCGCTTACTTTTCACTTGCACCCATGTGGGTTATTTGTTCTTTCCTGACACCAATGTGTAGTTGGTCAGTGGCAAAATTGTGACAGCAATGTTGGCTGAAGACTATAAAACAATAATATTTACTATTGTGCTGCCTGGCTCTCAGAAGCCACTGTGGTGCCTAAACTGAAGAGTCATAGGATGGGAGAAGGACACAGAAAGCTTCTCCTTGTCCCTTCCCCTCTTGTCCTCATCACAGTCAGCTCTCTCTCAGATGTTCCCCGGCCTGTCCTCAGCCCTGGGAGGCGGGGCTGGACTGAGGGATTCCCTCTGAGCCCTGAGAGGGGGCCCTACCCACCATCTCTTGGCCCCACTCGCGTTGGCTGGATTCTTGCAGGCCCCGGCCTGTTGTCTCGATTGGCAGTGCGCAGGAGGCAACGGCAGCCAGGAGGCAGCAGCAGCAGTACACAGAGAGAGCCAGATACACAGATGACTCCAGCATCACCTGCAGGTAGAAGAACGGTGACATTGTTCACTATTTTGCTGTGTTAAGGAGCATTCAAATGACAACTCTGGAGGGTGGGCGTTACCTGTGCAACAAAAGGTGTAATGAGGGCTCCAACTCTAGCCATCCCACTGCTGGTTCCCAAACCCAAAGCCCTGGTGGCTGTTGGGTAAACCTGGAGAGATTCAGAAAGTACTGAGGATGCTGTTGCACTGTTGGCTCTCAGCTATTGAGAAAACTGTATTTTTTTATTTTTTACTTTGTTTATCTTGTTAGATGTCTCACCTCTGGAGTGTACACATATGCAGCCTGGAACCCGCCTGCAATGAAAGCTCTTGCGATGAAAATCAGCACAGTCATAGATGCTCTGCAAAAGACCAGAAACACTAGATCAAAGTTTGATTTTAAATATTTTCTGTGCTGGTCTAGGCATCCTGTGTTGCATGATATACCCCACTCTCTATTCCCTATGTTCTATCTATTTCTTCACCTCTCTCATCCAATAATGGCCAAATACCTCTAAATTAGTATTTTGCATAAACACTTTTACCAGTTTCCACCTACCTCCCAACACAACCATAGAGAGGAATTATGCACATGGAGAAGATAAAGAAACACAGGGCCATGGTCTTCCTCCTTCCTAATCGATCAATAGCCCATAGGGTCACAAGCAGTCCTGTAACGACAACAGAAATTCCTGTTATCAAATATGAAAAGATGGTGTGATTTATGTTTTACCCTGAAATGATCAAATGCTCTCATTTGTGACAATATGCACAGACTTTTTTTCTGAGCTGGAAACAGAGACAGTGATAATAGCTCATTTTTATTTGATTTTCTCTTTCATTACATTTAAAGTGTTTACTCTGGGTAGGTCAACATGCCTATAAAATATAAGTACCACTTGTTTTGTAATTTCCTTTCATCATTTCAGCAACTTTAGCATCTTAAAAATAAAATAAAAATAAAATAAATAAAAAATGAAGGTAATTAGCCATAATTACCTTTATTTTTTTTTGCAATATTGAGTCATTCAGGTAGTGTTTATGATTCACCATGCTCGCTACCATAAGATCCAGATTTTTTTTAAAACATACACTGTAGATAAGTTTGTGAAGACACAGATAAAGATGTGCTGTCTACCTGGGAACTCAGATAAGGTAGTCCACAGTAAGTCTTTGTAGTCGTCAGAGTTCAGATATTTACACTCCAGGCTGCATGGGAGCTCCATCTTATTACTTTTGGACACTAGAGGGAGACAAACAAAGATAACAAATCAGGCATTTTTCCTTATACTTTAAAAGAGCACAGTATGGACAGTTTTGACCTTCAGAGAAATCACAACTGTGACTTAGACTCTATTACATCAACCAGTAGGTATTGCCAGTGTAATCAGTGATATAGTCACACACAGAGTTCCAGGATAAGGTCCCTGAACATAGTAATACATGTTTGTGTTGTGTGACAAAGATAATGTAATGTAATACCTTTCAGAAAATAATGAAAGTAGAGGTAATATCGATAAGGATACATGAAGATTATAATAAGACTATTTTCAATATGACCACTTTGCTTTAATTGTTTGAAATAAATGTTTGAAATAAAATTAAACCAATCAAAATCAATCATTCTTCATGATTTATTTAATTAAAAACTATATTTAAAAGACTAGAATTTCCACTTGATGCCCCAGGGCTCAGCACACGAGTCACAGAGCTACAGTACATTTTCTGTTGATGGCCAAATTAAGTGTGAGTGTTTGTTCCTGTGTGAGTGAGTGCATTTGTTGTGTTGGTGACTCACTTCCGCATGCACCTCCCTCCTGAAACAGCTCTGTAGTGAGCAGCACCAGTCCGTAGTAGGAAAAGGAGTTTGCAAACCTGAAAAGACAGAAACACAGAATGAGAGAAGTGAGTAAAAAATCTAAAATCAGTGAGTGATGATGACTGGGTGGCACAATCATCCTCTCCACTTACCAAATAAACCACAGCAGCACTGTAGTCCAGCGAAAGTGTGATGAAAATAAGTCCTTGATCTTTCCACGGTCCTCCTAGTTTTGAAGAGCAGACAAAATGCAACATGAAAAGGTGCTCATGTTGATCCATTAACTCTGCAGAAACAGCTTTTACCTGTTTGGCAGCAATGAGTTTTCCCAGTGGCATCGGAGCTCCATTCTCTGTAGCAATCCGCTTTAATGTTGCCAGAGCTTTTTCCTGATTCCCTGTCAGCACATCGTACCGAGCACTCTCTGGTAGCCACTGATTCCAAAACAGAGATGTCCATTGATAAAGCTGTGATTTAATGTTCTCACATATTTTACAGGACTAACAAAATGATACTCACAAAGCAGAGGAAGGCAAAGATGAAGAGGGGAATAGTGGAAAGGCCAAGCAGCCAGCGCCAGCCCAGAGTAGGCATCACCAGGATTGCTAACAGGACCTCAAACACAGTGCCAAGTGCCCAAAAAATCTGCAAGGAAAAATCTCTATTGCATAAAACCCTGCCTGTTGCATGTCTGTTTTAGGGGCAGATCATATTTTATGTGGGTGAAAGGTGAGTAAGACAGTCGCATTGTTTTCTCCATACCTCGATCAACAATATGCATGTGGCTCTGGACTTCATCGGCAGAAATTCAGCATAAAGTGTCACCCTAATCAGGAAGAATATATCTCGTTCAATCCCCACTCAAGGTCTTAAATCAGGTGTTGCTTTTACAGACAACAGAGGGTCACTCACGACTGTGGTGCTCCGCCGATCCCAAAGCCCACCAATGCACGTAGGACGAGGATCCAGCCATAAATTGGAGCAAAAGCACTCATCAGGCCATAGAACATAGTCCACAGCACACTCATCTTCAGACCCTGTGAGTGGGAACAACGAAAACAGTCTGATAAGAGTTTGTCTTAAAGAGAATAAAATGATAAATTAATCCATGCCAAATAGGCTTTTTTAGAACTTACTGTCTTTCTGCCATATTTGTCAGATATGTTTCCCCAGAGAGAGGAGCTGATCATCATCCCAATAAAAACTGCCTGAATTGATGAGGAATAGATTGATTATGGGATCAGGAATGCTGCAGTGACTGTAATATCATTTCATATGGCTCATACCTTTCATGCACATTTACAAACTAGACGGAGCTGTTGCATTTTGTTGTGTGTGATGAGGATTTTTCATTTGATTATCCTCCCATGAACACTGATTAATTACATTTTATTGTAAACATATAGCAACTACACTGTAAATGGTTTGATGCAAGGTCTATTGTAGGTCCCCTGTTGTTTCTAACCACTGATGGCAATTTAAATTCAACACATATTTACTGACGGTAAACCATCAGTGGTCCACTGTTTTCCACAACCCCAAACCCTGAGCACTTCCACAATAATTATCAGGACATTCATGAGACACTAAGTGTACTTTACAGACATGAAAGAGTGTTTACCGATGTAAGCAATGCCACCTCAAGGCTAGGCAGTCTCCATTCACAGTGCAGCTGTGGGGCTAAGATACTGAGGATCATCATCTCCATAGCATCAGCCATCTAAGAAAACAGAAAACTTCAATGTATTTATTGAAAAAGTGTCCGTACACACGCACAGTGACTTGAAGTATGCAGTGGTATATTTTGGTAACAAGTGATTCTCACCCAGGACAGACCAGTGAGGATGGAGAGTTTCCATTGGAATGTCCCAAAGCCTATGGCCTCTACAGCATCTTCGACCATAAAGGTGTCTGGGGAGATGTGAAAATATTTCAACAAGAACTTAAGCAGTGGTCTCAGAGCTTCAAAAGAGAGCTTTAGCTTTAATGTTCATAGCTCTTGGTGTTCAATTAATCAATGTGGTTTCTTGCAGACAGATTAAAACATTATCAGCCTAACTCATACAATAAAAAGTGAGTTTTCTGCAGCTCTATACAAGATGATTATAGACTAAAATTGTAAATGTTGAGGGGAAGAGAGGAGAAATAAGTTAAATGAAGCCCAGCCATACTGTACCATCAGTTGGATTGGCAAACTCCCGAGGCACTGGAGCTCCTTCTGCAAGCGCCACCGACTCCAGATCAGTCTGCTCTGCGATCTTGATGACTCGATCTTTGTTCTCACCATCGTCCTCGGAACGCGCGCTCTCTCCTGTGCGACGAAAGCGGACGACACTAGAAGACAAAAAACGAGAATCTTTATTTGAAAAACTGAAGCACCAACCTCTCATGAGTATCAGATGACTATTGTCAAGAGAGCAAAACAGAGTCTAAAGATGCTTTTCGCCCAAAAGGACCCAGAACTTTTAGTCATGGGGACTTTTTTTTTTTTTTTTTTTAATTTAATCAAATTGTAAGGCCTGGCCTTTAAAATGTACTATCTACTGAGCAGGGGCTTCTTGTTGGGTAAAACTTCTACCATAGCACTAAATGGAGACCCAACACACAGAGTTCCGTGGTAAGGTCACTAAAAGCACCTCAAATTGGGCTCAGATGCTGTTGCTTAGGTGATGTGCACTGTTTTTTTGCTGTGATTTTGTGCTTTTAGTGTCCTGTAATTGAACTACTGTCGGGCTAACTGACAGCTCTGCACTGTTCTGCATGCTTAAAATGCCTAAGCACCCCAGAAAAGGGGATGCTTACTGCAGACAGACGGTGTTATCTTCTCTCACATGTATAAGAAGATGGTTAATTAAGGAGGAACACGAAAGGAGAACTTGGAGAGAGCCAGCTAGGTCTTAATCACTGTAATTACATAACACAGCCTACTCGCAATGGTAAGTCTTAGTGCAGCAGATGAGTGTTTTGAGAGATGTTCAACCACTTACATCTTAATTCTAAAAATCCAAGAAATATTAATAAGTATATTCAGTAATAGTTTGTAGTGAATTCTTTCTTTATTTGTTTATTAACTGATTACAGTTAAGTTTCAGAGTCCAGATCATCCATAAATAGTAATATCGTTACTTAATCGAATAAAAAAGGACAAATATAGTTGTTGTTTTCTATTTGAACTTTGTGTATTATTATTATTTCAAGTATGTCTTAAAGATGATGGTCAGGCTTGACTTGTGTGGGCCAGCCTTTAGCTTAATGAATGGACAACAGGGTGGCAATAAATCACGTTAGGTACTGAGTCATAACAGCAAACACATTGCAAGTCAAGGCGGGCTGCTGACCCTATCAAACCTGCTTCTTGAGTGTATATTTAAGCAAAATGGTATTCTCAGGTATAGTCTACGGCTGTAAACAAACTGCACCTCCAGAGTTGTATGAACACACCAGTTTATTTTTACTTCTCTCCCTACCCTTGGACATTTTTAGGTAATGTAGGAGGACATGTGTGGTGATAAAATGACTGCTTTTTTAAAGATTTGCGGGCTATTTATGTTGTAACCAGCTAATCAAGCAAACACGATACGAAGACATCAGAGGGCGAAGCGTCAGACAAACATGGTGTCACGGTTTGAAGATGATGGACTGAAAGAAAAAAAAACAAAGGGCGTTACAGAACGAGCTGGAATTTACTCACGGCAGCTGTCTCAGTTGGAAAAGATCATCGTCCATTTTACTGTTTACTGGCGGACGCTCCGTTCGGCCTCATCGCCGTTCACATTACCACGACGAGCAGCGATTTCAGCACCGAGGAGAGCGACCTGTTCCGGGTGTCCGTCAATAGCCAATGAGAGGCCGTCCTTCGCGATTCACAGCACGAGACTCGGAGAGGGAGAGGGCGGGGAGGATGAGCTCCAGAGTATCAGACGCTGCTTGACTGTTGATTGATCCCCAAACATGACTTATCAATACAGAGACCAGGTGACCACGAGACCTGGCTCCACGACAGGCAATCATGGCAAATTATGGTAAAATAGCCAATACCTAAGCAATATTTAGAATATTTAGGGCCAAGGTTGTTACCAGCAAGGGCGTAGGAATGAGTTTAACATGGGGGGACGGACACAGAAACCTGACAGATCCGTAAATAGATTGATGATAAAAATGTAAGCTTTAACAGTGAAGTCAATTCATATCTTTCTGTTAACTATTACAGTTAACTGTCTAGTGATGGGCACAGCAGTTCTTTTAGATGTACTGAATCACTAGCCTGGTTGGGCCATCCTGTTGCGTGAATCACTTGATGTTCCTGGTGGGAAGGAACATCAAGTGATTCACGCAACAGGATGGCCCAGCCAGGCTACTGAATCACTGCAATCAGTTCACTAAAAAGATTCTTTCAAAAGATTCGTTCACCAAATCACCCGATCATTTAGCGCTTGTCGGGAGAAGCCTGCGACTCCGACCTCCTGAACTGATACACAGCTGAACGGTTCAGGATTCAGTTGATTCATAGCTTCTGGGACCGGGAGACGAGAGTGTTTGGCTGTGTTGCTTTGGCAAACAGGTTTGTAAAAATGAACTTGTTAATAAGTCATGATGTTTTAAGTGTACTGTCCTAAGGTATGCTATTTACCAGGTCTGCTCAGTAAATTGGGCTCAGTGAGTGATTCGTTCACTGCACCGTTCCCTTGCAAACCGCTGTAATGATCGGATGCTGCTGGTTCAATGCACTACTTATTACATGCTGTGTTCTATTTTATGCAAGTTGTGGTTGCAATTTAGCAGTGAAAAAAAGGTAGTTTTGTCTGACAAAAATTATCCCAGAGAGTAGCGCAATGCGTGATTCGTTCACCAAGTGATTCAGGCATCGGTGCATGTGGTCCCTCATTCGCCGACTGCTGGCCTGGCAATGCTGTTTCTGGCAATGCTGAGAAACGAACGAATCCCTCGAGGAATGATTTGGTTGAGTACATTCACTTAAAAGATGAGTTTTTTTTTGAACAAATCGTTTGCGAACGACACAACACTATAACTGTCTCTAAGTTAAGTTAAAAAAATGTGTTTATAGAATTCATACAGACAACTATTCACAAAGTGTTGACAGGTTCATTTTTACACATTTACATGTTTAAATGCTTTTCTCTGCAGCTGTTTGTTAGGGTTAGCAGATTATGCAGAATGTGCTTCTGAGGTTAATTTACATTTATTTTGAGGTCCTAGCCTCTGATTGTGCTGTGACACATGATCAGGGTTGTCCAGGATGTTAAGTTTTTGGGTTATGTTGTGGTTTATGACAAGATAGCTGAAGAATAAAAGTGCTGCTAAGAAAGTTATCCGTCTCCATCCTGCTGTTTCTCATCAACCCTAACCCTAACCCTAACTTTCACGTTACAAATATATAATAAATTAACAACACAACAAAACATTTACAAAATGCTATGTGATCTTTTACGCTTTCTTCTTTTTTCAAATGTTTCTTTGAAAACACATTCGAGACGATCTTCAATAAGAAAAAAATATAAGCGAGAGTGGGGTAAGATGAGCCATTTTTCATATTTCAGATCACTACATCAAGGCAATCATAATTTTGTCTCTAACTAGTGTATCTGCATATATTTCAAGATGTTGTGCATCCCTGCAAACCCACAGAATGAGTGTAAACATAACTATCTTGATAATATAGCATGCCAAAAAAGTGGTCTCCTATGGTCAACTTACCCCGTGTATGGGGTAAGTTGACCATAGGAGGGGGGCAAGTTGAGCCATGTGTATTTTTTATCTATTATACGCTATTCAACTGCTACAGTAATTAATATCTATTATTATTACATATAACTGCTAAAAGCTGTTTTGTAAAAAGTCATTTTAACATGAGAATGCCTTTAAGTGATTCAGAACATTCAAGCTGAATTTTTTAACAGAAAAAGTAAAACATTTCAACAATCTGAACTGAAACTCTGATCCTCTCATCAGATTCCTTTACTGGTGAAATGGCTCAACTTACTCCAGAACTACTATTATGACTTTATTAGTCCTCTAAACTAAAATGGTGGACTTTTATGTTAGGTTTTTGACCTTATGTTGTAGCTCATAGATACCACAATTGATGTATAAAACAAATTTAAAATTATTATTTTTTTTGGGTCTGAACATAATTCTACTAAAACTTATGACAGAGTGAAAAATGTGTTTTTTTTTTTTTGTAAATAAATGTCTAACCCTTTCACCCATGTGCTTCTAACCTTCAAAGACTCCATGAAGTGGTGTCCATCTCCTAAATATTTGGTCACATGATCCATTTCTTTTACCATTTCCAATAAACAGGAAGTGGCTCAACTTACCCTTTGGCTCAACTTACCCCACTCTCCTCTACATGTCATTATAAATGACACATCTATCAAGTTTAGAAATATATTTCCGAACTTTTACTGAAAATTATTTTTGACATGCGTGCTGCAGAGTTTCAAATTCTGGTTTAAAATAAACATAAAGTTGGAACCTAACAGAACAAACGCATTAAAAAGTTGGCGACGCAATCAGCGTTCGGAATGTAAACAATAAACTCTTAAGTACGCCCCTCTATTAGTCCGTACCGAAACACGTCAGTGAAGACGAGAGTTCCGCAATGAAAGAAGGATGTTGTGGTGCAGACCTGAAAGCTCCGATAAGCTTATTGGGGAATACCTTGGCGCTGGACCAATAGTCAGGTAAAACCTCTCATCCCGGCAAACAACAATTAGACTGTATCTTGTGCTCTGGGCCATGAGAAAAGCGGGTCATGGTGCCGCCATATGTTCGACCTACAGTGCAGCCTGCGCGGACAGGCACTGAGTCCGGTGTGTCGTCTTAAATTGTTAACAGCGACACGCAGCAGTGATAATGATGGAAAATAGTCAAGATAGCAGATTGTGTTTGTGATTTCGGAGGCGACGTTGCACGCATGGGGCAGCTTAACCTCATTGTTGTCGGTAAGTTAGCCTGAACTTAGCTTAAGCTAGCTGTTTCAATGTTTGCTAATGGTCGTGTGAACTGGCACATGAGCGGCGGTGTGTGGGAGGCTGGACCAAGCACAGCTGATTTACAACAACACCAGAATATCACAACACGCACCATAACTCGTATTTAAGCAGGCTATGTGTAGCACTAGCGTACGATGCTAACTTAAAGGCTTTTCTTGATCAAAGGGCGCTTCAGATCTGTTTAACACAGATAAATGGATTAGACATAAAATTGATCACATTATTAGTTGAATCAGATTGCATTAGTCGACGCGTTGTTTATCTCCGTCTTAATGGGATACAGAGCACGTAGATGGGATAAACAAGAAACGATCTGTCCAAATGATCCTCTTGACTGACACCGGTACAGAAAAAAAACAACACTTTTTTTAAACATTATAAAGTAGGGATACGGCTCAACTTACCCCATACACGGGGTAAGTTGACCTTAGGAGACCACTTTTTTTGGCATGCTATATTATCAAGACAGTTCTGTTTACACTCATTCTGTTGGTTTGCAGGGATGAAAAAATATGATTGCTTTGATGTAGTGATCCGAAATATGAAAAATGGCTCATCTTACCCCACTCTCCCCTATTCTCTGATGTTTCTGACACCTGAAGATACTTTCACAGCTGACATATTGGGGCTTGTTGTTATTTATTTGTCCACATCATTCAGTGAAAAGTTATGTCTGTTTCACTGAAAGTCAAACTTGAGACGTGTTCAGTGTTGAAGTTGAGACTGAAGAGAATAAAAAAGGAACTATAAAGACGGATGAGGAGGATGTCCCATGGAAAACATCAATGTGCAACTACTGTAGTTATTGAAACGTACCAACAATCTAAGGAAACTAACTCACTGATGGAAAAAAAAACTACAAAACTAAGTTATTCTCTTCTAATGAGACAAGAAGCTGCAGACATATATTCAGTATCCTTGTGTTATCACTGAATTATCTTGTCAGTGAGAGTGCCTGTAAGTGTTTAGCACACCTATGTGCCACACTAGCTTAATTGCATTGTCATTAACAGAAGTGATGGTTGACTCTGTATTTACATGTCATCCTGTCTTATGGTTATAAACATGTTTTTTTGTTTGTTTGTTTACTTTCCGCCATCCAAACTCAACTGTTGTGCTTTTTCAACATTATGTCTCTACAGAAACAAGATGGTAAAAAACTGGGGTGTCATCGGTGGGATAGCTGCCGCAATTGCAGCTGGAGTTTATGTTTTGTGGGGCCCGATAACTGACAGGAAGAAAAGAAAAAGAGGTGAGTATCAATTAGTGTGACAATGTGACACAGAGGCTACATGCAGGGCAGTGGATGTAAAGCAATAACTTTTAATGGCTTATGCTTTCTTACAGGTATGGTTCCTGGTCTGTTGAACTTGGGCAACACCTGCTTCCTCAACTCTCTGCTTCAGGGTTTGGCGGCATGTCCATCATTCATTGGGTGGTTGGAGAAGTTTTCTGGCTCGCCTGTGATCCAGTCTTGCAAAGACAACCAGCTGTCGTCAATGCTGCTACAGCTTCTCAAGGGTATATGAGCACAGTCTGTGAAAGAAGTCAGGCCAGTGTATCTGACATTAAGCGCTGATTTAGATTTTTAACATGGTCGGTGTCTCTAACAGCTCTGTCTAGTGATGAGCCTGGGGAAGAAGATGTGCTTGATGCCGGATGCCTCCTTGATGTTCTCAGACTGTACCGGTGGCACATCAGTTCATTTGAAGAGCAGGTTAGCCAGAGATGCTTTTTTATGGCTGGATATAATGTGTAGTATGTTTCTTGGAGTGTTGAATCAAAGTCTTAAAACTTGTGTATTTGGGATCTTACTCCTCCTTAGGATGCACATGAACTGTTTCATGTCCTAACATCTTCTCTTGAGGAGGAGAGGGACCGTCATCCTAAAGTCACTCACTTGTTTGACATGCAGTCCCTCGAGGTAACTTATTGTCTGCCTACTTGTTTGTCCCAAAACCAAAGTCTAGGAGCTATTATAGAAAAGTCAAAACATCTGATCTGGACCTGTTGTCTCTATTATATGTGTACCTGTGATTTCATCCCAGAGTCTCCCTGAACAAGATGGGAAAACAATGACCTGCAGAAGTCGAGGTGAGAAGGCAGAGAAATAATTGAGCTCCGAATATTAAACTACAAGGAAATGCATTTTATCTTTTTTTTGTTGTTGTTCATTTTTTTGTTCATTTGTTTTGCAGCTCCTCTCCATCCAATACCAAGTCCATGGAAGTTGCATCATCCTTTTCATGGCCGATTAACAAGCAACATGTCGTGCAAACGCTGTGAACAACAAGTGAGTTAGTTTATAGATATCCGGGAAAGTAAGGAGCAAGTTAATCCATGTTAGTGGAGTTCTAATTGAAGATTTGTGTTTGTTTTGCTTCACGTCCAGAGTCCTGTGCGGTACGACTCATTTGAAAGCCTTTCCCTATCCATCCCTTTACCTCAGTGGGTAAGCAGCAATGTCAGGAATGGTGGAATTTATCACACTATATTCACATAAATTTGCTGTTTGTCTTACTCTGATATATCTTTATCTTCAGGGTCGTCCTATCTCTCTAGATCATTGTCTTCAGCATTTCATCTCTTCAGAAACCATCAAAGAAGTGGAGTGTGAAAACTGCACCAAGGTTTGTTGGCTACGTAATCGTGCAAATTTTTGGTATTGTTCTGTCAGTTACGATTTAATTAACCATACTTGATGTGAAAAACAACTAATTTCTTATATTCATTGCTGGTTGATTTTATGTGAGGAAAACATTTCTGCTTATTTCAGTGGTTTATCTCTGCTGAATCTGTTTCACACAATTTTTACTCAGATTCAGCAAGGGACCACAGTAAATGGGCAAGTTCTGGAAAACCAGAGGACAACGTTTGTTAAACAGCTAAAACTGGGAAAAGTAAGTTTCATTCATATCCACGTTTAAGAAATCTTCAGAGAAATGTTCTTTAGATCAAACATTCATTTGTTCTTGGCCCACTAACTGTTTGCATTGTTCTCTAGCTCCCCCAGTGCCTCTGCATCCATTTACAAAGATTGACGTGGTCCGGTGAAGGAACTCCCATCAAAAGACAGGAGCATGTGCAGTTCACAGAGCTTTTATCAATGGATCGCTACAAACACAATGCGTCTACATTGAAAGTTCAGAGGCTAAAATGTGCTCCAAAACCTGTAAGGGCTGAAACTCCAGGTGATTCTGATGAAAAGCCCACTGCTAATGGAACAGGTGAGTTTGATTTTTCAGCTGTTTGATACGATTCAGATTCAGATTCAGATTCACGTCCAGTTTGTTTTTCATCATCAACCATTTGTTGGGTTTTGTATTCCAGACGCAGAGCATCGCAATAACAACAACAAACCTTTTACAAATGGAACCTGTTCGTCTGTTTTCCTTCACTCACCCGGTGTGAGCCCACAGCTCAGCCTAGCATTTGATTTCAGGTAAACATCATGTCAGGGTGCAAGAATACAAAGAACAAAGCTGTGATGGTGTTTGGAGGCTCTTCAAAGGACCATAGTCTAAACCAGTATATGAAAGATTAAAGATTTTAGGGCACTGATATTCGACTCAAATCTCCAACACCATCATTAGGAAATATGCAGAGAAGCTCAGTTGTTTTTTTTTTTGCTTTCTAAAACCTGACAAGAATGTTTCCTCTTTATTTTCATATCAATTGTCTTGATACGTTTTATTTTTCTCTGCCAGTTCCTCGGAGTACCTCTTCAAGCTGGTGGCCGTGCTGGTTCACCATGGTGACATGCACTCAGGACATTTCGTGACATACCGCCGCAGCCCTTCCCCGCCCCACAGCTCCTCCTCCTTTAGCTCTCAGTGGCTGTGGGTGTCAGATGACTCAGTCCGGAAAGCCAGCCTGCATGAAGTGCTGTCCTCTAATGCCTACATGCTCTTTTACGAGAGAGTGCGAAGACTCACCCTTCCTCACTGCTCAGAGGAGTGACCAGATGCCCAGGACCTGGCAGCCTGACTAACTTCTGCCTTTCCAGTAATCATGCAGTAATCCACCGGGGGACTGTCACATCATAACAATAGGAACAGAGAGGACATTCATCCTTGAGTTATTATTTAGATAAGTCTGTGTCGTTAAAATCAGATCGATTCTGGAATAGCAGCCGTTTTTATACTGCATTGATCCAGAGCTAACAGCTCTCAAACCCAAAGATTATTGATCTGCAGGAATTTTATTGAGATATTTATTTATCATGTGAAATTATTTCTGGCATCTAACATTTTGGCTTCTGTAGAACAAAACGGTTAAAACAGGGACAGAAGTAGTGGCTAACGTACGTACTTATATCAAGTTTTGCAGGTTCTTCTACATGTCTAAGATGGAGGTGGTTGAAGGAACTGGTTTATCAGTTGGTTGCAACTCACTGCTTGATGATACGTAGTCCTCCACTCTGGTCCTTCAAGATGTTCCTGAGATTTTGTCTGCAGTCTGTATAGGATGTAAGGTTTTATGACATTATTCATGAAGTTGAATTTGATCATTCTCTGGTCCCTCGGTAATCATTCTTCTGTTATGATTCTGCAGAGATGCATAGTTGAGATTAAAGTGCCATGTTGTCTTTAATCCTTGAGAATTTATAATGTAAAGCCATGTGTGCAACTACGAATGTGAAAGTATACTGTGATGCAGAAGAGCCTTTCAGCACAGCGGTGTTACGGTACAGATAACAGACTCACCATGATCTGCTCTCAGTAAAGCTGCAGGTTTATGGGCAAGTTATTTTAAATACTTTTAACTCGGTGTAACTGATGACTGCCATTTTGCCCCGACCTAATAGAGCGCGTCTCATTGAGAACTTTGGTCTGGTGCAAAACACCTTGTAAATATTTGCAATTTGCACTAATGTATATTCATGTGAGATTGTGTATAATCTGTAAAGGTGATTGTTTTCAGGTATTAAAACAATAAAACAAGTGTGGACTTATTATATTCTGTGGTAGCAAGTAGACATGCTGACGCCCAAAATGCCTCTTTTTCAAGAGTCCAATAGTCACTCCTTTTTTTTGCTATTAGGGTAAGTAGTATATATTTTATAAAAAAAATCAGAATATTACTGCAAAAACTGACACACACACACGACTGTTCACTCCTAAAAGATTCTTAAGCTCATCAAGACCTGAGGTACTTTAAAAAGCTTCTGAAAATGTAGTTAATTCTGAAAATTAGGTTTCACCTTGAAAAGCAGTCCAAATGGGCGGCAAATGATCCAGATTTTAAACCAGGGGAGCGCAATATGAGATGAAGGCAGCCCCATTAGAATCACTAATACACTGTTTTCTGAACGTCCCTGTACTCCATAATGTCATAACTTTACTTAATGAAACAATCCCACCTCTGTCTATCTCTCTTTTTCTGCATCTCTTTCTCTCCTCTCTGTAAACCCAATGCAGTAGTTGCAGATGACTGTCTTACATGAAAAATACATTAATAACCTGTTCCTATGTTGCTTTCAATGTATCAATGAAAATTTTTTAATATATATATATATTTTAATTTATTGAATTTATCTTTAGGGATCATTTAAGATCTTATTTTATAATCCCCCAAAAAATGCCAGTTTGAAAAATAAAAATGAAAGATGATGCAATAAAAATTCAGTGTTTCTGTTCTGGGAGGAGCATTATTTCAGAGGAGATATTGGTGTAAGGAGTTTTTGCAATTTTAAACCTGAAAAGTTTCATTCATAAGTAAATGTGATCTTAGGTCTTGTAATCAGAAGCATGAGAAAAATAAAAAAACAAACTACAGAGAGTGGTTGCTCCATGATTCAGACCTTTATTCAGATTTAATAAACAGAGAACCGTACTGCTTAGACTCAATTCAAGTTTACTGTTACTATACATAATGTTGCTGTTCAACATGTACTTTACCCTCAGAAAACAGAGGACAAGTTTGATAGCACCATTACAAACATTATAATAAATCAGGATTCACATAAACATAATTGTGATATATATTTTTTTAACATAGAGTAAAACTGTAAAAAAAACACTAACAATAAGATTTTCATTTGTTGTCCTGGACTCTAGAAGAGATGTATCAACTCTGTCTAACACTCTCAGTTTGGTATTTGTGCCTCCATAAGATGGAAATGAAGCTTCATTTTTTATTGTTATTATAAAAAATAAAACAATGAGAGGCCAGAGCAGATTCCCAGCTTAATCACTGGGCGAGGGACCAGATACACCCCAGATAGCTGATCAATCTACTGATCAATCACATAGGCTACGTTCACTCTGCAGTCCTTGATTCTGATTTACCGCCTGTAGCTGACTTTTGTTTGTTTGGCTGTTCACATTACGTCTTCAGTGTGACCTGAATCAGATTCCCCATGTGAACAAGTCCTGGTCCCAAACTGGCCTCACATGTGTAAAACAATGATGAGGCCACATGCACAGCGGTGTTTATAGACGTGAAAATAGCAGCTGCCGAAACAACTTCTAGCCTCTCATCCCCCAAGCACTTTTTGTTTTGTGAAGCTTATAAGATTTTTCAGTGAAACGTTCGATTACTAGACATTAACCTCCAACCGCAGTCACGCAGACCACAGCAGAGAAATGATACAAGTGTAGTTCACCCCTTACTCATGAGACAATTATCGCAAAGGGATTAATGAAGCAACCTCACGCAGCTTATCAAGAAGCTGTGTTAGGATCCAAATCACAGTCCAGTTGGGGTTGCAAATAAATTAATAGCCTAAATGATGAAAGTAAATATGTGCTTAAGAAATATTCATTTAAATAACTGTAATTGCTTAAGTAACAAGGCTGTGATAGTAATAATGCAGCCGTTGACTGATTATTGTAACTGGCATTAATGTTCCATCACAAAGCACTTTATCACAAATATGTGACAGATCAATTTCTTTCTCCATTCTTCCACAACAGTTATCACACTACTGGAGTATACTTGTAATGATAATGCTGAGATCATGTGATTAAGGTACCGTCATCAGCAGCTGTCTATTTCTGCTGCCAGTGTTCTCTCTCAGACAGCTGCAGGTTTTTGGGGAAGTGAATTTGTATCACTGTGTGTCTTTTTTGTTTAGCATGTACTCCATGCATTGAGAGTCATTTTTGTGTTTTTTGTTTCGATCCAAGTAATCCTTGTCTGAGAATTTCTCAAGTTTCCAAAGAGGTCTATACCTGGCAAAACGTCAGCAACCACAACACCCTATAGCTTCAATTCCTCATATACATTTTTTCATGTTTTGCCAGCAGAGGGTGCTATTATGCCATAAGTTACAATAGTTCCTACCATAGACTCACTAATGTTGATCAAATCTCTGTCTTTACCAGCATTTATATACAATATTTTGTATTTTGTATCCCATTATCTTATAAGCACTATTAAGTATGGGGTTTAATTCTTATTTAATTTCTACTGTCTACAGACCACTCATACCCGCGCACTAAGATGATGCATTATCCTGTCCACTGATGTTCAAAAGGGTCAAATTCCTGCCTGCATGTCCAGACCGACACCCCACTGAGACAGTCGCTCTCATCCAGTCCAGTCTCCTAAAATGTTTACCTACGTAAAATTCCTTGGAAAAGGGTTAGTCTGAACTTAAATTTACATGTTTGATGACGACTTAAGCAATAATACACCATCTTTGAAAGGAGCTGACTGTGCCTGCTTTTTTTCACCCAGTGTCAATGGAGAGGCTCAGTATTATAGGAATGAGTTTGGGTCACCTTCAGGGTAATAATTTAGCTTTATCAAGCATCAGCTTCTCAGCATCTTGCTGAGATAAAAACAGAAGTACCTTGGAAATGTTTCCTATTTTTACCTACAAACTTTTTTTTAAGTGTCAGCATTGCACCCTCTATGCTCCTAATTGGATGTCTGTTTTTAAATTTTTATGTTGCAGAAATCGTTCACCTTTCCATGCTTGTGGAAATCAATGTTGCATGTCATATTGCTATAATCTATATAATTTCTCTCTGCTAAGTCTGCAGATTCACCCACAAATGGAAAGTGCCCAGAAAGTCTGCGAGAGATCCTTTACCAACATAATGATGTGGCAGCAGGGCAGCCCTAAGCCCTCATGAATGACGTGAAGAAAATGCTCCTTGAAGTCAGTGAGTGCATGAGTGTGGATACCGAGACTGGACCCTCATGAGCGATTGTAGCTGCCCGGCCAAGGTCAACCACCATCCAAGACACAGCTGGTGAATCACAGCTCTAGGAAATATTATTTGTATTTTTTTTAATTAAAAAAATTGTCACTGTTCATTTCAAGCCCCAGCATGTTCACAATAATCCTTAAAAAAGATTTCTTAAGTGGAGAAAACACTTGGATGAAAAAAGCTCAGAGGTTAGCTTTTTTAACTTAAAAACACCAGTTAATGATTGTCATGTAACTTAATATAGAAGAGTAAGAAAACCTAGCTTAATAAACTCACATTTAGACAGCACTTGTTATTGATGAAAAAACGGGACAATTTTACCTCCAGCGTTTGCTTATGCCATATCATGTTGTACTTAACCTCTTAATTAAAGACGTGACGTTTTGGCTTTAGTTCGGATAACTAACATGAAAGAGAAAAACTTTATTCAGTTGAGTAACAGAACCTATAGATGTATTTGTACTTCAGTGTGTAAAAGGCTTTTTTTTCAAACTCCCTTCAATAGGACAATACTATTTAAAAAAAAAAAAACTTGGATGCTTTTGTTGTTCTCAGGAAATGTCTCACTCCTCACAATGCCTGGCACAGAGCCCCAAAACCCCCCCAGGCAAGCGTCAAACCAAAAGTGCTGCCAAGTTCTGTCAAAGGGGTTAACAAATCTCAGCAAGCGATCTAAATTACTTGCATTTCTCCTTCAGTTCAATGCCATCAGTCAAAGGAGAAATGCAACAGGAAACAAGAGGACCATTACTGCTCTCTTCCATTTAGGCAGGAGGTGTTGTGTGACTGTAGCTGCCTGTGTTGGACAAGAGGAGCAGCTCAAATACTCTTTTCCCTGGTAGGAAGGGGAGGTTGGAGGGTCAAAGATGTTTGAGGAGGGAGAAAATAAAAGGAAGGGTTTCCCAGGCTTCATGCCGTATCTCTGTGCAGGGAGGGTGCAAGTATCGATGGCCACTTGATACCTCATCATGGCTTTTTTTTACCTGTGGGCCACCTGGTTGTTGATGAGGCCTGGAAATGTCTGTTCAGTTTCAGGGCTTAAGGAGCCACCTGGCAGAGACAAACAGGGTTATCATGTATCACCATCTTTATTTGAAACCCTCTAAATGCAGTATCGTTACCCCACAAAGATATCAAACTGGTCATCAAGGGGTGTAAGAGAGAAAATGATCAAAAGATGCATTCCATATACTCTTGTTTTGATCTTATAACTCGATATTAATCAATATTATATGTTCATGAAATAATGTATATGTATTTCATAAAAATGATGAGACATTAAAAGGACTAAACACTGTGCCGTTGACTGGCAGTGTGGAAAGGACTGGTGAAAAAATGGATAAAGCAAGGAGACTGTTTGCTTAGGAGACTTAATCTTAAGAGAGTTTAAAGCTCATTCTTGAGATTTTATTTTTGTTTTTATTGCCAAAACTTCCACACACTAAAATTTAGGCACCAAAATCCACTTGGTTTGAAAAATAATACATTTTGACTCCTGTTTCAGTGTGCAGTGTACCCAATATTAGAGAGTTCTTACCATTATGACAGCTGTACATCCATACACGATGACCATCATATCGACATCTGCATTTCAGGATGTTGTTTGTGTAGTCTGACTCAGGCACTTCATAGTTTGGATTTATAACTATCTGTAAGAAGAATTATAAGCAAAAATCAGGGATGAGCTTCTTACTTAGCTTTCTTTCTGATCTAATGGAAAAGTTTGATATGCATCACAGGACTCCTTACCTGAAAAATATAATCTCCAGGTTTGATCTCGGTGATGTCGACCCACTGGCAATCAATGTCATGCCTGTAAGTATCCCAGCAGCCCACAGTAATACCCTGCTCTCCAAAGTTGGCACATTCATACTTCTTTTCAATTCCTGAAATACAAATAAAGAAACGAGGAAAAAGTCTGTAAAATATTCATAAAATGTTTAAGCTGAATTCAAATGTCTCATCATGCCTTTTGTTTCCTTGTGATCAGACATATCTATCAGTACAAGGGATCACTTTGACTTTATCACAGTGCTGGTCTCACCTTCGTCACACTCCGAGTCTTCCAGGCAAAAACTTGCTTTGTGTCCTTCTGCCACTTTAGTCCCATTGAGGCTGAACAGGTCATAGAGAGTGAACACCTCCATGCTATGGTAATGCCTACACACACACACACACACACACAAACAAACAAAGGATTGTGTTCAGGCTGCACAAAAATCTCAAGTTGATGCCAGAGGTGGCAAAAGGTTTGACTCATCGCCTTCGTACAGCTAGAAAGCAGCTTTATGAAGCTACCAAAAGTGCACTGTTCCCTCCAGCCGGCACAGAACCACAAAAATGTGGTCTAAAAGCCTGAGCTAACATTAAATTACAGGGCAGCAGAACCTCTGGAAAGAAAAACAACGTCTCCAGAAACTAGACATGTTTCAGGCTGAGACGTTGTTTCCTCCTGTAAAAGGTCTAATCCGAAACATAAATTATGAAATTGATCAACAGATTGATTGATTGATTGAAATGTAAATTATGAAAAACAATTCATATTCAACCCTTTAAAATCTCTCAGAGAGTTTTCTGTGAACTGACTGCAAAGGTTGTTTTTCTTGTTTGTATTCATGTTTAGACTGATAACAGCTGTCTACAACCATAACTACAAGGCACATACGCACTTTAATACTCTTTTGAAGTTCTTTACTGGAACACACGACGAAAGTTTCCTTCTTAAAGGGATGTTCTGGCGTAAAATTAATTTAGGGTCAAGCACACTGTAACACCGAGTTAGACACCCCCTCAAGAGATGAATGTTGCTCACCTACTCTCCTCCAGCAGCCACTTGTTTGTAGCGAGACCTCAGGCCAGTCCATTACAGACTGCAGCGGGGTGACGCAGCTCAAGGAAGAACATTTATGATAATTTCTTTATCGTTTTCTTGAAGTAATAATCACCATATTAATAATTTTGCCCTGCAGACACGGAAGTCATCTGCCTAAGCATCTTGGTCTGATTGTATTTCCATGAAGAAATGATCATAAATGTTCTTCCTTGAGCTGTGTTACCCCGCTGTAGTCCGTAATGGACTGGCCCGAGGTCTCGCCAGAAACAAGCGGCTGCTGGAAGAGAGTAGGTGAGTTGTGTTTCGTCTCTTTGCCTAAGAAATTAGGCAAAGTTAAAAAGATGTTTGGTGGCTAGTGCTGTGGCTGAGACCCTAAATGTACTGTTGATGAAGGTAGGTGATGTTCTGAGCATTATTTGTGGCTACAGAGTGGCTTTTTGGTGACTCCTTAGACCGCTGTGTATTGCTATCCTGTGGTCATTACTGAAGTTTGTATAACTAGAGAAGCAAGCAGTCGGCAACAATCATCACTCAAGGGGGTGTCTAAATTGGTGGTACATTGTGTTTGACCCTAAATTAATTTTACGCCGGAACATCCCTTTAAACGCCAATCTGGATTTTATTTTAGATTTACACTAACAATATTATGAAACTACATTCAAGTTTCATCAGTGATAAAGCCAGAGGAGTTTTTCCTCATGTACCTGTGACAGTCGTGCCACACCCAAGACTCTCTGCTCGCTTTGGGCCGGAAATCAGAATGACCATTGTTGTGGATCTGAGAGGAAAAGCGCAACAGGCGGCGGTATGAGTTGGCTGGCGCCTGGCTGGAAGTCGAGGACAGACAGTTCTCCTCGTATGCACACTGCAACATGAACATGGGCCTGTCCTCCATGTAGGTGGTCTGCTCCACCACCTGCGGGTTCAACACCAGGTCAGGGGCGGCTGTAGACAGGTCGATCATAGGAAAGAAACCACAGGAGAGCAGACGGAGACAAAGCCTATTTAGGTATTTCAAAACGTCTCTCATGTTTGCCAACAACACCAAAAAAAGCTCTTGCATAGGTCAAGTAAATGATGGGTTACTGTTACAGGCTCAGAGCGATCTTGAGATTCAAGAGACATCCCAGAGTTTCAGTTATGAAAGCTTTTCACTGAGCCAGGGCTCTTCGACTGGCTGAAAACCCTAAGATCTGTTTAACTCTTGAATACACAGATTTGACTGAAAAGGTTATTGTCAAAGAGTAATTTAACCGTGAATTTCAATGACTGTTTTCACTTAATCAATTATTACATTGCCTTGGTCTTGATCACTTATTCACCAAGTATAATAAAAACGGTATCTTACTCTCAGAACAGGACACCCCGGCAGCATTGCCTCCGCCTCCTTTACGGCAGCTGAGGTGGGCTCCATGGTGTAGGCAGTGAGACAGCGACATCTCAGTGCCAGAACAACGAACTCCACTCATCACCACCGTGTCAGCATTCACTCTTCCTGGCCAATACCATGTCTCCTGTTTGGAGAAGAACACCCCAAATTCACAGCTGATACAAAGGTGATCCACTTGCTGTTAACTATAGAGCTGCAACCTTTCCATTACTTCATGAGTTGATATGGAAATCAGCCCATATTTAAATAGCAGACAATGAATATACTACGTAAAGGACTGTGCAAGTTACAGCAAAGCATGGGTGTTTAATAAAGCTTCAAAATCATTAATTAACTCACATTTAATACTCTATAACAAGTCTTCCATCCACCACCATGTAAAATACACAAGAAATTATATTTGAAAAATCATATCAGAAAATATAACCTGCCTACTGACCACAACGATGATGATAAAAAAATATAATAATGATAATAATTAAAAAATAAACAATTAATAATAAAAATAATAAAAATAAAAATGATCATCATAATAAAAATAATAAATAATAATAATAAAAACAATAATAAAAATAAAAAAAATAGTAATAATGCGACAAACTGTTAAGTTCACAAAAAAAACAAATAAAACACACACAAAAAAAAGGCTATTTTTTCCTTAGATGTGCTAAAACTGGTACCTGGAAGGAACTGCTGGCAAAGCCCAATCCCAGTTGCCTGCACACTACCATGGCCTCCATCATTCCCCAGCCTTCACCGCATACTGTCCCCCATATTAAAGAACCGTTCCTCTCCATCAGCACCTCCACACGGCCTTCAAAGGGGGTCCGACCTCCACTCAGACGTAGCTACAGGCAAAACACCATAACAGAGGCAAAAGACTGTAATTTGTTAAACTTGAGTGGCAGTTTTACAACTGTCCACATGCCAAACTGTCCTCAGGCTAGACACTTGACCCCAACCTGCCTTACTGGCTATGAGCGTGAATGGGATTATAAAAAAACCTCATGGTGGTACACATCAACAAACGAATAAACATACTTTGGGACAGTTTATGTTACGGTGGTGAAAATTTTATTGAGTTATTATATTAGACTATGGTGTAAGTGGAATAATGTCATTTTCGACAATTTTTTCTGACCCAAGTATTTGCCTTGTGTTTTTTTCCATTTTAATAATTACATATGGCTGTATAGAAATGTAAGGTTTTTTAGTTTACCAAGCAAACATCATTTATCTTAATGAAATGCTCAGTCAGAGCTCTCACTGCCTTTACTTCTTGACTGTTTTTATCTAATCTAAGACTCACCGACTCCTGAAAGCCCATCTCAGGCACGTGGCATCTGACGGCTGCATCCTCCTCATGACTGCAACCAAGGGATTCCTTGTTGAAGAAACAATCCGTGATGGACTTTTCAAAACCCGAGCACTGCACTTCATTCATGTGCACAGGGCCCATACCTGTAAAATACACATTAAAAAGGGAGATGTCTTTATCTACTTTCAACAGAAACAAAAAGAGGGAAAAAGTGAATACTTTTATTCAGACATATGAGGCTGCAGTATCTTCAGTTACAGTTTGGTAACACTATTACATCTAAAAACAAAGCTCTGATGCAACAAAATCTAAAAACACATGAGGGACAGTTTCATCGTTTTAGAAAGTAGACCTTGCTGCCTTGAAAAGAGTTTGACAAGAAGATTCATGTGACCATGTGAGCCAGGTATCGTAACTATTAAGCTACAACTGGAGTAGAAACAGTACAGCTTAACATAGGGGGCTCTAAATTTGTGCCCGCCGGCAGCGCAGCAGAGGGTGGCGCACCCCGATCAGTGGTATTTTCGTCTGGCAGAGCCCGGTGCACAGCCAGTTTGGTATTTTCATAGACTGAGGCGCACCACGGTGTGCCAAGCTGGGTGTGGTGGCGCGGTAGGGGGAGGTGTCGACAGTGTCAGCTGACGCAGTGACACTTTCGTGCTCGCGGCCGGCGTGGAAAGTGCGCTAAAAGCTCGCCAATTCAAACCTGGTCATGTGGGGTTTAAAAATATGCAACTTGATGTGATTGTCTTTATTTGTGGAAAAGGGTGTTTGTCTTACCAGTGGGTACAACCTTACACACACCAAATCCATCTGTGCTGATATGAGAGAGTGTGCAGGACACCTTCCACAGCGCTTACAGTGACACTTGTTGAGGGGCTGCCCTCTGTCTATCGTGTGGCATTGCTGTCTTCAGCCATCTCTTGATCTCTTTGACTACTTCACGAAAACTGTAATATGCCTCGCTGGTGGCGGATTTAAAGGTGAGGAGAGGAGCTGATGTAATTGGTGAAAACAGGTTTCGGCTGTGTTAAACCCACTCCACGCCTTATCCCCTCCCTCTCTACTACTTACATCGCTGGGAGGAGCTGAGTTAGGGAGGGGGGATACTTACGCCGAGCTGCGCTGCTCACCAAAATACCAAAGTGTGCTTGGGCACGCCTTGTTGGCGCGGCGGACCTGACTTAAGCCATGCTGCCGACGAGGTACGAAAATAGAGCCCAAAGACTACAAGAAGAGAGAAACGACTAGCATGGCTTACAAAGGCCTTTCAACACCAGGAGCCTTATCACTCCTAGACACGTGGTGAAATTCAAAGCCCATATTTGAACAGTTCTTACTAAACTGATGCATGATTTATGTAAGACGTAACTGAAAGCACAACAATCTGTTGGGGGTGTGCTATCAGTATTTAAAATACTGGCCTCTAAAAGATAACTGTAAATAACTTGTGAGAAATCAGGTTGGATAATCATTCTCTCTATTTTAACACGTCTAAGTCTAATGTTACTGGGATATCCAGTCAAACACAGACTGTCCCTGTTTATAAAAAGGTCTAAACCTCAGATTATAAGTTACCACCCTGTGTGGTCCTCTTTGTAATTATTGGTACATTCTTAAACAAAAATGTTATTTTTCCATCGCGGAAGCTAAAAACACGTGAACAAGGGTTCAAGAAGAAAAAAACCCTTATAACACAAATTTGAGGTATGCTGAGTGTGCAATAAATACAGGAACAGGTGAGTGACACACAGTAGTTGAAGGGGTGGTCATGCTGTAAAAGTTTCCATGCAGCTGGTGAAACAGCCTTCTGGGGCTGTCTGGGCAGAAACTGCTGAGTGGAGACTATAAAGTGAAACCACTCGGAGTGAAAACCTCCTGTAGAAAAACTAAGTTAATGACAACAAGCTGGTCGTCTAATGGGCCTTCCCCTCACTTTTTGACACATAATGCAGTAAAAGCAAATATATCATTATAAATCAAACAGTAATTTGAGTGTCAAACAGAAGCGTGTGCAGAGTGGCTTCTCTCTACGTAAGAAAGGTATGCATATCTTTACGGACAAAATATCTGCTTCGTTAGCTTGAAAAGTCAATCCACAGTTTTTGCAGACATGAAAATTCCACCAAGACAATTACCAGCTCAAAAGTTAATGCATCAACAGTGCGCACGTGATAAAAGCTTGGCCAACATGTCAACTGTATTGAAGTATTTTGAATTGTTGCAGACCTATGTTTTTCATTATAAACATCTGTGTACATATCTTTTTCAATATTGGTATGAGCCAAAATGAGTTTGTGAATAACAGAGTATCAGGTATCAGCAAAAATCCTACATTGGGCATCAATCATGTAAACAGATCAGGGCATTCAGGCAACCGGCATGAGCAAAACACCTCACATCTGTCTCACAAGCTAGAAATTAAGAGAGAAAAAGGCTGAACTGCTTTTCTGCAAACTGCAGAAAATGAGCTACTCAAATATAGATATGAGCGGCTCTGGCATGTGTAAGTGGCTGTTGGAAATGTGCTAGTAGGAGGAAGATAAGGGGGGTGGTTGTCATGAGTGAAATAATTTGTACAGGTAGAAGTTTTTAATGGTAAAAATGTAAATATTATGCATCACAGGAGCGTGTCAATGTAAAGTAAAAGAAACTGGGCTTTTAAACACAAATGTAGTCACTTTACTTGAATGGACTGTGTATCCAACCCACCTTGTCCAAAGCGACCTCCAGAGATGGCTTCAATCGCCGTACCAAAGCCCAACTCGCGGCACACCACGGTGGCCGTCAGCAGGTTCCAGTTGTCATCACATATTGTGCCCCACTCGCCACTTTTCAATACCTCCACTCGACCTTCCCCTACAATGGTTCCACCACGAAGTCGAACCAGAGGTTGCTGAGAAAAAGGGGAAACAGCAGAAACTACAAAGGTTATTCTTTTCAAACGAAAACCACATGTTTAAGTTAATGAAGCACCTCAACTTCTGTGGGAAGAGGCTTGGAGTAAACTATTCATGCAGTTCTCACATATTCTGTTTAGACCAACTTGGAACTGTGAAATAAACACACCAGAAGCACAGTTTGAGCTGGCTTGCTAATATTAACATCTACTGAGTCAAAACCTGGCCATCTCGATTTTAGGCTCTGAATGACATCTATAAATACATCTACCTCATTGTGGTTAAATTAATGAAATGACCCAAAATATACTGTATAGTTTGAGTATCCTAAAGCTTTTGCACTCTAGACTAAAAAAAAACAAAAAACAAAAAACAAATTAAGATCAGGATCAGCTGCTGACAATTACCCTTGATTGCCACTCCTAGGCAAATGAGTAGAAAATACGCCAAATTAATTATGTAAATGTGGACTATCATTATTAAGCAAGTCAAATGTAATCTAGAATAAATAAGAATACCATGTAATGAATATGTATGTCTAGGTCGAAGCCTATGTAGCCTACTTTTGCACCAGTTATCATTTACGATTATAACACAGGCTCTGCTGGCTTTGTCCTGGAAAACTCATATACATCATTCTGAATCAAGCTAACTTGCTAAGTGTGTTGGAGAATCCCATTGATACTTATCCATGTGAATTCTGGCTCAAAAACTCATTGTGCTTTAAACTAAATCCTAGGGGTGATGAATTCAAAACATTTAGGGCCGTGTGCTTGAATCCAAAACAGATGTAACACGCCGACAAAAACTTGATCAGAGTTAATAATACGCAGAAGAAAACCACTGACTGAGAGTAGCCTTGTTGAGAGTCACTACACTAAAACGGTAAAAGGTAAAACTTCTATTAACAACAAATAATTCAGGGTCTAAGAAGTCTAATTTAAAGTCTGCCCTACTTCCAAAAATAAAAAGAGGGACTTGCCCAATATTTACTCAGTTCCCTCTGAGTCTGACCTTGTCATCTTTAGGGCCACAAAACAAAAAACTTGTTGTGCTAAGACATTTCCAGCAAGACTGGCAGTTGACACGTTCAACATTTTTCTCCCTTTTTTCCTACATAGGAGCCAGAGAGCTGAGCTGGACTGGTGCAGGTATTTTCTGAATCACTTTTTGACTTCAGGGACACAACACTTACTTTAGGAAATTCATTTCAAACCATTAAACTCTGTTTTTATTAACACTTTACACAGTATCCAACCCTTTTAGTACTAGAGTTGTTGGAGTATAATAACTTTGAGAATGTTAGTGCATTAATAGAAAACAACAACAGACATATTACTGTTGCTAAAATAAAAGTTAGTGTCATTTCGGTTGGATTAATGTTTAAAAACTGTCCACTAACAGTAGTACAAACAAAGATTGTCATTACAGCTCACCTCCTGCCGAAAGGCCTTCCTGAATCCTGTCATTGTTGTTGGAGCAAAGACCCTGCCGGGCACACAGCTCACCACCACAGGCAGCCCTCCAGCACAGGACTCATTGGACTTCAGTGGTTTAGTCTGACCGAGTTTGCAGCTCGACAAATGGGCTTCATTGCCAGTGCAGTTCACAGCATAGTCCCAGTATGAGGGTTTCCTTCGACGAGCGTACATCCTGGACAGATGGAGAGGAAATGGATATTCATGTAACTGGTTATCTATTTCTAAGTGTATTTTTTTCTCTTTTTACAACCACGTTGGCAGGGTAGAATAATCATGTAATGTACGAGACAACAATGACAACAGTGATGGTGATGGTTATACAACTTGTAATGTACCAAAAAGCACAAATAAATCAAAGTTATCCAACTTGCCTAACAACATTTGAACTGTTGACAAAGTTTTCTATTAGTTGTGGCCCTTAAATGAGAGTATTTTACAGTACAATAATACATTTACAATAATTTCCACAACTTTCATCATCAGATTCACTGCATGATCTTCTTTCTTGTAACTTTTTCTCATTTACTTTAAGGAGATTCAAACACTGCGAAAAGTTAAATCTTGTTGTATGAAAGAAAAAACTGCATTGAAAAAGTCTTCTGCACACTCATGAAAGACAACCATGAATGTGTTTGTTTCACATAAAGATTAAAAAAATCTAATACTCTTGCAGTGACTCCACATGAAGCTTAACTAAACGCAGCAGGGAAGAACCAGCACAGGAGCAAACCGAGGATTATAAGACAGCTGTACTTTTTGGCTCCGAATTGACAGCCTGCATAACTGCACGTTTCACTGGGCTGAAGCTGGAGTAGGCGGGCACGTGGACGGAGAGTTATGACACCATCATGCACTGCTGGGGTTTCTATCACGGAGAAAACGTCTTGCTCAAGTACTGACAGTCAATACGAGGTCAATTTAAATACTTGAAAGTTTAAGGAATAGCTGTGGTCATTTAGCAACAAATTTCTGCATATTAGTAAGATTTAGATTCCTGATATTTTTGGCGAGTTGTATCACGAGACAAGTTCTTGTTTAATGCACAGGGATTTGTTGGTTTAAAGTGATCTGAAAACAGGACATGAATCTCTCTTCATCTCTTCAACTCTCATCTTCAGTTTGGTGATGATTCCTGAATTACAGTAGATGAATAATGAGTTCAATCAAACCTTTAAGTGCAAATCTAAACACTCAACACTCTTGTGTGACTGCAAGGAAGAGATTAGTTGTAAACTTTGCTGTGAATTAAACCTGTTTTTTTTTTGTATAACAATCAATTCAAATAATAGAAACTTGTAGGTAATTTTTTTACATTAATGCATGACTTTGTCTTTGAACAGCTGCTAAGAAAGTTAATGATTGTTTTAAGTTTTAAAAGACATGAGGGCAAATATTCAGGGGAAAAAGTGACTTTTTTCAGTTGAGCTACTTTAAAGCATTTTTGTTTCTTAAAATCACATCATAATTCATCCAGTGAGGGATTCAGGCTGTCCTCGTCTGGGCTGGACTTTCCAACACAAATACATATAAAACAGTGTCATCTCAGGACACTGTCGTCTCTGTCTTTGCCTTTGCCTCTCTCTCTTTCTCTCACACGTACACAGAGGGAGCTGAGATCATGTGTTTGTGTTTTTGCAGATTGATGAGTTGACAATTAATTTTCAAAATTAGAGCCGGTATGGTCGATATTTTTTTGATTAGGTTTTTAAGTTTCACTAAACTTTGGGGGTGTTCTGGGCTGACCTCCTTAAGTCTTGCATCACTTTAAATAAAATCCACAACACACAGTTCACCCTGTGGGGATTCCGGGTGGTTCAATGACAAAGTATCCAGAAGTAATACCCCAACCCCTTGTTTAAATTTTAGAAATGGAGGTGCTTCTCAACAAAAAGCACCTGTAGCTTTTAGTTCCAGGGACTTCTCTTTGAGGAACTAACAGGTTCCTGTGGCCCTTTGTTGTCTGTGTTTCCACCAGGGCCTGAACTTCAGGGTAAATAATGTAAATCAGACCAATGACAACCATGGATGGCATTTTTGAGGAGGAAGTTAATGCACAGTCTTTGCATTTGAGTTTCTGCATCTTTTTTTCTTTTTACAAAAATGTTTAACATTGGCAGCACTGCTCAGCTGGTGTCTCTGTTTTAATTGTACCCCAGCTTATAATGTAAAAAAAAAAAAGACTGTTTCATGATAAGACCGACTTTCTAAAAAACATCCCTGAGTTGGAAAAAGTGTCCACAAAAAGAGAGTATTAAATCATGTAAGTCGTGTATATCTGCTCAGATAAAATTAGGTTATGCGGGATCCAAAAACTTATTTTTAGTGAAAATTTTACACATTGACTCATTTAGATCAGCTGGTCCTTTTTCACAAGACAAAATAAGGTAAAATATTCTTTATTTGTCCCACAAGGGAAAATTCCACAATTTACAGCAGTGATAAATACAGAAGAGAAATTAAAGAATGAAGAAACTTAGGAGTTAAAAAGATATATAGATACAGCTGTTATGTACATTTTCATTTATGTTCGTTTTGGTAAGAGCCAAAATGTTCCCAAGGGAGATAAATCTCATTCAGCATCTTACCAGTGTGTTGTTATTGTTTCCATCTGATATAAGTTGGAGTGAGGTGAGGTCATGTGAGGCCTACTGTGCTCTGCAGAGTAATTTACTTCTCCAAAATACATCAGTTAAGTTTTTTATTGGACCTTGTGTTTTTGCTAATCTGCTAGCTATTGTTATGCTATTACAGCTCATTAGAGGTGATGGTTATATTTATGATGTGCAGACAGACTATGCAGGTACATTAGCCTTAGCTCATGGACCCACTGTTTGTGACCATTTCACCAAGACTTGCGTTACTCCCCTCTGCTGGTAACTTGTTTTAAATCGAAGAGTCTTTTCAGAGCACCACAAGTTTAATTCTCTCAATAGCAAACCCCAAATTTCTTTCAGAAGCATGAGGCAGAAAGCTGTTGTAAAGTGGCTCTCCGAGACTCGAAAAACTTCATCAAATTGTCATTCTCAACTCTGTAAATTATTCTGGACCACACGTAGAGGAAAACATAGTAATACTCACTTGTAGACTCTTGCATTGTACTTCCTTTCCCCAGGGAAGCCAAACATTCCACAGATAACTCTACTGCTGAGCTGCGTCCAGTCTGTGTTACAGATCTGCTTCCATTTACCGCCATCCTTCACCTCCACATAGCCCTCTGTAACAGGGATTCGCTTTCGGTACGATGACAAAATGGCTCTTATGCGCACATCTTCAACTTGAATATCAAGGCTCTGTGGATAAAAAAAGAGAGAAATACATGTTACTACCTCCACGACGCAAGTTATAACAAAAAAACTAATTTTGTTTTAGCTGCCAGCTCTTTCTGTTTATCTTACTCATAGCTTGTTATGAAAACGACACCATATGTTTGTACGATGTCCATATTTATTACAGTACATGAGTTTCACACAAGTGCGTACAATCCCAATCAGATGTGATGTGAACAAGTGGCTCCCCGGCATTTCCTGTGTTACATAATATGCATTAGTTCAGACTGAAGTATTCAGCTTTATGTACAGCGCTGGAAAGCTTGAACACATTCCCAGTACATCACCTTTTAACCTCAGTTAATATTGATGTATGGCTTTAAAGCAGAAAAGATCAGAGAGCTGCACTGGGTCAAAATGGATAAGGATGGGATCGTGAAGAAAAGAGACAAATGTGTGAACGAACATGAGGGACACAATTATCTGAACCACCCAGCACAGACTTTGAGTACAGGTCTTGAAGGCCTCATGCTACTTGGACACAATCCCTAAAATAAGTTTTAATTTCTTTAAAGATCTTTACCATCACATTACACAAAAGAGATTTTTTTGATATTTCCATTTATGATGATCTCAGTATTGAACGTTATCTGACTGCAGCATTTCAAAATGTCATAAAAGTCTCGAATATGGAACGACTAGCCCCCACCTGAGGATCTCAGGGTGTGGGCTGGCTTATAGGGGGTTAAAAGTTCTGTTGCATAGCTTGGAGCCAGACCCTTTTAGTGCTTTAAAAGTATAAGTAAAACCTTAAAATCAATTCTAAAAGTAACTGGAAGCCAATGTAAAGATGCTAAAAGAGGGGTGATGTGATGCCGTCTGTTGTTTTGAACCAGGCTGTAAACATGTTCAGTTTTGCGGTAAAAATTAGTATTTTAACTCGGGAGTCGATAGGACATCCTGCTGCGCCAACTGGACACTTTAGGAACTGTAAGTTTTTCATGCCACATAATCCTTTTATGTCTGCTGCAGAAAAAAGAGCAGATGTCAGATTAGCCTCAGTTTTTACTGTGTGCACTGGTCAACACATATTTGTAATGTTTTAAATTTCAATGTAATCCAGCTCTCAAAAAGTCATCTTTACACTTTCTATGGTAATTTCACAGCAGACAAGAAGCACATGTCTTCAGCACACTTCATGTTGACATGGAGCCTTTCCTGAGCCTCTGCTTGTCCCAGAGAAAAGTGGTACATCTGGAAAAGTCATTAAATTAGAATATTTTGTTCAGAAGAAGCGAAGGGGCCTCCATCGGTTAAAGGCCAGCAATGATTCACTGAGACAACTCTGAGGTAGAAATGAATATAAAAGCTACTTTTTTGCCATAAGTCCCAGTTCCTCCATTTGCACACTGCTATATTCAAGTTATTTGCTCTTAAACAAACAAAAAATAATAATAATAAAATAAGGAAGAAAAAATGAAGAAGAAGAAAAAACAACAACATACCTTTCATGGCACATTGCCAACAGGGCTGCTGCTGTTTCAGCCAATTAAAATCATCTCCAACACACCCTCACTCAATGCTCAGTACTGATTCATCTGTATATGCATCCGTCAATCTTGCTAGCAGCTGCTGCTTACAAAGCCCAGCTGATCATCACTGACAGGACCTGCAGTGAAACTCAGGTAGGTGTGCCAAAAAGGACAAAGCAATATTTCCCAGAAGGAAACTCTGACATCTAAGGAACTTTCCATGGCACTGAAAGCTACAAAGATGAGTAATGCAATAATCTAGTAAGACAGAAGCTGTGGCCAGTGTTAATATCACAGACAACCAGAATGTGGTAGACAGCCAGAATGCACGCTTTTTTCCGTGCATGCCGCTTGGAGTGATCGACTATCTGAGCCTGTCAGTGGTAAAGTAAAGCACATGTAGAGGACACAGTCTGACAATACACAGCTGTCCAGTCAATCAATGTTTTAGCTCCTTTAGCTCATTAGTGATCGTGTTCAATGATGGGATGATGAGTATCAATCGAATATCATGATTATGATTTTTGTTATAACTAAGCCGTCTTAGTGTAAGGTGCAGATGATCTTGCTTCCTCAAGATATTAAGTCATCTTCGTAGCTGAGAACCCCTCATCTTACGACCAAGTTTTCTTGTTATTTGCACAACATGGGAGATGGGCATAAAATTGACAAGATGGGAAATCACAATGACGCTTGTGCTGCAAAGCATAACACTTTACACTTAAATAATCTTTTTTAATCTCCTTTAAACTGGTCTCACATAAAACAGAAGTAGTTTTACTAAGTCTACTACAGCACTGAATATTCAACCAAATAAGGCAGGTCTATTTTTTTAACTACAAGTTTCCCTAAAAAGGGAGACTGTGAAAGACTTAAAGTCCCTCTCCATTTGTTTTTTTTTTTTTTAACTATTTATAGTGTCATCAGTGGTCTTTTAATCATGATTATTAAGTTTAGCAATTTAGCATTTGCAATTTTCCCAATTTTTGCAGCCTAACATTGCCAGTATAGTAGAAGTGGCAGGTAACATAGGCATAGACATGATGAAAGTTAATATCATAATTAGCTTTCTTACGAGCATTACATTCTGCTAACGCACATGTTTGCTCTGCGATTGTCCTCTCTACTTCTCCGAGTCTGGCCTGCATAGCAGGTGTGACGTAGGCAATCTCACTGTGTCTGAACCTGCTGCTTGGTCTGCCAGAGGTTCACAGCAATTTGAATGCAGATATACTCAGAAATGCAATTTGGCATTTACTTTTTTCATGATATGTCCTGTAGCATCAGAAAAATGCCATATGAAACATGTAGACAACGAGAAAAACATGATTTTTCATTGGAGTGGGTCTTTAAGGTTCAGGTTTCACAAGTTTCGGTCCTTTCTTTGGTCACTAAAGAAAAAGCCGTGCGGTGGAATATTTCAAGTTCCCCGCACTCTTTTAGACAACTACAGAACTGGACAGCAGACAGTCTTCAGTGTTATTTCACTGCTCTGGTTAAGAGGTATGTTTAGTGTTGAGGTCATTAGGACAATACATCTGTTACAGTGACCTTAAAAAGTGAGACTAAAGACACTATATTGTTTAAAATGATCCCTAACACTCATCTGTGACTGCTGGAGGTAGAGTTAAACAACAAGGTTTTATTTTCGTCATCCAAAACTTCGGTCTACAGGGAGAGAGCAGGAAGCCTGGAACATGTGTTTCCAATAGAGGTCTTCTTAACCAAATCTCTCTACCAGTAGAAATCACCTCACATGTACAGTAGCATACTTTGACACTGATTTCATTTGCATCATGCTTTTTAAGTATTTTCAGTATGCCTGTAGTCATTTTCACACAAGTTATATCAACATGTGAAATTCTGTCAAATTTCCCTGTTGCCTTGTCTTTCTTTGGAGATTATTCCACTAGCTGCTACACAGATGAAGAAAAATATACTAAAGATAATGTTTATAGTATGCATGGGGTTGTGTGTCGGAGATCAAATCCTCCTTTAAAGTTCATGAGCATTTGTTAACAAACTGAAATCTAATGATACACAGAGCCTGTTGTGTAACAATGAAACAGATGGGAAATAAAGACACTTGGGAGTGATTAAGGGGATAAGAATCTGCTCATAGTGCAGCCAGAATCATTTCATACTAAGAGGTGAGTTTTTGTCACTTCATAGTCAACTAAATGAGCCGTGTCTATACGTGAATGTTTTTTTGACGACATAAAGACACTAAATCAGAAGAAATTGTGACACATCCCGTTCAAGAAAAGAAAGAGATGAAAAACTTGTGTGCTGTTTTTGACTAGGTCTTGTGATTTTGAGCAGCAAATGGAAGGAATCAGTCAGTTCTGCAAAGGTCAAAGTTTAAGAGGAACTCATCCTGGCTTTTATTTCCTCCCAGCTAAATGAATATGAATGTCTCAACCACAAATCAACCAACCACTTTGAGACTTTATAAATGTCACATTCGCTCTCTCACACCACATTCACACACTGATGGCAGAGGCTTTTTTAGGCTTTTTTAACTAATCCTATTTGTACACAGCAGGTAAATAAATAAACTTTAACGGACCTGCAAGCTTGATAAATAATGTGGTTGTCCCAAAAGCACTGTCATTTGTGGCCTTTGCACTCTACAAAACTACATCAGTTCAAAAATAGCTTGCATCAGCATTGATTACAGGGGAAAAAGAAAATTGGTTAGGGAGTTATTGATGCTCCGGCAGCTTTTAAATCTTAATGTGTGGGGGCATTTTGATTCTCTCACGTTTGGAAATGAGAAATGAGACGAGCAAACCCAGAAAAAAGAACACTGCCAGACTGCAGTGATCTGCACATCAGGGAATAAGAATAATCTGAGAAGCCACTTGGCAAATTCTAAACCTGAAAAGATTATAGGAGTTATAATGCATCTTTTTCAGACTTCATATTTCCTTTCTTATAGCTCTTTATTCAGCCTTAGTCTGAACGCTTTGATTTAGCTGCTGGACTCTTGAAACTTATCATACATCTAGTATGGACACCAAACATTGTAACTTTTCAGTTTTTGTTGTAAATGTGGAAAAGCATAATCCCATCCCTTTAAAGAAGATGTGAGGAAAAAAGCCAGGCCAAAATACTCGATGGGAATCTTTACAGCCCCTCTTGACACCAAGAGATAACCTCTGAAAAACTGGAGGAAACTGCATGGAGATAATGTATGCTCAACTTCACAACAGACCTGACATTGCATTCATACTTAAAATATGAAACTGCCCTGACCAATGACCACAGCTGTCTTTTCCTAACTTCTAATTTACACCCTTCTTTAACCCTGAGTTGTTTTTTGGGGGGTTAAAGGGATATTCTGTCGTAAAATTAAGTTGGGGTCAAACACACCGTAACACCGAGTGCGACACTGCGTTGAGAGATGAACGTTGCTGACCGTTTGCTTCTTTAGTAACGGCCGCAGATAGCAATACACAGCGGTCCAACATGCTCAACCAAAACACAACTCTATAGCCACAAATAAGGAAACGATAAAGTAATTATCATAAATGTTCTTCCTTGAGCTGCGCACCCCCCCTCTGCAGTCAATGGACTCGCCTGGAAGTCTTTGTACAAACAAGCGGCTGCTGGAAGAGAGTAGGTGAGTTGTGTTTAGTCTCTTTGCTAAAGAAATTAGGCAAAGTTAAAAAGATGTTTGGTGGCTAGTGCTGTGGCTGGGACCCTTTATGTACTGTTGATGAAGTTAGGTGCTGTTCTGAGCATTATTTGTGGCAATAGAGTGGCGTTTTGGTTGAGCGCGTGGCTCTCTGTATTGCTATCGTGTGGTTATTACTAAAGTTGGTATAACTAGAGAAGCAAGCAGTCAGCAACATTCATCTCTCGAGGGGGTGTCTAACTCGGTGTGTTGGACTCTAACTTAATTTTACGCTGGAATATCCATTTAAGGTCACATACACAGAAAAGGACTTGGTAATTAGGACTTCCTGGGTGCAACAAAGGACTTGCAGACATTTCATGCCATGCTCTAATGAATCATAACCTGTGCTTTCTAACAACAGTTAAATTGCTCAGCTAGATTTTGTTAGTTCTAAGAATGCAATTCAGCAGTGCTGCAGAATCTCAATATGAAAAGAGCCACTGCCAGACTGTTTGACTTAATCATACTACGAAAATAAACATTGATTTTGACCACTTTGACAAATTCTGCAGTATTTCAAAATCCAAACTAAGCATGACAGCCCAAAATACCTGGAGACTATGTTCTTTTCATTTTGTAAAGAAAATCTCTTGTGATCTTTCCCATTTCCCCCCTTAAATCCTTTCTAAGCTTGACAAAGAAGCACTGGAGTGGATCAGAGAGATAGTAAGTTAGCTCTGGTCTGCGTTTGCTCATAACATTGGAATGTGGGTTCTTGAGGCCTCCGCTGTGAGTAGGACGACAGCATTTTGCTTTTGATGATAATTGGCTTGGAGCTTATCAGCAGACCCAGAAATGGACGCTTTTAATGGTCTAACCTAAATATTTACAGTTCCTAATAACAATAAGCAGTTAACTTCGCTTTTGCTGACACTTAAACAACACACTCCCAAGGAAGGACTGTTATCATGTGCCAAGTTGACTTCTTTACTTGTAGTGTCCAGGGCTGTAGCCAGCTAGAAAACAGGACATATTTATTATTGAAGGGGAATTAGGAGCCTGTGAAAACAACTTCCCATCTGTGACTCATAAGCAGGGCTGTCAAGTCGAACAGAAATACTTTGGTGATATCATCATGAACATCTTGACTTTAGCTGCTAGCTTCAAGCCTGCATGCTGGGGTGTGTGAAGTTTGAAAACATGAGATGCCATCATGTTGAATTATGGAAGAATGTAAGTTTGAAAGGTCATGGGATCTGACCTTGGTACAAATATTCAGGATATCTCAGTCTGTGTTGTTTTCTTGGTTTGATGAAGCTTAAATAATGTGATCATATAAAAGCTTGACAAGGATACTGGTTTTCGTACCCGGCTGGGTGATCACTCGCCTCTTTAAAGCGGATTATGCACTGTCAGTGATTTCCTATTCCACTTTGCCTCAGGTTTTCTATGGTTTTCACTTTGCATGGAATGGTTTATCTTCATCTGCAGATGCAGCAATAAACTGTGTTCCCAGACAATGGATCTTGAGCACATACAGCCAAACAGTCCACAAGAGAGTCATGTCTGTTTTTAATGCAATGCTGCCCGAGGGCCTGAAGACTGCGGCTAGACCCAAAAAAATCAGTTCCAAGAAACTGTGATGTGATGTGTTTGTTAGCCTGCCATCTGCAGTTTGATTGTGTGCCATGTAAGTCTGTTTAGTTTTTTGAAGAGCTCAGTGTGTGAGAAACTTGTTTAGGACACTTGCTTAGTATCATTGGCTGCCCTGGATTTTTGCCTGTACTGTTTAAGAGGTGCCAGAGTTGTTGCCTCAGCCAGCCAATCATAAACTAGATGAAATGGGACTAGTCACCTACTAAGAAATTAAAGGAACATTAAAGGACGACAGAGATGGAAAAGCAGATTTTTGGGACACGTCTTAGTGCGAAGAAACACTTTTCTGAAAATGATGAACTACTTGCTCATGTAGTTTCCTACAGTACTGTGGACTTAATCTGATTTTATTCATTTTACATTTTTAATTTTTTCTTGTCGCTAACCTTATGGTTAGACACCCCCTCGAATGATGAATGTTGCTGAAAGCTTGCTTCTCTAGTTATACCAACTTAAGTAAAGACCGCAATACACAGCTGTCTACGTCTCCACGCGTACACCTCAACCAAAACGCCACTCTGTAACCACAAATAATGCTTAGAACAGCATCTAACTTCATCAACAGTACATAAAGGGTCCCAGCCATAGCACTGGCCACCAGACATCTTTTCAGCTTTGCCTAATTTCTTTAGCAAAGAGACTAAACACAACTCGGCTACTCTCTTCCAGCAGCCGCTTGTTTGTAGCAAGACCTCAGGTCAGCGCATTACGGACTGCTGCAGGGTGACACAGCTCAAGGAAGAACATTTATCATGATTTCTTTTTCATTTCCTTGAAGTAATAATCACCATATTAATCATTTTGCTCTGCAGACACGGTAGTTCTTCTGCCTTAGCGTCTCGGTCTGATTGCATTTCCATGAAGAAATGATCATAAATATTCTTTCTTGAGCTGCGGCACCCCACTGCAGTCAGTAATGGACTAGTCCGAGGTCTCGCTACAAACAAAATGCTGCTTGAAGAGAGTAGGTGAGTTATGTTTAGTCTCTTTGCTAAAGAAATTAGACAAAGTTAAAAAGATGTTTGGTGGCTAGTGCTGTGGCTGGGACCCTACATGTACTGTTGATGAAGTTAGGTGCTGTTCTGAACATTATTTGTGGCTATAGAGTGGCGTTTTGGCTGAGGTTTGTTTATGGCTCCTCAGACTGCTGTGTATTGCTATCGTGTGGTTGTTATTTAAGTTGGTATAACAAGAGAAGCAAGCTGTCGGCAACAGTCATCTCTCGATGGGGTGTCTAACTTGGTGTTACGGTGTGTTTGACCCTAATTTAATTTTACACCGGAATATCCCTTTAATAATCATTGTGTGTGCACATGGAAAAGAGGGTACCGCCTCAGCCTCATTTGGAGCAAAGACAAATTCATGTATATTTTCATAGAGATAATCAGATGAGTATCATACATGGGGGAACCATTGAGCTAAATAGTGCTTTGGTTAATCAGATAGAGTATGTTTACCTCTACATGATTGGGCAGTGTGTTGATGAATTTAAATCCTGGAATCCTCTTGTCACTGCAAACAACGCCCACATCTTCACTGTGTTTGCAGTCAGAAACACCGATCCCATTAGAAGGGCAAAGTGCCAAAGTCCTTTCTTTACCAGTACAGTGGAGATTATCAAACCAGATGGGTCCTGATGAAAAAAAGAGAAATTCATCAGTATGATCCCTTTACTAATCAAGACATAATTGTATTCAACATTTTTCTACTCAAGACACAAGTATTGCTTCTAAAGCCATTTCTTACCTTGCCCTTTTCCATACTTTGAGGATGGTGACCATGAGACGGCTTCTACGTATCCCAGCTCCCTGCACACAACCTGAGCTGCGTGGATCGTGAAGTCATCGTCACAAACGGTGCCCCACTGGTTATTGTAGAAAACTTCAACACGGCCCTCATTGTGTTTCCTCTTGTCTCCTGCTAATCGGAGCTGGATCCTTGGCGTGTCTGGTGACAGCTGTGGAGCAGTGTACTGTTCATGATCTTGCTCATTGTAGTTCGGTGGGTAGCCGAGGTGTTCATACTGAGCAAGAGCTGGCTCTATTAACACTAACAGAAAGAGTGTGCAGTGGGGCAGGGACCAGGTAACCAGCATTGTGGATAAAACTGATGGAAAGATGAAAAGAGAGGATTTTGATTTATCAGGCAGTGACAGTAAAAAAATACAAACAGTAGGCTTTTAACTGCATTCTTGGTTGTGTAAAGTATAGTGTGCTTGAAACCTGACTTAACTTGAGACCATCAATTTGGATAAATCCTGATCTGATCCTTAAATTTCTTTTTGAATTGAAGTTTCTTTGGTGTTTTTATTTTCTTTTTCTCTCTCTCAAGCTTATTCTTGGTTCTCTAACTCCATCTACGTAATTTCTGGAAAGACCAGGCTTGCATTTTCAATAATAATGAACCTATTTTAAGGTCCTTCTTTGCTAAAAACAAAGGATAGTTATCAACTGACATGTAATTATACGTCACAATGTCATGTGCTTAACTTTTCTTAGTCAACTGAATGCACAGTTCAAACGTGATTTTCCATGTGCTCATGTACTTGTTCACAGCATTACTTCCTTACTCCATATAGACTTGTACTATAGAAAACACTGTCTGAAAAAGCATCAAACATTTTTTAGTCTGGCTTTGGATCCACTGTGTGTAATGTTATCAAAAGGGAATAAATTTTTTTTTTGTGAAATTTTGAGCAAAACAACATTTCAAATCATTAAAATGATATTTGGTGAAAATTATAACAATCTTAAATTTGATGCCAGCAAACATGTTTGAAAACAGTTGGGACAGCGACAACACCACGCTGATGTGTAATGCTTAAATAATCCTGGTCGAAACATGACCCGGAATAAAAAGGGGAAGGAGATACTGAGTCTCTCAGATGTAAAGATGTGGAGAGGTTGACCTGTCTGTGAGAGATTATGTGGAAGTTTATGGTTCAGCGATTTAAGAATAATGTTCTCTGATGTATCAAGACCATCTCCACACACTGTAACATATTCCATATCTATGAGGACTGACCACTCCCTGGTTCAGCAGGAGCTTTCACTGCAGTGCCTGTCTATCATAGGAACTGTTAGCCGCTGACTGCAACATACACTTCAGTGAGCCGAGCTCACTTACTGGCCATTCCACTGATGTCGACGTGGCGGGCCAGGAGGGTGAGGCAGATCATGGTGGCCCAAAACTTGGCCTCACATGGTGTGGTTTTCATGGGGAGCACTCCTCCTGATGGGAGGCCATGGCAACCTCTGGTTTGCTGGAAACTTCTGAGCCAGACACCGGAGGTCCTGTTTCAGCGTTTTAGGCTGTGCAAAATGCACAAGCAACATTGATCATAGTCAAATATTCGACCCCTGGGGCCTTTTTTTTCTCTCTTGGTGAAGGACCAATCATGCAGGTGAGTCCATCAAGCCTGTGTTGTGCAGCTCCAATATCTGCTGAGGCTGTTGGATGCTGGCAAAACCTCTGCAAGTCTAAAGGGAGCGGCAATTAAGGCCACGTGAGTCTGGACCTGATTGAAGGCCTTGTAACACAACTCCTGAGGAGTGCCCATAGGAGGCTCGCTGTCTCTGCATGGGATCTAGACTTTGCGGTGACAGCCTTAAAACAGCAGTCCTTTAAACCACTTGAATCAGTGGAAATCATGTAGTTGTCACTCAAAGTCGCTCATGTTCCTGGAAAGAGTGACGTCTTCAGAAAGAGTGAGACAATTACAGGCTCTGTCAGGACTGCTGTCATTTCCTCAGGGGTGACACGGGGGTTAACTGATGATGCCAGCAGACAAGGCTAGTTTGGGAATAAACACTAAATATGGGAACAATTAAAATGGTTAAAAATAACCGCACAAACATAATCTTATACAGTATCTTTGAGTGATGGAATTCTTTTCTCATATATATGCAATTAATTACAAAGTGATTGATTTTGGTGGAAGGCTCCTGAGAACTTTCCTTTGGTCTTACTCACTTGAATTCGTTACAGTTGTGTACTGTGACATGTATCATGGTACTAATCTTTTGGTGGTACAGTCACATCATGATACGTATCCCACTGCGGCCTCTGTTTCCTGACATGTATTGTAAGACTGTAGGAAATACTCAGCTCTACTTTGCGAGGTTCTGTTGTTTGAATATAGTGATCAGCACCTGCTTTGGGGGACGGGGTGACTTTGTAATCATTCAAGACCAATGTGGCAGGGGCCAGTTTGGAGCCTGGCAAAAGGGACGTCGTGGATCCTTGCATACCAAACTGCATATTTTAGCCAGACAATGCCAAACCAAGTCCTACACATATTACAACAGCATTGTTCTGTGCTAGACTGAAATGGCCTCTCTGCCCCTCAACTTGTGACCACTAGAAAACATTTGGAAGACCCAGAATTGGGTTACATTTAATTTAAAACTCTAAAACTCTAAAGAAACGGATTCCTTGGTTCCCAGGGTGTTGTTCAAAGAAGCAAATACACCAGTGGCGACCATCCGACCCAACATGTTTTGAAATGTGTTGCTTGCATCAAATGCAAAATGAGCTTCTTTTTTTAATGTTTTCTTGCCACTGTTTTAAATCAAACAGGGGTTTTTAGTGATTTACAAATGATCAAACTTTGCTATCAATAACTTTTTACACAGCAAAATTCATTTAGAATTAGAGTTGGATTTACAAAGTTGCTCAGCGCTGGTTGTTCTCCTTTTTGTGCTGCATCAGAGTCAAAAAACGGTTCCTAAACTCATAAACCTGCCAGGTGTTGTGATACCCAACCTGAACAGGAAAAGGGTAATAAATGACCACTGGGGGCCACTGCTTCTACCCTTGTACTGTACTATAATTTTTTTTTCATAGAAAATTTGACTCATGCATCACTGATCAAAGGTTAATATAAACCTGAGTTTATAGTCTGAAAAAAGTCACACATTAACCGCTGCGTCTGCAAAAGCCCTTTAATGTGGAAAGCTTGATCTTTTGCGTTTGTGTAAAACATCTGGCAGGGAAGTGTACATCATTCAACAGCAGAGTTTCTACTTTCTTGCTGTAACGTGGCAGTGGTTACACAAGCTGGAAACAACGCATGTTACAGAATCAGGAGATGGAATGAAGCCTTCCGCCTCTGGATCTGCCTGCAATGTGTCGATCCATATGGCAAAGTTTTCTTATGGAAAACAGTGTCAGAATGTTAACTTCAGTTCAACTAAGGACAAAAAAACACACCTAAACTTTGTTTCTTTTCCAATTAAATTCTGGGTTATACCCATATAAAGACCGAATAAATAATGATCACTTTTATGACTCTTCCAGCAAAAGATGATTCTAATAAATGTATGATTTAGATGAAGTTTCACCTAAGGAGCAACATTTGATCAAACACAAACAGATTCAAGATGTTGTAAACAAAATATCAAGACCAGCATTGAACCGGAAATCTCGAAGTCTGAGATTTTTGCTGCATGTCACAGAAACACTGGTATATCATTTTTGACCAAAAGTAAAAAGCATGTTTTCAGATGTGTGTTAGTGTGAAAAAGTATGAATCCAAGTTGCTGCTGCAGCTTGGATTCATTACAACTTCGACTAAAAGGTCAAATATGCTTGTTTATAAGAATGTCAGCTGTTTTTCTCATGGCCTTTTCCACAGCAATCTGAGGAGAGCAATAGTGGAAAACCGGAAAAAAAAAGTCAGCAAAAATAAGATTCTTTTTAACTGCAATGTTGTCCTACTGACTTGAGAATCTGTTACCAAACATTTTCACTCGAAAAAAAACATCAGATATGAAAGATTATGCAGCCTACGATTAGTTGGGAGATACAGCAACAGTTCTCTGTAGCCTCTAACAAAACCAGCTTTTGATTTCATCAGAATAAAATGCTAATTGTTCACAAGAGGACTTATAAAAGGGGCAAATATCTCAAGTTAACTTTCTTGTGTCATTTTTTTTTGACCAAATGACACTATCAAATAAATTTCCATCACTTTTGTCATAACTAGAGAACAGCAGCAAACCTCTGTGATGATGAACAGCTTTAAAAAATGGGTCATAAAATTAACTTTAAGTTTGGCAGGCGGTCTCTGTATGTGGTTTTGCAGGCTACGTGCAAACTCGCCGGTCCAACAAGAACAAATGAGCCTGGATCAGTCCCTGTGCGTAAATGCATTAATAAACACATAACGGTACCAGAGTTAGTGATAACTTATGCTACAGTCTTTCTATAAGGTGTCTCAGGTTTATTATCAAGCATCTTTCACTTACTTTCCCTCTCTGCTGAAGACCGTCCCTCCTGAGGTCCGGGTAGGTAGTCCAGTTAGCAATGACCGAAGGCAATAAACAGTTTCTTTTTGGACTGCTTCTCCCCAGACTTTCACTCCCTGACCAGCAAATATCAGGTTTCAGGACCAGCATTTGCGGTGGCCTCGCCCACTTACGCCCACCGTTCGGATGACCTCACCGGAGATGGCCGGGGATGTGGAAATAGCGGATCCGAACTGAACACGAGAATACGAGTTTTTGCAAGAGACCGTGGTGCCTTCGAAGACTATCGGGAAAATTAGGACTGAAAAGCTGGAAGAGTTAAAGTTATCAAACACTGTCAGAATGAGGGGGTTGTTTTCTTTCTCAATGAATAGGGGAGAGTGGGGTAAGCTGAGCCAAAGGGTAGGCAGAGCCACCCCCTGTTGCTTGGAGATGGTAAAAGAAATTGATCATCATCATTGATCTTCACTAAAGTTTGGTGGGCTATGTGGCCAAGCACACACTATTCAATAGCCAGTACCCTGATGGTGTCAGGAAGCATGAGTGCCCATGGCATGGCTAATTTACTCATCTAAGAGGCCAGCATGTTGAACAAAGGTTTTGAAACAACATATGACACAATGCTGACAAAGCCTTTTTCACGGAGGACCTTGCATATTTCAGATGCCAATGGCGATTCCATGCCACATTCTGCACATATTACAACAGCATGGCTGCTTAGTAGAAGAGTCCAAGTAAAAAACTAGTCTACCTTAAGTCCCAACTTAGATTTTACCCAATGAAAACATTTGATGCATCCTGAAATGAGAATATACAGAGAAGACCAAGAACTGTCAAATGACTCTAATCCTTAATCAGGCGGAATGGATCCACATTTACTTTACTACGCAAATCCAATCCAACTGTTTTAATGAACACCAAATCCTAACTCTCGTGAAACTGGGGCTGTAGATTCTGCCATGTAAATTTCAATTCAGTAACACAGCATCTTGCAAAATGAAGTTATATTGGTTAAAGTTTTATTTGCTTACCAATTCCTTCTTCACTTGCGGATCATACAGCTGTATCATATGGTGCCATCACATCACGGGTGTTGAATTTGGGTCAGGTTACTTCATGTTTTGACTGTAATCAGTTACCATTGTTCCAAAAACAATGATGAGACTAAAAGCTCTGAGAAATATAAGGAAGTGTGCCTTGAAGCAGAAAAAAAGAAGCACAAGCATAAAGGCAGTTGGCAGAAAAAGGAATTCAAAGGACATGTAAGGTCACTTCATTTGACCTCTTAACAGAGCTGTTGACTGTGCAAGAAAACGAACACCACAGATTTATCAAAACATATAGTATATTTTATTGTCTAGCAAAACAATCTTAAATATGTTCTAATCAAAAACACATTGCTTTGTGAAAAATAATCATTGGAAAATATTTCACCTTTATCTGGAGTCTTATTTAAATCTCATTGTTGCAACAGTAAGTTTTACAAGGATGCTGCTGAATAACATTGAACTGTAACAATACAATGAAAAGATTTACATTTCAAACATTGTTTTTGTAAGTATTTGTGATTCTGAATTTGCTTAATGGTCCTTAATGGATTTAATAATCAATCAGGCATGGGAATGCCCCGATATTTTCCAAGTAGAGCTGGAAATATAGTTGGGAAGGACGGAAGTATTTTAGTGCAATTTTCCCAAACTGGTGCCATCATGACACGGTCTGGACAAGCAGCAGGATATAAATAGATGAATATACAAAATAACAAGGACAATTCTGTTGAATTAATGAGAAAATTTGTTGTTTTGTATTGTGTTGGCAAAAGCTTAACATTCAAAATAGACACCCCCACACCACTGGGGAATTTTTTAAAGCTGATTTTCATCTGTGATGCTGCATGGACAGGTTTTATTCAGTGAGCGTTTTGTTAATTTCTCCTATTCGTTTTCCTCCTGAAGGACTGGCTGCAAATAGAAAAGGACAACAATAAAAAAAATCTCGTTAAAATAAATCTAAATGAACTTGAATTTCGAACAGACTTAATGAGGTTCTCACCGTGTAATCAATATCCTCTGGTCTAGAATCTGGTCTCTGCCATCTATGGTCGGACAACATCTTCAGGACAACCAAACCAAAGGCCACAATCAAAACTCCAAGTAAGTTCCCCAAAACAGCCTCGGGCCCGAGTTTGGTATATGGCTGATCTTTGGTGCTGTTTAAGAAAAGTTTTAAAATTTTATCTTTTAAAAGACATTACCAGGAGAAGCACATAATGGAGCACTTACAGGACAAAGAAGAGTTTTTCGTTGATTCCTGAGATACAGGCAGCAATGCTGAGCGTCATTATACCGGCTCCCATCCACACATGGATGGGTTTCAGGAGTTTACGAAATGACTCAGGGGAGTAGGGCAGGAGAAATCCAGCCATACCCACCACCCACTGAAAGCAGGGACATCCAGAGACACAGTAAGGACAAAGACACATAACCAACATATCCACTTTATCGCTTAGTTATCTTGTTTTTGTCAAAGTTTAGTAAGTTAACATACCTGAAAGGCAAAAAGAGCAGTAGCAGCAATCCCAATCCAGCTATGTAGGGAGTAGAGGTTTGCAATCCCTTTGGCGTTGTGGAAGTCGAACACGGCACAGAGCCCAACGATTGCAAGAATCAGAGCAAGGAACATAAGTGTAGCATGCAAAAGTTTCCAGGGGAGTTTATTCTGACCCCAGGTCAGTGGGACACGGTACAACACAGCTCCTTCATGGGGGAAAACAAAGAAAAATGAAAAGCAGATCATAGCATGCTGGAATTTGTTATTTGGGTAATGTGGCTGATGTCCTATGTGACTCTAAAGGCCATTCAGAGTCGAACCTGAATTTGCAGGTTCAGTAACCTACAATTAATAAATCAAATACCTAGGTATAACCTAAATCATAAGATTTGAGATGTGGAGCTTAACTCAAGCTCAGGACTGAAAATTGCATTCTTTTCAATAGGTGATAAACGCAAGACAACTCCGGATTTTTACTCCAATACATTTCATTTGAAGGAGAAAAACAGTAACTATAGATACTACCACACGTTTGTAACATGTTTCATATTTGAATTTAGTTCTCCACAGAACCTGTGATGTGTCAGTATCTAACTAGAATCTATCATAAGAAACAGAAGTGAGATGAAGAAATGAAAGTGTGTGATCTATATTTGAAAAACCACTCACCATTTCCATACAGCACAACCAGACCTGTTACCATCAGGACAGGATGCCAGTTGAACTGCAGGCTTGAGCCGTCCCAGGCAAATCCACCGCGCCAGTGACTATTCCATACACACACACACACTACACACGCCAGGCCTAGGCACAGGCTTAGCAGGAAGCAAACGTAGAAGCTGACGGTGGACCTCATCTTGAAGAAATCTGTATGCTTGACCCAGAAAAGAAGCTAAATCAGGACAGCTTGAGTGGCAAGAGAGTGAAACGGTGAAATCCACCGAGTCATGGAACTGTTTCAATCCTAACAGAAGTTCATCAGTATCCTTTCATTTTTAGACTGGGCTAACTTGCCGGGTCAACCTTTCACATCATGCTGATGATAATTTAACAGTTATTTCTTGATCCAAGTCTGACTGGAGTCTGCACCTTTTGTCTCGAAATGCTACTGTAGCTTTTCACAGACATTTGTATGTTAATAACTTGACTTAACTAAAAACCAACTTACTTCAATAAATATAAAAGGAAATACAAATTTACAAGTGGCAGAGAAATCATTTAAATTCCTTTGAAAACTTGAAAATATCACTAAAACAAGATTTTAAGTTACTGCCGATAAGATGTTCCAACTATCAAATTCTGCTGCTTGTCTTATTTGTATCATCAAATGCCACATTTCCTCTATACCTAAACATTTAACCATTATCATATGAGTGCGCCAGTGTTGTCTTACCTTGTCACCCGTCACTGGAAACACCTACAACACTACAATGCAGCAGCTAACCCTATACCATGTAGAAGGTCATGTTACATGTCATATTTTCCCCGTGGTCTATCTCTAGCTGATACTCACACTGTTATTCTCTCTCACTTCTTGTTTTTCGGGCTTAGATGAATTTTCACATCCGCTTTCGGCAGTATTGAGGTGGTTGAGGGGGAAGCAGTCAGAGGTAGGAAGGGCTTGTTGCACCTGCTGCCTGTATAAATAGGATGAAACATGTAATGGTGCATTAAATCATGTGAATCTCAAGTCACTGGATAACCATGGCTTCCAAAAAAAATCACACTATCCTTTTACATGACAACCACATGGAGCAACACAATTCTAATGAAGGTTGATCAAGTACCATCTTACTTAATGTAGTTTTAATATGGTTCTCTGGTTAATATGGTTAATTAGACATTTTATTATAGTTAAGTTAAATAAAAAGTCAGTTACAAGTTTAAATAAAAATAGAATAGAATAGAATAGAATATTCCTTTATTGATCCCCCATGGGGGAAATTTTTTTGTCACAGCAGCATCACAGACAAGACAAAAAGTGCAAAAATGCAGTTATAACAATAAGGGTCCTAATATTAAGAACTTAAATAAATGTAATAATTAAGAAAAAAAATTAGAAAAGGGAGAAGAAAAAATAAAGCTTTCTACAATATACACAACTTAAATGCCATAAAAAAGTGGTGGTGTAAAATCAGTTTTGTTACTGTTCATTGTAAAGTCTTAATGCAGAGGGGAGGAATGATCTGCGGTAGCGCTCCGTCCTGCAGGGTGGGAGTCTCAGTCTGCTGCTGAAGGAGCTGCCTAAAGCCCCCACAGTCTGGTGCAGTGGGTGAGAGGGATTGCAGAGCCTTGTGCACGTATCAACTGAAACTGAAGCTGTAGTTCTCTGGTCACTCACCTCTGGGGTTAGGAGGCAACAAAAAGGTTTCTGTTCGTGTTTCAAAACGTACCTACATCTAAAAAATCTAATTATTATTATTATTAAAAGTAGAAAACTGTCCATTTATTATTTTGCATGGGTATATTTAAAATCTGCAATTCAGCGTTAAATTGACAGTAATGGGTAAAATACGCAGCCTTGTCTCGCAATAGTGTGGAGCGACCTCGAAAGGTGTCAGCAGGGTTGTATATTTTTACTTTTTATACTTTTACGACGGTCCCTAAACGCACCTGCAGCGGCAAGCGCGCTGGAGGAGCCATTCACATTACTACACCATAAATTGCGTTTTCCTCTTTATCTTTAAAACAACAAAAAACTGCAAAACGTCTCTCTAGGTGTGTGCCAAACTTAATCTAGGCTTTGACAAGGAGCAAGGAAACATGTTAGTGACAAAAAACGGCAAACGTGACCGATGTCACTGACATGATAAGCATTCAAAAAGGAAATACGCATGAAGAAGTGAGAACTTTTACGCACAGCGTATTGGCTGCTGCCAAAGGGACCGTGTTGCGCTCCACGATTTAACTCAAGACTATTCAGTAACAAGAAAGGAAGAATCTCTCGCATTCTGACGGACACAGTGGATGTAGTGGTGGGCACGGCAGTTCTTTTGGATGTACTGAATCACTAGAATCAGTTCACTAAAAAGATTCGTTCAGCAAATCACCGAATCATGCTTGGCTGGAGAAGCCTGCGACTCCGACCTCCTGAACTGATGCACAGCTGAGCAGTTCAGAATTCAGTTTAATTCATAGCTTCTGGGACAGAGAGACGAGAGTGTTTGGCTAAGTTGCTTTGGCAAACAGGTTTGTAAATGAACTTCTTTCTCAGTTATGTTGTTTAAGTGTACTGTCCAATGGTATGCTATTTAACAGGTCTGCTCAGTAAATTGGGCTCAGTGAGTGATTCGTTCACTGAACATTTAGAGGAATTCAAACCGAACATGCACCGTTCCCTCGCAATCCGCTGCAATGATAGGAGGCTGCAAGTGTGATGCAGTACTTGTTACATAATATGTCCTTTTGTATTCAAGTTGTTATGGTGGCAATTTAGCAGTAATAAAAAGGTAGTTTTGTCTGACAAAAGCGATTTCCAGAGAGTGTAATTCAATGCATGGTTCGTTCACCAAGTGATTCAGGTGTAGGTGCATGCAGTCCCTCGTTCCTAAAGCTGCTTGACTGGCAATGCTGTTTCTCACTTCAGCGCAACTGAAGTGAGAAAAGAACGAATCATTTGAGGAGGTGATTCGGTTCAGTCATTCACTTACAAGATTTGATTCTTTTGAACGAATCGTTTGCGAACGAAACAACACTACAGCGCATTGGTTGCTTCCAAAGGGACGGTGTTGCGCTCCTCGATTTAACTCAAGACTATTCAGTTTCAAGAAAGGAAGAATGTCTCGCATTCTGACGGAAACGTTGGATACACACTCTTGAGAAATGTCACAAGTTTTAAGTGTCCAGCGGTCCACTTGTAGCCAACTCATCTACATGTATCGTTAACAACAGCAATACAGGAGCGTTTAAGAGCAGTGTTGTTTGGCTCGTCGCCGCCTCGTCTCCGTCAATGAGCAATCATTTTAACTTACAACATATTTTTCAGTATACCGAACATAGACTGTATTTAGCCGACTGAACAGCAAAACATAACCTCTGACTTAAATAAGTGACTTTCTCGATTTATTATGCGGTTGTTGCATCACGGTCTCTCTCTCTCGACGCAACATTACCTCTTGGTGTTGGAAATGAAGTTTGACAGGCTACCGTCCTTGGTCAGTGAGTACATGGCTGTGAGAGTCGAAACCTCTCACTTCTTCAACCACCAGAAACTTCATTTCCCGTAGAGACGACCAACAAAAACTACATTATCAGTAAAACTGCCTTTGCGGGCAAAACAGGTTAAACTCACGGAGATAATTACCTAACTCATTTCCTCATTGGCAGCGTGATGCCTTGTGGGAAATGTGGTTTCTCGTATCCAGGGGCTCTCAAAACTGGAGAATCGGTCCTTTAGAGTGTTAAGTCAATTCTTCGTTGACTGGATTTGCTTGAGGCTCTTGAAGACGTTTCGTTTCTCCTCCAAAAGGCTTCTTTAAGTGTCTGGGGCCAAAGGTGGAAGTTTATAGCCTCTGTTGGTCATCCAGTTGTAAAAGGGCTGGTTGGTCACCTGAGAGTCGTTCACAGTTGTTGACCTGGTTTCACCTGAGAGCGGCTTCCTAGGTCTCTCCAGGTTGGCCATGCTTGTACAGTGTCGGAGCCAGCATGATAAACCCATGTTGTTTTGATTAAGACACTTTTTCACAACCACTTACAATTCAGCTTTGGGTTCTTTTCGACAACAACGTTTTCGTGGTGGGTCTCAGACTCATCATCATGCAAGCTTAGCAGACCTTAAGAGACCTTGGAGGGCACACCCCAGGTGAAACCAGGTCAACGCCCTTACTGATGACTGCCAGGTGACCCAGCTGTGAACGACTCGTGACCAACAGAGGTTTAAAATGTCCAACTTTGGGCCCAGTCACTTTAGAGCTGAAAGAGCCTTTTCAAAGAGAGGGGAAACGTCTTCAAGAACCTCATCCAACTCCAGTTGCCCTTCAACGAAGAACTGGATAACCATGACTTGGATGGATGAGAATATAAGGACGTCTTATTAAATTATTAAACATTTAAAATCTAATGTTGTACAGTTCGACGCCCTGCCCATATATTCTTGTTCTTGAGTTGGTAGTTCGAATAGAAAAAAACAATTCAGGACGTTTTGGACTATATACCTCATCTCTGTTGGCTTGTACCTCCACCTAGAGGCAGTCAAGTAAATGACTTAAATGATTCATCGGGCGATTCCTAAAGTGCATTCAGATTTAACAGATAAGCAGTCATTGACCTTACCTTGTGCTTAGTGAAATGTCAAAGATTGACAAAGAAATGACAAAGAAACCACATTGACATAGTGTCTTTAAAAACCTTCTTGCTATTTTTATAGACATTTTTTGACAGTTAAGTTTTCTTTTCTAATTTTTTTGTTCATAAAAAACTTTAAAAAGTAACAATCTTATGAAATTCAAGGAGACTTTCGTCAACAGTTTCTATTTCTATTGATCAAAATCAACACTGAGACATTGCTTCTGAGCACAGATGTACTTTTATTGATCGGAAACAAAACAGCACTGTGAAAACAATCAACCTTAGCCTATTTTTGTTGAAAGTATAAAGCCCAGGCTTTGTGCATACAGAGGATATATGAAAAAAACATCAGCAAAAATACAATTCAAATCATCTTAGAATGCTAAGTGCTTTGGTATGCCTGTCAAGTTATGTCCTAATTATGTAAAACTCATAATTATGCAAAACTTGTAAAAGTAATATCTTCAAAACAGATGACTTACAAAAATGTCAACCCCCATAAAATGTGTGCAGGTAGATAAAAAAAGCTATTTAGACCAATTTTGTTTTTTAGACTTGGCCGTAAACATGTTTAATTTAGCTGCAAAGATGAGCCTTTTTGAACGGGTGAAATGTTGTTCCTCGGGCTTTTGCAGCACCTGATCGAGAAAACAAGCTTAGGGCAATACACACAGAGGGGTTTTCAGTGAACATCTTGACACATTAATACTCACAGAGGTAATGTCCATGATGAATAGCATTTTCCTTAATAGTCTCAGCGGTTCTCCTTTGATTTAAAGCAAGTAAAGCAGTTAACAGGTCATTTAAGCTGCCTTTCCTGCCCTCTTTCTCCATCCAAATATTCAGCAACTCATGAATCTTGTCCTCGCAGTGAAGGTGCTCTTTGCTTTTGATCACATTGTCAGCTATTCCAATGTGGCGGAAGAATCTCTTGTGGTAGTCAAGATCCATTTCTTCAAAATACTCAAAGCATTTCTTTAGGGACTCCTCACCTGTCCAGAGATAAACCTTTATTAAAGCACTTTGAGCTCACTCAGGTGTATTGTTCACAAGCATAGAATTTAAGAATAAGGTTGAATATTTATCGTAGCACAAGTGAGTTGCAAAGCTTCATGTGAAATGGCGTTTAATATGAAATAATTTTAAAATTTAGACAAAGGAAAAAGGTAAAAACAACATACCATTCACAGGAACAAGCTTGGGAAATTCTTTATCTTCCTAAAAAAAAAATTGTAAATTTAATTTTAGAAGAGTTGGGATAGGAGTTTTACTACTGTGTTGCATCACCTCTACATTAAACAATACTACATGCCTGGGAAATTCTGGGACCACTTCCTACAGTTTTAAATATTGTCTCATTCTTGCCTGATACAGATTATACCTGCTCAGGAGTTTAGGGTCTCCTTTGTCATATTTTTTGGATATGATGCACCAAATGTTTAGCCTGACGCTCTATAAAATGACAACACAGGATCTCCTTGGCCTGTTTGTAAAAAGCCTAGACAGCAGCTCCCACCGCAGACAGGCTCAGGTAAGGGTTGGGGATGAAACACAAGAATACCAAATGTCTTCAGTGGGCGACAAGTTGGGAATGCACTCAGGCCAGTTTAGCATCCAGGGTTTATCACTATGGAGCCATGCTGTTGTTATCTGTGCAGAATATAGTTTGGCATCTTCTTGCTGTATTATGCAAGGTCTCCCCTGAAATAGAAATTATCTCAATGGCATATGTTACTTCAAAGCCTGTATATGTTGTCCACAATTAACTTCCTACATGCGTAAACCAGCCACACCCTGAGCAATCACTTATCCCCATACCATCAGGGGTGCTGGCTTTTGAACTGTGCATTGATAACAGGCCTCTCCTGGTCCATACTCATACTCAGCAACTTGAAATATGCAAGTTAAACTCAAATGTTATTCTGATGTTTCTGCTTCATCAGGCTAGACTCTAAATCTGGCTTCAACAACTGGGTTACTTGAGATGAGTTGCAGGCTATCGAAGTCTGTTGTATCAACATTTAATCACGCGCGACAAAAAACCTGTTGAACTGCACGTTGCCACAAGGTGACACTTATTACATCCCCATATAGAAAAGCTACACATCTGCAGTGAAAACAAGGCTGCTGTGTTCGGTTTGAAGCAGTCAGTCTTGTAAGAAAAGGAGAGAAACAAGCTTTAAAGCTGAAGGTGTCTGCTGATAAGAAAACATAACCTAACACTTAGTAAGCAGGTAAGAAGGAAGCATGGATGGACTGAAGCAGAAATTAGCTGCAGTCCCACCATCTTGTGTTGCTGTTGGAGCACTGGACTGGTTTGAGACACAGATGAGGGGATTGCATGGGTGGACGTGCGAGTTAGGCTATGTTGGGAGTTATTTGCTGAGCTGTTGAGGCTTTCACACAACACTTCACGCTCATCCTCAGTTAAGGATTTGACTCTCACCAGTTGCCCAGACAGCATCAGATTTGAGCGGCTGGGCTTTTGAGTATCTGTCTTCCCCTTTTCTTCAGTGAGACAGTTTTCACTGTAGAGCTGTGGAGGAAGATGAATGTTTTAAAAACAACAACAAAAAAACCCCCTGCAAATCTCAATGAAGTAAAATGTCCACAATTCTCACTTACATGTGGAAATACCCACATGAGCTTTTCTTTACTTTCATAAAATCTATGGCTAAAATCTGAGCAGATTCTTATTTAGTTTTTTTAAAATGAATCTTAAGTCTTAATCTTAGATTCCCGTGAAATATCATGGGTAACTTACCTCTCCAGCTTTCTGATCAATAGGCTGATTTCTCAGAGAATCTGGTGAAAGAAAGTAAGGAGAATTTGTTTCAGTGACTGAAAGGAATTTTGAAATAACTAAATGGAGTTTATCTTAAAAATATATCAAGGATGAATAAAAGGCAAGTTTTTTTGGCTCTACAATTACCCTTTTTACTTAGAGATTCTGAAAAAAACCTGTGATGATGTTCACTTATGACTCCATCCAGTGAAGACTAAACCATACCACAACAAAAACATGCAGCACAGTCCATGTGCATCAAATTACCCGTTTAATCTAAATGACATGCTTTAGCTAAACCATACTATGCTTCTTCTCAGGACACATAGTCATCAAAAAACTATTTTGATGATTTCTGTTCCAGCGGTATCTTATATGTAAATGGCATTGGTTAACACTGATGGGTGCTTCATATAGCAGCCTTTGCTATCAGTACATGTATGTGGAATAAATGGGAAAATGTGACTTGCAATGTAAAAAGTGCCTCAGGTGGTCTTCAACTCAAGACCACACAAAGAGTTACATAAATACAGTCTGTCTATTTACCATCGGTCATTTTCACCTACCTCTTATTTTACGTCTCCACACCCAAAGGACAAATATGATCAGTAACGCCGCAGCAAGTACCGTCACTTGCACAATCACAGAAAGTTTTGCTAAAAAAAAAAGAAAGAAAAAAAAATCATAGTTCGCAGTTTTCCTTCTTTATTATGTTGCATCTTCTTGTGTATTAAATCATGAATAAGTTTGATATTTTTTCATTATTATTTAAAAAAATGTCAACTTTGATGAATTTTAGATTCTTTAATATAAAAGTAAATGATTCTACCGAATGGTTTGGTGATTATGATGCTTGAATAGCCAACAATAAAGGGAATTTGTGGATATTTTTCTGCTGATGACTGCTTCATATGGTGAAAAAGTGGTGAAAAGGTTTTTCTAAGGACACTCACTTGCTTTCAGATGTGTACCTGAAGGAACGTCAGGATTTGATTGAATTTTTTTGCATTGTGTGTTCGCAGTTGCATTGCAGTTCCTCACTATTTCTTCACCTTTTCCACAACTAGTATGGGAGATGGCATAAAAAGAAAGGAAGAATTAAAAGCAGGAGGAATTGAAATGAGTGATACTGCATACGATTAAGATATATGTAGTCTATTCCCATCGTATTGAAGACCTAAAGATCCATATTAGCATGAAAAGTATGAGAAATTTAAAAGACACACAACACATTAAAGAGTCTAACTCTCATTTTTAATCAACAAATCATATGTAATCTTTCTTTATATAGACTCACCTTGAACACTTGAGGCACACTTCACATGGTTGGTCAGGAGCACAAAATGTTCCTGGTAAGCACTGACATTCAGTGTCTTGAGTATGGGTGCATGGCTTCTTGATTTGTTGATCTATGAAAGCAATAAGACGAAATCCTGTCGAGTCGTAACCTTAACCTTTCACAAGATTGTCTAAAGTTGTCAATCTGAATAACCTGTGGGACACTGAGTGCACTTGAAGCACTGCTTCAGTCCGTTTGGGTGCTCAGTGTATGTCCCATCCTGACATTCCTCACACTGCCCCCTCTGTCCTTCTTTGGTGCATGGAGATATCAAATGGTAACCTAACAAACAAACAGGCATACACACATAGACAAAATTGTATAACCTGAGTGAGAACTTCTTATATAGATGAATAATTCACCACCAAAACCAAGCTGGGCCTGCTCCATTACTCATAAGCCAATCTCAGAACAGAACATATCAGGTGTGTCTCCATGGGGCTTACCAGCTGGACAGTTCAAACAGCAGATGCCCCCATTCAGGTACTCCTGGTCTTTGCATTGATCCTGCTGTGCCCTCCTGACTCTTGAGTCAAACCCAAACAGCTGGAAGGCCCCCGTAAGTTTGGAAGGCCAGATCAATACCATCAAAACCTTTGAAAGAAAGAAGAAAAAAGAATTCCTGAAATGAATGGTTTCTTGACTGTAAGGAAATTATTAGCTATTATTAAAATGATTAGTCATTTCACATTTTTTTTATTTCCATTTTTGGGCTGGCAAGCGAGGAAAATAAAAGCCTTTTTTAAGCATTTTTATTGCCTTTGTATTGACTCAGAACGACATCTCTTATTTTTGAGAAACTTTATCAAAGTGATTAAGGCATTTAAGAAAATAAAGTGAGACCAGATTTAAATTAATAATAGCAAATACACTGAGTCAAGCAGAAACCGTATAACTAATGGTACTTCCACAATTTTTAACAATATTACACATTACACATACCTTGTGGAGATTTTGATAAAAGGGGTTGTCGAATGGATCAGTATAGAAAAAGAAATGGCAGAGATATGAATTGAAAAATTATTTGTAGGAAGACAGACATGCAAAAACTCGATCAATACCAACTCATTATAAATACTTTAAAACATGTGTAATGCTTGAAAAAAAAAGAAAAGAAAGTGAAAGTATGTAGGCCTTATAGGAAGTGGTGCATTACTCTGACTTAATACAAAATTTAAAAAAAAGGCAAAAAGCAAACAAACAACAACAAAACCCTTATAATTGGTCAAAATTCAAAATTTTTAATCAAATCATGATTAATGCCTTCTTCCTTTTTTTAATTTAATGTGTATGTATATCTAAAATATCAAAAACATGTGCCCTATAAGAACAGAGGTTTTCAATAGTATCTACTTTTTATTTGTGGCAGCAGTAAAGTATTACGAAGTTATTGATATAATATTACAACACAATTACTTTATTATACAGAGCCGATTCCCTTGATAGCCACAGATTCCTGATTTCTGATTCATTAATTGAGGAAATCGACAAACTGGCTAAACCACCTTCATAATTCACGTCAGCTGATCTGTGTCCACACAGTCAATACCTGGCCAGGTTGCAGGGACTATCATACAGAGATGGGAATCAAGTCCACACCCTATTATTTCTCAATTGTACTGGCCTACTATAGGCCTACAGCTACAATACATCTACTCTGTGTGCATGTTGCATCTCAAGATACGTCAATTGTCGTTTTTTTTCCCCAGACAAAAATATATGCCTGAAACATATCCAGAAATTATTTTAAACACCAGGTGGCCCGAGTGAAAGACGAGGCAAACGCAAAAAAGGTACTTTTTTCAGCCCCCTGAACCTCTGAAATTCGCACCTGTGCTCAATCAGCTTTAGATTTCGATAAACTAGCAGAACTTGGACAGAAAAGTCACAAACGTTTAAAACAAACTTACCATGTAATGTAGGAGCTTGGTCATATTCTCGCGTAAATGTCCAAATCCACAGGCTTCACTTTATCCATTCTTACAATTGTTTGTGACATCAAATGGCTCACTCAGGCAGCGCGTGTCTCCCCACTACTATTCCACGCAGGTGGCACGACGTCGAGTTAATGACAATGACGTATTGGCTGGGTGGGGTCACTCCTTCCGTCCGTGTACTGAGCCTCCCACCTCATACCATCTCGCCTGGTTTCCAGACACCCACCAAGTTGTCGGTACAGCATGTCATCATACACACCACTGAGAAAGAATAACTTCTGCTCTTGAGGCTGTGGGAACTTTCAAGTAGCTCTTACTGCTTTTTGGACAGATCAGTAAGATGGTGCATCTGTAATCTTTTTGGGGATACTAAATATCATTGGTAACACTTTACAATAACCATAACTTCTAAATGGTAACTAGACCATTCATAAATGGTAAGCAGGTGGTTTATTAATGTTTAATCTCATTTATAAATTGTAAATTTTACAATTTTGAAAACCTAACCCTAACTTTACAACAACCATCTAAGTAATGTTTATAGGTGGTTTATAAACCACTTATTAATCATTTACCAAGTGCTACTGACACACATTTTAATCTAGATGTTTTACAACCAATATTTAAACCCCATATAAACCTTTAAAACAAACAGTATATAAATAATTAATGAAAATTATTAATCATAATGTCATTGCTTGTTAATGGTAAATAACTATTAACTTCCATTAATAAACTATCTACTTGCCATTTATATTAGCTATTTTCAAATGATGATTAAACATTAATAAACTATCTATTTACCATTTATAAATGATGGTTATTGTAAAATGTAACCATATCATTGAACAAATTTCTCAGTGTCTTGTCTGGAATATTGATTTTTATTAAAATTACAGCTGTCTATATAATTTGATCAATTGAAAATGCTGTTAAATTTCTTTTCTAAAAGTTTAATGGAATCAGGAATGGCTTTAGTTATAGTTTTGAATAACTAAAGATTACAGAAACAACCATATTCATGACACAAATCTTAGGACAAGAGAGAGCCAATGCTATCCATAAAGTGAAATGGTGACAAAATATCGCAATCCACCCACCCCTTGTTGCACATTGACCTGCTTCTGACAGGGATGTATCTTTTGTTCCATGACAGTGGATTGGGTAAGGTAAAATTCTGGTTCTATAAAAGGTTCAACATTTAAGAACCTGCTAGTGAAATGGAGATGATTTGATGAAACATTTAGAACAAAGCCTCAAATATTTCTCTGGGGTTGTGGCACCGAAGGTTATTTCAGTCAGATAGCTCTCCAGGTTCCATTACAGTCAATAGTTTGTAGATCTCAAAGGGTTTGAAGTGGGTCCTCTCCCTCTGTTTGTGGGCCAGTCTGGATGATGAAACAGTATGCCTTCAGCACAAGTTTCAGCCAGACTCACCCTCCTAAGTTTGGCAGTTTAACTCGACTAAAAGATCAGTTGCCTGCAGCTCACAGATACAGTCAAACAGGAAGGAATAGCTAAAACTGAACATCCTGGGCTGGGATGTGATGTGCTGTATTGAGGGAGAAGACATAGAGGTTGAAATCAAGTGGACTTCTAAAATTAATTTTGTCGAATTTGTTGTGTCAGTGTTTGAGGGCAGATGACTTACAAAACCCATCTGCCTGAGCAGCTGACCAATTTTTAAAAACTCATTGTTGAGATATATTCGAGCAAATTAACTTTCAAACAGGCCATTCGTGATATTATGGCTACACAATTCTCATCACTTGATCTTCTTTTTGTTTCTCTCTTTTTTTATTTTAAAGCACATCTCATCTTCCTGTTACATTTATAGGAATAACAGAGCCGTTTGCCGCCACAGGCTGTGTACCCTGATAACGGTAGGGTGGAGGCTTGAAGCGCTGACACTGTGTTTCCAAGATAAGACATGCACTTTACTAGCAGATGAGCAATTTTTGTGTTTACTCAGAGTAATGATTTATTCTAATAAAAAAAAAAAGGGTGGGGTGGGACTTAAGCGCAAAATTTTCTGCAGTTATTTCATTTACAATAGCGAATAGTCAAACCACACCGATCTCTTTCATTTTCATATTTAATTTGTCCTACAACTCTTCAAGCTGTAGGACGAGTAGTGAATCAAAATTTGTCCACAGCATAACAATAATGCCTCGGGCTTTGTAACTAAAGTTTGGGCCTGCTCCAAAGTTGATCATTTCTCTATTATTTAGAGGCCAGTGTCTCGGCGTGTCTGCTCTAAAGTTTATAGCATCTCTTTGTATAAGGACCAATGCCTCAGTGCGTTTTCCTTTTGGCCCTAAGAAGGATTCAGATTTAGAGTCAGTTTTTTATCGTTAATCAATTTGCTCTAAAAGTGATTCAGTGATGCAGTGATGTCAGAGCAGTCCCTGATTAGTGAATTGGTATCAGCTGTAGGCCTGGCCTGAGGCTGACAGGTTGCCAAAGCAACTTGAGCTGGTTGCTCATGTCGATAGACGCACCGCAGGCTGAGGCAGTTAAAAGAGTGATTTTTTCGCCTCAGTGCTGGTCCCACATTTGGGCTTATTCTGACAAAACGGTAGCTCCATAGACTGTATATACTATGGACAACTTGGTTCCGCCTTCCGCCAGTATACAGATTTGAAGCCAAAAAATTGTTGGTAATTCCGCGTTTTTTCTCCATTTCCTGGAACCAACATTGCGCAATAGCATTGTACGCATTCAGTGGGAGAATCGCCGAGAGTTGCTGTGTTGAAGCTCGGTTCAAACAGCGTATCCCCTGGGTGCAATTTTTTTTGTCAGATGGCAGGGGAAGGTCCCGCCCTCCTTCGCCTCTGATTGGCTAGAAGTGCTGGGCTCAGATTGGTTATTCCTTATGGCTGTTAAACGTCATCATCTGTCAGGTTAGGGTTAGGGTTAGGAGATTCAGAAGTGCGATAATGTTCTGTAATGTTCTGTTCGATGTACAGAGCCGGAGGAGGCGGGACCTTCCATCCTACAATTTTCTGTGTAATAAATTTCGAAAGTTCGTCCACAGCTCCATAATCTTTACTGGCGGAAGAGGGATTTATGACCTATACTGCAGCCCGTCACCAGGGTGCGCTGTTCTCGGAGTGGCTTCACCCAGCGAGGAGGCAGACTCTTTCCATTCTATATACAGTCTTTGGGTAGCTCCTATAGAGACAAATCATTATAAATTGCAAAAACTTCACACTTGTTGGCTCATGTTCCTCTCCACTCTTTCAGCAGACTCTCTGACCTTGAATCAAATGCTAAACGTATTCTTATCTAAAAAGAAGACTTGTTCCTTATGACTGTGAATACTCATGGAGGACTCTTTAGTCATAATGATTCAGCAGTGAGTGTTGAAAGTACTATAGACCAGCACACATTTCATTATTACTCACTGTACGAGAATGACTAAATGAATGACTTTTGCTATTTTGAATTCAACCCTCTCAAGTCTAGAGCATGCCTTTGTAAATCTCCTTGCAGAATTTGTGAATGACTAAAAGAGCTGTCTGCATGTTTTTATCTGACACTGATATTAACATTCACACAATTTGAAAATATGTCTTTGTGTAACCTCTGTAGTCATGAAAGTCAAGTGTGCGTCTCCTTGTGGATTGACACAGGTAGGAGACTCTGGCAGGTGATTCTGGGTGTGTCAGGGCCTGATATGAAGTTGGTGTGACAGGTCAAAATAAAGGGAATTGGGAGATATGCCTTACCATAATGTCACACACAATTTATGCATCCATGAATTTATGTCAGTAGGACCAAAGATTTTTTAAAGAATTAAAAAAGAAAAAGGCTTTAAGTGATGATGTGTCACGGGAATATTTGTGTGTAAGGAGAAAGAGGATAGAATGACCACACTTGTGTATTACCATCATTGCATATCACAACTTTAATGCAAATATATCCACTTGATATGACTCTAGGACAAACCTTCCTCCCTTCTCCTCTTCTACACAAATTCTGAGATGTAATTGAGAGATAGTAACAGGATGTATCCCCTATTTTTTTACCTCCTCTCATCCTCCAAGTTAAATCCTCCTCCCTCATTTCTCCTCTGACTTGAAACGTGTGCACAGAAACATTTTTCATAGAAACCAAAGAGAAAATAAATTGAAGACTTTATAAATCCATAATCAATTTTCAGACCTTGTTTGAACTTGTCTTCAGGAGATTGGGGTAGATCAACCCCAGGAACTGCCTTACCTCTTTCCAGTTTTCATCGGTAAGTATGTCAGAAGTTTAATTCCTACTGTCCACTCCCAGACAACATCATGAACTTCAAGGGCGCTGTTGTTCTTAACACCCTGTATGATCACACAGGTATGTTTGTCAGTTCTCATAGCTGGAGTTTTTTCCTTCAGCTTGTACATTCAGGAACAGAATCCTCAATCATCTGATTTGTTTGTTGGTTGGTCCTGCACAAAATTCCTGCTTCCTTGTGAGTAGAGTCATACTCTTTAAGGTCTTTAGGAGAGCTTTTCGAGTGGATTCTGTCAATCTCCTCAAGGGCACTGGCTAATGAGTCAAGGTCAGATGTGTCCTCATGGAGAGCCTCCCATAGGCTCAGTATGACTGCTGATGGGCTCTGCTGCTTTGCAAAATAACCCAGATTTCTGCAGGAGACCACATAAAGCCAGGTTAATACGTGGTACGGGAAGAATACACCCTCAAAGAGAAAAGACTTGACAAGGGTGCAGATTTCATGAAGATATTATGCATATCTACAGTGAATCCATGAAGGATATGCTTGAATCATGTTTTAAAAAGTCCAACTGATAATGCAAATAAGTATAACTGTGAAAAAAAAAATATAACAAACTAAATCCAACAATAAGTAAGTCCTTCTTTAAACAGCACCAACACTGAGCCAACTGGAACTCTTTAAAGGACAAGTTACACACACATTTTAAGTATTTATAACAGACAACAGATCAAACTATTTAAATACTATTTATCTATAAATCACTCCAGCAAATAACTTCTTTCTTAAGTGTGGAAAAGCGTCACATTGCATGGGTCAAATAGATATGATAAATAGTCTTTAAGACTAGAAAAATAAAAATGGAGCAAAGATTAACATCACAGTTACTAGAAACAAAGTACTTATAAGCAAATCCAGTTTGATATCGGTTAAAAAAAATTAAAGACAAGGGATAATTTTGCCATGTCAAATGCCTATATGTACCATTGAGTATTGAATCCAGATGGGGGCGGTGTTTCACACCAAATGTTCTTCACCAGAGGACAAAACATCAAGTTGTGTAAAAGACTGCAGCCAATAATCACACCATGCTCTGTTCAGAAGTGGCCGAACTCAGGGAGGAAAGCCCATGTAGATAATTTGGAGTCTTTAAAAATACCAGCATCTCACAAATTCTGCGCTTATTGGGAGATGATAGCATTTAAATAAAGTGTCTGAAGTTTCCATAATGCATAAATGTATTTTGAAAAAATAAAGGACAAAGAAGGTATTTAGCTACAAAATAACGATTGTATAGTTTCTCTCAAAAAGAAACCATACAATTGAGACATCAGACATTTCAATTCCCATAATAAGCCATGGCATTCAAGAGAAAAAACAGCATATGGACATTAAAATGACCGGTTCTGTTTCTTGCTGATAAAAACGAATACAAAGGAAATTTTTCTTACATAAAGCTGCGCAGAATGAAACATTCACGAGAGTAACAGCACCCTTAGATGAGTTGTTTCTCTTGTCACTGACTGAGTTCATAATTAGTGTAAAAAAAGGTGCATACATGATACAGTCTCAGAAATAATGCACATAATATTCTCACCGATCTAAGTTGAGTTTCTGAGCTAAGAGTTGCCAATCCTTGCCCTTGGCGTTGGCGGTGTCGAAGGTGGAACAAATCCTCTGCCGGACGGACAAGGGAATTTTGAAGACCTGGGGCCCGGTCTGAGATGAGATAGTGCAGTCTGTCAGCATAAAAAAAGGAACTGACTCTTTTTCAGCCTGGATGATGGGAACACAACAAGACTTTAATTAGTTCAGGGTCGCACAGGATTTGCAAATCTCACTGCTGCTTGTTTTGAGCAGTCTGTACAACCTGCTGGATCAGGTTACCATAAACATAGTCATATTTATTCACACAAAGATAGATGTTTGGATGAGGGTGTTAAGGGAATGGGTTACTTCACTATATGCCCGTCCTTTTGCATTAGGGTCAAAGTACTTTTCACTGAACTGCTGCTGAGAAGGCAACATGACACTAAGCAAGTGAGGGACCTGGAGAAATGCTGGCACAGTTCTCTGCAGGTTAGACTCACTGAGGACAGTGGAGTATAGATGTACTTTAAGCAAGGTGCATCCTGGACACTATCAGACAGTCCTTTCACAACATCCTGCCGGGTCAGACAAGCAGCTGCCATGAACATCTCAGAGTCACAGGACTGAACAGTTTAGGGGACTTTAGTGTTCCCATGAGACAACCCTTGAACCTGTGACAGAGGCGTATTACCTCGGCTGTTGGTTGACCCTCTCTCCCCTCTCCTTTATCTCTTTATTTTTCTCTTGCACTGTACTCATGTACTTAGTCCGCAATAAAAGCTTCTTACAATAACCTTTTGTTAGGTGATACAAATTCCTTTATTAACAAAAATTGCCTTTATATCACACACCATTTGTATTTTTTTCAGGGTTTGTAAGCAACGATAACTGTAGTCATTGTTGGGACACAGAAGTTGGTCACAATGTGAATATGTGAAACTTCACCCATCTCTGTCATCTCTCTTAACCCCAGAGTCTCACCTCCGCCGTGTAGACCTGCAGAATTTGCTCATAGCCTTTGACCTGGCGTACGCAGATTTTGCAGGAGAGCTGGGTGGTGGCTGGACTGTATCTCTCCAGAGAAAAGGCACAATGCAGAGGCTGCTGGTTGCTGCGCCACACTTGGGGAAAGGAGAATTCCTGATGGGGCAGAATTTAAAAAAGGGGCTACAAAAATAGATTTTCTTTCATGTATGATGACATTTCAAGGAAAGAAGCACATCAGTGTAAAACTTTATAGACCTTTGCTAGACTCTGTCTCTTTCAAATCTGCATATGAAGACAGACATGGATAAATCTGACATGGGAGACCTGGGTTGAAACATGAACGATTATTCAAATGGGCAGTAATGGAGTCAGTTCCAGGAAGGTAATAACTCAGTCTCTGTTCTTTGAATCGACCAATGAGTAAAGTTGCAGATTTGGGTGGATCGCTGGAGAGGTTAACTTTGTCCAAGCTGAAGGGCAAAACAAGTCTGACCAGATTTATGTGAACCTGTGTCCTGGGACCAGATAAGGAACCTTTCCTCTGGATTGTGTGAGTTGTCTCGACACTTTGGTTACAGGATCACAATTAAAAAACAAATTAACCAGTGATACCCGGACCATACCCTGACCCACCTTACTATTTTTCGTCCATTCACAGTAAAATTTGAATGGAATAATATATTATTGAGCAGCAGAAGTTTTGCCAGCATGTCCAAATACTAAAAGTTCCCCCCTGTGGGACTAATAGAGGAATGTCTTATCTTATCTTATCTATTTGTGTCATAAATGTTTCAGAGGAAGACCTAAAGCTTTCTCTTTGAAAGTACCCTGATGATATATCATAATAAAAAGAATTTGTATTATTTTCTGCTGTTAAGAGGTCTGACCAAAAGCTAACTCCTTGCTCCAGAGTGTTTGTTTCTGTGTGCAAAGATAAAACTTCATGTTGAATTTATCATCATCCTTTTACAAAGCTTTGGTTTTTGTTTTTAACTTCAGTCATTGAAAATGATTTAACATTTTAGTTTTCATGATTTTGTTGGTTTTAATTTATGATAAAAGCCCTTCTCGTTCTCTAAGGTTAATGCCTCATTTACAGACTAAATGTAGCATACTGTTCAGCTGTGGGAGAGAGTTCAATGTCTCTTCTCTTAGCTGCTTACTTGTACTGTTCCCTCACAAGTGCAGCCTGTATGATACCATCACTGTAAACTGGCCCTGATGGCTCTACAACCAGCCCAGCCCACCGTAAAATGGCCTGGTTCACCTGATTCACCACACTGGGACTGGTGAGACTAACTCCTATAGACTAACTATTATAGCTCAAAGACAGTTACCTCACCTGTGACTCCTACACTGCTAACACCTGCATACAGTATGATTATAATGAATCTGTGGGAAAAGGAATTTCCCCTGTCAGTGGTGAAATAAAGCACCTGTAGTGGATGCAGTTTGATGATACGCAGTAGCCTGTTAAAACTACATTTTAGCTTGTTTTGCTGGAAGTCGATACTGGACCAATTTCAGAAATTAATCATGCCCACAAAAACACATGGGAAAATAGGGCCCAGGTAAAAAAAAATACTGTTGTTCCCTTTAAGCTGAATAGGCCTTGCTGAGGGGATGATTGTGTTTGTGTGTGTGTTTGTGTGTCTGATAGAGTGTGTGCTAGCCTCTTGGGTCACCTTGTCTTGGCTGAGAAAAGGCAAACTGGTCAGTTGGCCTGCCTGGGCTCATTAGTTTTCCTCTTTTTTTTTTTTTTGTCAAGATGGAGACTGCCTTCTGTTATCCAGATTTATGGCAGAGTTGGACATGAGATGTGCTGCTTATTTTAGACAATCAGCCCAAAATATTTGCAAATACTATCTAAATTTGTTGTTTTCCTAATGCATTTAGATCTTCAAAGACACTGTGAAACATTGGGTTTTTTTAGGTCAAGGTTGACGTTGAGGTTAAGTATGTTTACATCTGAGCAGAAAAGTGAATAAACTTAAAATTTGCTTCAGATTTGCTTGAGCCTCACACTGTTTTATTATAAAGTCATCCCAAATCCTGTTTCTGTTTATTACTGAGTGAGTTCCTCTCATGGTTACCTGACATGTAGTAAAGGGTTTTATGCTCCACAGAAACTGAGGAACATCCTGAATGAAAACCTGGAGGCCAAAGGTGTTCGCTCGGAAAGGCAATGTCTTTGGCTCCTCGAGAAGCTGACCCCCTCTGGTCCTCTCTGCCACCACTACACCCTGGGGATGAAGGAAATTATCAAAAGAAAGGAGGAAATAAAATAAAAAAGATCAAATAAAAATAAAACCTCTTTTCATAATCTGGCTTATCACTTAACTGAATGATTCCACGCCAGAGGGTTTATCTGAGGGTGAGGGTAAAACCAGTGCCAAACACTCACCTGAAAAGCGTGTGGTGTATCATCCACACAGTAAAGTCTCAGGCTGTAGCTAAAGGAACCTTCCTCCATACTTCCAAACACAGCCACCTTCAGCCTCTTGGTGGCAGCCTGTGTCAGGGGCTCACCCACCAGTGCATATGAGCCTGGCTGGTCAAGCAGTAGGTGACAGCTTGTTGAGTTCATCTGACAGTAACAGGAAGTAGTCTCCTGCTCCACTGACATCACTTCCTGAATAAAAGAAAGAAAGACAGGTATACCAATCCATTCAGTCCTTTTTCTAAAATAGATCCCTGACAACCACCAAGAAGATCAGGACATCCATGAAATATTCATTATCTTGACCTGCGCTTGGCTTACCAATCCTTACATCGGAGTCACATTTACAACCTGTCTTCATTCCTACTATTGACATTTTGACTCAAATACCAATAAAGCTTTTGAGTAAAAAGAGGATTAGAGAAGAACAAGAGCCACAAGGACAGCTGTACTGCAGCACAGCATGGTGCTGCGGTACAGCTGTCCTGTGATAGTGAGGTGTGGACATACAGCTCTCACCTCCCATTTGCTGTCTTGAGTTTTCCTCTTGAGCTGAATGCTCCAGTTTTCAGCATCCACCTCAATGCAGTGAGCGATGGTCATGGCCACTGGGCAGAACAGGTCCAGATCCTGGGGACCATATGTCACCTCTGGGCCCAAGAGAATTTCACAACCTTCATTTGTTTGAACACTAAAGAAAGAAAGGACAAGTATGTCGACACACAGGGAAAATCAGACATGTTTTGAGGGCTCAGGGCTCAGGGTTTGAGATTCATCAAGTGTATGTGTGTGTGTATCTTGCCTCACCTTGCCTCTTCCTGACTGATCACCATATACACCTCCCAGGACATTTTTTCAGCCACAGCTCCATAAGGCACCAGCAGGCTAACCCCTGGAAACACACAAACTTGTCAACATCAACAATTCCAACGGCCTGGCATTGTGAGAGAAATGTAGGAGACATGGCGATAACTTTAAGAGCTTCATTTACTTGATTGAACTTGGAATTCATGACAATTACTAACTGAAGGTGTAAGTATAAAATCTTTAAATAAAACCTGACAACAGTGAATTCTAATATTCAATACGGTGGATATGATAGAGATAGATAACATAATAACATAACATAGATAACATAGATAACAATAATGTGTGGCCCTGAGATAAATAATTTCTAGCCTCAAGAAATGTAAATTATCTCCATGCAGCAACTGTTTATTGTTGGAGTTACTTTCAAAACATGTAATCTAAGACTACCTCTTATTGTTAGTTTTCTGTTTAAGTCTGATACTTTTGAATAATTAATCATTCAGTGATGAAACTCCAGGCTATTCCACTCTTGTGTGTACACTAACTCACACTTACACTCACACATTCAGACACCTACTTACAAACTAAATTCATCATCAGCCTTTAACATTACCACCAGTGCCATTAATCATATATGTTAATGGTTTCATAATGCATGCATCAACAGTGTATGTCTGCGTGAGTGTGGCTGTCGGGTAATGATTTAGTATTTTATCCATGATCAGAATGATGAATCAAATGCTAACGTCTGACATTTGTATTAATAAGTATAGCAATGTCAACATAATGTTTATAGACTTCTGTAAGGATATATTATTTCTGGGTCATCCAGAGGAGAAACTGTTTTCTTACCCCTAAGAGTTGAGAGTAGCAACACTTATTAACGCTCAATCACAGTAAGTAAAAATGTTACTCAAATGTCATGGTTTAGGGCTTTTTTTTAATGCAATCAGGCTAAAAGATAATTGGTATCTCTATTTTGATCATGTAAATGAAACTTAAAAACAGTTAAAAATACAAATAAGTGACAATCAGAAAAAAACAAAACAAGACAGTAGCTGAATCTGCATTCCTCTCATGTTTTAAGACCCTCAGTTTACATGAGTGAAAAGGAGTAGGAAGAAGTATAAACTTGTCTAATCCTACCCTCTTAAATCTTGATTTACCTCCTAACTCAGATCACAAAACTGTCTTAAATTAACCAAAAAAAACACAATCAAACCTATTTTATCATACCAATCTTTACAAATCTATTTACCATACCATTCACAGTCTTTCCTCCAAATAATCAACAAGCATCTTGTGGTGATAATTCATCCATGTGCTTCTGGAAAATCATTTCTCTATGCCTCTTTTTAAACAGCACTATGCTCAGAATTTGTCAAAGCTCTTCACTCAACCTGTTCCACAGTTTAACTCCAATGACAGTGATACAGAAACTTTTTAATGTTGTGCGCACACTTCTTAATTTTAGGTTTAGATCTTCTCTTTCATAATAACCCTCTTCTCTTTCATAAAACATTTTCTGAATGTTTACTGGGAGCATATTACTCCTCGCCTTGTAGAGTAGATTCAGATTCAGATTCCTTTATTAACCATTGTGTAAAACACAAGAATTTGCTTTGGCAATAACATGAGTGTGTTCGGATGTTTTTTCACAGATAACATAAAACACAAACAACACCGTGCAGAAAATAGATAAATATAAAGTGCAGTAGGATCAATAGTGCAAATGTTGTTGAGTCATTACAGTTTCAGAGTTTCAGAGTCTCTCAAGTGTCAAAGTCCCTAGTGGGCGGGGGGAGGAGGGAAGCCAGACTCATTGAGCAGCCTGGCAGCAGAGGGGAAAAAAACTGAGTCTATGGCGTGCTGTGGTGGCCTTCAGCAGCTGCATCCTTCTCCCAGAGGGGAGCAGGGAGAGGAGACTGTGGCCAGGGTAGGAGGGGTCGGCCATGATTTTTCTTGCCCTCCTCAGCGAGTAGATGAGCTGTTTTGTGCTCCACCAAAGTCAAAACATTTTAGGATTTTAGATTTATAAAAAAAATAATTTGTGTGTTCCTGAAATCTAACATTTTGACTTAGTCTGATTGCATTTAAATTGATGCAAACATTACTGTTACAAAAGTAGAGATCTTTGTGTGAGGTCCCTTTGAGCATTGTGAACTACAAATATCTCTTTGCAAAGAGAGTTAGGTTATGTGAATCAGGTCCTCACTAAAATATGATTTAAAAAAATTGTGATTCTGTTTCAAAACTTTCAGGACATTTTCAGAAGTGCTTTTACGAAAAAGGCTTGTGGCGCATTTTTGTGTCTGTGTCAACAAACCACACTTGTATTGTGGACTGCTTTCTTATATTAGGAAAGAAGAAACTGCAACCACTTATTATTGAGACAGACTGCCCAGCATTGATTTTCACTAACTACTCTAGACACATGCAGTACCTGTTGTTTTTTTTTTTACTTTCTGTGATGCTCACCTGTGTTTGGCAACATCAGTCGACCACCTTGATGGTCAAACATGCCGCTGGTCTTTAGGCGCTCTCTGCGTGTGTTAGTGGGTCCATCGAGGGTGAGCAAGCCCGTTTTGCATCTGGCGGCACTGCTACTGTAGTCCTGGATCAGATCTCGCGGAAAGGTCTCGACGGGGACTTTTGTAGGGAACTCAGCCCGCTTAGTCACACCCAGTGAAACCACAAAGGAGCTCTGAACTTTAGTCTTGATGTCTGGCAGGGGGTCAAAGAGCTCTTTGTCTGTGCTGTCCTGGAAGCACAAGTGAGTCCTGTATGTCTGTCCCACTGTTTTGTCAGGCTGTATTGAGGAATTGAGGAGTAGTGGGTTGCCTGTGGAGATGGAGAAATAGCATGGTCACACACAGTCATCTGAAAGTAGTACATTATTATATACATTATTTAGAGAAATGGTTCAATAACTAATAAGCTAATTCCAAAAAAAGTCTTTGCATTTAACCAGCAAATCTCAAGCATCAATTACAAGAACATTTAGGTGACCACTAAAGCAGAGTTATGGGAGCAGAACCTGGGCAGAAAGTCCAGGACACAGAGCCACGGTCAGGGCATTGGATTTAATTACCAAGCACACACTCAGCTTGATCTCCATAATACACCGGCTGGAGCCAGCTTTTTTGGACACCGGTGACCCCACTAAAGAACAGGAGGGAAGGCCAAGGGGGGTGTGGAGGACTGCTCTGTAATTGAAAGGAGTCTCTCAGCTTCCAAGTATGGACCCAACGGTTGATAGAGGGGGGTCTTCATCTGTGACCATTAGACGTGATGATAGTGCCAGTTTTTTGGCAGACTCATGTGGTGACCCTGAATAAGCTGTGCCAAGATAACGGTCACAGAGTCCTTGCTGGCCTGCCCAGCTGTTGCCTGATGAGGGGTGCGAAGCAGGGGGTTAATGTTGTTTTATTTTTAGGAATATTATTTATTATGGGAAGTGTGATAAATGATGGGCGTTCAAGCATGTGCTGGTTTTGACTTGTTTTTCAAAACTGCAGTTCTTTTTGTTTCCCTCGAGTTTTCTTTACTAACATGAATATGACATATAAACATAAATATATTCAAATTAAGATTCATTGTTGCGTACTCTAAACTAATCAAGAAGTCATCAGTAATAGGGCTGATGAAAGACATTTTAAAATTGCCATACCTTCCCAGTAAATTTTACTGAGCCTACAACAGAAACCCAATAAAGTGTTCATTCAAGTTCAGCGAACAGCTTTATTGGCCAGCTATGCAGATGACACAAGGGAGCAGGTGACACAGTTCAGCAATAAAGCCATCACACACAAGTGGAGCTCAGCAGAGAGGCCTGGTATAATTAGGGTCGGTGTCACTAATCTGCATAATGTAAACCAAGTTAATGAAATATTGTCCATGTCACAGCACCACTTAATGGATGAGGTCCTCTGAAATAAAGTGTTTTGGTATCCAGTTCAATTGCAATGAACTAAAAAAAAAACATCACATGGAGATCCTAAAATTGCTTGTTTTGTTTGACTTATTTTCATCCTGAATCTGCATTAAACTCGAGGGAAAGCGTTACAGTAAAGAACTTAATAAATGCTTTTGCGTATTTCTCCAAAGCGAAGTTGGGATGATGAAGTGTTTGGCACTTTTTTGGATCTCTGGCACAGGGACAGGAAAAAGGAAAATAAAAAGGATCGATTTGGGCAGGTGGAGGGCACAGTGAGCAGTCTGCTAGAAGAACTGGGCGACTAAAAAAACTGATCACCTGCTGACTGTTCCTCCAATCCTGAAGGAGCTTGATTGCTTCCCCAGGCCTTGGACGAAGACGACTACAGGTGCTGTTACCTGTGGTGATGTTAGATCTCCCACGGCGACTATGGCTGGCACTTGTGCTAACCCGCAGATCGAAGTCAAAGTAATACAAATGCTTGGCTGGTCATGATAATTACAGCCGCTCAAGCCAAGAAACCCATTGCTGCTCCAGCAACACTGTCTCCTTCTGAATAATAACAGAGATGAGGAGGATAAGCCACTTCATTGACTTTGGGGTTATAAATCCAGAGGGCACCAGGGTTGTAGGCCTGTCTGCTTAATGCAAACACACGGCATTTCTGCTGCAGAAATATATCTGTAGATGCTGCCTTTCGGCCTTTATTCATGTGTCTCGGCGTGGGAGCGGTGGCGCTCTCTCTTACCTTGACCTGCAGTCTTAAAGTTGAAAGACTGAAAACCTCCGGCTAGTGCAGATGAGTCAATGACGTCCACGCCATACTCGCTGTGTTTTTTTCTGTAAAGCATGACTGCCACTGTGAGGATTGTCACAGCAATGATTCCAGCTCCCAGGCCTGAATACAGAGCGACATCGGTGGAACTGTCCATACCTGAGGAACAAGACACAGATGGAGAACACAAGATACATTATGAAAAAAATGACCTAAAATACTGGCTTCATCTCAAATTATTGCTTTGGGTTAGGCAAGCACAACAAAATCAATAAATGTTTGATACTGTTTAAACTGTTCACTGTTTTAAAACCTGTTTCTTATTTGGACTGCCGTGTCTGGTTTTGTCCCATTCCAGTATTGGATTAGGGGAATTTTAAAGTGACTGAACTGCATAAAAATTTCCCCATTACAATAAAAAAAAAAATGCTTTTTTTTTTTTTGATCTGATATACAAAAACTGATAAAAGAGAGAACCAATCACAATAAGATGAAAGAATGAAGACCTGACTGTCGTTGGACAGACATCCAAGATCAAAAGTAGTCAAGACTCGCACTGACTGTGTTACATAATGTTAAGAATGGGAATAAAACTAGATGGATCAGAGGTCCTGACGTGGACCAGACCATCTGTTTTGATTCTTTTTGTCACTATATGCACCAGAGAAAAAAATTAAATAAAACAAAAACAAATGAACATGCCTAGTTGTTACTTCAAACTGTTGACATGGGAGGGACTTTTACCAAATGCTTTTATAACCAGCAGCCAAGTCTCTCAGTGCAAGGAGTCAGAGGCAATTTGGTTTGGCTTGTTATCAATAATCAATTAAATATTACATGAGATTTAAAATCTTTGAGATTTTCACCAATACATCAATATCCCCCATCAAATAATGCTCCCAGAAGTACTGTACAGATTCACTATATATGAAAACATGAGTTTCTTTACTGACATTGTCTAGAAGCATATTCAGATGATTTCTAAGGAAATCCTCGATAGGAAAAACATCTAAATATGCTAGTCCTCTATCCGGTTATGATCCAAATTAAGCTTAATTTTAGAGAAAACACTTCCACTTTGCTGACTTGCGTTCGGATGGCGTTTTTCCTGTACTGTAAAACGTGATTTCATTTTAAATCTATGTATATTCTTCTTCTGCACCATCACAAATCATAAAATAGTGTAAAAATAAAAAATAAATGGTTAGAAATGGTTAAATATTCAACATCTTATCACCCTAGAAGAAGCACAAGCTTTTCGAAAATAATTTTCTGAGGGCTGCTCCAGGCAGGCAGGTTCTGCTCCCTCTTCATCTTTAACTCCGTTTTATGGACGGTGCTAACCAGAATAGAGAATGATGACCCCCCCAATATAACCTTACACAGCATTACCACACCCTTTCTCTATCTTTCTCTACATCACATGTTCACTCGTCACAACCAATTTATCTCTTGGCTTGGGGTAGAAATGCAGCATGTTATTGTTGGTACAGGTAGGTGAGATTAAGGATGAGAGAAATCCACAGAGGAGAACTCACTTTGAGGATTAACATCATGTAGCAGTTTTCGAGACATACTAACACACACACATGAAAACGAGAAAGTAGCAGTGGAAGTAAATAGTCTTACTCTGGGCACATAGTCCATCTGTGCAGTTCTCAGTGGCCTCGCTGTTCCCTTCACACTTCTTGCCGTTGTGTCTGGGTTGGGGAGAATTACACCCTCGGCTCCGCTGCTTCTTACACTGGCTGTTACATACAGTCCATTCACTCCAGTGGTCCCAGGCTCCATCAACTGTAACGTTACCATGCATTTAATTGTGTGACCAGATCTATGAGACCATATCTAATTTATAACAGATAAATATGTATATTGATGGGCCAGTAAAAAATAGACTTAATGGTTACTTCTAACATTGTTTTTAAATGAAAGAAGAAAAGTTTTGTATATTTTTCACTGTTACACACCTGATTTTTATTCTAGGCATGATGATCTCAGTAAATATTAATAACTGTACATATGGAAGAAAAGTTCTTCTTAGAAACTTAAAGTCTGAGCGAAACTGACTTGGGCAGAGTGCATCACAGGTGATCCTCTGTGCAGAAATGCCCTCACAGAAAGCCCCGCCGTTGAGAGGTGCCGGATTAGTACAAGTTCGAGACCTCTTCTGGACACCCCACCCACATAGCACGTTACAGGCTGACCACTCCGTCCACAGGGACCAGCCACCGTTCACTGGATAGAGTTCAGCAAAGTCATAGATCAAGAGGGGACAGAGTGTGTGAACAACAACACAGACTTGTCCAGAACTCTGGCATAGATAAGTCCTCTGATAAGAGCTTATGTTTCTTATGATTGTGCAGAGTCTAAGGTACTGTAAGGTAGAAATACATAATGTAAAGCTGATCGGTAACATCATTGAAGTACATCTATTTGGCATAGTACTTTCTCCCTTTACGAAATAAAATGCTCTCTCCTATTCTCTGTCATACAGTTAATGTTTAATTTAAATAATAGGTGGTATTTTGAGAAAACCTCCCTCTTCTGATAAGTCTCCAAATCACTTATCAAGAACAACAAGCCAAAGATTGATCTGAAGTGTGTGAGTATACAGATATATATGCAATAGGAAACAACAACAGTAGTTGAAGCGGCGGCTCACCAAAGACAGTCACAGTAGCCGTGGCACTGCGCCTCTTCGCCACCACATTGCTGGCCAGACAGGTATAGTTTCCTGAGTCACTGATTCGGGCCTCACTGATGATAAGGTTGTGGTTTGCATGAGTGTCGATGTTGTCATCAGTGGAGGAATTGAACAGTTCTTCGTTTTTGAGCCATTTTATCTGTTCAGGGGAAGCGATAAGGGACAAATGAAGAGAAAGAAACATCCTTATCACATTTAAAAAGATTTTTAAACATGAAAACAGCTGATTACAGCAGAGATAAGGCAGCATCTACATACATATTCTTTGTATTAATACTGATATGAGCACACAGTGAGCACCCAGTTCATTTCTGACAAGATATCTTTGATATCTGTGAAGGGGCAACTTTCTTTCCATCTCACCCTCTAATGCCTTTTGTATCATATTTGATACATACTTTTGTTATACTTCTATCAAATCAATATGATCAACAAATTACTAAAAAAAAACACCTGACTACAGTCTGATAAATGATAAAAATGTCCTCTTGTGGTTTATCAGTTTCCAAAAACATCTAATGTATCAAACAAGATAAATAAATATATTTGTTAAATTTTAAGGACAATTTGATTTTTTTGGTTTTCAGTAGTAAGTGAAATTAACATTTTAGCTCCAAAAAAAATTGAATTTTTGGCCATAATTTCCGGTTTCAGGCATCAAAGGGTTCTGAGAAGTCCAAACTGTACAGATCTCTAAAAAGTTTCACAGCTCTAAGCATAACTTTTCCTTGTAGCTAGCTAATGGGAGCAGCTTCTCTCACTTTTTATTCTGGATTAAGATTTCAGATGGTCACTCTGGGAAAAAGAAAATAAACAGCCTTTAAGTGTCAGTGTTTCTCAGGCTTACATCTGGGTAGAGGCAGATGAGACGGATTTTCAAATAACCCTCTTCTCAACACCTCTGTAGTTTTCCGGTATACAAGTCCAGTAAGTGTCTTACTACAAGCTGCCACCGACACCACAATCTGTGGCGTGAAATCACTGACTTAATGAGCTGAGATCAACAGCTAAAAACTCCCATTCACAACATCCTTCCTAAAACTAGGCTTAAAAAAGATTCTGACATGGTCTTATCCCAGCTCTCGAAAATGAGGAAATGTACAATAAAGATCATTTACGTGGATTTACAGCTATAAACTTTAATACATCATTTTATCATTCTGGGGAAGATTTTTTTAAAGGAACTCTGTGACATCTGTTGAAACTAACGCAGTAAAAGTTAAAAGGACAATAATGAAGTCACTCTCATTGTGGATCCAAAAGAGAAGAACCAGAGGAATGGAGCTTAAAGGATTTTATCGGTACTGATCCTTCAGAAGTGGACCCCTCTTAGCACAGGTGATGGGATCTCACTTATTCCTCATGCTTATGCTCATTAACAAAAATGATGATAACAAGCCTATCTGTGATGCAAACAGAGTGGGAGTTGTAGATCAGGTTGTGTGGTTTCTGCACTAATAAAAAGCATGAAAAAAAGAGAGATCGGCTACAAATCTGCTTGTCATCTCTTTGATCACTCTCATTTTATCAACATTGCCACCTTCACTTACACTCTGTTTGTGTTTATGAAAAAGGCTCAACAAGTGTCACTCATGCAGGTGAAGTTTGGGGGAGATGAAAGGAGCATTTCGAGCATGGCAACCATCTGCCATCACAGTTACAATAGCATAGCAATGTACAGGTGAGGGTTGGGGTTAGAGACTTCCAAGCTGCCAGCTAGGAGAATGACACTGATGTACACTTCCTGTAGGAGTACAAGCTCCTTCTTCTTGAAAAGGGACCAGGGGAATCCACCTTACCTCTGCAACCGGCACTCCCTCTGGAGGCCGACAGTGCAGGACAATCATCCCGTTGATTGGCACCTCCTTTCCCTGAGGGTCCTGCTCAAAGTTTTTTCTCAGGTCTGTGGAAGTACAAATAAGAAGCAGGTATCAGGTGTTAGTTGTCGAGGTCAGTTTGATCTGAATCATCTTCTTCTGGATTTATGGCAGACAAGATGCCTTTTGGCAAATTGTTGCCTCTCTCAGGTCGGTCATTGCTCTAGTTCAAGGAAATTTTCAATAGAGTGATCTGTCATGTACTATTGCAAAACCTGCCTCTCTAGTCTGCAGATCCTGAGCCCCATCAGCGTAAATTTCAGAGCATTCAGCCTCTGAGCATCAGCATCAGTAATGATTACCAGTTCAAAGCAGTTTTGGTGAGCTTTAATTGTGAATGACCATAACTACTTTTATGCTCATGGGAAATCCAAAACTTCTTCATCAACTGTCACTCAGGTGTTTCCTTACTCACAGGCGATTCGCACTGCGGCCTTACGACTCTTGGAGGTGCCTAGGTGACTCCAGGCCACACACAGACACCAGTAGTCTTCAGGGCCATGGAAATCTTCCACCTGCTGACGAGATACGTTGATCATCACCTCTCTCACCTTGAGCCCTTAATCACAGAGAAGATCAGAAAACCACAATTCAGGTGGAGATGGAACTTTACGATATGCAAATCCTTGGTTGAGGATAAAATTGGGTTATTTTGCTGTATTTTTTCAGAGCCTGGTAGTTTATGACAATATATTAAGTTTGAGGTGTGGGTCTTTTCTAAGGCTTATTGTGTTTTTTTTCTTTATTTGGAGAGGAGAGAACTTCAGACAGAATAGGAAACAGGGGAGAGACCAGGGAGCGAGCCCAGGCTGGCCACTTGAGGTATAACCTCTGTGTACGTGTAGACTGCTACGCCAGCCCGGCCCCTGCGGTATGGGTTGTTTTGTTGCAAATGTGTTTGTTGGACTTTTAACAGTGAATCCAGAAGAATCCTCACTGGATTGAGGATGTAGCTTCATTTGTCTCAATCTCTCAGTTAAGAGCAAGTGAGGCAAAGGACAGGAAAAGATACTGTATGCAGGTGCCAGGAGATGCTGCTTGGTGTGGAGAGTGTGTACAAATTGTCATACATGGAGCATACAGTCAATCAATATTGGATTATTTAAAACAATTTAGAGTCGTACAAACAGAGTAGGAGTAGACCCAATTCTATGGCCATGCCAGTGGCTTGTTTATGTGTAGAATACACGACCAATACTCATCAACAGCTCTGAGACATCTTTAATGGGCCATACCAAATTATCAACAGATTATTTTTTTCTGCACAAGTTAATACTGATACCACATGCGAGCAGTACACAGAAGGGTTACGAATCTTTAACTTACCAGAGTCCAGGTCTTTATACTCTTGGGAAAAGTGCTCACTCTGGTGCACCCATTCTCCGTTGCATTTGAAAAAGATTTGCAAGGCAGGTGTGGCTCGACAACGCAGCTTAATGGGGTTACTCTTTATGATGTAAGCATCCTCTGGCTCCTTAATGAAATATGGCAAGGTGCCCTGGGCTGCGAGCCGAGCTTCAGGCTGAGTCTCTGCTGTAGCACCTGAAAACCAACACCACAATTAGTCAACCATCCTACTTCTCTTCTAGAAGAATAGTGAAGAAGTCAATAACCGCTTTTCTGTCAAAAACACACAATTCGCTATAATTCTGTTCTGACTTGACAGCAGTACTGCAGACATATTAAGAGGAGAAAAACTCTTTGGGCTCCAAATTCGTATCCCACTGGCGGCGTGGTGCAGGCGTGGCACAAGTCAGGTCAAGGTGGGATGTGTCAAAGCGCGCTTTGCTGAATTTGTGAGCAGCGCAACCCTACGCAACTACACCCCCTTCCCATCTCAGCCCCTTCCAGCTAGGGATGCAACGATCTGATATGTGGATCGGATATAGGCTCTGATATTAACAAATTAACTGGATCAGATATCTGATGAATGACACACATGGTAACAGTCATTCTGTTTGCTCTATATTCTATGTCTGTCTATCCTTTTGCACTAATTGTTTACATGGAAGTTTTACTTCTTTTTGCTGTGGGCTAATGCGCATTTTGTTATTTGTTATAAATAATATTAAGTCATTTTACATCTGTGTTAATTTGTTACCTTTTTTATAACAAGGCTAATGTCAAGCCTGATGCCTTCACTCACAGGGCAAGGTATACAGTTCATTCAACAGTCGTATTGGATCAATATTGGATATCGGCCGATATGCTCAGCCCAGGTATCGGTATTGGATTGGATTGGAAAAAAATGGATCGGTGAATCTCTACTCCCAGCGGCACAAGTAGGAATGAGGTGATGAGCCAGTTCAAGGATCCAAAACTCTTTAAAAAAAAAAAAAACAGAGATACGCTTACATTGATGAAAGAGGAGCCAATGCCAATGGTGTCTCTAGAGATGTGTACAAAACATTTTGGACCTAGTTTATGGACCACAGCTGTAGGAGAGGAACTAAGGGCTTCATCACTGTCTCCTAAACAGCAGAATGGTTGGAAGAAAAGTGAATTTCTCTCAAAGAATTCAAAAGACCTCCTATATTTAGACTTCAAATGCCCAGCTTGCTGCTGTCTTATGATGAGAGGAAAGTGCACAACAGCTCAGCAGTTTTGAAGTCAGTTGAATCTCAGAAGATGAGAGCCAAAGGATTTGGGCTGATGTATTTACAAGCTGGCTGGTGAGGACCATAAAAACCCCACACTGGAATTCAGGGGGAATGACTTTTAAAACTCAGCTCAGCAGTAAATCTTATCTGGCACTTTATGCACCAGAGTAAAAGTGAAGATGCTTTAACTCTAGCCGTGCTCGCTCGATCACATTACCGGGGAAAACAAAGATAATGTTAATGCAGAAAGGCAATCTGGCTCAGCTACTTTTTTATTATTTTGTTCTACTAGTTTCCAATTATAATCTTCAATCCACATTGTGATGTGCATGTAGAGTCATCTAGTACTCATGTCATGTTAGGGGTGTGTCTTGCAGGTTTCCCTCTGCACATCAATTAGAGTAACTCTGCACACCTGGGCCCTGAAGGTATCTAAGCTCACACAGTTACATTTCCTCTCTGCTTCTGCTTCTCTCAGAAAATCTTTTTATTAGCGTCAGTAAAGAGCAGAGAGAGATATTGCTGCATTTCAAGGCTCAGTATTGATATTCTTAGCCCCGCCTCCTGTCAAATTTGAAGCCAAATTGCTCTTGGTATTTCCGTGATTTTCTCCATTTCCAGGTACCACCACTTAAGCAGTTGCGTTGTACACATTCAGCGGGACAGTCGCTGTGATGAGGCTCTGCTAAAACAGCGTATCCCCCAGATGATCTACGCAATCTTATTATGCCCATTGGCCGAATCAAGTGTCAATCATAGAAAATATGAAACCCCTAATAACTTTTAAAAATGGAGCTGCACAGAAAAAAGAGGACTTGAGCACAAACCAGTCTTAAAATAGCTACATGTCAACATCGCAACCATGGCAAGAAAATTTTATATTCTGTGTTATAAATTTCTAAAGTTTGTCCACAGCTCCATTAAGTTTGCTGGAAGAGGCGGGATTTATGTTCTATTCTGCAGCCCGTCACCAGAGGGTGCTGTTCTCATAGAGGCTTCGCCCAGCAAGGTGGCAGATGATGTCCGTTCTATATACAGTCTGTGGTTCAAAACCTTTAAGGGCTGTCATGATGGTTTCCAAAAATGATCTGCCTCTGCTTATCAACAAAAACAAATACAACTTTGTGTCTTTGTCTGTATGTTTGACCTTGTTTATCCTCTGAGCCAGGCCCCAGCAGCTCAGATCATCCCACAGCCCACTACATTGAAATGTGCTTTTACAGAGACAATCTGTCTGCTCTCATACTGCTCCTGCATCACACACCAAGAGAGAAAAGATATAAGGAGGACATGAGGAGGGGAGAGGGGGTGATGTCTCTTAATGCCCTGATCTACCATCTGTTGATGTCTCTCCTTTCAGAGTGCAGAGTCAGCATTCAGCAAGCCAGGCAAAAGACAGTAAAAGTGAAGGACTAATAAAGCCCCCTGCACACAATTCTTATCCCTACATGCCTTATCACAAAAGTGTGGAAGTGGCAGAATCTATAATGGATGTGGTTTTCAGTGCAGGGCCTTGATCCTGCAGATACAGATGCTAGCACCCTACCCAGGAGTGATCCTTGCAGATGGATGAGTATTGGGGATGAAGAGGAATGACTCTCATCCTCTAACGCAAAGAGAGTAGTCAGGTTTTGGCCTATGTAGTGGTATACTGGCAGGGACAGGTCCACCAGGTAAGGCCGCGTAAACCACCTTGCTCTCAGGCAACACACCTGATGATAGGGAGGCTAAGCAAGACGAGGCTGTCTTCATAACGCCCACAACAGTCAGTCCTAATTAGGGATACACAGATTAATTAGGATGACTACTGCCTTTTTTGTTACATTTACTCATACCTAGAAATCTAATTGATACAACTCTTCTCAAATTTACTGACAACCTTAATTACCACAAGAGGATGAACCCTACTGATTTTGGTGATGATATGACCTTTCCTGTAGCGCCACCATCAGGTCAAAATTTCAGTTTTAGAGTTAGTGTATCTTGAAAATTTTTCAACCAACATTTTCTCACAGAATAAACCATATTGATTATTTTAAATGGATTACCAATGTCCTTGTGGGAATACCCCAGCCTCCACAGCGCAGGAAATACAGTATCAGTCCTACTTCAACATGTGCGTTTAAGGGTGGGAGAAAAAATCGATTCACACAAGTATCACAATTTTTTTTTTTACAATCTTTTAATCAATTTTTTTGTTCAAAACCCGATTTTTTTTTTTTTTTTTCAAATTTAAGAATGAATCTTAAGAACTGACTTAAATGTGATGTGTATTTTTTTGGGGAAATATGGTTCCTGGAGTAGTCAGTAGACAATCATAATCATTCAACTGTTTCACTGGTGTTAAAAATGCAGACCAAAAATTGAGAAAATTGGCAATATCATAGAATCGCAATTTAAACCGAATAGGCATCCAAAAAATCGCAGAAGAATCGAATTGGGAGAAAAGCACATCGTCCCTAAAATCCATGGTATAACCTAATATCAATCTCAACATGTTACTGGTTAAGAAAACAATGCAAATTAAACTATTTACTTTAGTTAAGCAGTTTAGTTTTTTTTAATCTGTTATGCTATTAAATTGTATTTTGTCAAAATCAAACAACAACAAAAAAAAAAAACACAATGTGATACTGTTATTATATAATGTCCATTGCTCAACCTGCTTGCGTTCTCGTTATCTGTATCAGCATTGACCACTGAAAAACTCATTGATTAACAACTAATCATAATCACACATTGTTCTAAAAGTGCCCCCTGTACTTCAGGTACATCTACATCAGGCCAGAGGAAATCTCTCTCCAGTTGAACATGCTCTGCCTAGCTCAGTGAAGTGATGGATGACCAAGTGTGCAGGAGCCCTTGGTGAGACCCTGCCGTTGAAGCCTAAGTGCATTAGTGATGTGAGCAGACAGCTGGTTGCAGAGATGCATAGAGCCTTCAGTGCATTATTAAGTGTAATGAATGTCAGCCTACTAAATTCATCCAACACATCAGGTACCAATGTGAGAGGTAGGCCCCGATCTGGCTCTGAACTCAAAGCCCATAGGAGGAAGCCCTTTGGCCAAATCGTCACCTGCCTCATTAATCTGAAGGAACAGAGAGAGAAAGCTAGTCACCATCCTTACCTTCAGACCTCTGCCGGCTAGCACAGGGGTACTGGGACACACTTTGTCCTTGCTCTCCATTGAGTTCACTCCCTACCCATTAATAATGAGACAAGAGGGCGAATGGTATCTGTACAGGGAACTGTCAGATTGACATTTGGATGTGATTAGATGGATACTCTTGGGCAGGAAGTTCATTCATTAGTCAACTCTTTAAGACCCACTCTGATCGATTTTTACTATTTAATGTGTTCTCAGTGGTCTTTAAAGTGTGATGAAGTTTTTTGGCCAAAATAACAAAACCTGTGTCATAAGATCTGAGCTGACTAGACTTGCTGCAAGGATCGGCCTTCAGGATAAGCCATGGTCACTGATATCGATCAAGCTTTTTGGGTGCGTATCTGGCCAATATTCAGTACCAGGATCGGATTGGTGCATCCCTAGTTGGAGGCAGGCCGTTCAACTTTGCTGGAAGCTTGGATGAACCAGTTAGGAGAGCCTATAAATTGTAGGTAAGAATTTTAGTGAATCTCACACATAGACTATGGTCTCACATTTTCTTGCATTTGTCCGAGATTTGAGCAGTTCACATCTATTTTCTAAGATTATGACAAAATACATTTATCTAGTAATTTGAAACTTTGCAAAATACCTCCCCAGCTGATATAACTCATACTGTGCATCAAATCATCACAGAAACAAGTGTCTAAAATACCTCTGATGAACACATTGAATCAGCACCTCTCTTCTACTGTTTCTTTTATTTCTCTGTACACATTTGGTTAAGCAACATTACATCTTTCTTCTGTTTGGCATGCAAATGGATGATTTGCATACACGTACAGAACTGGCTGGCTTTGCTTGGCAAAAAAAACTATTTGCTCTTGAGGACTTTCTACTGAAAGCAGATGAGAGTAGGAGGTAAAATCCCCTGGCAATTCATGAACAGATGAGTTGAAAATCACGAGTTCAAGTTTGTGTGTAGAAAACTGTTACGGAGCACAATCACAACTTTAAGTTTGACATACAAGAAAACCTGTTTGTTTAATATAAGACTGAAGGAGCTGGCAGCTTGAAGTCTATCAACCTTGTTTAACTATGTAATGAATTCCGGCCCATCAAGGATGTGGGATTTTGGGTGGGCCTCCAGTTATGACCTATTAGAGGGAGCGTGCTCCTGGGCCAGTTGGACCGTCCAGGCTGGTGACACATTGATGTATGAGCTCTGGTTTTTGCCTCCTTTTCCCCTCAGCCCAGAGAGGCAGGTGTGCTGTACAGTGCCATTGATAGGTAAAAATAGCCTCGGAGATTGAGCACCTAACTTTTTTGTAGAAACTCGATAGACTTTGTAGGTCCTGCTCCATGAATGCTCTTAACTGAGGCGAATTAGACAAAGTCTTCTCAAGGTCTAACATTACAAATAAACTTTCAGTCCAGAGAACAAAGCAGACTTTTCTGATTCATTATACAATATCAAATTCAAAAGAGGTCAAACTAGCATTTCATAGTCTTACTTTCCTGACAAACTCACAGTTTGAAAGCTAATCAAGCCAAGTTATTATCAGGAGGGATTTTTATTATTTCCTTACTTTTTTTCTTTCTTGTTATTCACTCTTAGATCAATTTAGCAGATTCTGAGATGTTCCTTTTGGCTGTGAGCTCTAAAAACTGCATAACTCAACAAGTTTTCTGTGAAATTCTTGATCAAGACAGTAAAGGAGCTTTTTTTTTGTGTGGAGCCTAAAGAGACTGCCAGTTGTTTGAACATCAGGCTATAACACCACATGGATACCCAGAGTAATTAGGTGAGCTTTTTACCCCTTCATGTTCATGTCTCTCTGGTTCAAAGAGAACTTATTGACAAAGTTTGTACACCCAAAGGTTTTTCTGCCAGTACAGCAGAAGTGCCTTAATCAGCAGACACAGCTACACCATCAGGGTAAAAGCACCAGGATGATGGTAAGTCCTTTATTAGCCCTGTAAGTGAAATAGTTTACCGCAGTATAGTTTCTTTGTGAACATTGAGTAAATTACGCATCTCTAAATCAGCTTTGCCAAACACATTATTTCACTTTCAAAGGCAAAAAATGAGGTTCTGTGATGAGGCTTATGCAATTTAGAAAACTTGGCGGTCTCAGCAGCAGCAGCAATTTTGAGTATTGAAGCTGTAACTATGTTCACTCTTATCATTATCATGAAATCAAGGACACAGGCTATTTAACATGACTTTCTAGGCGAACGCCTTGAAAAAAAATTCAAATCAGAAGGAAATACAGCAGGTACCTAAGTCCTACTCTAGTCTAATAATTAATCAGCTCATAAATACACATGATGCTGTCTAATGCTTGAGGGAAGGAGGCGCAACAGTCTCTAATCTGCTAATACTTGGTTTACGCCAAAAGATTTTCACAGTCCCAGATAAAAAACCAAAAGTCATTTGCCACCTATACTCCAGGAGACTTTGAGAAGATTTGGAAGAGACTCCTGGAAAACTATCAGCGCACACACCTAAAGACAAGTGTTGAGAGTTTTAAGACACAGCCTAGTCTCAGACTGAGAATTCACAAAGACTGTGAATCTTGCAGGGTTGCTATTTACAAAACTACAACTTGATTCTTTTAGCTTTTTTTGTTGTTGCCAGTAATTCTTCATCCATTATTTTTCTTCTTGTTTTGACTGTCAGGTTCCTTTTTCCGTTTTGTCAGAGCTCATCTATTGGTTGTTGATTGTGTTACGTCACTGTGACTTGTGATAATATCAAACGCACTGTGATGTCTAGTAGATGTGAGGAAAGAGGGAGAAAATTATCTGGTGCAGAGTTCAAACAAAAGTAAATCATGCTGATGTTGCACATCTAATTTGTCTGTTCTGTACATAATATTGCAAAAGTTGATCTTATGACATTAGAACTGGGATGTTACAGTAGATTTGTGTGGGCTCATGGCGGTCTTACCAGAAGGCTTTAACTGACTTGGCTCTTATTTCCAGTTTAAATCAGCTCCATCAACTGAGGAAAACAGGTCCAGTAGTTCCCTTTATATATCAGTATGCTAATGAGGTCCCAGTGTAATAGATTTAAGAGAAACCAGTGTCCATAACTGATTATCATCTTCTAATTGGAACACTAAACTAAAGTTAGACTAATTGTGTTTGTCTGCACCTCTCATTTCATACGTCTGGAGAATTGATCTGTGTTATTAAAGAGAGTGCTAATTAAATGTTTCTCCAAAAACTACTACTACTGCGCTGCCCATGGACTTTTAATTCTGGCTGTATGAGGGTGCATTAGTGTTCTTATCAAGATGATAGAAATCTTGTTGATATATCTTTGGGAAAACAATGGCTTTGACTGTTTAACACTCAAACTGAGGAGTGGTTATTATTTTCATTAATTCAATACATTAATTGATTTTTCTTGCAATTGTGCAAATTATCCTTGTTTGCAGTCTCTGACATTTTGGGGTATGAAATGAGATGAAGATTAAATCTCTGGAAGATCCTACTGGTCTGAAAATGACTGGACCCTGATAAAGAGCACCGTAGTATATAACAGGAAACACTGGATAGCACCTGGCAGTGGACCATGTTGGTTCAGTTCTGGTTTCAAAGTGCCAGAAAATGGGTCAGAGACCATGTGCAAATATAAGTAGCTGCTTTATCTCCAGAGCATATAGCTCGCTGGCACTGCAGAATGGTTACAGCAACAGGTTATTGTTCAGAGAAAAAGCTGCTATCTAATCAGAAATACAGTCATTTCATCATGGGATGGTGGTGAAAATCATCAAAATAGGGCACACATAATTTTTTGCTTATTCATTGGTCATTTGGATTGTGTTGATTAACTTTGAACATAGAAGCCAAGCAGCAGAATACATTTGAATATCATCAGTGCAATCTGCATTGTGAATTAGACCTCGAGTCAGAGCAGGCAGTATGAAGCACAGTCCTTGGTGCTGTTTGTGGCAACAATCCATTCAAGTCAGGCCCTTAGTGTAACGTCATGTAGTCTGACAGAGAGCATGTAACCACATTGATTCAAACCCTGAAAAATATTGTGAGTGAACCTGTTCCTCTCAGCAATTCAGACTTTTGAGTATGCTGGATGACAGCTTTTCAGTGTATTATTGTTAAGAAGTGGATCATAATGACTTCATTATGACTCCATAATAATCTGAACTTCAGGAAACCAGCTTCCAATAACTCCTATTTCTTTTTCACATTGGGCTGGTTGTTGACTTTCATCCAATAGACATGATGTTTATATCTTTTTGATAACTTTTAATCTCCAGAACCGTTACACCATACAGTTTCCCTCCAGAATACCATAGTAACACTACTGGACACTGCGCATGTCTGAACCTCTGTGGGACTGTAGGGAGTCCTGTAATGCAATCAAGGAGTAATGCCAAATATGAAATGGTTACAACACAATGTTGTCCTCACTTTCACAGAGATTCACTAATCTGGATATGTGGCTTTTAAGAACATATTGGCTGGAATCTCCCATCACCCTGGGTTGCTGCAAACGCAAGCATTAAAAAATGCAGCTTCATGGACGGATCTTTGTGATCACATAATAGATCCTAGACTAACGGCTGCAGTGTTTTTTTTTTTTATTATGCCAGGCAGCTATCAAAAGTATGTCAGTTGCTATGGCTCTTCCTGGAATGCTTTATATATTATACAAGCTGCTTTACCTTCTCCTCTCAGGGCACCATATTGACCTCAGAATCAATCAAAGAAAGGAGGAAAAAAAACATCAGCAATTATGTGTTAACTTTGCACCTCTTCTCTTTTGACTGTATACATACAGTATGTTGTTCAACAAATTTTCTGCTCGCTCAATACTAAGATAATTAAATGCACACATCAATACCCAACACCCACACTTGCATGCCACTGAAACAGAGAAAAGAGATAGGTAAGGCCATGCAAGACTAGAATGGGTTCTTTGTCACCGGAGCCAGCTTTACTCTCATATCTAAAGAGCTGCCTTTTAACCACTGTATGGTATATAACATCAACTGTCTTTGGAAACAGAATTGACCGGAGAAAGAATCTTGTGAGGGCAGCACAAGTTGTTAAAGTCGGTCTATTAGAGTAAGAATCTCCTGCAGCTTGTGAGACCTTCTCTACGTCATCATCCCCTCACTGACTTTCTCCGGTGGTGCTCAACGGGGTCTGCTTCCATCAAACTAAATTGGTAGACTTGGGACAGCTGCCTTCCTATTAAGCTTTGATGTTTTATTTATGACGGAGCCAAAGAGGAAAGAAAGGTCCGAAGAGAAATGACCTCCAACAGAATATTATGCTAATCTCGAAAATTTTAATTGTGCTCAAAAGGTTAATTTTCTTCTGCCTTAACTCTCTATATAAATCAGTCTACATTAAAAAGCTTACACTTGGAACTACTTAAGATGAACTATTATGACAAATGTTGAAGCCTTTCCTTCTTTCAGTTAAAGTTTCCTCCATCATGTAATTGGTACAATCTCACGACCAAAGAGCTTTCTTGTCACCTCAGGAAATAACTTTTCTTCAAATTATTGATCCAATTTGAAAAAATATTACACAGTATGTGTTCCTGTATGTTACAAAAAAGTTTTTCTGTGGAAAAAAGATTCAGGACCTTGACCTTATGCAAGTACACATACTTGGCCAATGAAGCTAATTCTAATTCTAAAAACCAAGGTTGCAATGTCACGGTGTACCAATTTAATTTAGATGATGCTTTTGTCCAAAACAACATACATCTCGTGTTGCCTTAAACCAGTGGTTCTCAAGTCCAGTCCTCGAGGCCCACTGTCCTGCATGTTTTGGATGTTTCCCTGCTCCAACTCACCTGATTCAAATGATCAGCTCATTATCAAGCTCTGTAATGGCTTAATAACGAGCTGATCATTTGAATCAGGTGTGTTTTGAATCATGAAACATCCAAAACATGCAGGACAGTGGGCCTCCAGGACTGGACTTGAGAACCACTGCCTTAAACTAAACTCTTCTTTGCATAATTTCCGGGGTAAACAAGTCTCTCTCTCTTTACAAAGTGAACTGGGTCATGTTGCTTTTAAACTCTTGATATGTTTCATAGTGCCACAAGGTGAATTAAGCTTGCAACTCATTTGGCACAATCTTTCTTCAGCAATTTTCTTACTATTACAGTTTTTCCTCAATCGCTAAAACACATTTCTTGAAATCCACCATGTTTCTCTCAACACTATACGCACAAAACTCAATTTTCAAACTACATTCACCAAACCTCTGACTCTTCCTGCAAAACCAAACAATATTGTCTGATCATAAACCAAGTTATTCTGTATCTCCATAAGTTTCTTAGCAGATAGAAGCATGACGTGCTTTAACATCTTTTGTTACATGACTGTGTTGACTCTGGACTTAAGAAAACACAGAAGACCAATCCCACTGAGCATTTTTTGGTCTAAAAGAGGTCTAATAGACGTCTAAATGTAGCCTAGATGACTGGTCTAAAATCAAAGTTTTTTAGATGTCTAAATTTAGACCAAGTTTAGACTAAATCTAAATCTGGGCTATATCTATACTACACGGTATATTGCTCAAGGGCTATCACAATTATTTTGGTTAAGTCCTTGGAGATCAGTTAGGCAACTCACAGTTGCTTTTTGAAATAAATAGTTATCGAATAATGGGTTAAAGTGCAACGTCTAAATCCCGTCTAAAAATAAACAGAATCTAGATGGTTATAATTAGGGATAAAACAAAAAAATGACGTCTAATAGCCATCTATTGCTCAGTAGGATACCAGCAGATGATATGGTATCCAAAACCATCAAGCTGGATTTAGAGCACCTTGGTTTCTGTGCCGTCCTGATCTTCCTCCAAAATTTGGTAAAGGATGAAAATTTTACTTTCAACTGACAACCACACTTTGGACTACTGTGCAATAGTCCACTTCCTTTCTTCTTCCCCTTGGTGTGATGCTTATGACATTGCCTCTGGTTACAGAGTGGTTTGATAGTCGGAAAAAGACAACTGTATCCCATTTCCTTGACATGTCTGGGTGCAGTGTCTCTTGATGCGCTGACTCCAGCCTTGGTCCACTCCTTGTGAAACTCCCCTTTGTTTGACAATCCTCTCAAGGCTGCAGTCATCCCAGTTGTTATTCTTGTCACACTTTTTCCTTCTATAGTCAATTTTCCATTGATACACTGTAATACAGCTCTCTGTGACCTTCTGTGGCCTACCCTTTTGTGCAGGGTGCCAATGATCTTCTTCTGGACAAGTGTCAAGTCAGCAGTCTTAATCATGATTGTGGTTGTGTGTACACTGAACCAGAGTGAGAGATTAAAAGCTCAGTAAACCTTTGTTTGTGTTTAGATTCAATTAGCTGATTAGCGCTCTCTTTCAGGACTGAAATACCTGACATGCAACTCGATTTTCCACAATTTTCAATGTTCTCTGAGTGTTTTTTTTTTTTTAATTTTCATGAACTGTGAGCCGTAGCCAAGACTCAAACAAACCTAGAATTTCACTTTTCAAGTTATAATAGACTTTTTCAGGACATTCAAAATCTTTGAGCAACATTTTTACACTCAACCAAAAAGCAACTGTGCCGACTCTTTTATTTCTAACAAATCATCAAAGACTGTACATTTCTGCAGTGGGTAAGAACAAACATAGCTATTCTGAAACTGTCCATCAACCTTGTTGACAACAAAAGGCAGAAGAGCACTGTAATAAATTTAGCTATTTTCTTGAAACTGTTTATCAGCACAACATGGTAATAATTCAGATGAATGTCATACAAATTTGAGAGATTCTGCCGCATCTCCAAAATAAAGCAGCCAATACACAGGAGAGATATTAGACTAATGAAAAGCTCTTTCCTGTCTTGGCCGTCAGCCCATCTAGCATGCTGCCTTGTGTCTTCCATTACACAGCATGCAGCATCACACCATCACAGCACGGAGCTGTGAAATGGAAAGAATCCTGTTGGTAAAACATTAAAGCAGAACCTCTAATCCCCGTCCTTGTTGTCTGTCATGCACTCTTGCTTTAAAGTTCTACTCCCATCATTTTTTTTAAGTGCTCTCAGTAGTCTTCAAAGAGAGGATATTATGCTTTACAATATTTGCAACAAAACACTGTAAAGTTACAGAGTTTGGTGTCCATACTTCATGTATGCAAAGTTTCAAATCACAAAGTAAATGTAAAATCTGCCTTTTTGGAAAGTGAACTGAAATGAACTCCTACTTTTTGTGAATCAATGCTGTTGTAGTGCCCCATACTGGGTAAACTTATACCCAGTACTTGTACCCAAACTTATAGATGACTGATCAATCCACAATCCACAGGTGTCACTGGGACCAAGCCACCTGGCAACACACCAAGATATTCTAAGGAATCTTAGAAATCAGGTTCTCTTTCCAACTGCGCCTAGTATCTCACTATGGGAAGTGCTGTCTGGTGTGACCAATCACCGAAGCTCCGCTATCACAACGTCTGGCGGGGGACAGACCAATCACCTACTCTGCACAGGCCAGCCAACTCCCTCCTTGTAATGGGGTTCCTCACACCCCTTTGGCATTCTCAAGTATGTTTCTTCCCTAAATAGTTCAAAGAGGGAAGTGTTGTCAATCAAGCCCCCAGCTTGATGCTCACACAAAGATTCCCTTTGTCTTGATCCAAAGTAAAAACATGAGACCGCTTGAAAAGCTTCAAAAGTTTACTTCAAAAAACAAAAGTAATCCCAAAAAGTTTATACAAATTTCCTTACGTCCATATTTAAAACAAGAACCAGTCCACTGGTAGAGGTCAAAAACTATGGTTTCACTCTCCTTTCTCCAAAAGAAATACGTTGCCGTGGCTAACTAACCTAAAACTGTCAGCTCATGGAATTATAACAAGAAAGGTGTGGTTAACTTAGTGAATGAAATTTCAAATAAAATAACCTGTGTTTACACACTTACACAATCAATCCCTATTTATATGGCGTCGATTTACAACTATGTTATCTCAAGACACTCTGGTCTAGACCATACTCTATTTACAAAGACCCAGTGTAATGATGGGATAAGATTAAGTACCATCTTGTAAGTTCAGACCCACTCCCATTCCATCTTTAACCATCTAAGTGTAACACTTCTCAGCATTTGGAAAGTTACAGCGGAGAGGAAAAACTGCATTTAACAGGCAGAAACCTTGAACAGAACCAAACTCATAAAAGACAGTCATTTGCCGCTACTGCACTGGGTTTAGAGAGAGGACATACCAACTTCTTTGGACTTTGGGTTTGAACATGGCAGCCAGGAGAAGCCAGTGAGGTGTTTACTGACTACTTTAAGCATCCTAGGTAGTTAGCTGATGAATCACTGAATAAAAATGTGAGTGTCAAAGAAATAACAAAGACTTAACTTACAGATTTAACTGAAAAAGCCACCTGATGAGAGTAGAAGCTGCACAATATGAAGGAGAATATACCTTTACCTTTACCGTATCATTACTGATGGTCGATGCAGTTCTATTCTTTTGTTTATATATTAGTCTGGACAAAGAACTGCACACATTGTCACCCAGCGCAGCCTGATTGCTAAGGTCGATTCTAGAAATTAGTATTTTTTGGGAGTAAAATAGCAGATTTCACCTTTGTCATTTTTTAACAAAAACCCTATACACAGCAAAATTAATTAAAAAATCTTGTTTCTATATTTTTTCCTTATCTACAGAAGAACACAGGAACAATCTGCAGCGCAAGGTCAAAAATGAACTGAAGCCTGGGGGGACTCAGCGGATGCTGTCAAATGGGTTGGCTGCAGCAGCAGAGAACAGAAGGACAAATACCACATGCCATGTGACGATAGTTGCTTCACCCGACCCAACTGTGCATCTGTGGAGGTAGAAGATGCCACTAATTTTCATCCATAGCCAAAAACCTGGGCACAGATGCAATCTCGCTCTTTCAAGCAGGGCAGACGCTGGCAGCTTCATCTTTACACATATTCCTGTGATCATAAATCAGATCGAGGTATTACAGCACAGTATGTTGACATTCTAGCTAATGAACTGGGTGACATAAGTCCCACTCAACTGAATATAAAGTCCCCTTGAAGATGTTGTGTTTTAGAGAATTACACAAATTCAACAAAGTCTGTGACTTATTTTAAGGCTGTTAAGTTTGGCCCCGAGGACTGTATCCACTTCAATTGTTTGCAAAACTTGCAAATTAATGACAGTAGAATAATAAAAACACTGTTGCTGTCACACTTGACCTTCCCATGGCTCATAAGCAGACTGTGTACAGTGTCTAATTGGGTAAAACCATTTCCATTGAAAAACGTTGGGACTCTCATTGCCCCCCCAACACACCTACCCACAAAAGTCCACAGAGGAGTGTTGTGGGGGAGGAGCCCAGGTCACAGAAAACATCACTTATCATATAAATTAATCTTTTTAGGAAACAGGCTTGCTAGGTGATAGATAGATAGATAGATAGATAGATAGATAGATAGATAGATAGATAGATAGATAGATAGATAGATAGATGCATTACATATTTCTGTAGTAAAATGCTGTCAAGAATTCACAAAGCTTCAAAAAACAAAGAACAAAATCCTTCACAGGCCCTTGGGGATAACTTATAGAAGACATGGCACCTGAATCAACTCCCCACAGACATCACTAAGATGAAACACTGTATTGTCTGAGAGGGACTTTGCATACCAGGGCTCAACAATTTTTCTTAGATGTTCACATTTGCAATAATCCTATTGCTGTACGCACTGTTTCAGAAATATGAGCACATAATGGAGTGAAAACAGCATGAGTTTTAACAAGCATTATTGTACACTCTTGTGACTGGCATCAACTAAATGTGAGCCACAGCAAATAGACTGGGCAGAGGGTAATGAAAAAGGTCGCATAGTTACAGTCTGATGACTGAAACGGCAGCTGTTCTTGAGGAGTCTGAAGGCTGCATCTAAGGATGAAACAGGTGGATTTCTTGAGGAAGCTTCAATTTGCAAAAACTAAATAAAAAGAAGAAATAAATAAAACAGTGCTTGTGCTACTTTTTGAAAAAATTATGTTTTATCCTAAACCTCTCCCTTGTGTTTTTGTCTTACTCTTTCTAATAGGAGTCTGTAGATTTATGGGTGTATGTGTTGGTGGGAGGGTTGGGTTTTATTATTGTTTTCTAAAGCCTTTGTGAGGCACTTTGAATTGAAGCATGTACGAAAAGTGCCATATAAATAAAGTTCAATTTGAATTTGAATTGGTAAAATCGGTGCAGTCACTCCCACCGACAGAAAATCCATCGACATGCCTGTTGCTCATCTGTGCACGCATCGAGACCTGCCCTGAATGCAGCATGGTCTTAATATTACGAAGACTGACTGGAAGAGGGATAAGTAAGATTGATTCAGGGGACATAGGAAGATAAACAATGTGCGAACTTGCCAATGTGACATATGGCTTGTCGTAGCCTTTGCTTTGCGTGCTACGCATGAGGGTAAGAGAGCAGAAGTCCATGGATCATTCAAACCACCACCAGACAATTCAGTGTATTGTGTCACTCTTGTAAATATTGGAAATACCCTTATTCTTCACAATAACTCAAGAAACGTGATAAAACATGCTTTGAGCAGAAGGGTGGCACAAGAGGAGGAAGAGGACAGAGGCTTCGATGCATATGACAGCAGATTCAGCCAGGCATTTACGCGCATACGGTGCTTACCTTTGGATATTACGATTGCTGTGAAGTGAAAAAGGAGCAGAAAGGCCATCCTGCAGACGAAACCTCCCCTTCTGAGCGCATCCATACCGGCGCGCAGCTCTCCACTGAAGCGCTATCAGGATGTGGGTGCTCCAGGTTTCTGGTGCCGCTGCCTTCTCTCCTCTCTCTCCTCCTCACTGGACGAGCGCCGGTGGATGAAGTTGTTCTGGCAAACCAGAGACGTGCAGATGTAGATGTGCTCTCTGGCAGGCTGCAGAGAAAAGGAGTCTGATGTACTCGAAAGTGAATCAGAAGGGAAAAAAAACGCCTCCACTTTACTTTGCAACGTGTGTGCGCGCAGCATAAGAGATGTGCGCGACGTGTCAGTTTAGTCCTTTCTCAGGTATCAGCCTGCCTCGTGGATAACCAATGGGGATGGAGCGGGGGAGGGGGGCTTAGGACTGACTGTCACCTCAAACCTTCACCTGCAAACACAAGTGTGATTAGATAAGTCTTTGACTTTCAGTATAAACGGTAAGTTTCAGAGGAATTAGTGTTGAGAACAAAATAATCAAACTGATGAAAATTTTCTAATGGGCGTTTGGGGATGAGATACATGGGCAGTGGAACTGTTATTTCATCTCTCTTCACACACAAAATTTATGTGTTTTTTTCTTAGAGTCAACAGAAAGCACTTTTGTCAATTGTAATGGTTCCTGGTCCTCCAGAAATATTTAAAGGATCACATGGAAAGTTATGAGACGCCATCAGGAACCATTTGGTCCAAGAAAACTGGCAATTAATTCACACACAGGATCCAAATAACAGATGGTTATGACAATGCACTGTTGGTCCCGGAGCAAGGAGAAGTAGTAGTTGTTGTTGTATTTGTTGCTGTTGTAGTAGTTATTATTGTTGTTGTTGTTGTAGTCGTTATTTTTATTGTTGTAGTTGTTGCTGTTGTTGTTGTTATTGTTTTTGTTGTAGTAGTTGTTGTTATTGTTACTGTTGTAGTTGTTGTTATTCTTATGTTATTGTTTTTGTTGTTGTTTTCCCAGGAAACTTCTAATAAACAAAATCAGATATCAGATCAAGAACCACCTTAAACACAGGACAAGGCATTTTAAAGTCAGAGAACTAACAATGAACCAAAATTTAAGAACACTTTGCCTCCTCAAGACCAGAGACATTTTCCTGTGACTATTTCATGTAATTAGTAGAACCACAAACCAATAACATTCATAACCAGGAACCATTTAAAGATACTTCACCAGGGACCATCTGCACCACTTCAACAGAAACCTTTTGACCTCAGAATGAGACAATATTTGATTCATAGAAAGAGTGACTATTTATACCAAAGGCTTTAAATTCAAAGGACCAAGAACCATTTAATGCACAATGCTAATTGTTTTAAAATCATATGATCAGATGAACATAGTCCACTAAAAAGGACAGGACCCCTGAGACACACAGTACTCATTCCTTAGAACCACGTTTTAAGTAAACATTTGCTACACAGACTAAATCCAAATCACATGAATATTAATAACAACAGAGCACACGCATTTTAATGTTTTCAGAAACCCTTTAAACAACAGCATCAGTATCACCTACTCAATACATAAAAAATAAAGGCAAGCTCCACTGAGAGTTTTCAAACACATCCAAAGACTGGAGAAGGAGAATCATTAATTTACAATCATTTGGCCTCACTTCATTTTTAAAACAATTCAGCCTTGTTCTCATCCGTTTTGGCTTTTGAACTACAGTTCGTCATCCCTGAGGTCTGCTGGATGCACTATTCTTCCTCAAATACACAACAACCCACAGTGTGTAAGAGAAAAAAAAAGACATAGAGGAGGAATACCATTTATCACAATCAGGATAAACAATTTGTGCCATGAGGGGGCACAGGCGGTATATGGAGGGCATTTTTCTGCTGAAATGATTTACACATTGTTAAAAGGGGCTGTGTTGAAGGTGGAGTATTTACATACAGTATGTTCAGACAGAAAAAACTGTCAGGAAACAGACAAGCAGCTTTATATTTGGAGTTAAATGCGATAATACTGGTATCTTTTGTTCGGTTAAGTTGGCCTCGGGTTCAACTGGGCTGGCGTAGACTGTAAGGCCTGATTTATTTCACAGATGGTCGGCACATGTGTATGTTCACGAATGCCAATCAATCAGAAACTGACAGCGTTCTCCTGCTCAGTCAGCAATCAGCATAAATCACCTGCTCATATGAATAGCGCATAACCACTGTATGAAGGGGTGTGAAAATACAGGTCCTGTAGGCCAGTGAGCATGATGCATAAAAAGAAATAGAGAGAGAGAAAGAAGAACTGTTTAGATGTGGATATTGAAGTTATCATGGATGAAGTGGAATTGAGGAAAGAACAGTTCTATTTTCCTCTGTGAGTGGTGGTGTGAAACTCACCTTTTGGACTACTATTCATGCACCTTTTCTTGTCTGATGCAGGGGGTTGTAGAGAAATGACTCATCTAGTTTCTTCTTCTGTAAGGTTAGCATCAGGTAGGTATTAGCAACACAAATACACTCTCACACAACATATACACTCACACACTGTTCATGTGCTTAACACATTTTATCTGGTAAATGAAAGAGAAAAATCTGAACATGGTGTGATCACATGTGTGGCATGCAGAATATTGCAGTCACACACTGCTGCAGATGTCCATGTTTACAAAGGCTCCATCTGCTCTGACAAAGATCCACTCACTCATACACCCTCCACTGTCTCGAGACCCTTTGAAGGTAAACATAAGATCCATTTAGACTAAATCAAAGCAGTCTGACTGATTAAAAATACGTATTTCTTAGAAATATGTTCTTTACAATTATAGATTGAGCGAGTAAAAAAAGGTAAAAGGAAAACTTCACAAATGGCAGTTCTTCTTTGGTCATATTTCACAGTTTTTCTCAGTCACTTTGATGCATTTCTCTGATCAGAATTTAAATTCTCATACCTGTTAGTTTAACCTTCACAACATTTACTCATTTGTGCACATCATAGCAACAGTTTTTCATTCCTTCCAACAAACTGCAAATGCTTTTGGACTTGCATCAACTGCTTTCCTACAATTCTCTGCAGTTTTATAACATTATCATTTGCTTATATCATGTCAGTCGAAATGAACAATACTTATTAATGCTAAGCAGTCATTCTCTATAAAACTGTAAGTCCCCATTTCTTTGCTTGAGTCATTACAACCAAAAATGTTGTCGTAGTTCTCAAAATCTGACCGACAAATTTTAAACATGTCTTTATAATTTTTTCCTGAAAATGTCTCCAACCTAAAATAAAAAATGTCTCTCAGGTGAACCTCAGCTTTCAGTTGTGAGAAGGGCTGTGTGTGAAGCATTAGTTGCAACCACTGATAAGTCACTTCTCCACAGTCACTCAGAGCTGAATCTCATGAACCCTCACTTTGCTAGCATATTTGAAACCAAGCAGGACAGTGTGTTCCATTTCTACAATACTGTGACACAGAAAAGGGAAGATCAGCATGGTGGAAGAGGGGTGAGGATGCGTGGAGGGAGGTGACAAAACAGAGGAAGAGGAAGAAGAGGCCATGTATGTACATGAGTGAATTTCTGATGAAATTAGGGCTACAATTGTGGACCATGTTGTCAATCATGGCCTCAGAATGGCCGAAGTTGGTCCAAGTGTGAAGCCAAATGTTGAGAGAAACACTGTAAATTTAATTATCCAAACATTTGGTCAGGAGAACATGTGTTTCTATTGGACAGTAATTCAGCACTAAACAATCTGAGCTGCACTACTGTCATTGTGTTATACGTGAAGCTTGAAGTGGAACAAGAACTTGTCACATTTTACATTTAGACATTTTTACTGCAGCACAGATGTACTGTATTGTCATTAGTGTTACAGTAAAGATTTGCCATATTTACAGTATGGTGCTGTACTGCAGCATTTTACAGGAGGGAAGCGCTGTTATTGTACACTACAGTAATATGGGTTAACACAGTATATCTTTTGTTTACTGTATATTACTGTAATTTTACTCTGCACCAAAGCCACTGAGAAAAAACTGTAAACAATGTGAAATTCATTTTCAGTTGTCTCTGTTTCTGTTCAGAGAGTAGGATCTGCCTCCTTACAGCTGACTGCAGGCCTCTGATGCAGACATCTCTGCACAGTGCAGCATTGTTCAGCCTGTGGCAACTTCTGTTCTTTGCCTTAAGGCAGAGTGGAGATGGACAGACGGACGGACGGACGGATGGACAGATGGATGAATAGATGGATGTATGTTTTTTTCCATGCGACAAGTACCTTCATGAACAATCTAACCTAACTTTAACAGTTTATACAGCTGATGTCCTGCAGAGAGCTGGCAAATAAAAAGGCCAATTTAGAGGGAAAAGAAAAGAGCCCACTGTGCGTAACAGCACAGTCTGCACAGAGGTTGAGCCAGAGACGGACCCAGACTGACTTAACACCTGATTGCTATAAAAAATATATAATGTCAAAGTAATTCTAACAGACTCTTGCACAGATTTATTCCTCCTACGTCTTCCAGAGGAGCAAAATCACCGAAAGGCTTCAGCATGTCAACCCGAAAAAGGACTCAAACTTTAAGATGGTATATTACAGTCTGCCTTTTTTTTTTTAAATCACTAATGTAGATAAATTCACAAGAACATTCACAGAGAATGGTTTGTGGCTGTTAACAGCTTCATGGATTGCCCATTATTTACTGCTTGAGAGGTCTGATTCACAAAGCATTTTGCTTTAATTGGAGTCGAGCCTGGAAATGCTCCATCGAGTTCAGGGACTGTTTCAGTGTACTTAACATCACTAATTGCATTGACATTACTTGTATAGTATCTCTGTGTTTCTGTGTGTTCCCAGTAGAGGAAGTTAGATATGCCAGCTTGAGCCCATTCAACAGCAACCGTTCAGAATCATCACAGAAAATCTTTGTTTATGCTTTGTTCATATTTTCCATCATTGTACCCCACACATGAGCACAAATAAAGCCGGTTAAATAGTAGACAATTCGTGTTGTCACCATGTTCTGATGAGTGGATTCTATATTCTCTCACTATGTCCCTTT